TATAAATTTCACGACCTGGGCCAAAAATTAGATTTATTAATTTTTTAATTGTGTTTCTTCAGTAATTCAATAAGCAAACCCTAATTTAATTAATTTAATTTAGGCATCAGTTTGACCAGAAATTTCTTCCTTGCCTAATTATACTGGCTGCTCTGCTACAGTAACTATTTATTTATGTTTTTATTATGGATGTTGCTTGCATTTTAATTTGGACAACCTAAATTAGAAAATTTATCTTTGATGTGATATTAATTGGTACTTTAATTAATTATTATTATTAAGAGTACAGTTTTAATTAATTATTGTTACCATGAAACAAGTCAAACATTTGTACAACAAGTAATTAGTACCGAAATAAACTGACGTTTTTTTATTTGTTTCGGCCAATTGATATTCAATTTATATAAAATCAATAAATAAATAAATAAAAGGTGTGTTTGTCATAGGGTTGGACGTAGAGACGGCGTGTTTATTATCATGTCACGTTCGTGTTAACCCGTTTATTATTGTGTTGGGTTCGAGTTGACTCGTGTTGACCCGTATACATAATTAAGTCAAATTTTTTGATTCAAATTAAATAATTTTTTGTTATGTTGTCGTGTTATGTTAGTTTTTATTGGTTTGAGCGTAAATTAGGTTGAATTATTTAAAATTAAACTTAGCTTAAATTAATTTATGAGAAAATTATTAAATTATGATTATTTTACATATTTAATAAATATATTAATCAATATTAATATATTATAATCGGGTTGTCGTGTCGGGTTCGAGTTGAGAGTCTCAACCATAACCCGACCCGTTTACTATCGTGTCGGGTTCGTGTTAACCTGTATACATAATCGGGTTGAAATCTTTTATCCAAACCCAATTATTTCGTATTGAGTCGTGTCGGGTCAGTTTTTCCCAAGTCTAGTTGGACGTCACGTTTGGAATTGAAAATGGAAAAAATAAAATAAAATTGAATTGAAATAAATGTTTGATTATTTTGATATTTTCTTTCTTTTTTATTATAAAAAAAATTAAATTAAGTTTTTCAAGTTGCTAGAAGTTTATTGATAAGTCTTATGTTTATCAATAAAAATGTATGTAAGTAATTAAATACATGCACAACACATATTTTAAGCCACAATCAAACAAATTCAAGTATTCTTTTTGTATTTAGTTTTTAAATGTATATACTCCCTCCGTCCCATTGAAATGTTACCATTTTTTATTTTCGTTCATCCCAAAATAAGATTATAATTTTCTAATTTAGTAATTGTATTACTTACCTAACATAATAAATGCCCTTTAAATTTATAATATATTACACAAATATAATTATTTTTATATTACACCATACTAATAGTGATAGTTTTGTCTTTTTCACTACAATCCAATATAATACTAATATTAAAAAATTTACATGAAAAAAAAACAAAACAAATACCACATTTCCAATGAATGATTTTGAATGAACATTTTAACATTTGCATTAAAATTTTTAGATATAGATCATTTATAAGACATCACATTGGATATATATTTTTCATATTAAAATATTACATCTAATAATTACTTAATTTCAAATTTAAAGGGTTTGGAATTTTGAATTGAAATTGAATTTTTTATTTATATAATATTACATATGTAATTTTTGTTAGAGAACTGCCTATTTTTATTTTAAAATAATAAATTAAAATATTTTTTAAAATTCAAATAAAGAATAAAAATAAAAAATAAAAAAATACACCAACAAAACACACCAGCCGACTTCTGCAGATATGTAGAGGAATTAGGTCCCATTTGATTGCTTTTCAAGAGTGATTTATGGTTTTAAAAAATTAATAAAATTATACATATTTATTGAATTTATCTAACAGCAAAAACATTTTTTAAAGTCGATATATATATATATTTAAAGTATATTGTGATAGCTTCTGAATTTTTTTTAAAAAAATTTAAATTATTATTATTATATATAATAAAAATAATATAAAAACAATAATTTATATACTTCTTATATTTAAATTATTAAATATCATTTATAAAATTCTAAAATAAATTATAAAGTACAATTAAAATTAAAATTACATATATACTTAAATTAAAATTTTAAAATTTAAGTTTACCAAATTAAAAAATATTTACTATACTAGATAATTTAAAAATTTTAATATAATTACTAAATTTAAAATTGCATTTACGTTATTGTTTTAGATAATTTTGTTAGTTTACAAATAATTTTAATTTTATTATATTCATAATTTTTTCTTAAAAAAAATCAACTTTATAAAAAATTATTCATAAGTTAATATCAAGTAGCTTCTTTTTTTATTTTCGACTTCGTTTATATTTTAAATCAATCTAAATGGGCTTAATAATTAACCGATGGGTCCATAACAAGAAATGAATCCATTTTTGTTGGACAGCCCAAAAGGCTACGGGTGTATTTATTTCGTGAAATTATTAAAAAAAATATTTTTGTACAAAATATAGATAATTTATAAATAATATAAAAAATAAATATGTATAATATATTAAGGGGGTGTTTGGCAAATAGTTTTTTAAGAGCTTTTAGCTTATTGAACAGCTTTTAGGGTTTGACCAATCTAAAAGCGCTAACTTACTTTGAAATAGCTTTTTCTGTTAATTTTTTTTATTCCTTATATACCTTCAAAAATTTATTATACAAATAAATATATTTTGATTATTTATTAATTATATTAGAATATTTTATTATATTATAGTTTTACTTTTACAAATTTAAAATAATTAATTTTTATATAAAAATTATTTTAATTGTAAAATATATAAATTTATTAAAATCAACATAAAATATAAAATATAAATATTAATAATTTATTTTTTTATTAAAATTACATTATATAAATTTTATATTAAAAATAAATTAAATATATTAAAAATTATAAATATAATGAACTAATCGATAACTAACATAATAAATATATACACAAAAAATTTATTATTTTATATTATTTTCAATAAAAAAAAAAACTATTTATATATTTTAATAAAAATATATTTATTTTTTAAATCTAACTGTAATAAAAATAAATATTTTTATAATATTTTTAAAATTTCAATAATTAATAACAAAAAATTTTAAACATTCTAAACTCAGAAAAAAATATAATTGAATATATTAAAAATAAGAATAAAATAGAAATGTCATCAATTATTATTTTACTTTACGTATAAACAGCTAATATCAAACAGTTATTTTACCAAATATTTTAATATAAACAATTAATCAAATCGACTAGTTAAATCAGCTAATTGAATAAGCTAATTAAATCAGCTAACAGTCAACCGCTATTAACTAATTCTGAAATACGTCCTAAATCTTTTATCAATATATTTTTTTAAGTTAGTGGAATATCAGATCCTACAAAGTTCATTGCTAGTCACACCCACTTATTTTGACTATTTATTTAAAATTTGAGTTGTAACTTTTTTTTTTGTTTTTTTAATTAACTTATCTTACATTGAATTGATTTTCAAAATTGCATGGAGAAGATACTTTATTATTATTTTATTTTGTGACGTGGAAATCCGAAACCATTATTTCGAGTGCATTTTAAATAAAATTAAACTCTAGCCGAACCAAATAATTTGTAAATTAAACTCGACAATACTAATCATATATATTAAAGCGAATTATGCGTCGCAACCAAGAGCATATTGTGAATAGTACAAGTTAAATGAAATCAGAAAATTTATTTTATATAAAATATTACATTTAGTTATTATTTTATACTAAAATTTTCGAACTTGAAAGATCAAAATATTTTAAAAATTCAATAAATTAGACTCTAAATCATCTTTGGAACTCCATGTTTGAATAGTTACTCAATAAGTAAACTATTTTTAAAAAATGTCTTGTATCACATTAATATTATTTACATCTATACATTGCACAAAAATGATAAAATATGATCATTGAGAAATAAGAGTCCAAACTAACATGTCGCAATTGGTATTCACCTTGATACATATATACTAACATATTATATAGAGGACCTCAATTTATTTATTTTTTTCTTCTCCTTATTATTATTATTTTTATATGTAGTCGCTCTATTTGCTCTAACTTATTGTCATTCATTTAAATTCACCTCGTTGATATCATTTGGTACATGCAAATAATTGTCACGTATAGACTGTCGTCATTCATTTAGATTCATTCACCTCGTTGGTATCGCTTGACACATGCAATAGATCGACACGTATAAGTTAATGCCACCCCGTTAGATTATTGATTGACACGTTTATAATCGATGTCAACATCAACAACCGCTTCTCGTTTCCGGTCATTGTCACCTACAACAACTACTTGTTATATTTACGCTACCTTAGGTGTGTTTATTTGGAGATTTTGATTCGAACCGTAAAATTTTAAATTTGAATAGATATTTCTAAGAGAAAAAAAAATTGTAAATAGTAAAAACCAAAACAGATCACCCAAATGAATACACCCAATATTTTTTGATCGCAAATAAGTTTCTTTTATTATTATTTTTAAAAATTATACCAAAATGTTCAAAAGAAAAAATGTAAGATGAACAAGTGAAGTTAAATTTGGATGATTTGATACTATAAAACTATGTAACTCAGCCTATTATAATATTGTTCTTTTTGAGTCAAAAAATGAATTTGCTTTTCTTTTTTTTTTTTCAAAAATCTAAAATTGTTTGGTTCTTTTCCAACCCATAATCGAAATAATGAAAATACATAATTCCCAATTCTATCTACAAATAAATCAGTAATAAGGTAGACGTGCATGCATAAATAACCATGACTAAGTTTTGTTACTAATTGTTCACACACACATATTAATATATTTAATGTAGTGTAGAAAGTGGATTTTCGAGTGTTTTCTTGTTTTGGCAATAAAATTTGTCTGGACCACAAAAGTTGATGACGTGGCTGGTTCATGTTAGAGCTTTAAATATTTGCATTATCATTATATTAATTAATTAATTAATGATATCAATATATGAAGCAATTTCACAATCTTAATAATACCAAACACTATTTCTTTTTTTTTTTTTTTAACACTTATTTACACGCAACACAAAAGTAAAATCATTTAATTATTTACAGCAAAGGAAAAGGAAGAGGTTTAAAAAAGAAAAAACAGCAGCAGCAGAAATGGCGGTCGATCTCCAAGTTACGCTATGAACGCCGCCGGACAGCCGACCGCCTCCGCCGCGCCTCTCATCATCTGCATACCGCACTCCACCGGCTTCGAGATTAGGTTCTCCAATTCGAAAACAAAGTCCAATTGCTGCTTCGCCACTGATCCTGACTCAGCTTCTGCTACAGTTGCTTCCTCCTCGTAAATCATGTCGTCTTCCATCAATTTCTCCCACAGAAGGAAGCTATCGGAGCCGGCGGCGTCCCAGCCGCTGGATTTAGCATCGGCCTTATCGCCATGTTCGCCGGAAGCAATGCTCCCGGACTCGTCGGAGGAGAAGAGCGTCTGAATTTCCGATTGGACCGTCGTAAATTCTTCCTGCACCCGTAGCTTCTTCTCATCATTGTTGTCGATTGAGCTGAGATCGGCGGCGGCGGTGGTGTCGGGAACTGTCAATCTTCTCTTCTTCGAGATCTCTCCATCAGTAGCTGCGGTTCTTCTCTTCATCTTCTCGACCAAGTACTGCAGCAAGGCAGGGTTGTTCATGGCCTTAATCAGGAACAGCGTCAAGTGTTTGTGCTTCGATTCGGTGATGCGAAGGCGCTCTTTGAGGGAGGTGAGGTAGTTATCGGCGATCTGTTGCTGCTGCCTCAGCCGGAAAACTTCCGATTGTAGTGTGTATTGATCGGCTCTGAGTTTGTGGAGCTCCGCCTCCGCTCCAATAACTCCATGGTTGCTCGAATTCAGCCATGATTGCTGCTGCTGCTTCCGCATTGGACGAGGATCCTTCTTCCTCCTCTTGATTTGCATCAGTAAATGCTTTTTCCCCTTCTGAAACCCTTCGTTCGCGAATTCCCATCTGTCCGGATCGATCTTCCGGAACCGCTGCAAATCAATTAATTAGGTAATTAATTCTATTTCTTCTCCAAATCGATCAGTAGAATAGCAACTGGAATTAATTCCGATGCGATTGCTTACATATGTGTTGAGCTGACGAATGAAGCTGGAGAAATTGTTGTGCTTGAAGTGCTTCGGCAGCAAATCGGCGGCGAGCTTGTGGGGATCCCAGACGACGAAACTGGTCTGGGAAGGAGACCAGGAAATGACGGAATCGGTAGCAGGATCTTCCACTAGCTCAAAGGTCTTCTTGAGAAACGGCGGCGGTCCGATCTCCTTGAGCCCAAGAATCGGCACCGGAAGCTGCTGGTCGTGGTCGTCGGAGCTGTCGGCTGGCTCATCTTTAACAGTAGTAAGGAGGTGAAGGTGCTGTTCTTCGTCTTCTTCTTCTTCTTCTTCCACTCCGAGATGCATCATGTCTTCTCCTGCAGACATTTGAAGCTCTGTGAATAATATTGTTTATGTCAGTCACGCGGAGATTATGGGAAGAAAGGACAAGTGTGAGTGAGTGAGGGATGGAGGTGGTTGAGAAGAGAAAGAGAAAGATAAAATAGGAGGAGAGAGAGAGAGAGAGACGGTGGAGGGAGAGAGAGGAGGCGATGTGGCAGACGACGGAATATGAGAGAGAAAGCGGTGCTGGTGGTGCTTTACATTTGGATCGTAGTATCTATCTATCTATCTATCTATCTATTCCTTCATTCATTTCATTCTTTCCAAATCATACATACACATCTATTATCAATTATCTATTGATTTATTTGTTTACCAAACCCTCTTCTCTTCTCTTCTCCTGTCTCATTCTATATCTCTATTTTTATTTTATTCAATTTCTTTCTCTTCTCTTCTCCTGTCTCATTCTATATCTCTATTTTTATTTTATTCAATTTCTTAAATTAAACTCACATGTCTTCTTCTATATCAAAAGATAATCTTTCGTGCTTTGTTGTTGTTGTAAGCAGGGATGAGGGGTTGGGATTGATTTTATGGGTGTATAAGTAATAAATAAATTAGAGACAATAAGATAGCCACGTGGAAAAAGGGAGAAGGGGTATTAATTAGAGACAATAAGATAGCCACGTGGAAAAGGGAGGAGGGGTTGGGGTGGCGGATGGATGGATGGGGCACAGCACAGACAAAGAAAGAGATGGACGCCATGTGGTGTAGAAATGAAAACTACTGTTATTGAAGTTTGGGCAGAAGAGGAAATGAATTGGAGGTCATTAATTTGCCATATGTTGCAGCCTTGGACACAAAAGTCTTTGCCTAAATAAATAACTAAATTAAATTAAATTATATTAATTTCCGCATCCCTGCCCATCTCCCTATCCAGCCCACAATAATGAAATCTACATTACATCCACTCGCAGCGTATATATTAGAAAAATAATAAAAAAAAAATGTATGTTCTAAGTTAATTGAAAGATATGTACTGTTTAGTATATAATATAATGGCTGGAAATTGTTGTTAATATTGCTTATGTACATATTTATATAAACTGAAATGATATCAATCCATGATGTAAATATGTAAATTTAATAATAATAACATTTACATTTAAGTTGATTGAACGAATTTGTTTCCATATAAAAGAAAAGCATTACTGACCTGTTGGATCCATCCATCATGACTCATTTTTCTATTAGCTTCCTCCATTACCAAAGAAATGAACCAGCTCTAACTGCGCCCTCAAACTTTGCAGCAAATGCTAATGTTGACCGGACTGCAGCAGAACTAGCTGTATTTTGCAACAATGATGTTTTCGAAAACCTGCTGCTGCTGCTGCTGCTGCTTAAATCTGCATCTTTCCGACCAACAGATTGATCCTCAGCCCCGCTTGAGGAATTCGGTATTTCCATGGAGTCAGGAAGCTGCCTTAACTTGCCTTGCCTCTCTTTAATCAATGACAATGCAGCCTCACCTAAGCCGGAAAGAAGAATATCTTGCTTCTTTGAAGAATCCGAAAGCGTCTTGTCGAAGGTAGAGCCTCCATTTATGTTTTCCTTCGCACCCTGTATGCATAGAGCACTCTGGATTGTCTGGCTATTGACATCTTCAAGAGTTCCACTGCTTCCCAAAAAAGAGCCAGCCACTTTACCTTCATCTTCCGCCACTGATTTCCCTGTCAAAATATTATGTTTCGAAAGTAAACCTGAGATAATCTCACTAGTGGAACCATCGGCAGGTAGTTTGGCAAAGGAGAGAAAATTCAATCCCCGTGGTTTCTTCAGAACTGCCCTCTCGGGCAGTTCATTTATCTTATCAGCACTGATGGCAAATTTGGCTGTTTCACTACCACCAACACTTGTTTTCAAAGTCGATCCGCTTTGTTTGCTACCACTGCTTTCACAACGTGAGTTCTCTTCATTCAAAAGGAAGCTTACTCCTTTGGGTACTTTCCCCGTAGTTTTTGAGGCTGGTCCAATACCCTGATGCAGGGAGTTGTTCTCAGCAGAAAATAATTTAGCACCATTTTTCTGACTAAACACACCATGGTTATCGGCTATCTTGCTAGAGTCTGAGTTTTTCAGTGACGATGGTAACTTCAGTCCAGGCTTGGGGACCTTTGATGCTGTGGAAGATCCTTCCTTAGTCAACACAGAGAGATTCTGATTGGCTGGTATCTGAGACAATGTTTTCAGAATTACTAGTGATGTGGGGAAGAAACCAGTAAAAGATATATATAGCTCATGGACATATATTTACCAATCATAAGTTACATAAGAAAATGTTACCTCATGTGAGAACAAACAGTCAGATCCTCTAGTGCAGAAACCCTGTGTAGCATAGTTGTTGCATGGATACTTAGAGAGTTCATGGTCAAAAGGACAATCATCTCCTTTCATGCAGGAACGACGAGCAAAATGACCACAGGGCTGCAAGCAATACAAAATCAGTGTCAGAAACTACAAAAACCATGAAACTCAAGATGAATGTTAGACAACTAAGACATTCCATTAAACTATGCAGTACATGAGTTACGGATGCATATTGATTAAATATGCTACACTAGTTAGACGCTTGATGGAAGTTTACTAGAAGGACGAAGAGGGGACAAATGGCCTAAAATGAAATGACATTATAAAATAATTTTCTATTAGCCCAGAATTTTTTATGAGGGAGCAAAAGGAATACGTTTCAAAAGCTTGGTTCAATATCATTTACTTATAATTATTACACTTGACAAATGACAACCAATTGCATACATCCTTCAAGTAACATATGCAGCAAAAATGTATGCTGCTCAAGCATACCTTAGACTTTGTCAAGGGAACTGTATCATGCGAGAATTTGCATTTCTCACCCTGTAGAAACAAAATAATGATCAGAGCAAGTTAGAAAACCTTTTCTTCAGCAATCATATGAGTCACTTCTTGTATTGGGAAATTACAGAAGAATAAAGCAACTAAACGAGAAATCAGCACACCGAACAATTTAGTACAAGATATCGGACAACCTCATGGCATCTTCCGTGAATGTAATGTCGGCAATATACTATCTTCTTCTTTTTTGTAATTGGAGGCAGCTTTAATCTTTTAACCCCAAGTTTTCTGTTCTTTTCTGCTCGTTTGATTCTCTCCTTTTTCTGCAGAACAATAGAGTGTGGCCACAAATAATGGTAGTAACTAGATATGGTAGACATGTTAAAAGAGATAATGAAGTGTAGTAAATTTCTTTTGTAGGTGTACCTTTTTCTTAGCTCTCTTTTCCTTAGTCAGGGGACCCTTCTTTCTTTTTTTCTTCATATCTCCATTCTGCATAAAATTGGATGTCAAGTTTTACCAACTATTCAGGTAGCATATATACTGAAAATTGGATGCCAAGTTTTGTGTGGCACCTGGCACGGCCTAATATTTCACAATGTAATATACCAATGTGACATGAACCTAAAGAACATATTCAAAGGAATTCAAGAAAAAATAGAAAGTGTCAGGAAACACGTTACAAACCATTTCAATGATATCCGACAATTGACTTTCAGCAGCATTCTGTTGTATGATTATGTCAACCGGAGTTCCATTTTCCACACAAGAAACTCTAGGGCCACTGCTTTGAGTCCCTGCTTCCCCATCAGAAGCAACACTTTTCACACAACTATCTTCCACATGTGCAACAGTTGTTCTGCTTTCTATCCTTGTACAATTATTGTCTCTATTCATTGTTTCAATTAGTGACGCATCAGCCATTTCATGCTGCATATCTCCACTAACTTCAGCATCACAAATGAATTCTTTACCAGGAGCTGCCTGTGAAGCATGCTCCATTTCAACAGTTTTTTCTTGCATTAATACAATATCTTCAGATAAGGTATCAAATGATGCATCAATAGCCATGAAGTCATCAGAGATTTCTCCCTCTTCCATTTCACCATTGGCACTTGGACAAGAAGTTGACTCCCCCACTCCTGAATTGTACATGAGCTTCTCCAGCTCCATCTCCTTCAGTTGCAATTCAAGCACGGAATTTTTTTTTGTGCCCTCCTCCAAAATCAGACCATTCTCCTGACTTTCAGACACAGTATCTGATGTGTGAAAAACCATATCCATGTCAAAGCAAGAGTCGAGAATTTCAGAAAAATCACTAACAGAAAAATCCTTGTCCACTTCAAGCCGCTCCAACGCACCCAGGTCCCCCATCTGAATGTCAAACATGCTGTTTTCAATTGTTTGCTCCTTGTCACTTTGAATAGCACAATCTTCTCTTTGGTTCATATCTGTTAAAAGATCCACAGCCCTGCTTGTACTTGATGGAGCTATGTCCTGCTTTCCATCTTGTTTCAAGTTAATGTGATCCAATATTGATCCGGCTGCATGTTTATCACAATTAACTTCTTCTTGAAGACCAAAGTTATCTTTGTCTTCGCCAGTAGAAATCTCTTGAACTAATTCATTTCTTGAATCCTTGCCATGGGCAAGTGGACCTAATAAATCAGTCCAAGTCCCTTTATCATTATTGATTGATAGATTTTCTTCAAACACTGGTATTGATTCCGTATTACCATTATCAACTGCACCAAAGGCAAGCAATAGTTAAAACATGCCAGCAACAGCAAACAAGTAAAGAAATTCCACAAAAGGGCAAAGCCCCCAAAATCGGATTGCATAATATATTTCAACTTTCAGGAGATTATGTCAAGTAACTTCGTAATAACCAAACATGGCGACGAGTTCCAAATAAATACAAGCAGCATCTCAACCGCCTTAATTTCCAACTAGACAAACCAAAAGTGACTTCATAAACACTGAAAGAAACCAATGCCCAACCCCCCTGTAGAATCATTATGAACACAAAAACACACTCTCAACTAATACCTTGCGTTTGCTCTTGAAGAGGAAGAACGGAATGGCAGTGAGAAAGGATTCCAATAAGAGTACGATAAGTACGGCTAAGAAGTGGCCGCCGGCGGTGCGGAGGGAATAAAATTGCGGGTTCTGAGAGGTTTGGAGGCTCAGTTTGCACCATGGTTAGCCAACTCGGTCCGTACAAAACTGTATAAGGGGAATCCAAGGCAGAACACCAAACCACGATACGAAATCAACAAACGAATCAATTTAACAACCAATTCGTGTATGAATCCTCAGAGAATCTTCCGAATTGCTGAGATTGAGTTGAAATGACCGCCTCCGCCGCGCCTCTCATCATCTGCATACCGCACTCGGCTGGCTTCGAGATTAGGTTCTCCAATTCGAAAACAATGTCCGATTGCTGCTTCGCCACTGACCCTGACTCTGCCTCTGCTACAGTATCCTCCTCCTCATAAATCACGTCGTCCTCCATCAGTTTGTCCCACAGAACAAAGCTATCGAAGCCGGCGGCGTCCCAGCCGCTGGAGATTAGGGCTTCCACGGCTGAACCCATTTAAATACTACATATATTTTATTTAATGGCTTTTTATTTTAATAGTGTAGGTTATGTTAATATTTCAACTTTTATTTAAAACATTTCATTATTAATTTAGGGTTTGTATACTCTTGTCATTTAAATTTAAATTAAATTTTATAATAATTAAATTTTTTAATTAAAATAAAAACTCCAACACTAGAATGGAGGGAAACCCTAGCGCTCCCCGTCACCCGACTCTTTCCTTTCCCCATTCACTTTCACCTACAGATGGAGCGAGCGGCAATCTACTCATGACCCGCCACAGAAATGCCCCACCGGAGAGATTTCTACTTTTGTAGGGTTTTGTTTTGCTACCTCAGTTCTGAACATTGAAACCATTACTGCCACAAGGGGAGCTTTTTAGTAATTTATTCGTTTCGGGGTTGGAATTTACGATGGCGAGGTTACTAGGCAGATCTTCTATTAGACGCTCTCTGTTTAGGAACCTGCAGGTTTGGCTGTGTTCTGTTTTGGTAGAGTTGGGGAAAGGAGGGGAATTGGGATATATTCTTATTTTGGTCTTACTCATTTGCAGGAGTCTAGGGAGAGTTTCTTGGAAACACAGGTGCAGCAGCTATGTAGCTTTTCCACAAAAGGTAGTGTTCACTATTTCACTTTGCTTTTGTTTCTTGCCCTATAGCCGTTGCATTTTGATTTCCTTATCCCTGCTCATAATCGGGTCGTGTATCTCACAAGAACCATACTTCATAGTGATTAAATTGGAGAAAGTATCCGCAGAAAGATTTGATCACTGATTGCTAATACAAAATAAAGTGTTGCAAATTTGTAATAATTTAGCATAATTATATCAAGTTTAGGATCACCAAGTTTTGTGTTTGATGGTTGACAATGATATACCTTTTCGGAGCAGTTGTTTGGAATTACATTCTGTAAAATTGTATTGTCAAGTATATCATCCAAACGAGTAGATTGTAGTTTGCACTTAGTTACAATCCGCCCAATTGCCAAAACACCCTAAACACCCTAGTAATCACTTAAGCTTAGTTTCAGAATCACAGGTATTGAATGGCTACTCAATATAATGTCTTTTTGTATTATGTTAGAAAGTTTTGTCTTGATAGTGATTGCTATTCCTGTATTTGCTCGTCAAAGCTTCAAGTTCATTAATACTACCTATGCCTGAAGGTCGAAAGAAATCAAAGTCACCGTCTAGTGATTCTGGGGAAGAAAACATGTCCAAGAAAGACTTATCCTTGAAGTTAGCTATGGATCAGATCCAAGCATCATTTGGACAAGAATCCTTAATGTGGCTTGGCCGCCAATCTTCCTCTTCAGAGAAGGCTCCAGTAATATCTACTGGATCATTTGCTTTGGATATTGCCTTGGGAATAGGAGGTTTTCCAAAGGTATCTTGCATTCTCAGTTTACTGTGCATAAATCAACGTAATTTTGAAATTGTTTCTTGTTATTAGAAAATTCTGTGCTTGATGAATGCGTGGGAATTATGATGTACTTTAATAATTTTCCGCCCTACTGTTTTGCTATAATAATAATTAGCTGTCGGGTTTGTGGTTTGTTTTAGTGAATACAGTCATACTGCATGTTATTGATACATTCGTCTTAGGATACTTGTATAACAAAGCTAATAATCCTTTTAGTCTATTTTTCATGAAGTTTGTCTTTGAGCTTTAAATCTTTAATAGGGTCGTGTTGTGGAGATATATGGACCAGAGGCTTCTGGGAAGACCACTATTTCGTTGCATGTGATTGCTGAGGCACAAAAGCAAGGAGGTTAATCATTCAATTTTCATGTATACTTCCATAGGGCATAAAATTGATTGTATGTTTCTGCATTGATTATAGCTTCATTTTATTTCTCTAGATCATTTGTTGGGCATGCCTTGCAGAAAATTATAGTGGTTTTCTGTGAGTGAATTGTGATTTTAAATTGACCATAAAACTAGCAAGTAGCATATGTGAACATTAATTCCCCGGAAAAACGAAGAAAAGAAAAAAAACTGAGAGAAATTATTACGATTTTATTTTTGGATATTGTGGAGGTGAACATTTCCTGCTCTCTTAATGTACATTCATGGTTCAGTGTGTTATTTATTTAGAGAAGTTTCAAGTTACAGTATGAGTATGCTTCACAAATTTGTTAATGTTCAAAGATGAGCTAAGCTACTGCTGCATAGAGATTGTTCACCCGATCCTCTAACATGAAATTGTGTGTTAAATTAGGTAAAAGAGTTTCTTTCTCAAGCATTTAGGAAGATAATGGGAAAAAACAATATCCGACTGCTTTATTTATTTAGTTTTTTGGAATGATCTTTCATTGACATGGACATATGGCCTTCCAAAGTTACTAGATAATATCTACATATATCAATACATTATACTGTTTAATTTTATTTTTTCATTATGGATGATCTTTGCACCATTATGGAGGAATCTCAACTTTCTTTTCAAACATTGAAAATGCTTAATAGTCATGGATGTCACCACTCACCAACAAGACATGCGTATAAATGGTAGAAACTGAAACCCAATGTTATCACGGCATAAATACCTGATTTGGATTGCTGTTCAAATTAGATTGGCTTGCTCTTGAACTTATGGTTCTGCTTCTTTTTCTCTTCTGTAGGTTACTGTGCCTTTGTTGATGCTGAGCACTCTCTCGATCCAGCTTTAGCTGAGTCTATTGGAGTGAACACCAAAAACTTGCTTGTGTCACAACCAGATTGTGGTGAGCAAGCTCTAAGTTTGGTGGATACCCTAATCCGAAGTGGCTCACTTGACGTTATTGTGGTAGATAGTGTGCGTAAGAATAATATGGTCCTGCAGTTAATGACACCGAATGTGGCAAATGCTTTATGCAATGTTTATCTTATTTACCCTTCTTAGCTTGTAGGTAGCTGCTCTGGTTCCAAAGGGCGAGCTTGATGGAGAAATGGGAGATGCTCACATGGCGATGCAAGCTAGACTTATGAGCCAGGCACTGCGCAAACTGACCCATTCTCTGTCCCTTTCACAAACAATATTAATATTTACCAATCAGGTACATAGCCAAAACTTCTGTTGTATACAATCATTGTTTAATACCTTGTGTAAATTGCCTACTGCCGCTGTTCTCATGTGTTCATGTTGAAACTTTCGTCCGGATTTTGATTCCCTACAAACTATGGTTAAATGTAGGTGCGAGCTACAATATCCACTTTTGGAGGATTTGGCGGCCCCTCCGAAGTTACTTGTGGTGGGAATGCATTGAAATTCTACGCTTCGTTACGACTAAATGTTAGGAGAATTGGACAGGTCAAGAAAGGAGAGGAGGTACTAATCAATTTTTATTTTTGTTTTTATTTTTATTGTTTGAAGAGGAAGGGTTGGTCGGAATAATGTTCTTTTTTGTGATTATACAAGGCATTTATCAATCTTTTTGTATTCAAGGTTATTGGAAACCGAGTTATGGTTAAGATAATGAAGAACAAGCATGCACCTCCTTACAAAACTGCCGAGTTTGAGCTGGAATTTGGGAAGGGTATCAGTCGAGAGGTCGAGCTTATAGTTTTGGGATGCAAATACAAGTTCATCAGGCAAGCTGCCTCGTTCTTTTATATGAATGATCAGACTTTCCGAGGCAAGGATGCTCTGAAGAACTTCCTTGCCGAAAACACAAGTGCAAGATTAGAACTGGAGAAAAAGATAAAAGACAAGCTTGTTTCAGCTGTCGACGAGACTGCTACTCCATCCGAATCTATTGATCAAGAAGCTGTTGAGGCCACAGCATGAGTGTGTGAATGAAAATGCTCTGAAGAAGGGCCACCCTTTCACCAGTTTTTTCGGTACTCACTGCTATTCATTTACATGTAAATTTTGTGTATCCGACGAAGTGAAATTGGGATCTTCGATAGCCATTGGGCGACTAATTCGATTTTCCCAGGCCATCTGATATATGTATGCATCATCGTTCATTCTCCTTGTACTCAACATCTATTTAACTGTTTTATCGATTTCTCCCTACTTTAAATGATCTGATAAGATCCATCAGTTAGATCTGACCCTAAACTGATGAGGAATGTTTACAGTGGTGACATTGACTTGTTTGATTTTTAACATTGTTACAGAAACACACATTCAGTGGGAGTACCTTTCTGAGAGCTGTTTTGTTTTGTTTTGTTGCAGGGCTTCTTCCTTCCTATGCAGCCAGCTGTTGGTGGTTGTGTCATTGACAAATGGTGATGGTGATGGAGATGGAGAAAGGTCGTGGAAGACGACGATTTATGGGACGAATGAAAAGTCCCATGTTCTTTGCAAAGTCGGAATCCATCCAAAAGTGACTGACACGCACGCGCCAGCCATTGTTCTTGTTCTTTACTTATTCAGGGTAGAAAGAAGACTCAAAAGAAGTTTCCTCATCTGTTTGGAATGGTAGTCCAGACGTAGAATATCTATTTTATTTTTTTTATTTTTTATTTTTTTAAGTATACATAAATATATTTATTTATATCAATACTTTCACGTTAATTTTATACATCATAGGATAAAATAATTTTTTCATACTAAAATTATCATTGGCTATCATTGAAATATTATAATATTTATTTAATTTTATGCAAAAAGTAAGATTTACTTTCGAAGTCGACAAGGGGAGCATTTTTTTATAAAATTTCTTAGCCAAAAGAAAAAAGTGTTATAATTATTATTATTATTTTTTTAAAAATACGTGTTACAAAATGTTTGTTTGTTTCGTATTTTGATATATTTTGGTATGAAGTATAAAAAATAGTAATATTTGTATTGAATGTTATTTTTTGCAAGATAATAAAATATAGCATATTATATATATTGATAATCGTCTAAAAAAAATAAAAATAATCTTGTTAATATGTGCGATATAAAGGTAATGACATTTGTGTAATATATTGTAAGTTGTAAGGGTATTTGTAATGTAATTACTTAAAAAAAAAATAAATATTTTATTATGAAACTAACTAAAATAGAAAAATAAAATAATTTGTTATCTACGTAAGATTTGATTTCTACCGCTGAGGCTGAGCAATTAATGATGTCAAGTGGGAAGACTATATAATAAATTCTACAAATTAATGATTTGATTTATTTCTTGGGACGTATGAGATAATTTACACACTACAAATCCACATTTTAAAATTCTATTGCATTAATTAAATATACGTACAGGTGGGAAATCTGTAATAAATTCTACAAATCAATTGCTTATGGAGTATATGATTGAAACATTCATTAGTATTTAAGGCATCACGAACACATATACGTAAGACTTGGAATTATTATTATTATTATTATTATTATTATTATTGAATAAATAAATATACAGTATAATAAAATTATCAAATAAAAAAGTATACATCAAGTTATTCCAACTAAATATTCAGTAAGTATTAGTAATGGGAGTTAATTTCATTGAAAAAACATTGCCTAAAGAAAGGATTTCGATTTCTTTTTCCTTTTCCTTTTCCTTTCTCTTTTTTTTTTTTAAAAAAAATATATATATATTACCATTCATATAGTAGCATAAAAAAAATAATAGTACTTCAATTTGCTATTCCTCGTCACGTGGGTCAACTTCATTTATGTTTACAATGTACAAAGACCGAAAGATACACATAACAAGACAAGAACAATTATAGTAACTATTTATTGGGTTGACAAGTGAAACGTCAAAGTCAAAGTCAAATACAGCAAACCCTAGTAATGTCAAACAGCTCATACGATACACTCTCCTCCTCATTTATTGTTCATATTTACAAAGAAATTCAATATGTTTTATTTTCTTGAATTCATTCCTTTGGTGGTAGAAAAAATATACTGTAGAGAATTAGATCGAGGGGTGACAAAATATTCTATATTTGAGAATCCGATCTGAATCAGAATGAAATTCAAAATTTATTTTGGATATTTTAATAATCAAAACCTAGTTATTTTTTTTATTTTAAATTTTCGGATGGACATACTAAAAATATGAACAAATTCGAAATATATTAAAATATTAATATATTATAATGAAAACCTATGCATATCTCATATTTTAGGGTTTTTATTTCAAAATTTTTGTATAGAAGTATTAATTAATGAATTTGTTTATTAATAAAATGATCGATTGGGTTATTAATTTGATTCGAGTTGATTTTTTACAAATTTTTATATATCTTTGGATTGGTTTGACAGATCATAAATTATTAAGCTCTGTGTTTGATTATTTGGTTGTATAGTAAAACATTTTTTCAATATTAAGTATATTTAACAATATTAAAAATTCAAAATCTAAGTTGATTTTGCTCATGTTTTTATTATTTCAAAATTTATATATATATATATATATATTTATTATTTCATATAAAATATCACATCAAATCATTGTTTCACAAAGACAAACCAAACAAACTCATTTACTTGGTGACTGTTTTTTGGGGTTTAAATAATAAGTTGTATGTGATGTTTTATAAGCTAAAATAATAGTGTATATATATTAGAAAATTGTAAATATTAACTTTTTTTCGTCCACCTAAAATATATATTTTTATTTTTATATAGAATTTAAAAATATCTATATTTAAATAGCAGTTGACTGATAGTTTTACACGTAAATTTTTTTATAATTTTTTTTAAAAAAAAATTGATATAATAATATAAATTGAAAATTATCATAAACAAATAAATACATCACTGATTATTCATGCATGCCGACAGGCGACAGTCAACCCGACTCCAGTTTGTTTTGTATGTGTATGCCTTTATTCAATTAATTAATTAAATCAAAGGTGTGTATTGAAATGTTCTTTTGTATCATTTAATTTAAAATATTGGTGATATGAAATGTATGGATATACAATTTATTGATTATATTTATATAATAAAAATATAAAATATAAAATAACAATATATGAAATTACATATATTATATTTGATTTCAACACAAAAAATATATAATACAATACATAAATTCTTTTATGTAACATATGTTGTATTAAGTAAAAATATATATTGTTTAACGTAACTATTTCTGTCATACTTAATTTGTAAATTATTAAATTTGATTGTAATATTTATTTTATTTTATTTTATAAAAAAAAAACAATATGGTGACAATTTATGGTCTTTTTAGGACATGTCATCATATGTTAGGTCATCGTACCAATCAAAATCAAACTGCTTTGTTCTAGTTCCTTTTCGTTTGAACTTTCCATTTACTACGACATTTATACAAAAGTTTCAATATTGTAACAAGGTTTTTTCATCCCTAAATTCACTTTTTTTCGTTACTAAGAATATTAGAAACGAAATAAGAGAGAAAATTGCATTAACTAAGTGAACTTTAGAAACAGAATTCCGTTACTAATATACTATTTTTTTTAGTGATAATTATACATCAAATAGAAAAATGATGAATAAAATTATTATTATTTTTTTATTTTTTTATATTTTTATTTACAATAGATTAAATTTAAAAGGCAGAGCAACTTCTAGACGATTGAATTGGCTTTAGTCATTTCTTAAGCATGGGGTAATATACCTAAATAAAAAATAAAAAATTACAGTGACAAGTTTCCAGTAGTTAATGAATTTGATCAAACATAAATTAGTCAAAGCTGTCGTCTTATCTATAAAATAAAAAATAATATAATCTTCGATACCCATGGAAGAAAATCTAATAATTAATTCCATCAAAACCATACGAAAAAACTTGGATATATATATATATATATATCTATTACAAAGCAATGGACCCTCTGAAAAAATAGGTATTAATTAGGTTTTTTTTTTTTTCCCTCACGAAACATCTCTATCATACATTATTTTAGTATCAAATTCAAATTAAAATTTTCTTAAACTCATCAAAAGAAACATACCTGCATATATATAATATTAGCTGAAAAATAGAACAACAATAAAAATAAAATACTATCTATGTCTCTATTCCAAAGTATTCTTTTTTGAACTTTCTAGTAAATTAAAAAATAATATTATTTTATTGATTAAAAAGAGATTTTCATATTTTTATCCATTGACTTTATTTACAAATTAATTGTACGTGTAATGATATATTTGTAATTTAGATAAAATTTAGAAGTATTTTGATAGTATTGTATGATTACTTTTATTAAAAATTAAAAATAGATACTTTTGAATGTGATAAATAAAAATAATTTAAGCTGGGACCAAAAAATATCATTTATTTAATAAACATGTGAACATATATACATATATTTGGCCATGCATGTCACCCTTTACACTAATGATATTAGAGACGAAATTAATAATGTAATTATATGAGCTACATGATCTTTAGGGACGGAATTCCGTTGCAAATATACTATTTTTTTGTAGTGTTAGTATAAATTAGGCCATGTCTACATTTACTCCGAAAGTAATTTTGACATTATTCATCTCAATATTATTATTATAAAAATCACATTATATATTATTATTATTATTATAAAATATCACATTAAAAGAACAAAAAGAATAGAATAAAAGCTGTTTTAAAATATTAAAACATACAATATTTTAGTAATTAGTTTTTAGAATCCAATATATTATTTTAATGTTAATTTACCAAAGACGTAAATTAGTCAAACAATTTAAAATTATTCAATTAAGTTAAAAATTATTAGAATAAACTCATTACTAAATACTCAACTAACCTTTTTTGCTATTCATTCAAATATCTCTTTTATAAAAAAATAAATATATATATATATATATATATATATTTACACTCACTACGTCTATCTACAAGAATTATATTTTTCATTAAGTAAAATATGTATTTTACTATATATATATATATATGGGAGTATTAAAAACACTTTTCAATTACATTATTTCTACAAATATGATTACATTACAAATAAACCCATACGAGTCGTCTAATTGTCATTTCACAAAAAAAAAAAAAAAAAAAAAGATACAAATTATTATTTTCTTAACATATGCAATAAAAGCAAATATAACTTTAAATAACGATTGAAATTTTTTATTAAATGTATAATAGATATGATTATTATTTTTTTTGGGGATTTTATTTATGGGAGAAAAGTATTAGACAATATATTGTCTTGACAATATTGACCGCATTTGAATCTGAATGACGACGTTGCTTTTGTGGTCTTTTTTAGTTGGTTGTCTACTTAGATACTTTGATTATATTTAATTCCTCAGTCAAAATAGGCAACACATTTAATTAAATTAATTCTATGTATCTGAAAAAATTATTATAATAATACTAGAACTAATATTTAGCAACATATATATATATATATATTATTAATTAACCCGATCAGGAAGGAGCTAATAAAATAATTAATCTGAATAATAACACAGTAGTAATAACAACAAACAAAAAATGATAATCAAAATGTAATAATAAGAATAGGATCAGAGAAATTTCTATATCCAACAAAACCCTAATAATAAAATGCTCGACATATATCAGGTTCCGGGAGTCGGGGTCCACAAACAAATTAAATCAAATCATCCCCGGGACCTGACACTCCTGGATCTCGCAAGAAAAACACCTTACCGGGGATGCCAAAATTGAGGGGAAAAGTAGTACAAACAAAAAAGTGCAATAATTTCTAGATCATCATCAATCAATAATAATAATAATAATAATAATAATAATGAAGAGAGAAATAGGAAAGTGAGAGGATGCCAAGATTGAAATTCCAAAAGGGCAGCCGAATATATATATATATATATATAAATGGATAGTAATATATTATATGTATAGTATGATGAGTATGAATAATTTGGGAGAAGTAAAGGTTGTAATAATACATACATATATATATATATATAATTGTGTTTGTGTGGCCAATGGATGGACATGTGTTGGATGATGGGTGGTGTTTTATGGTCGTCAAAAATTCTAAAAGACAAACAAACACAGGCTATGGATATGGATATATAATGATGAGTCAATTACATACATACCCTTCTCACTGCTTCTTGGAAGCCAGCCTCGTCAAATTCATCTTCCTACACACAAATTAACACACACTAGAAATTATTATTATTATTATTATTAGTATCATCCACCACGAAATTACTAATTTAAATAACCAATTTCTTTACGTCTATCATCAAATGGATTAGATTGATTAATTAGGCAGATGCAAGGAATTTTCCCCTTTGATATAATTATTAATTTTTGGCAATGGAAAAGGTGATCTGATGATGTCAACACACAAGAATTCAAATAAGTCAGGAACACTAGTGTAATAGGCCTACACATATGAACACATAATTGTATTATATATAATAATAAAAAGGCTTCACACTTCATATATACCCTTTAATTGCCAAATTAAAACCCCTTAAGTTATACATACATATATATATATCTATAAAAGAAGATTTTTCATCAAACATAATGTTTGATCTGAATCATGATATAAATAAATTAATTTAATCTGAAAATAAAAAAATAAAAAATTGATATGGCATGATATATGTGGAAGAAACTTTGAAAGAAATTATGGTAGATAATGGGCACAAGAAATAATGCTAAATAGTGGATATTAAATTATTTTATAGTATATAATTAGCACATTTAAAAATAAAAATACTAATAATGAATTAGATAGGTAGAGTGAGTGAGTGAGTGAGTGAGATTACCTCGTGAATTTTGAATACAAGTATTATTCCATGTAGTGGAATGTTTTGTTGGGACATGGCGGTGTTGGATTCTATGGACATCAAGCTTAGATTCCTCTGCTGCTTTAGGAATTCCAGAAGACGAATTACCAAATCCAACATGCTGCTGTCTTCCCCTCTTACAGTAATTCTCATTTCCAGCAACCTTGCTTCTGAATTCGACGACGACGACACCTGAGCTGTCTCCACCCTCACCCTTTCACCGCTGCTCGATTCCTCCAATGTTGTTGGAACCGCCGCCGAATTAAGCTGCGATTCGAGAATTTGATTCTTCTTCAGCAGTTCCGACACCTGACTTCTCAATTCACTCACACATTCGATCGTGCTCTGGAGCACCGACGCCTTATCCTTCTGAAATATATTGGTCAGTCATTGATTAATTGGATCGATCTTAATTAATTTTATTTTAATTTAGTTTATTACCTTTGATCCGGGAGGGAGTAGTGATTTGAGGACGTTGAGGCTGTCGTTGATCTTCCGCCGCCGCTTTCTTTCTTGCATCGAATGCTGTAATGACTGCGCCGTCATCTGGCGAGGGTTTCCGGCGGCCTGATGAGTGGCCAGGCTTCTCAAGTACACAATAGCTCTTTTGAACAAGCTCGGCCGCCACATTGCCGCCGTGGGGGGCGGCGGCCGCTGGCCTCGATATCGCCGGAATGCAGGCGGGCGTTGACCACGCGGTGGAGACGAAGACGAGGACAGCACTGCAAGGATTGCTTTCATCATCGTATCATCCTCGCTTTCTATGCTCCGCCATTGACACACGTCGCGCATCTGGCTTGAAATCGACTGGTGGTAAGGAATTCTGACCGGCGCCGTCGCCGGCGCCGGCAGCGGCGATGCTCTTAGTGCATTCTCCAATTGGGTTTCCCCAATTTGGGGATTTTGCATAAAAGATGTCGGGAGAGCGTTGTACAGTAGAGTTGGGAATTCGACGCTGTCGTCTACTGATAGAGATAGTAGGGACGAGGAAGACGACGACGGCGGCTGCTGCTGGTGGTTCGGATCGATCGGCGGATGTATCGCCGGCGGCGGGAATAAGCTCTCCACCATTTGTCTCAGATCTATCTACATATAATTGTAGCAAATGTCGTCGATTATGCATAAAATGTTGATTGAATTAATGCAAGAATTAAATAACTCTTACCGGAGGATCCGTGGACATTCCCATCTCGATCTCGCCGAGGTTGCATCCTATGAAGACAGCCGTCTATACATATATATATATATACATATGTATATTATGCAGTTAAGATATATAATGCAAGGGAAGATGGAAGAATTAATGATATGATTACCTTAATCCTAGCCTCCTGTTAATATCAACAATGAATCAAAACACACACAAATTAGTTGAGATTATATATATCTACATATAATTGGATTATATATATATGTTATTACACACACCTGGTAAAACCTTAATTGCTCCGATGTGTAAACCCTGCCATAAAGGTCAGGCATCTTCACCTCTAAATAAGGGTTTCGAGTCCTAAAAGCATGTCCAGGAACCCTCTCCCTGATGATGCAGACACACACACACACAAAATCAAAATTAAAAGATCAATTCTTTACTAACAAGTAACAACGAAGCATGTAAGAAATTCCAGTTTCGAAAATGGCCGACGGTAATGAACATACATATATATATATATATAGATAGATAGATATAGATACATACATACCCGATCTGAATGACGCATATATCTCTCATTTGTCTGTAGACATTGAAGAGCTCCCTCGCTCGGCTCCCCGACGACGACGACGAGCTCGCCCTGCTACTACTCCCTTCTTCTTCGTAAACTCCATTGATGCCTTGCAGGAAGCTGCAATGAATTCATAATTAATTAATAACTACACATAAATCAATCATCGTACTTCACGAATTGAGAAAGGCGACAGGATTCTGATCTAATTACTTGAATGGATGATCCATGTAAGACCATACGCAAATGTAAGTCAATCGAAGACTCCGCAGCATACGCCGGAGAATCTGATCTCCTTGTTCCGGCTCCCCGGTCCGAAACAGATACTCCATCTATCGTCCAATCAATCAATTACCTTGTCGGAAATTAATCCGCTGCATCAAAAACCCTCTCCGACAGCCATCTGCACCTATCCTCAACAGCCTCATATCATCAATTCCCCGACCGCCCTGTCCGATACATACATACATATATATGGACGACGATTATTAGTAGCTGAGGTGGAATTACGATGTGAACTTAAAGAACTGCAAGAAGAAGAAGAAGAGATGACGATCATGGATCATGAACGTTGTTGAAAAGTATATCAGTGCAGCCATAAAAGCCAACCAGTAATTGTAAGAGAAAAAATGAAAAGTATTTTAGAGAGAGAGAGAGGGGTTTATGGTGGGAGTGGTTGTTGTTAGTAAGAGAGAGAGAGAGATCTAGAGAGAGAGACGAGGAGAAAAGTCGTATTCAAAGTCCATTTATTTGAATTGAGTCAAATGACTACGGTGGGAATGCTTCTCGCAATTTGGTCCTTAACTTATCACTTTATTTTTATTTCTATCCTCACAATTCATTAATTCTATTCATTTTCCACCCTCTTTAATTACTCCTATTTTATTTTTTGAAGGACATATTAGTAATTTCAATCAACGGCTGGAAATTCGGGTCCATTTTGTTTATAATTTTGCATTGTACGTATGCAAATAGGTACGTATTTATTATAATAAACATCCCTTATTCATTGACACTGCTCCCCTCTTTCCATAACAAATATTCATTTTTTTCATTTTAATTCCTTCGTAATAAAGTATTTATTTTTTATTTTTTTAGTAATTGTACTATTTATCTAATATTACAAATACCTTTACAATTTACAATATATTACACAAATGTCATTATTTTTGTATCACACGTATTATTTTAATCATTTCTATTTTATTCCTATTATATCTTAATATAATACTAATATTTCTAAAACTACATACAAAAAGCAAATTGATACTTATTCATGAAACGGAGAAAATATTATACTTGTATAATTCTTTTTATTTTTTATGACAACGCTACCTTCAATACTTGAATTTATAATTCTACTTTTCCATATTGTTTTTTTTTTTTTTTTTTTTTTTTTAATAATACGTGTCTTGGAATACATAAGCACATAATTACAATTGTTGGCTGTTTTTTTGTTTTTACTTGAAATCAAAATCATGATTTTACATCTTGTATAGTTTTTAATAAAATGATAATATTATTATTTTTACACAAATACAATATTATACTTTATCTTTAACCCTACTATACTTGTAAATGTTTATTTTTTTTTTTCATCTTACACAAACTCACTCAATTAAGTATAAAACTATTTTTTTAATATACTATAAAAATATTTCAAGACAATACAAATAAGATGGAAAAACGATATAATTATATGATTGTAAAGATTAAATAGCAAATAGTAATTATTATTATCATCTTTTAAAAAAATCTCAAATAAAACATAGTACATATTTTAAATTTCATAAGTGAAAAAGGTTAAATACTTTTTATCCGATTAAAGAATATGATATTTCATTTTATTTTGTTTTATTTTTGGACAATTTTAAATTTTGCATGATTTTGTTAATTAACAAGTAAGGTATACTAAACAAGTTTTTTATGTGACAAATTCAATCGACTAATCGACTCATTAACCGGGTTTGAATCCGTAATCTTCACTAATTCGATCACTTATACCAAGACATGTTAGTTTGTCATTGTTCTGCTATAATTATTATGCACCTTAGTATTTTAAATACGTATTTTGGACTTTGATATTGTTTAATTTTTGTTTGAATAATTATTTAGATATAATATTTTATGAGATAATTAGTATATTTTCATATAAAATAGTAAAAATTTTAAAATCAAATTTTATAAAAACACACTACGGGTGCGTTTGGTTGGGATTTTTTTTTAAATGATTTTTTATTATTTTGTAATTGTTTTTAAAAAAATAATACTAATCAAACTCATAATTGTCACTCATAATTAGATGTTTTTAAAAAAAGAATTGATGAATAATACTAATAAAAAAAATCTCCAAGAAATTTCAACAAAAAACAATACTAATGTTTCAAAGTTATTGTAGTATTTTAAAATTTCTAGTTAAGTTAATAAGTGTGTATAATATAATATTTTGAATAAAAAAAATTGTGCGATATATATATATATATCTATATTTTCAAAAAAATAAATTATAAAAATACCGTATATATATTTTTAATTATACTATTATAGCATTTAAAAGTTTATTTTATACCCAAGTCCTAACATAAAATAAAAATGACAAAATAACTAATTATATGTATAAATATATACATATGCATGCATGTGTACACGTTAGTACACACGTGTCATACAAAAGACATTTATTTCGTAAATTCAAGGTAATTACGTTTGTGGTGTAAAACAAAATAAATCTTATATACAAACCTATCTAAAATTGATACAACATATTTAGAAGCACCCATAATATTATACTCCTTCTCTTCCAAACACCCTGCAACATTTTTTTTTTTTTTTTTTGTCCCAGATTCACTGCAACATTTTCAAATTTAAAAATAATTAATAATATTTTTATACATATATTAATATACACTTCACTTCGCTTTATCCCATCACATCACTTAAATAAATAAAAAAAAAATCATTTCTCTCTCCAATCTCATCACTTAATATCCAAATTATCTCAAATTACCATACTTAATACTCCCCACTTAAATTCTCGTGCCAAACCCAAATGGTGCACGATACGCTTTATTGTCAACACATCATATATTTTGTAATACCCAATCATTTTTATTTTTCCAAATTTAATCATATTGCTTCAAATAAAATAATATAATCATGTTGTCCCCTGCTTTGTTTTGCACTCTTGAATAATTTTCAATGAGAAAAAAAAAAAAAAAAAAAAGGTATTGAGGAAAAATCTATCTAATTTCCTTTAGTCAACATAGAAGGGACAGGTTTCTAGAAGCTTGTTAATTTCTTCACATAGGAAAAAAAAAAGAAAAAACCCGTGTCTATAATAATTATAAAAATTAAATTGGAGGAAATATTTCTGTAAATTAATTTTTCGGCATTTCAAATATATTATATATATATTTAAAAAAAATTTAAAAATAGAGATTCCAAGTTAAATTGGTCAATTGAAATAATTAGTTTACAAAAAGATTATTTGGCGTTTATTTTGTGCAGAATTGTCACAATGTCTTGGTTCGTGTACTGAGTTTGATAGTTACACTATAATTCTAAAGAGTAGAAAAATAAAATAAATTAAATTAAAATGTGTGGAAAATTAATGTGCTGCGAATGTAACCGAATTGGGGACATGAATCATATTTAGCATACACACATAATAGCCATTCATTTGTTTGGTTGCATTTTCACAATAATATTCACACGGTCAAATTTAAAAATATTAATTTTATATTTCTCTATTTAAAAATTCTTTTATTATTTATTTTCGAGAGTTTTATTATTATTATTATTATTATTATTTTCTTTCAAAATATAAGAGACGACCTTTAAGTAAGAAATGGAGAAGTCTTTAAAACTGATAGACTCTAATGCCCTAATTGGGCCGGGCCTGCAAATCGGAATAAGATTGTTTAATTTTATTCGTTTAAAATATCCAATCCATTGTCAGATTTATATGTAAATCCATTGTCAAATAACACAATAACAGTGAATTCGTGGGCTAATCAGGAATTTACTCGTAGTTAATCTTTATCTTTTACTCCTATATATGTATCTATAAAATGAATAAAAAACAGTGGATAAAATCTTGCATCTTCTAACAGCAATAAATTGCGACGTCGTTGCACAATCGGGTCGAAGGCGGCGCGCTCTCAAATTCGCATTTTCTCCGAATTCTGACCAGAAATCTGCGTTTGACGTGTATTGTAAGGTACGTGGAGCAAAAAACCCTAATCTGATCACTTGCAGTTGGGGTCTTGTATTTGCATATGCTTTTATTTTCCTGACGCATACGCCGATTGCGATTGGTTTTCTTGATATTTCAATTTCTGGAGATTTGGTTTCTTGCTGCTCTGCGTTTGATTAGAGATGGGGGCTGAGAATGGAGCCGATGGACTGAAGCAGCTAGAGTATCTATCTCTAGTTTCAAAAGTATGTACGGAATTAGAAACTCACCTAGGGTTTGGTGATAGCGTGTTGGCGGAGTTCATTACGGAGCTAGGTCGGGATTGTGAGTCGGTGGACGAATTCGACGCGAAATTGAAAGAGAATGGTGCGGAGATGCCGGATTATTTTGTGAAGACGCTGCTTAAATTAATTCATGCGATTTTACAGCCAAATCCGAAGACGAAGTCGGAGACAGGGTTGAAAGAGGGCGGGGAATCTGCATTTTCAGCTTTGAAGATCAAGGATGGTAAGGAGAGGGTGAAGGAGTTGGAGAGGGAGCTTGAAGCGGAAGCTAAAAGCCGGAGGAGAATGGAGGAAGAGGATGAAGAGAAGCACAGGGATAGAGGTAGAGATAATGATAGAAGAGAGAGGAGAAGTGATAGGGATAGAGATCGAGAACGGGACAGAGACAGGGACAGGGGAAGGCATGGAAATAGAGAAAGGGACAGGGATGGGGGAAGACATGGGGATAGGCATGAAAGGGGTAGATATGAGGACAGGGATGACTATGGTGAGGAGAGAGGTAGGAGAAGGCATGGTGACAGGGATAGAAACCAAGGTGAACGGGATTGGAGGAATGATTATGAGGAGGAGAGGGATGATAGCACGAGGGATATGAAGGAGAGGAATAATAGGTCTGATGGGCCAGAGTTGTTCAAAGTTTACAAGGGAAGGGTTTCCAGAGTGATGGATAAGGGATGTTTTGTTCAGTTTCAAGATTTTAGAGGGAAAGAGGGGCTAGTACATGTGTCTCAGATGGCAACTAGGAGGATTACAAACGCAAAGGATGTTGTAAAAAGAGATCAGGAAGTTTATGTGAAAGTTATCTCGGTTAGTGGGAATAATTTGAGTTTGTCAATGAGGGATGTGGATCAGAATACTGGGAAAGACTTGCTGCCCTTGAAGAGGAGTGAGGAGGATGATGGTTTGAGACCAAATCCTTCAGTTCGGAATGATGGTGGAGGAACAGGGAGCAGGATTGGTCTGTCAGGTATAAAGATCACTGAGGAACATGATGCTGTACCATCACGAAGGCCGCTGAAGAGGATGAGCTCACCTGAGAGATGGGAAGCTAAACAACTAATTGCTTCAGGTGTCATGAGTGTTAAGGAGTATCCTATGTTTGATGACGAAGGAGATGGGATGCTATATCAAGAAGAAGGGGCAGAAGAGGAGCTTGAAATTGAGTTGAATGAAGATGAACCAGCATTTTTGCAGGGTCAGAGTAGGTATTCTGTTGACATGTCCCCGGTGAAGATATTTAAAAACCCTGAGGGGTCTTTAAGCCGTGCCGCAGCACTTCAATCTGCTCTGATAAAAGAGAGGAGGGAAGTTAGAGAACAACAACAAAGAACAATGTTGGATTCCATTCCAAAAGATCTGAATCGTCCGTGGGAAGATCCAATGCCGGAAACTGGTGAGAGGCATCTTGCTCAGGAGCTAAGAGGTGTTGGTTTGTCTGCATATGACATGCCGGAGTGGAAGAAGGATGCATATGGTAAAGCTCTAACTTTTGGTCAAAGATCAAAGCTTTCTATCCAGGAGCAGAGACAAAGTTTGCCCATCTACAAGTTGAAGAAGGATCTCATTCAGGCTTGCCATGAACATCAGGTTCTAGTTGTCATTGGGGAGACAGGTTCTGGCAAGACAACACAAGTAACTCAATATCTGGCTGAGGCAGGATACACTACTAGGGGTAAAATAGGATGCACCCAACCTCGTAGAGTGGCTGCAATGTCTGTGGCCAAGAGAGTTGCTGAAGAATTTGGGTGCAGATTGGGAGAGGAAGTTGGATATGCGATCCGGTTTGAGGATTGTACTAGTCCCGAGACTGTGATAAAGTATATGACCGATGGTATGCTTCTTAGGGAAATTCTGATTGATGAAGATCTGTCTCAGTACTCAGTGATAATGCTTGATGAAGCTCATGAGAGAACAATACATACAGATGTCCTTTTTGGATTACTGAAGCAGCTTGTGAAGAGGAGACCCGATCTTCGACTGATTGTTACATCTGCAACACTGGATGCTGAAAAGTTCTCTGGATATTTCTTTAACTGCAACATCTTCACTATTCCAGGAAGAACTTTTCCTGTAGAAATTCTCTACACGAAGCAGCCCGAAAGTGACTATCTTGACGCCTCGCTAATTACTGTGTTACAGATTCACTTGACTGAACCTGAAGGTGATATACTTCTCTTCTTAACTGGTCAAGAAGAGATCGATTATGCATGCCAATGTCTTTATGAGAGAATGAAAGGTTTGGGCAAAAATGTTCCTGAGCTGATTATTTTACCTGTGTATAGTGCCCTACCTAGTGAAATGCAGTCTAGGATTTTTGAACCTGCACCTCCTGGAAAGAGAAAAGTTGTTGTTGCCACCAACATTGCTGAGGCTTCTTTGACTATTGATGGGATATTCTACGTTATTGATCCTGGGTTTGCCAAGCAGAATGTCTATAATCCTAAACAAGGACTTGATTCCCTGGTGATAACCCCAATATCGCAAGCATCTGCCAAACAGAGGGCAGGGCGAGCTGGACGTACAGGACCTGGAAAATGCTATCGACTCTATACAGAGAGTGCATTCCACAATGAAATGTCTCCTACATCAATTCCAGAGATACAGAGGATCAATCTGGGAATGACCACTCTCAACCTGAAAGCTATGGGCATTAATGACCTATTAGCTTTCGACTTTATGGACCCTCCTTCTCCACAGGCTCTTATTTCTGCAATGGAGCAGCTGTACAGTTTAGGAGCACTTGATGAAGAGGGCCTTCTTACAAAGTTAGGTAGGAAAATGGCAGAATTTCCATTGGACCCTCCACTCTCCAAAATGCTTCTTGCCAGTGTAGATCTTGGATGCAGTGATGAGATTCTTACCATTATTGCAATGATTCAGACTGGTAATATCTTCTATCGACCAAGAGAGAAACAAGCTCAGGCAGATCAGAAAAGGGCAAAATTTTTTCAGCCTGAAGGAGACCATTTGACACTGCTTGCTGTTTATGAGGCGTGGAAAGCAAAAAACTTCTCTGGTCCATGGTGCTTTGAGAATTTTGTTCAGTCGCGGTCACTGAGGAGGGCGCAGGATGTAAGAAAACAGCTTCTCTCCATCATGGACAAGTAAGTGTTATCTTTCAAATTCCATGATTGCCAACATATTGTTAAAAGAAATGCTCTTTACCAGTATTCCAGTACTTAAAATGAAATATGCTAAATATCTTATTCCTGCTAATCACTTGATTTCTACTAGTGCAATATTCCATGAAGATTTGACATAGTGATGGTTATGCATCTGAAGTGAATTTCCTGAGATGGGTCAACTTTGACATGCTCTTAAAATTATAAACTGTTTTAGATTATGTTTCTCTTGGTGAATAACTTTGACAACTTATGGGTTGGTCCCTGATCATGAATCCTGTTGGCATTCATTTTAATGGGCTGCTTGCACAAATGGTTATTTTATTGTGCTTCTTTTGTGAAACCGTTCTATCTCTGTATGGCATTGAGTTTTTTTGAACACTGTAAGTCCGAATGGTTTCCTATCATAATATGTTTATTGGGTACTGAGTCCTATCTCCTTTTCTATTAATAGGTACAAATTGGACGTTGTGAGTGCTGGCAAGAATTTTTCAAAGATTCGGAAAGCTATTGCTGCTGGTTTCTTCTTCCACGCCGCAAGGAAGGATCCACAAGAAGGCTACAGAACGTTGGTTGAGAACCAGCCGGTTTACATACATCCAAGCAGTGCATTGTTTCAAAGACAACCAGATTGGGTTATTTACCACGAACTGGTAATGACTACTAAGGAGTACATGCGGGAGGTCACCGTCATAGATCCCAAGTGGCTTGTAGAGCTAGCACCAAGATTCTTCAAGGTGTCGGACCCTACAAAAATGAGCAAGCGCAAGAGACAGGAACGAATTGAGCCCCTCTATGACAGATATCACGAACCAAACTCTTGGCGTTTAAGCAAGAGGCGTGCTTAGGTGTTACCAAAGTTAGTACTGGTATGTCATGTTTGCACTTTTAATTCCCAGAGTGCCAATTATAGATCCTAGAAGGTGATTGGATTCGACTTACCCCCAGCCGTTTGTAACAGAGCATGTTCCTTTGTGTTGGAATTAAATAGATACAACTTTAACACTATTGATCTCTCTACTTTTGTTAAGTCATAGAAATGTCGAATATCTATGAGAAGAAGAATGGTAACAGGGGAACGCGAACTGCATCCATCTCGACATATGCTGCAGATTTCCCTCAGCCTTAGCCATGCCAACGTCATCTCATTGTCTATACATCTTGATTGCCATGGCTGCTATCATCAGCAGCAACACTGGTATTCGATGCCGAACTCTCTTGACTCTTATTGCTTGTAGATCTCATTTCTTCCTGCATATTTTTTTGTCACGAGTACAAAATTTGTGTTCAATATCATCATATAGGTATTATCCATTTCAATTTTAAGTAGTTCCTATACTATAAAAAGTTCAATTCATACCAGCTCCTCCTTCAGCTTCTCCATTCTTTGCACTAGCTCCATAGCATGATGCTTTAGTGCCTGTAACAAATTTCTTGAGTTTAACATCATTTCATCACATCCTAACATGCTAGTATTTGAATTAGAGCCTGTTTGAAGACATTTGACAGGAATCAATATAACATCACCTCGCGTCGCTGGAGTTCAATAGACCGAGCAAGCGCCTGTCGCTTTGTGAGAAGAGTTCTCGGCCTGAATGCAAGAGGTCGCTGGTAATTCTTTCCCCGATAAACTATGATGACATAGCCTTTGGTAGTTTTTTCTACAGATACCAACACGCCACCGCTCTCAGCCTCCAGAGAAACTGCGATATGCTTGACTTGTGCAAGCGACTTCCGTTTTACAATAATCTTCACCACCTCTCGGTACTTCCAGTGTAGGTGCATATTTTCAATAGTACCGTCAAATATCTCCCGCCTCCCTGTGAGTTAGAGAAAAGATTAAGGCATGAAAATTCACACACAGCCATCAGAACTTCTTGAACCACATTACCTAGAAGTAGATACGGTTTCATGCTCAAACCGATCCTACGAAGAAGAAACCTTTCTTCATCAGTTAGGGTTTCTAGATCCGTTGGCAGCGCCTCCGGTTCGTGATTCTCCAGCACCTTGCGCAAGGCCTTTTCAGCCCTTCCGATCTTCCCGTTCGCCTAGCGTTGCTCGAATAGGTTAATAATTCTGTGAAATCAGGGAGTAATTTGAAGAACTTACACGAACTCATCCCTTCACTTACAACTGCTAGTTTGCTGTGAAGAGAATCGATCATAGAAACATGCCTAGCTATGGCGGCATCTCTCATCATCTTCTCAATTTCTGCGCTGTCCGGTTGGCTTCCCCATCGCGAGGTCGCGGCTACAGTCTCGGTAAGGGTTCCTGCAACCAAAGGCTGTGCGGATGTTTTGGTTTTCAAATTAATCATCAGCATGGCAGCTCTATCCCGAGCTTGATCCTCCTCGTCCTGTTGGACTGCGGCGCGCTTCTCAGCTTCTGTTAATGCACTTGAAACGCCGGGAGGCAAGAAGTCATTACCCCTGTGGATGACGATAAATTCTTTGTTTCTTGAAAGAAGCGTGCCTCCCGTCAACCTCTGCTCGAACAATCAAACAATAGACGATAAGAATCTGTTAAACGGAACACCAAAAATAATTTTCTTCCCCGACCTTGAGTTCTTCGGCTATCCTTTCATTGGAAGTATTTTGAACACCACGCTTGATCGCTATTTTAGCAATGGCACTCTTTTCCCACAACTTCACGATGGCGCTAGCCAGACCCTGCAGTTCTCTGCTTCGTCCTGAATAAATAAACAACGCTACACAGTCAATCGAAGAAGAAGAAGAAGAGGATCAAGTGAATCCCAAAAGAGATGAAGTATACTGTCGTAATATTACCAAGGGCAAAATGTGGAGGCATTTTTCTTGCTGTTCTTCGTAAAAGAGTCATTTCACTGTCTCGCAAGGCATGTCTAGTCCCATAAGGAAGAAGTCTAAATGGAGTTTTGTATCCAGGAACAACAGCAGGCAGTAAGTCTGCATCAACCGGAACTGGTTTGGGACCCGACCAATCTCTGAACCTGGGACCAAGCTCATCTAAGATACCGTTAACCTCGCTAATATCAATTTGTTCTTCATCCGGTAAACTGTCACGAAGCTTGGTTGGATTATGCAATCTTGAAGCGTTTGAAGATCCTAAGCCTACAGCACTGTGCTGTGTATATGATTTTACACAGTCGAGCTTGTATGATATCCCCCTGTATAACACCACCAAACCCCCGGATCTCCATATCACCAAACCTCCGGTTCTATCCTGTCATGTAAGGCCAATGCAGCAGAAAAATATGAAACAGTAGCTCCACAATGAACTATAACTATAGAGTTCTTCTATATACACGAAACAATCAAATATTAGCTGCATAATCTATTATAATGCTCGATGAAACTATGCTTCGAATAACTCATACTAAAATATGCACGGCATGTATTCCTGTCAGGGTATAGAATAAGTATCAATAGATGCAAACCTCAAGAATTTTATGTGTTCTCTTCATGTTCATCGAAGGGGGGCCTTCGAATTTTAACTTTACCACTCTGTTATCCTTCCATTTCTTATGGATAGTATCCACTAATGCCTGTGTCACCCCGGCTGCTCCGACTTTGATTCGCTCCACCATCCTCAGAGACTCACTCCGGAGGCTCTTCAACTCCGGCTCGGGGATCAATAGCTCCGCCAGTCTTGTGTTGAGATTACTTGGCTTCTGTCTTCCAAATTCCTCATCTTTTGCACTCTCCCATGGCATTCTCATTGCCTCATTTCTATCTGCATAATTCTTGTTGCTGATCACACTTCCATTGCCCACTGAAGAGCTCTCCACAGAGGTAGCATCTTCACACGCCTCTTCACTCCCAATCCCATCATTCTCTCCCAATCCAAACTGTATTTCTGGGGATTTTTCACGAGATATCTTGTCGTTATTCTCTTCTAAGATTGCCTCCTTCACCAACTCATGGATGCCTACGCTATCACTAACAAAAGCTTCCTCCTTGTTCCGCTGCTCATGAAGCTCATTAATGGTGGTTTGATCTCTCCCCACAAACTCTGCCCTATCTGGTTTAAATTCAAGATTTGTTTTACCATCACTTTGCGTTACTTCCCAAGGGAAATTTTCCCTCAGCGAAGGTGATTTCAGTGACCATTTGTCCTGAATTTGCTCAAGAAAACTAGGTCTGGGTTTTCTCTTCTTCTTCACCATATTCTTCCTCTGATTCGTTTCATCCTCAATCTGAACGGTTCTCTGATAGCAACAAATTTTCAGTTTCCGACCTCCACAGATATCAACTGAACGAGATTTGGGGTGGAAGGTAACGAAATATAGAAATTGGGAAGCGGAAGTAGATGGATGGGATTGCAAATTCAAAGGCACCGGCGAAAAGGCCATGGTAGTTAGGGCTTACAATTGTAATCCCTCAGCTAAAAACAGAGAACCGATTTTACAGAAACTGATATTTCTCCATCAAGGCGAACAATTCGCGTCGGCGCTAACCACCGGAATCCTCACCTGCTGGGATTCTGCCACCGGCTCCGGCGCGGCGCCGTCGAGCTATATGCACGGGAGATGGAGCGGACGACGTTATCCGATTGCATTGGGCCGAATTATTTGGGCTTAATAAGTTTAATGGGTTTATGATTAAAAACTCTTTAAACCGATCCATTCTAATTTGGGCCCAAAAGAAGATATTCGTTAAAACCCTATCTTATTATGGTTGAGATTGATTTCACAAACCCTATCTTCTAAGAAGATAAAATCGACAATACAGTAAAACCAGAGGATCACACATGGTTGAAGATTCCTTGGCCTGGTGAGAGTATCCTTTTGGGATCAAAGATGGCCTTTTTGTGCTTCATAATTGTCCATTTGGGTCCGAAGTGGTTGATCCATTCTTTCTTGGATTCATAATGAGGGAAGTACTGCTTCACCTGGATCCCTTTTTTTCTGCAGATTCTCATTACCTCATCGTTGAACTTGAGAATCTCAGCGTTGTCGGAAGTGGTGCTCGTGTGCAGCAACCCCAGCACGTAGAACACTTGCTCGTCCGGCGTCACTGCCAACATCCTATCATCCCATCTGCATAATACATATACATACAATTATATATATATATATGTAATAAGTAATGTTGTATGCGTCGGTATATACGTACTTGTTGCGGTTTGTTGGGTAGAGGAGGTAGAAGGCGGAGGGATTGGGGGGGAGGGTGGGGAGCATTCCGGCGAGGACGGCGGCGTTGAAATCGGAGATGCGAGACTTGGGTATGAAGAGATTCAGCCATGGATGGAAAGGGATCGGTGCTGGTAAATTGTCCAAATTGGGAAGCCTAGTGAGGAAATCAAAGTAGGAGACGTCTCTGCTGAAAACGAAGCTGGGAATGAAGCTCAGCTGCTTCAGCAACCTCTCAAATTCCTGACAATAATTAAATAATTAATTAGAAAATTAAAATCAAGCAATTAGTGAATAAATTAATAGCTAATTAATTACCTTGTCGATGGGAGGTGATGCTGGAGTGTTGTTGTGGTAGAACTTGACGACTTCAATGGCGTAGAGGATTCTCTGCTTCTTGAGGAGGTCAGCAATGGCGGATTGGTTGGAAGGAGATGAGAATTGAGACCTCCATTGCAGTGTAATATTCTCATTCGTCACCAGATGTCCTTCCACGTAGTCAGGAGCTGGTGCCATTGTTGATGCTATCAGCTTCTCTTGGTCTCGAGAGAATTCTGAAAAATTACTGTACACCACAAAAGCCCACTTCACCTGCATACACAAAATCAAATCAAATCTGCAGAAAATCTGGGTATATATAATTATATATGTGTATATATATATATATATACATACTCTTGTGGGTGCTTTGGCGAGTGGAATTCTTGCCCTGGTTATGATGCCAAACTGTCCCAAACCACCAAGAACTCCAAAGAATAGATCAGGGTTTTTGTGTTTTGAGCAAGTCATCAATTTTCCTTTGCCTGTAAAACCTCACCACTTAATTAATATATATATATATATGCTATTCAAAGAATATGTCCAAACAGATTGATCATAACAAAAATAATAATGTAATAATGGATGATGTTACAGACTGATAAATTCAATTCATTCAAAATTACAGCTCTTACTATATATAGCCAGCTCTTATATACATATAATTAAAAGAATTAGGGTTTGTTTTGAATTTTAAAAATTACCTGTAATAACATCCAATTCAAGAACATTACTGATTTGAGGCCCGTGCAAGAACGTCTGTCCATTCACTCCGGCGTTCGACAGCGTCCCGCCGACGGTGATGTACAGATAGTCGGTCCAGGACTCCGGCGCCAGGCCCTGCCGGAGCGTTGCCCGGAGCACGTCGATCCATAGCTGCTCCCCGCCAACGTCGGTGTAAAACCCTAATTTTTTGTCCCGAAAGACCTGAATCCGAGCTCCATTGCCGGAGCTGTTGAGAGACGCCATGTTCACCACCACTCCGCCGCGCGCCATCGCCTGTCCCCGGACGGAGTGGCCGTGCCCTCTGGCGGCAATCCCCCGCAGGAGATGATCATCTTTATGATTGGATAATTTGATGAGATCGACGATGTCGTCGACGGACGTCGGGAAAAGAACTGAAGATGGGATTTCGTGCACCAGGTTTCCGAAGTCCGTGGAGGCAAATCGGACGGCTGCTGAGTCGTTGCGGAGGGGGAGAGATCCTGGCCGTTGATTTGCATTTACGGAAGCTGCGATGAGTAGAAATGGAAAAAGTGTGTAGTGAAGGAGACGAAGCTGGATCGCCATTTATGATACTGTTAATTAAGCTTTGATGTCTGAGAATTACAGTTAACTAATGGAGCTATGTTTCGCTCAAAGAGGCGCTATATATAATATATGAGCTGCTCTTAGATTCAAAATTGTTTGGTAATAATTTTAAATTAAGTAAGTAATTTAATTTAGTTAAAAATTAATTATCACGTTAGTTAGAAAGGTTACCATAATTAATAACCCAATAATTATAAATTTAAATATTATTAAAAAAATTTTGAAATTTTAAATTTAACGGAATTATCTGTAAATATATTTAAAAATATTAACCATTTACACGTTTTATATCATATTTTAAAAATTTTAATCTTTATTTTTTAAATTCAATTTTTAAATATTAATTTATATAAATTTCAATTATTTAAAGTATATAATTTACTATTTAAAAATTAACATATTATATTCCTTCCATTCCATCTCATACAATTCTTTTCATTTTTTTTATCCGTTTATAATATTTTTTATTTTCGATAAATTTATTTATGATCATTCAAAATTCATTTATATATATGTCTTAAATTAACAAGTATTTTTATTTAATTTTAAAATTCCTAACTTTTTTTATAAAATTAATATACGGTAATGACAAATATATATATTTTATTTGTATTATATAAATTAATATGTTAAAATCTTGATTATTACAATTACTAGTATTTTACAAAACTTTCATCTTTCCTCAAGTCATTTGCTACAATGGCCACTGCCATTATTGTCGCCACTAGCGTTATTTCTTTGGGTTTTCTCACGAGATTTCATGTCGTTATTCACTTCTAGGATTGCTTCCTTCACCAACTCATCGGAGCCTCCGCAGCTCATGAAGCTCATAATCATTGGGCTGATTTATTTGGGCTCAATAAGTTTAATGGGCTTATGATTAAAAAATTCTTTAAACCGATCCATTCCAATTTGGGCCCAAAACAAAATATTCGTTAAAAATAATTCGTGCGCCAAATTTCGAACGTAAGTATTTATTATGGTCGACATTGATTTCACAAACCCTAAATTATAAGAAAATAAAATCGACAATACAGTAAAACCAGAGGATCATATATGGTTGAAAATTCTTTGGCCTGGCGAGAGTATCCTTTTGGGATCAAAGATGGCCTTTTTGTGTTTCATAATTGGCCATTTGGGTCCAAAGTGGTTGATCCATTCTTGCCTGGATTGATAATGAGGGAAGTACTGCTTCACCTGGATCCCTTCTTCTCTGCAGATTCTCATTACCTCATCGTTGAACTTGTCGTTAATCTCAGCGTTGTCGGAAGTGGTGCTCGTGTGCAGCAGCCCCAGCGTGTAGAACACTTCCTCGTCCGGCGTCACTGCCGACATCCTAGCATCCCATCTGCACAATACATATACATACAATTATATATATATATACATATGTATATGTAATAATTAATTGATGTTGTATGTGTAGGTATATACGTACTTGTTGCGGTTTAATGGGTAGAAGATGTAGACGGTGGAGGGATCGGGGTGGGGGAGGGTGGGGAGCATTCCGGCGAGGACGGCGGCGTTGAAATCGGAGATACGAGACTTGGGTATGAAGAGATTCAACCATGGATGGAAAGGGATCGGTGCTGGTAAATTTCCCAAATTGGAAACCCTAGTGAGGAACTCAAAGTAGGAGGCGTCTCTGCTGAAAATGAAGCTGGGAATGAAGCTCAGCTGCTTCAGCAACCTCTCAAATTCCTGACATTAATTAATTAGAAAATTGAAATCAAGCAGTTTATTAATTAATAACTGATTAATTACCTTGTCGGTGGGAGGTGATGCTGGAGTGTGACTGTGGTAGTACTTGACGACTTCAATGGCGTAGAGGATTCCCTGCTTCTTGAGGAGGTCAGCAATGGCGGATTGGTTCGAAGGAGATGAGAATCGAGACCTCCATTGCTGTGTAATATTCTCAGTCGTCACCAGAAGTCCTTCCACGAAGTCAGGAGCTGGTGCCATTGTTGAAGCTATCAGCTTCTCTTGATCTCGAGAGAAATCTGAAAAATTACTGTACACCAAAAATGCCCACTTCACCTGTATACGCAGACAGTAATTATTTATTACCGTAGCGATCACTTTCTATGTAATAATACTAATTAATTAATTAAGACTAATTGTATACTTTCTGGCCGGTTTGCACGTCGTGATCACAACTATTGTAAAATACGAATAATATGTGTATAGTCAGTCAAAAGAGTAGAAATAAATAAATAAATAAATAAAAATGTATGTTATATAGCATTGATAAGTGTAATAATAGACTAAGTAAATTAAAAAAGAGGGACAGATCGAATGGGTTTGTTGACCAGAAACATAATTAATTAATTAGTTTATGGTCATTAATCTTATTATATTATATCAAATTTATAGATACTGAATATTTTTTGTGGCAACAAAGTTGGACCGTGTCGGGAAATCGGATAACAACGCTTACGTCGACAAATATATACACCCTATTGCGTTTCTATTGGGCACAATAATTTGTTAGTCAATTTCTAAATAGATTACGTTACGTATATATATATATATATATATATATGTATAATAATTTGATTCAATTATATTTGTGCAGCCACCCACATTGACTTTATTAATAATTAGTAGTTAGAAAATGTTTGTTTAATTAATTTATTCAAGTAATATAATATTAGTATTAGGTTGATGATACATGCAAAAAATCAAATCAAATCAAATCCGAAAATGTGGGTATATATAATGACATACTCTTGTGGGTGCTTTGGCGAGTGGAATTCTTGCCCTGGTTATGATGCCAAATTGTCCCAAACCACCAAGAACTCCAAAGAATAGATCAGGGTTTTTGTCTTTTGAGCAAGTCATCAGTTCTCCTTTGCCTGTAAAAACTCACCACTTAATTAATTAATATATATGTGCTTGCTATTCAAAGAATATGTCCAAACAGATTGAGCGTAATAAAAATAATAATGTAATAATGGATGATGTTACAGACTGATTCATTCAAGTCATTCAAAATAACAGCTCTTACTATATATAGCCAGCTGCGATAGTGATAACTGATAAACACATAATAATTAATTATTCTGAAATCATATATATATATATATATATTTAAAGTTTCGTGCACGATAATTTCAATGACACTAGACCATCTCTTACACCCTTTGGATTTTTGCACAATCGGATCATAACACACCCTTTTGGAATTTTACTACCCACACATACGTAAATATACCCACTTTCCTTCATAATTCATTAAATTATTTTCATGCCCATGTCTCCACATTATTGCAATTTCCTTTTTTTTTTTAAAAAAACAAAAAAAATTAAATTACAAGAATTAGGGTTTGTTTTGAATTAAAAAAATTACCTGTAATAACATCCATTTCAAGAACATTGCTGATCTGAGGCCCGTGCAAGAACGCCTGCCCGCTGATTCCGGCGTTCGACAGCGTCCCGCCGACGGTGAGGTACAGATAGTCGGTCCAGGACTCCGGCGCCAGGCCCTGCCGGAGCGTGGCCTGGAGCACGTCGATCCAGAGCTGCTCCCCACCGACGTCGACGTAAAACCCTAATTCTTTGTCACGAACCACCTGAATCCGAGCTCCATTGCAGGACCTGTTGAGAGACGCCATGTTCACCACCACTCCGCCGCGCGCCATCGCCTGTCCCCGGATGGAGTGGCCGTGCCCTCTGGCGGCAACCCCCCGCCGGCGATGGTCATCGTTATGATTGGATAATTTGATGAGATCGACGATGTCGTCGACGGACGTCGGGAAAAGAACTGAAGATGGGATTTCGTGCACCAGGTTTCCGTAGTCCGTGGAGGCTAATCGGACGGCGGCGGAGTCGTTGCGGAGGGGGAGAGATCCTGGCCGTTGATTTGCATTTACGGAAGCTGCGATGAGTAATAATGGAAAAAGTGTGTAGTGAAGGAGACGAAGCTGGATCGCCATTACTCAGAGAATTGAAAATATATTGTTTTTAAGGTTTGGTTTCTGAGAATTACAATTAATTAATGGATCGCTGTGTTCGTAGTTAGAGGGGCTATATATAATATATGAATTTATTTTAGAATTATGAAATTTTCAGAACTATATATATATATAAAGAAAGTATGTTAAATCATACTATGTGACAATAAATAAGTCCTTAATTATTGAATAATGATATAAACATGTCGAACTATATTATAAATTTGTTGAACGAAATAAAAAATATATATATATATATAGAAAGACCAAAAGCACATTATAAAATATATATACTGACTAAATTAATAACATATATCTTATAGTTAAGAACACAATTAGGGTGGATACATTATTTAATTTGTATCAATCATGTTACATGTATTTATTCAATATAAATTATTAAGATCGTTGAATAAAATGACAAATTAAATAATGATAAATAAGTCACACAAATGAGGTGCATTTAATTAAGTCACTTTGCAAAAGTCTACGAGCTTGTTTGTTTATGCTTTCAAACAAAAATTCATCCCATATGATTCTAACAATTTTATTTATTTATTTATAAATTATTATATCAAAATATTATTTAAATTCAAATAAAAAATCCTACTTTATCATTCAATTAATATTACATATATTGTATGTATTGTCAGCATTAACTGTCTGTTATATTTTAAATGCATAGTTGGTTTGATGTATGGACTAGTTTTGTGTGTTATATTTATATTATATTAACATATATTTGTTTAATTTATATCTTATGTGTTACTAATTTATATTTTATGTACTGTCACATTATGATGACTAATTACAAAGCAGTACAATAAGACATCAATATATGTATATATATGTAAATTTTTACCATTTTAGTAGTCCTTTGTTAGAAATAGACTAAAAAATTAGTGAAATATAACTGTTTTGAGAATATAAATGATCTGTTCTTTAGCTTAGTTTTACTTTATTTTTTATCATGCAATTATTGTATTTTTTCTAAAAAATATATAATTTATTTTCATGAAACATAAACTATTATTCAAGTAAAAAATCAAAACAATTAAATAAAATCAAACTATAAAAGAACAGATCCAAAGAATTACGAAACAAGTGTACTAACAACGGATAGTCCTTACAAGACAAAAGTCCTAATTTTGTGTTTGTCTAATGCTTGTTTAATATATATATATATATATAAAATAATCAATAGTAATATTTTGATTAGTTAGTGGAAGTATATAAGATAATTTTGATATTTGTACCATTTATATTTTATGTATACATTAATTGCATGTGTAATTATAAATTTTTAATTTATGTAAATATTAAAAAATATTTGTAATTATAGTGTACAATTATTTTTAATATAACAGAAAATAGATACTTTTTAATAGAACATATTAAAATAGTAAAAATGATATTTTCTGTTGAGATATAGAAAATATATTACGACACTAAACCCATTAATTAACATTGAAAATGTTATTCATCATACAAAATTCTTTTAGAAAATTTAACCCAACACATAGGTAATTATTTTTACAAATAAAAGATACAATCAAGAAGAAGTCTTTTCAAGGCATGTAAACTTGTCAAGGTAGCTAAACTAGCTATTTAATAATTAATAATTAACAATTTGTGCATCATATCAATTTCCCTTAAGATTCATACACTCCATTTTCCATACCAAAGATCTCAAGGAAGATCTTCCAAGATTCATATTGATTAGAAATGCAATTATCTAGATTTGTTGATTATTATTATTTTGTTCAAATAAAATATTTAAATTCTACTATTTAAATCAGACCATTTTGACTAAATCTTCTTTGTTTATTTAATATGCAGTCTCCATTTATTTAGATAGTGACTTTTAAAGTTTTGAAATTTTAAAAAATGTTGGAAATAGTAAAAGCTAGTATTTTATCTATTGTATTGTGAAAGGAAATATATATATATATTTAATATTCTCATTTTAAAAAAAAAAAAAACCCCATATTTAGTATGATGTTTTTTTTTTTTTTTTTTAAGAAAAAAATAATGTAGATGAATGTGTGGTAACAATAAAATAATTCTCTGCTGATCAAATATTCTATTTTATCTTGAGATGAAATTATTACTTTTGTCCTTAACAACAACATTTTGATATTGTATCTTAAAATAAATAAAAATCAAATTTATTGTCCTAGCCCTAAATTTGCACTCACAATAGTATTAATATTGAAGTTGTTGGGCTGTTAACAACTTAAGTAGGACAATATATATATATATATATATATATTATATAAGAAAAAGAAAAAAGATTTTAATTAAGATTTCCTTTTAATGCATGTTAATGCTAGTAAATTTCTATATAGGTAGGTTAGATTATATATTGCCTGATATATTTTTGGTCTAAAATTATTCAATTCAATTTAATTTATAGATGCTATATATAAACACTAATAATAAATTATTGATGTGTGTTTATATTGAATTCTACTATTATTAGATTTTGGGTGTGTGTCAGTGTCAACTTCCATTTTAAAATTTTGACCCAAGTTTTTATATCTACATTATGTCACAATTAGATAGAGATATCTATATATGTATATTGTTGATAAAAATTAGAGCAGACAATGCAATTCAATATTCAAATTAGTGAGTGTATTATTGATACAAATTATATACTATTCTTTATTATTTTATAGCTAAAATTTTTGAAAATATTCCAAAAACAGTTTTTGACATATGGAATTTTTTTATGTGTCTTTTTAATTATTATGAATGATCCGATCCTTCACTGCTAAATATCCATTTGTTCATACTCATCCTCCTTTAAACGACTCACCAAACGTTGAAATTTTTGAATTTAAATCAGACAATAGAGCATTCCTCTAACAAAAAAAATCATTGTATTTGCTAAAGTGTATGGATTGATTGAATCATTAAGATTTTCGAAATCATTAATAAAGACAAATATTATATTGTAGAATATTGATTTTTTGAGCCAAATTATTTGATTTGATTTTATTTAGACTATGAGCATGAAAATTGAAGTATAATTAACACATTCATATTAGAAAACTATATATATATATATCATTAATTCTTAATTCGTAGAGTTAAAAAAATAAAAATAAAATTTCTCTCTATATATATATTTTATATTATATACTATTTTATATAACTTTTTAAATTTATAAATAACACTTATTGTTATTACATTCATTTCACAACAATATTCTATGTTACTATTATGAATATTATACCAAAGACTTAAATTTATTATTTATTTTTATTGTTTAATTAGAGGATATAATTAAAAATATTTAAATATTTTTAACAAAAATAATTTTTCTTATATCAAATTTACAATAATTAAATACAATTAAAATCAATTTAGTCGAAAAACTTATTGTTATAATTATTTTATTATATATCAAAAGTAATTTACTCCCACTGTCTATTAATAAGGTATCCGTTATTTATTTATTTGTCTCAAATTAAAGTATTTATATTTTTTATAATTGTACTTATCAATTTAATATTAAAAACACATTTATAATTTACCATATATTATATAAATATCATCACTTGTATTTAATTAACCAATTGCAAAACTAATATACACACTACTAATACGAATATGAATGTCATTTTATTTTTATTTGTATTATATACATACATAATCTTAATATTCGAAAATTAAGTGCAAAAAAAGAAATAGTTTTAATTTATCTTTTTAAGGGATGAAGGAGTATTATAAATTTTGTAAGTTTCATAGTTGAATTAGGGCAGCAAACACAAATCCCTCTTTTGGGCCTTTTGTATTTCTTGAACCCTTCAAGAGAAATAATAATAATAATAATAATAATAATAATAATAATAATAATAATAATAATAAAAAATTGTTGGTAATTTAAATATATATATTATGTTGAATTATTATTATTTTTTTGTAAGGAATAGAATATATATGTATGAATTTATGTATATGATGTATTTTTTGATAATATTAATAAAAATGTATGTCAAAATATTATTGACTAATCAGCCCATCACCAAAAATTAATAAATTAATTAATTATATATGAGAGAGTCGTTAATTTTACTAATAAAACGCATCAGCCCATAATTTTGTTCCAAAATAAACATATATACAGATATGCTAACGCATTTAAATTCAAGCTTCTACGACTAATTATAAAATCGACTATAAAAAAATATGTTAAAAACACAATAAAGATTACATTAATCACATTTACATTTTACAAAAACAGAAAATATATATATATATATATATATGTTTTGAAGAAGAATAGTAAAGGGAACCAGCAACTCTTACTCTTCGTCTCTATGAGTACATTTTGGATCTAGTAACTTACAAACTAAGTGTGACAAGACAATTCATAGTAAACGAATCATATGTGACAAATAAAATATGGAGACGTAAAAAATTTAAACTCATGACTTTATGATTACAAGTTCATTCCGTACGACAAGACTATCCTTTACGGGATAAAAAATGTAATAATAATTTTTTTTTCTTCGTTCAATAAATAGTTGATGTTTTGAAGGCAGATTCAATGCTATGGGACGAAATTATATTATTTTAAAAAATATATGATAATTATAAAAAAAAATGATAATTAAGCGAGGTAATTGATTATATTTATAAATAAAATTTAGAATTTTCTTATTTTTAGTTGAAGACAATGAAATACAGCATTTACATAATGGAGTATCATGCATGCAATTAAACCACTACGTTATGATCTTGATTAGTATAATTAGAGCTATATATGAAAAGGTGATAGGATAATGATGTCCCTAATCAAATTTCACGTGTGAATGAACTCACCCAACTCCAATCATTACATGAAATTTATTCGGAATTACTAATCAATTGATTTACGCAATTAATTAATTAATTAATTAATATTCCTTTTGCTTATTGTCTTGTCTAGTCCGTGTGCAGGCACGCGTGGGCGACACATAAATCATTATGCTCCCATGTTAGAATCACACACATATATATATAAACATTATATCTATAAATATATATATAATGATATATAAAATAATTGTATATGTAATAATATTTTTATAATTTAAGTAAAAATTAAAAATATTTTAATGCATATATTGAATATATGTAATGTTAGCATGTACAATGTAGTATGTAATTTAAGAATCATATTTGTTATTTTAAAAAACGTATTAGATAAATTTTTAAGTCTAATATAATAGTCTGCAAATCATGTTAGTCTTTTGCGATAGGCTCGATCGGAAATATATTGACAAGGTTTAAATCATAAGTCATCTTATCGCGGCGTAATAGATAGTGAAATTTTACCTAACGATTGAGAAAAATCATAAATGGTGATCGTGTTATTTTTTTTTTTTTTTTCGAAAAGGGACTTTGAAGCCCGAAATTCCTGAAAATATAATCATAAGATGTTCGGCCTTTATCATGCATGTAATGATAGTTTTACATTTATTTTTTTAAATGTCCCTAGTAGTAGTAGTAGCCATTAGGCCCTAATTACACTCACTTTTGGCCGACTTAAGTGTGTGCCGATTTCGCGAATCACTCGTGCGTGCACTCACATTATTCTTTACCCATAATTAGGTTTCTCTTACATATATATATATATATATAATGTATTATTTTGGTCACTTTTATAGTACTGATCATCCATTAGTATCAAATATTTATTGATTATAAATAGGGAAAATAATAATTTGTATGAAAAGTAAGGAACAAGCTTATATATGGCTGTCCCCCTTCATCATCATTGCTCAATCCCCTTAATTCTAAAGTTCACCGATTTCTTATATTCTTATTCGGATACAGGATATTACATTCGGTCGAAAATTTATCCAACGTAGTTGAAGAATAGGAGAGACGGATTTTCACATTATAATTAAATAATAATAATAAAATACATAAATAAATAATGTAATTTCTTCTTATTCATTTTCTTTTATTTTCTAATATTATTTTGTCATTGTATCAAATCCGAATTATTGTTACAATACATCAAAACAAGAGAATATAGCTTTATTACTTTAACAAAAAAAAAAAAAAAAATCTCTAGCTCCCACACTTTTTCAGTCATATTTAATTTGTTTTCTCACTTCATCTGGCTCAATAACAACATTAATTACTTTCTCTATTTTAATCCAACTATTTAACTTTTCCAAATATTTATTTAATTCATTTAACATCATATCATACGTGTACTAATTACTAACCAACTATAGAACACTTAGCTAGCTAGGGCCCCTCAGGCCCATTTAAATATATATAGTTTATTGTTTAAAAAAAAAGTATTTGACATAAAAGCACATGTACACAAAGATTACTAGTGGAGTTCACTTGCCACCTTGTAGTGTCTATTACAAAAGGTTCATCCGCAGGTCACGCCTACTAACACAATCAACGTCCAATGCGAACCGGACTCTGATATCAGAGTTGAGACTGAGCCAACTTAACACTAGTATAATATTGTCCGCTTTGGACTGAGCTTGCACGAATTTGTTTTTGAATATCTTCCAAAAAGCTTATACTAGTGGAGTGTCAAATTTTCTTCACAACTCCTGATGTGAGACTTGGGTTTGCACCCCAACAATCACGACCAATCAACCAACTTATTAGTTGTTTTTTTTTAAAAAAAAAAAACATAGTTTTTTTAATCTTTAATTTATAAATGAGTATGGTTATTTAAAAATAAAAATAGTGTGATATAATACCAAAGTATAAGTTACCTAACCAATAAGGTTTTCACGTTTACTTTATGTTCAAACATTTGATCAAATAGTTATTTAATTCCTTTTTATCATACCTTTAATTTAATGGTAGAGTTGTGTTTTGGGATTTTTTAATTATTTAAAAAAATATGTGTTTTATGAAACTGAACACTTCTGTTTGGATACAAGAAATAAAACACCCTTGATTGAAATAGTTTCAATAGCAAACAAAAACATATTGGAGACCAAGATTAATTTATTAATCAGCAAAAAAAAAAAAAGGGTCCATGGTCATCATATCATCTGAAACCAATTCCAAATTCACACATGCATCAAAAGAGCTGAATCCCAATGAGCGTACAAATTAAATGAATTAATCATTAAAAATTCTTTGTCCGGGTGACAGTATCATTCTTGGATCAAACCTGTTCTTTGTCTCCTGAAAAGTCTCCCATCTGGGACCAAAATGCTTCATCCAATCCTCCCTGGATTTGTAATGTGGAAGATATTGCTTAATCTCGATTCCAGACTTTTCACAGAATTCAATTATTTCATTATTCAGTTCGTCGAAATACTCTGCATCATTCCTTGTGCTCGAGTGCAGTAATCCCAGCGTATAGAACACGTCCTCATCCGGCACCACAGCAGACATTCGACAATCCCATCTGCACCAAATTAAATTAAATTTTTTTTCTGATATATATACATACACACACAGACTAGGTAGGTCGTACTTTTTCTTGTTAGATGGGTAGAAAAGGATGGGTCCAGAGGAGAGGTTGTGCCGTGCAATTATGTCGACAAAGACACCAGCATTGAAATCCAAGATCCTGGATTTTGGTACGAAGAGATTCAGCCATGGATGTGTTTCTTCTAATTGTCCTTCTGACCTGTCGGTGTCTTGCCTTTTAACTCTTCCAAGAAAATCCACGAGGGGTACGTCTTTCATGAAAAGTAGACCTGGGATGAAGTTCAATTCTTCCACCACTGCCTCAATTTCCTGCAAAAAAAGCAGTCTGTAAAGTCACCTGAAGAACAACTCACATGTCACATGTATATATGTCGTCTTAAATTAATGAATTTACTTCATCGATGGTATCTGCGGTCTGCTTGTCGTAATATTTGACAAATTCGATGGAGTAGAGGAGGCCATGGCCATTCTTCTTCCTTTTCAAGAAAGAAGTGATCTTGGAGAGCTGGGAAGACGAATAGAAGGAAGATCTCCAGTTATTTGGAGGGCTTTGGGGTGTGATTAAAGAACCCTCCACGTAATCTGGCCCTTTCTTGCAAGAAATCAGATGTTCTTGATCTCTTGTGAATGTCGAGAAATCGCTATAAAGTAGCCTAACCCATTTTGCCTAATTTTACAAATTAAATCATGTCAATTACTATCTTAATAATTAATTGAGTGACACCACCTGAAATAATTAATTAATTGATTGATTTACTCTGGTTGGGGCTTTGTGTAGGATGATTCTTGCCCTAGTGATGATACCAAACTGACCAAGGCCACCAAGAACAGCAAAAAAGAGGTCGGAATTGATGTGATGAGAGCAAGTTAGAAGATCACCTTTACCTATAAAAATAAAATTCAGAAAGCAGAAAGTTAATTTTGAGCCGCCAAAAAAGTAGAAAACATATATGATCTAATTTTGTTTTTATTAAAAAATAATAATAATAATAATAATAATAAATTGTGTGCCTAACTAATAAGTAATAACACCGACCCCTTATTGCTATTGCTATGGCAAAATCTTACCTAAAAAGTTCTCTCTCAGCTGTCGACATCGTCCACAAGATTGCAAACTATGAATGAGTTAGTGTAGGTCCACAGAACATGTAGGTTGTCCTAATAAAGTTCCGAAACGCGACAAATTTTTACATGTTGTGCTTTGTTTGTGTGTATGATACCTAGTTTTCTCAAAGATATCTCATTGATCATCTGATATAGACCCCTATCCCAACACCCCCCTCCCCTTCCTTCTACTGCACATAAATTGTTAGAAACCATGTTGTTTTGACTTATGCCATATACACATACATGCATACATACATATATATATATATATTACCAGTGATGACATCCAATTCAAGAACATTGGTGATCTGAGGACCATGTAGAAATGACTGCCCACTTATCCCGCCATTGGACAGCGTCCCGCCGACGCTCAAATACAAATAATCCGTCCAAGAAACCGGCGCCAGGCCGTGCTCCAGGGCGGCGCGTAGCACGTCCATCCACAGCTGCTCTCCTCCGGCGTCTGCATAATAATGTCCTGACGAAGGGTCCCAAGAAACCCTGACGCCGATCCCCTTCCCCCGGAGAGAAGACATGTCGACCACCACCCCGCCGCCGCGCGCCGCCGCCTGGCCTCTGACGGAGTGGCCGCAGCCCCTGGCGGAGACGCCGAAGGGGGTGGAGCATTTGTTGGAGAATTTGATGAGATCGATAATGTCAGCTATGGAAGAGGGATGGAGCACTGCAGAGGGGACCTCCAGGACGAGGTTTCCGAAGTCGTTGGAAACTGATGCTACCGAATCCTCGTCGAAGAGGAGCTTGTCGGAAATGTTGTGTAGTTGGGATATGTCGTTGACCATGGCTGTCCCTACAATTAGCTTCCCCATGGTATGTATAGCTGTTGCAGAAGAAGAAGAAGAAGAAGAGGATCGGAATTAATTAATTATCGAAGATGGGAAGATCGAGTCGAGCTTCTGATTCGAAGGGTTGAGAATTGAGAGAGAAGAATATATGCATACACATATATATATAGTGCGATGTTGGGTGGGGAATGAGGGAGAAAGTAGTGTCGATTTGTGTGTGTCTATGTCTATCCGTCTCTGTCTCTTTGTGTGTTTGTATGTATTTAATTTGTATATATAGAGAAAAATATGTATATATACTCTTTTTTTTTTTTTATGAAAAATATGTTCCTATAGTTGTACATGAATTTTAATGAAAATACCAGACAAGTTCAAAAAAAATATATATATATATTTCTAATTTTTTAATGTGAACATAAATAAAGATAGAATTTTTTTTTAATGAATTGAATATATAAATAATTAAGATATCTATAAATAAACATAGCATTAAAGAATGTATAAAATAATTTCTAAGATAAATGAAAATTAAAAAATATATATAAATTTGATGAGTAGGATTGAATAGAAAAGATGATTTGCATGTGAATGTTGGGGAAGAAGAGATCTTTGACATATGGGTGTGTGAATTATTACCAAAGATTTGCAGAGAGGATCTAAAAAGTGATATCACTCACTATACACTACACTACTACATTGCTACCTACATAGATACATAGATAGATACCTTCTCAGAAAGATCCTTCAAAATATAAAGATTCTAATCTGTGTGTTCACATTTACATGTTTGTAATGTAATGATAAAGATTCTAATCTGTGTGTTCACATTTACTGAGTACTATTCCACTGTGAAACACACCAGTTGTGCCCTATATAAGGGTGTGTTTGTTTGGGGGGTTTGGATTTTGAGTTGGGATTTGAATAGTAAAAATTTTGAATTTGAACAGTTGTATGATGTGATATAAATAGGTGTTAATGTGATATTTTGAATGTAAAATTAATTTTTAGTATAATATAAAAAATAAAAAATAGGTGTTTGATTTGATGTTTTTGGGGAAAAAAAAAAAGGATGAACAGTGGAAATCTAATCCAATCCCCCAAACAAACACACCTTAAATATCTTCATCTTTTCATACCTACAAAGTAACCCTTGTTATTATTATTATTAAACATCAAATTCAACATCCAAAAATACCACCTGTTGTAAAATACTAGTATAAAATTTTATTTTGCTCACCTATACTTATAATGACATATACTGTGATTCATTAGTGTGACTTGTGAATGAAATAACAATACTTAAATTACTAATGAATAATGTCATTTTCATGACAAAAAATTACATCTATCACTTTCTTTTCATGGTTTTGTATGTATTGAATTCTGTATATTTTCCTAAACGAGTTCACACTGATATTGTAAAGCTGATTCTTGAAAAAAAAAAAGAAAGAAAGAAAAAAAGAAGGGTGGATTTGTGTTCTACCAGGAAATGCAATTAACAGTTATTAATAATCACGCTGCAGTGGGCCTAATTAATTAAAGATGATGCAAGAATGAGCATATTTAACAGTTGAATGATATATATTTTTTTTATAAAAAAAAAAAAAAAAAAGAAATGATAATGTTTGCTAGAATGTCATATCACCAAGTCCTATTTTAAAGTCAAGATTTAATAGAAGAAAATTACTTAATAGGAATGAAGCATATCACCAAAAGATTCATTTTCTGCAGTGCAGGATGATCTTTGTAGGTTGAGGAGGCTACAAGAAAATCTATTAAAGTCAATTTTCTTACCATTATTAGTGAACCCTTAGCTTGTTGTCCCTTAGACAAATAAGTCACCACCCTCTTTGTCTTTCTTTGTTGTTTCTGGTTTTCTTGTTTATCTGTAAATTGTAATGGTTTGTCCTAAGTCAGTAAAAATCTTCCCCTTTACCTTTGTACAAATCTTTGCAGCCCAAATCTAAACACTTTTGTATATATATGTGGGAGAAAAGATTAACCCTAAGGTGTTTTTGTTTGTATCTTCCATCTTTATCTTTTTATATTATACAAACATTTAAATAAAACATCATATCGAAGCTTAGAGGAATGTATAATTTAATCTTATATTAATGAGACTATTATTCTTATTCCATATGTTTCCTCAATTTTAGTTAGGTCTAATACTTCACAAAGACACACTTTTATTTGTCCTCTACAAGAACACAGACACTCAGAAGGGGTTTTTATGAAGTTCAAAACAAAAACATGATCAATTTTGGTTTTTGTTTTTTAAATAATAGTTTGGATGCGATATTTTTTTTAAATGATAATAGTATTTTTTTTTATATATAGATAATCGTAGAAATTATGTAATAAAAATTTGAAAAAAAAAAAATCACAAAAAGAACAAACTCATAGCATTAAAGAGGATAATTATCGTATGTACAAAACTAAATTTGTAATTTATCCTCCAAAACTTATTTTACATTTGAAAAGGAAGATTTTATAGCATGTAAGAAAATGAAAGAAGGGGTGACAAATCTTGCAAAAATCAATCTTTGGGATTTCATGTTTTTCCAAAAATGAAGAGGGCTAAGACTTGGGCTAGAATTGTTGTTACATATACAAATACACACACAAGTAAATTTGCTAATAATAAAATAAGATTCTAATTACATACAAATAAAATTATTTTTGTTATTGTCCATCATATATTTTTTTGTCACTGGCAAAAAAAAGTGATCATCTACTCAAAAATTTATTTTTGTTATTATTCATATATCATCCAGTAATAATTTAAAAGATTATATTAAATATTTAATTTCTTCTTATTTTCTAAAATTTCTAAAACTTCAAAACTTTCAAAAACCATAATAAAAAGTGAGGTATTTTGACATGGAAATTGCAAGGCTATATGAACATAATTAAAGTTGCATTTACTTTATTGATGTTCTACCTAATTGGCTACATATAATTAAGAAATGAGATTATTAATTTAGAATGCATAATTTTAATCACAATGGTCGATTCAACATGTTATTTAATGGTGTAAATTTATCATTTTAGTATGTTCATCATCAATATCTATTTATTCTTTTAGTAATTGTAATTTTTATTTTGATAAAAAAAAATATATCTACACTTTCAATAATATTACAAAAAATATTATTACAAAATAAATGAGTTTATGGATAAAAATATCCATTCCCAATAACCTTATTTCTCTCAACCCGAACTAACATATTCAATTATTTAGTCCACGAATGATTTTTGCCGCGCAATTCATGTGGACGATGAACTGGCAGCATTTTCTAGCAGTGCCCATCTTCTGACTTCTCCGACGAACATCCAAGCTTCCGGCGACCCGGGGATCGGAGGCAAGATAATGTAAAAAAATGGATTCAAACTAAAAAAAAAAAAATGTCCTAATTAATTTAATTAAGACCACTAGATACAAAATTAAAATTAAGATATTAAGATCAATTGAGCATGTCCTGAATTAGTATGTTCATCAATACATAATCCATCCCCTATGAATAATTAGCATAGCTAATAGTACAATAGAAATATTGCATATATTTTTTTATTAAAATATATATTTTTAATTTTCAGACAAACAGTGAACGAAACCCTAATTCGGTGCCATATATAAATAGCGGTGACCCAAATTCTGTTTTCGTCCTTACAATTCAAACTCACCGCTGCGCCGTTTCTACTCCTCTCTCCTTTCTTCTCGATTCTTTTCTTTCTTCTACTGATCTCTGTTCGTCATTTCTCCTCCACATCGCAACTGTTTGTCTTCAATTTTCAAAGTGAAAAACCATTACAGCACTTGGAATTTTGAGGTAAGAATTACTGTGTTTTCTAATTGACGAAATTGATTTGATGTTGTGCTTTTTATTTTACTATTTTTTGAGCTAGGATTAAGATATGTGGATTCAGTATTCATCGTATTCAGATTATTACCATAAATAAAATTGTATCTTAAAAAAAAAAAAAAAAAAAAAGATGTTTATGCCACTGTTGCAATGATGCGCACACTGCTTGATAATATTGCTTCACAAGTTACAATTTCTTTTGGTATATATGAATATTTCTCATAATGATTGTAATTTAACATATTATAGTGATTGGTATATAGAATTGCTTTACATATATAACAATTCACAAAATTGTTCTAGCTTTTCTCCATATAAGTAATTTATTACACGTGATATGACTTATTACACGTGATATGACGAGATCCTCAGCTTTCGGTGTAATTTGGTATTTATCGCCCCATCAATTAAATAATGACAAGTGTTATTTATTTTTTATTTAAATTAATATATTTTATTTTACACATACTTCAATGATTATTTATTCATTCTTTTAAAAAAAGATGACCGCCGCCTCTCTTTTCTCTTCGTTCGTTGTTGTTTTCGGAATAGTTTCTTTTAAAGTCTTTTTCATTCTATCTCTTCATCGAAAATTCGATGATACACTTTGATTATGCATTACTTTTTCTTTCTCTCCATTCCAAAATTTGGCGCCTAGTGCATCAAATTAGGAGAAAAGGGAGAATGGAGAAAAATAAAGAAGTAATGAATTATAAAGAATTATTCAAATATGTCTAAAAGTTAAAAATGATAATAATAATAATTCAAATTAATATAAGTAACACTTATAACCATATAATTGGTGAGGTGGGAAGGGCTAGGTAACATCTTTTGTTAAGGATTTTGTCCCAAATGTGATGAACTTTGGCAAAGTTCAAAGTTGATGTGATACATGATTTCCTAAGTGCCCTATATATAAATTTCTTACTACAAACATCAACAGATATAAATTGTCAGCAAAAAATAGTGTTGTAAACTTGTTGCCATGTTCTAGCATTGTTTTAAAATTTGAAAATTCAAAATTTTAAAACTCAATCATAGATAATAATTTCAAGATTCTGAATTAGATATTCTTCCCATGTATAATGATTCATATCATGATAATTCACATAGTTACCATGCAGAAAACACACAATCCTGATCCCATATTTAATATATAAATTCAGTTACCTAGAATATTCTCAACCCACCCCCTCCCCCCCTCCCCCTCTTTTTCATATATATACATATATATATGTTTGTGTTATTGATGATTCTTCAGGCAATATACATTGTACTTATTAATTCTGTATTTGAAATATATATACATATATACAATTAAGGAAAATGAATGGGAATGGAAATGGAAATGGGAATGGGAATGGGAATGGGCTGTGCTGTGTGTGCAAGCACCAGAGGAAGATGAGGTGCGAGGAGAACTGTGTATTCGCAGAGCAGCTTCCATTGGAGAAGAAGGAAGATTTCCAGAACCTTCAGAAGCTGTTTGGCGTACAGAATTTGATTAAGATTGTGGGTACGGTTGAGGATCAATCGGAGAAGCACAGAGCTGTGCAAACCCTAATTATGGAGGCAAAGCTTAGGGCACAGAATCCTGTGTACGGCCCCACCGCCGTTCAGGCCAATCTCTCCGCGCAGCTCTCACTCGCCCAGCAGGAGCTCAATCTCGTCACCAGAATGCTCGCCTTCTACAAGGGATCTAAACCATCTTCGTCTTCAGCAGCACCTTCTTCATCTTCATCAGCACCACCTGCTCCTCCATCCTGAATGTTCTATGATCTTCATCTCCATATTATTATTATTATTATTATTATTATTATTATTATTATTATTATGGTTTCGTAAAATACTTTGGAGTATTTTAAACGATTGGATATTTGCAAGCAAAATCAATTGATTTGGCGCGAAAGAAACGGCACCACGTGGTGCATCCTATGTCGCGGTTTCAATGGCATTTTTCTTGTAACACATTTTGGTAGGAAACTCGATTAAAGTAATAAAAATAGAAAGATAGTTGAAAGTATTTTTGAAATTTTAGTTAAAAATTAAAATAAATAAAAATTGAATATAATAAAGCAAATGATATTTGTTATGAATAAGTATTAAATGAATGACAATAGTTAATTATTGATTTGTTGATTTTACTAAAAAATAAATTTAATAGATTGATTAAAAAAGTAGAAATAAATTTTGCCTATGAAAGTAGTATTTTTTATTTAAAATATGAGATTAAAAATATATTTTTAATATGAATCGTTACATTAATATATATTTACATTTAAATAAATATTTATTTTATATTCAAGATTTTATTATTTATAAAACTTCTTCCGAGGGTATATGTGATTTCTATTGTTACCTATAGTATTCTTAATTTATTATATAATTATTTTCAATTAAATTAATAAAGGATAAAATAGATGTTTAGCATGATATTGATTTAGGATAATACTCATCTAAAAAATAATTTAATTGTTGTTATGAATTAAATCATTTTGAATTTAAATAATCATTTATAGCTATATATGTTTGCTATGTTGGATTAGCCGGATTAATTAAATTTCCCTAATATTGCATATAGTAAATATATTCTTAAAACACACAAATAATTGAATTTAATTAAATTAAATAATAGTATTATTCATTTGAATTATTCTGAGTAAATATAAATATTTTCAAGCACTGAATGAGAATTGTGCTTGTACTTATATATTATGGTCTTGGAAAAATATCATTTTTTAAATTTTAATTTAATAATTTTCAAATCAAAGCTTAAAATAAAAATTAAGGATTGAGATTGAATTCAGTATTAGTGAATTAATACTTTCAGTATGTGATCCATTTCGATATACTTATTTTGTAAAGTTAATTAAGACAATATATGGTGGGTATCACGCTCATGCATATATATATATATATATATATATCGAAACAAATTGTTAGGACACAATAAAAGATGAACCGTAAAATTGATAAATAGATAGAGTAAGTATTTAATTCGTATCTGCTCTATGCTATCACACATTAAATGTTTGGTTGTCTGGAAAACTGATATTTCAACATAAATAAATAACAGAAATAATAATAATAATAATAAGAAGAAGAAGAAGAAAAATCAAAATCAAAATAAAACGGCCATTTGTATAGTCTTAAAATTAAATAGTTATTTTTACTGTATTAATTTTAGAAAACCAACAACAAATGTAATTGAGAGTGTTGCCGATCATTTATGATTTTTCCGGTTATTGTATTTGTTTAGTATTTTAATTTAAAATATTTTTTTAATTACTTATAAATAAATAAATTGATAGTAAAAAAAATAATATTATAATAAAAAATATTTTTTTTTATAAATTGATATAGTATATATTATATGATGTATAAATTATTATTCTCTCAGTCCACCGCCTATCTATTTATTTACTTTTTTCATATAAAGTTTAGTATATTAATATTATATTGATATATGGTACAATTGATATACATAAAAACTATTATACTCCTTAGTATTTATGGTATTAAGTAGTGTTATTTGATGGCATTTGTATAATATTATATAAAAATTGAAATAATTTTATATTTTAAAAAAAATAAATATATTTGCAATAGCCAAATTAAAATGGTAAAATTGATAAATTGGCCGTGGAATGAGGATTATTAAGGGAGTATTATTATTATTTGAAAGACCATCCTCCTCCTCATCAAAACAGTGCTGCAGCAGTAACAGCAATGATTCTAGCGAGGTCCGTGACTCTACCAATCAGATTCATCCAAACCACAGATTCTGTAAAAACCTAATCAACCAACGATAGAGATGAAACTGGTTCTGTGGTCCAGGGACTGTTTAGGTAGCACAAATTATAATGAACTTCAGTACTGACAACCAAACAGCTCTCACCCACCAGCCCTCATCCCGCCATTTATATCTCCACGTGGCGGCTCTTCGCGTCCCACGCGAACCACACCCCAATACACCACCCGTACACTCACATTTCCCACTCACATGGAAATGGAGGAGGGGAGAGGAGCCGCCGCGGACGACGACGGCGGCGGCGCGATGGCGTGGCTTGTCGTCGACGAAGAAACGGCATCGGAACTCTCGAACCTTCTGGACTTGTTTGAGGAGCCGCCGCCCCCGCTTAAGGTTAGGTTCATCGACGATCCGTACTCCGCCACCGTCGTCTTCCAGCCATTGCCGTCGGCTTACGTCACCATCAACGGGAACGAGGAGTCCTGCGGGTCGTCTTTCTCCGACTCGGATTCCTCCGTAATGGCCAGCGTCGACCTCGGCGGCGCCGGGAGGCGGTCCGGCGGCGAGCGTGGGCCGGAATTTGCGGAGGCGCGGCGGTGGTGGGGAGAAGCCGCCCCCGGCGATGCTGACGTGGAGTTCCTCCAGTTTTTATCCGACGGCTGCGATTGCAACGATGAGATCGACGGTGGGGATACAATGTGCGGGGAAGAAGATTCTGGATAACCCCCAGGGAACGTTGACTAGGGTTTTGACCTGGCGCGGGTACTGACAGTGGCAGCTTTGAAGTTAGTATTTTTTTTTTTTTTTGTGTAAAGAAAATGGTAAGCCTTGATTATTATGTTAATTCTAATTTTTAATTATGTGGTTTTTATTAGTAGTACAATTTTGGACGTTTCTTTTATTTTTGTATTGGGCCTATAATTGAATAAGCCTATTTGGGCGAGATATTTATTGGGCCAATAGAGTAGAATATATGTTTCTATGATACTGAGCCCAAATACACTTTGGGTCAAATTAAATTTTTATGGGTAATTTAAATGTTTGGTCATTTATGGAGGGAGATAATCAAATAAAAATAGGTAATGATAAAGTGTGGTGCAAATAAAAGATACATAGGATAGGATAGAGATATGTGTTGTGGAATATAATGTAATAATAATAATGGGGTCACAGTGTCGGGGCTTTATTACAACATATCAAGATTAAGAATCAAATTGTCTGTCCATATTATTAAATCCATGGTGAAGATGGAAGTGATTTATTTCTGGGAGAAATAATAATATTAATAATCCTCATATTAGTAACAAATTATTGTGGTGTGGGAAAATTAATTATTTGAAAAGACCATATTAAGATGGCTGGGTGGGTTCATTTTATTAGTATTTTATTTATTTACATATTTAAATCCTCCTTCCCAAAAATATTAAGCAATTAATACTTACACCTGATTACATAATGATACGATGAAATATATAATACTCCCTCCGTCCACGTCGTCGTTTCTATCCGTCTCATATTCCATGTCACTTTCTTTTTTTTGGAAAATGAATTAACACTTTAATTTCATTTTAAATTTTTTAATTTATTTTTTTATTTTAATTAAACTAATTAGTTATCTTAATCTTAATTTATAATTATTTATATTATAGGATAATTATTTTCACTAATACATTCTTAATTATCTACTAATTACATCGTTCTTAAAATACCGTGTCTACAATGTAGCAGACCTGTATATGGGACGGAGAGAGTAATATATATACTCCCTCCGTCCCAAACACCCTGCAATATTTCATTTTTGGTATGTCTCAAACACTCTGCAATATTTTCAATATAAGAAATAATTAATTATATTTAATTTCTGCTTGACACTTTATCTCCTCACATCATCTAAATAAAAAAATAAAATATATATTTCTCTTTCCATCACATCACCTAATTTTTAAATTATCCTACTTAGTACTACCCACCTAAAAACCCATGCCAAAAATAAATGTTGCACCTTGTTTGGGACGGAAAGAGTATTAAATATAGGAAAGAAACAGCATGGTCGATCCAAAAATAGAAACTTACAGTTGGTGTAACATGATAAATAAAACAGTCTCAGAAGCCACGTGCCATTATTTATTTCCCAATTTTGTTTTGTACTGAATCCCCTGTTCATTTATATATATATATTATATATACATACGATTACAATATACTACCAAGTACCAATAATATAATACAGTACATAATACGTATGTATGTTTATATATTTGTGTATTGCACGTTGGCCCCTGTAATAATATTACTGCAACAATGTACCAATAATAGTGTAGTATTGCATAATCAACCCTGTCCGTTTATGTTTCTCTCCCTGAACTACACAAATATTATTATTATTATTGTTTTATTTTATTTTTTCTTTATAATATGAGAATTCACAATCGATACGTCTCGGATAAATTCCGATTGACTCTAATACTCTATAAATTATGTTCAATAAAGTAAATTACACTAGGCGAATAATGTGTGGCAGGTAGACTTAAAGTTATTATTATTATTTTTTTTATAACATGAAAATATGCAGTCGCTACTCGATAACTAAACATAATACGTTACAAACTAGGCCTAACAAAACAAGTTCACTTGTCATCTTCGTGTCTATAGTAACATAGACACTTTTAATGAAATTAAATGAATAAATAGTACTAGAAGATTTAAAAAAAAAAAAATGAAAAGAAACATGTGATTGTCACGTCTTAGTATTTTAAAAATTATGATATTTTATTTAATTATTAGATATTAAAAATTGTAATATTATTTGAGTAAGTCAATTTTTATTACTTTTTAAAAATATTTTACTAAAAATATATACTATAAAAATTATAAATAATTGATTTTATTAAAATTTATAATTAAGTAAAAAGAACACGTTGATTCAGTTTAATTATAAAAAAAAAAAATTATACTATTTGAATTATTGTAAAAAGTTATTATAGTAACAACAAGTGTAAAACACACTGTGGGACCTCACATTATTATTATTATTATTATTATTATTAACTAACACTTTTAATTTAAAAATATTATATTCAAATAAAAACTAAAAACGAAAATATGAAACCTAAACTATATTATTTATTAATTAATCTCAATGTTAATAAAATAAATATATATTGGTGTGAAATTGCAAGTTCAACTACAGAGCTGTCATTATATTTTTTATTTTTTATATCAATTAATTCTTTTTTAAATAAATAAATATAGTTATATATCGTTTATGTTTATTATTTTTATAAATTAATTTATCTTAAATATATAAATTATTTGGATTATATAAAGTTTTATTATTCTAAAATATAATATTGATATGGAATTCGGCCTTTATTAAAGTATTACTCTCATTTATAAAAATATCTTAATTCAAAGTCAATTTCTACTTCAGTTCCCAAATTACAATAAAACACTCCCTAAGTTTATACAAAACATTCATAAAAGAAATAAATCTTTGCAAATTTAAGTGCTTGCTTTTTCTTGGGTCAAATTTTGTGGTTTTGATTTGGATCTTTAATTATTTCTAATCAAAATTTTGCAATTTTTGTTTTTAAAAAAAAAAGATTTCATTGATTTTCTATAATAAATGTGTAAATATAGTTTTGCCGCAATGAATATTGTGAAGATGATTTATATATCTGAATTTGGGATCAAAATTTAAATAATTGTCTTATGCACATTTTAACAAAAAATATTTGTTTATGAATTATACAAATGATAGATTATTATAAGTAAGAGATAATTATGATCTCTAAACTTCGTATTATTAAGAAACTTTATTATATTTATGCCTCCACTTAAAATATATAATTGACATCATGCTAATTTATACCTTCATATTATATACAATTTTATAATTAGTCGGGAATTATTACTGTGCTAATTTGAAGAAATCAATATTACGTGATATCTGTTAGTGCACAATATCCTATAGTACTGTGTTTGAATTTTGAAATTCATCAAAGTAACAAGGACCTAATTAACCACTTGCTTTCATGCAATATTTATCTATACAAGTGTTTAATTTATCCACATTAATCCAATATTTAATTATTAACGAGTAGGGAGATGTCATAATTATTAGTCTTGTAAAGCTTGCCCTCTATAATAATTATAGTTATATTTATATATAAAATTTCTGGGCTAGGGGAAAAAGTTGGGTAAATAAATAATTCATCATAAATTCCGACGAAATTCTTCTTAGATTTGCAAATCAAAATATGGGCCATCTTTTCATTATTTATCAATTTGAATAATAAGAAAAATAATAGAATGACTTTTTTAATAAAAAAAAAAAAAAAAAACATTTATAGTGATTTGATGCAACAAACGCACACAAATATAATAAATAAATAAATCCCAGCTGAAATTATTGGAAAACAAATAAAAAAATATGAAAAAAAAAAAAGAAAAGAAAGAAAAACACATGCAAATCTATTTATCTCTATCTCTGTCTATACATACTTACATATAGATATAAATTTATACATATATAGCAAACTAGCTAATATGGGAGCAATGATGCAGATTTATTTAGAAAATAGGGACATCATTAACCTTGTGAAAAAGGGCATGATTAGGCAATGCACAATTAATTACAAGTAATGGTGAGGTCAGATGAGGTAATTAACAAAAGTAGGAAATGTACACACACCAAATTTAAACACTTGTCACAGAAACAATGGCCAGTCAAAGAATATAATTAAAAGGTAAATCATTAAAGTTTTAATGATAGTTGGATATAATTTATACTACTATATATTAGTAGTAGTCTTTATGGTAAGAAACCCCACAAGAATAGAAGAATCATGGTTAGTGAAAGTAACACAACAATGATGATTATTCATATATATATATATATATATATATAGATAGATAAAATAACCCCACCCCACAAATTGAAATTGTAGTAAACATGTTTTAATTTGCTTAGCCTCTAAGGGGGAGAGATGAGTTGTGGGGCATCTAATTAATCATTTCAATTACAAGTTGAATTCTTAAAAAATTTCCATTATTACAATAATGTATATATGTATGAATGTAGACTACTCAATCATCAAAGAGTGATTGAAACCCTGATGAGGCAAAAGAGACATAAAGTGGACCATTCCTATATTTTTTTGGGAGGAAGTACTGCAAAATGTTTTACAATAATAGAGTATTGATCATCAACAGCTCTATTGATTTTGACATTTCAATGTTACCCAACAACAATACCCTACATAACATATATAGATATATATATATATATATCAACCCAACCAAAATAAATAAATCCCACTTTTTTTTTTTTATCTTTTAAGAAAATTAAATAAGTTATCATTTACGGAATAATGCTTCTGCTTTGCCTTTCTGGGTAAAATATGCTACTACTTATTACACAACAAAAAAAACCACTTATCTGACATAACTACAAGATTAGTAATGAACATAATAATAATAATAATAATAACTTAGCTAGGTAGAATCAAGAAATTGAATATTGGGATCCAGAGACAGTCCCATGTAGATTTGTTTGTGGATATGTGAAAGTGTCAATTTCATATATTAAATTTCTTTTGTACAAGTTAGGGAACCATTCTTTTGTCTCCATCAAATTGTGACAGACAAAATCAAATATTTTCAGAAATGATATGGTGTCTAGAGAAATCTATTACACTCCCCACCCCAAGTGGGTATTGAAATGTCTCAGTTAATGGCAGAGGTAATCAAACATGGATGGAGAGGGTGCAAGAAGAAGAAGAAGAAGAAGAAGAAGCATTTATGCTACTTAGTTAATTAAAGACATTATTTTGGTAATAGGTGATAATTATTCTCGATCTGAATTTAGTTCCAATGAAATTTTGCACAAGATATATATATATATATATGTATGTATGTATGTATATATAGTGATTATCTTATGGGGTCCCCTGCAAAGGCAATTGGCAAGTGCTTCTTCACTTACCTCTACCTTTAATTTGACTCTAGTATATATCTATCTGCTTCCAAGATTCTTTCCCAGCTCATTTTCTGTCCCCCTTTTCTCTGCATTCACTCTCATTTGGTTCCCATCATCAGGGCTTGCCAAAAATTAAATCTTTTTTTCTGTTTTTCACCAAACCTAGCTTTGCTGATATATATATATATATATATATATTATTCACTCTAGTTGGTTGGACGTGTGGGTGTACTGTAATGTAATGTAGTTAATCACATGGGGTGGGGTGGGGGGCATTTTGAATTGGCAGGACTGAACATAGTCCAAATTACTAAGTTGACGTGGGACCTTAGTCATGTCCGAAAATGGGTCCATAGGTGTTGCTTTTGAGGCTGTTATTTGAAGAAGAAGAGGATTAGTGATAATATACTCCATGAGAGCATAGGATGCCAATGTGACAAGAAATTCAAGGGTTACATTACAGGGCGCAATCAAGAACAAAAACAAAAACAAAAACAATCACACTACTTATTTATTAATTAATTCAATAGAAGATGAAATAAATTTGATAATCAAGAAAGCTATCTATCTTATAATTAATTAATGCAATTCCAACACACGTCTCTATCTCCACCTCATCTCTCTTACCTTTCGTTTTCGTTTTCATTTTCCCCCAAGACATGTTTGAGCCTTCACTGTCCTCTTCAAGAATCAAGAATCAATAATCAATCCTAATAAGACACAGAATTAAGATCAAATGGATTATCTCTGAGATTAATGTAAATAAGTAGATAGTGGTGATAATTAAGCATGTTCCATTCTCATATTCTGCCAAAACCAAAACCAAAACCAAGAATAAAAATTAAAACTTTAAAAAGGAAAATAAAAAACCCAAATTGGAAATAAATAAAAAAAAAAATACCCCAAAAGAAAAATCAAAGGTCTGACTAGTTTAATTACTAATGCTGCTGCAACAAGAAATGATCATATTCATATTCATATTCATATTCATACACCTGCAGTAGTACTAGAGCTGTAATGTTTAAGAATCCTGTTGGCTTCTCTGAGCCCACTGAAGTATGCCCCGTGAGTGGTCGAGTAGTGTGTTCTGTGCGTGGCTTCTCCGGCGAATAGAATTTGCAGCGGCGGAGTTGATTCATGGCTGCTTCTTTGCGGCAATGGCTCCGCCAGTGTGTCCATGTCGTCTATGGTTGATCCCACGGCGATGTAGCTGTATGATCCGAGGAAGAGGGGATTCGACCCCCATCGGGTCCTCATTACCTTCCCAAACTTGATCTGATTCCCATCGGGGACTGCTGCTCTTCCCTCAGCCTTGATTTCATTCCCATTGCAGAGCTGATCGCCATTTTGATGATGGTGATTATGATATTGATGAATCTTGTGATTGGATTTTGATGGCAACAAGTTTGAGAGAGTTGCGGCGAATCCCTGGATGATTTCCTCCTCCGGGAGGGACTCGAGCTCGAGGGCATCTTCCCCGGTGAACCAGGACAGGACGACTCTTGAATTCTGGTAGATCGGATGCAAGAAGGATGTCCTCCTGATCCACTTAGGAATCTTGTGGCTCCTGAATTCGGAATCGGGTTTGTGGAACACCATTTGCAAGAAGGGGAGCTTTACATCCTCGGATTCCTGATCAACCTCCAAGAACACCTTGTTCACAACCCCGTAACCAAGCCTTGAAATCGCGCCGGTCTTCACACTTGACAGTGGAGGATCAAACATGCCACAATCTTGGCTAACCCCACGCTTCAGAACTCCCAGCGAAACTGTGACGATCACGTGATCCGCAGACATGGTGGATCCGTCGGAAAAATGCAGCACCACCGGTCGGCTTTCATGGCCGTGGCCATTTTCCGGGTGGAGTGAGCCGTTGGTGCAGCCGCCGCCGGCAGGCTGCCATTGGATCCTCTCAACTTTCCGGCCTAATTGGATCATCCCTTCCGGCAGGACAGAAGCCAAAGATTCGATTACGCTGGAGTAGCCTCTGGCTATGGTAATCTCTTCCCCGGGAAACATTACATACTCTCTCTCAGCATTGTAATCCAAAGTCCCCAAATCGTCGGCCGACGTGAAAGTCCGCTGTACGCTCTCGTTCATCGCGTAAATGGCTTCCTCCAGGCTGTTCCTGGTCCAATTCCCAACGCCGTTTACCTCCGGGCGGTCGGCCGGAAAGCCCCAATAAGCCTCCAAACCCTGCCGGAGAAAAGCTCCGACGCTTAGGGTTCCGTTCTCAGCCCCCAAACGGCGCGACAGCTGCGTCAACATTTCGGAACTCAGCCCGATTTGGTCATCAATCGCCTTTCCCTGAATGAAATTCATCAGATTCTCGAACAATCTGGAGACAGGGTCGACGAGAGATGGATTGAGGACATGCCCACCTTCGGCTGCAGTGACGAGATCTTCTCGAATCCCGTCCATACACTCCCATGGCTTCTCAGAGCGGAGCAGCCCCGATTCCTGCGCAATTTCGTAAACCGGACTGCCCTCAATTCCATGGATCCAGGTCGCCCCCAACTCAATCCCGTCCCCGCAAAACTCCGACGAATTAATCCTGCCGCCAATCCTGCTTCCGCCCTCCACAATCATCAGCTCGAAAAGCTGCTTGGAGCTGCTCGATTTGTAGAGCTTGTTGGCAGCAGTGAGCCCTGCCATCCCGGCTCCAATTATCACAATTCTGGGCCTTTTCCCCACCATTTTCCTCCTCACGATCTGCACAACAAGCAAAGGCGAATCAATCAATTACAACCCCCCAAAAAAGGTCGATCGATGAGTTATGGCGACCAGCTGCGAGTAAGTGAGTGGGTGAGGACGAAGTGAAGAACAATCAGTTTACTGGAGCGGATATATAAGGCGAAGGCCTATTTGTGCTTTGCGATGGAATCCCTCCTCACTTTTGTTTTTCGTGTTCTTCAATGAACAGTTGTTGTAACTTAATTTAAAAGCCAAATTAATAAATAAAATGACAAGATGTCGCATTTCCCCCATCCTTTCCTCCCACCACGTTTTTATAAACATAACCTCCTTGTACCGAACACGTTTTTTCCAACCCTAGCCATGTCTGTCTGTATGGCTGTACATACATACATACATACCTATCGACTATACATTACTACATTAATTAGTTGGTGCAGTGTTGGATGAGCCCTCCTTTCTGCAAGCTGGCCAGTCAAATGACGACTGACACCCACGAACGTAATAAATTACTACTTAATTTAGTCATCCTGTGTCATTAATTCAATTAATTACTATCATTAAGGAACCTACATCTGCATTAATAATTAATTACTCAAGAAATAATAATAATAATAATAATAATAATAATAATAATAATAATCACCAACCACACATGTGAAATGAGTAAACGGACGGCCCACCTCAACTGAAACCACACTCTCAACGGTCCTCGTTGGTCAATGACTTTCACTCTCTCTTTCATTTTACACAATCGATCTCCGCCCTTCCTTTATACTGCTTTTACACCCCCAGGATCGTGCCACGTGTTACTTAATTAATTTGGACGAGATGAAAAATATATATAATCATTATTGACAAATAAACAATCAGGTTATTTAATTTCTAATTGATTTGTGACAACATATATAAATTGCAGGATAATATCATTAGTATTTGACTTATTGGCGTTATTAATTATGCAGTATATCAGAAAGATATGCTTAATTAATTAATTAAATAATTTTGATGGTGAATTGAATTGAATTGAATAGAATAGATAATTAAATAAAATTAAACAACAGCGGCCGCATCCAATCTTCATAGAATGCAGTGAAGATATTGGAGCATCTTGATTTGATTTTAAATGTTGGAAAGCCATAAAGGGTTTGGATTAAAGGAAATCATCCAAATCCAAAGTTGCATTGAAAGAGACTTGATGTAATTTTTGTTTCATTTCTTTTTTTTTTTTTTTTTGTTACATACTAAATTAATTAAAGATCATATCGTCCATAGGGCCATAATTTGATTCAACTTTAATTTCTTTTCATATGGATAATAATATTAATAGTAGTAGTAGTAGTAGTAGTAATAATAATAATAGGTTCCTTTTTTGCGTATAATGATTTGTTGATTGCCGTGGATCCCATCCCACAATGTAATAATGAAAGAAGATGCCCCGAACGAAGCTTAATTGTAAAATTCAATAATTAATAATGCTTAGAGGGATCGATTTGAAAGCTAAACATGTTGTAATGATGCATAGATAAGTTGACTACCACAATGTCCATCATGCCATCACGTAACAATATAATTAATATATATATATATAGGAGCAGCTGTTATATGTCAAGTAATATATGGTACACGAGTGATCAGTGTATATTTATGCATATCTCACTACATTTATAATACATCAGATATTATATTATAATTCAGAATATGTTATCTTATAACATAATATATGTTCAGATATGTATAAATATATGTCGGTCACTCCTATAGTATATATATTGATTCAATCAAATTAGCATCATATTGACTTAGTCGGATCCATACTAAATTTGCAACCCATATATATTTATATATCATTGTGAAAAATAATACTCCCTCCATCCCAAAAATAAGTATTCATTTGCTTTTTGGACGTAATTTTAGAAATATTAGTATTATATTGGACTACAGTAGGAATAAGTTAGAAATGACTAAAATAACCTTATTAGTATATGTGATATAAAGATAATGACATTTGTGTAATATATTATAAGTTGTAAGGGTATTTGTAATGTTAGGTAGATAATACAATTACTAAAAAAATAAATGAATATTTTGTTATGGAACGGAGTAAAATGAAAAAATTGATACTTTGTTATGAGACGGATGAAGTAATAATAATAATTTGGCTTCTGAATTAATCCACCTCCATTAGTAAATTATTATTTTTATTTTTATTCCTTTGAGTTCCAAACCCTAGCTACTCGATCACCTTGAGCACCCAAATTCACACACACACATATATATATATAAATATATATAGAGAGAGAGAAAGAGGTTTGTATATATGGGTGTGCATTTAATGAAGGCTATCTTGACTAGTGGACTTCATTAGGTCACTTGCAATTTTCCGGATCAACTAACGAGATCAAATATATTAATGTATTTTTATTTTTTAAAAATGACTCGATAATCCGCGGTTACCTGACAAATAAATCATAGTAAGCGAATCATGTATAATAGATTACTTGAAACATCGAAATTTGAACCATAACCTCAAGGTCAGAAGTTCATTCATATATCATCATAGGCTATTCCTAACTTCTTTATAGAATTATTATAAAAAAATATTTTTATTTGTCAAAACAAAAATATAGATCCACATTAAAATGTATATGTCAAAAAATTTAAGCATACATTTAGATGATATATATAATATATTTTAATTATAATATTTTTCAATAAAAATAATTTACTATATAAATATAAAAATAGAAATAAAGGTTTGTTTACTATATATATTTAATATATTAAAACATTTTTAAAATAAAATAACATAATATATTTATCTCAAGTATATACGAACACCATATATTTTCACATAGGATTGTTTACTCACACACACATTTTTTAATTTAATTATATATTTTTTTTTTTAAAAAAAAGCATCTAGTACACATTTTTCATTTAAAAATACTACTCCCTCCGTGCCATTAGAAGGGTGACATTTATTTTTTTACGTAGATTTTTTAATATTAGTATTATATTGGATTATAGTGAAAAATACAAAAATACCCATATTAGTATGGTGTAATGTAAAAGTAATGACATTTATGCAATATATTGTAAGTTGAAAGGGTATTTATTATGTTAGGTAAGTAATACAATTACTAAATTAAGAAATAGTAACCTTGTTTTGAGACGGACGAAAATAAAAAATAGTAACATTTCAGTTAGACGGAGAGAGTATTATATTTTAGCTACTATTCCCCTTTTTTTGGTTTTTTTTTTTTTATAAAAAAGGAAAAATATATATACCTGGGGATGTCAACGGGGCGGGTTCGGGACGGATTTTGCAGACCCCGGGACTCGCCCCGCTAGAAAATATTAGGACTCAAGACCCGCCCTGCCCCACTTCAACCCGGCTCCAGGATCCGTCCCATCTCGAACCCTCTGAATTCGGGGCCAACCCGACAAATCTGTTTTTTTTGTTTTTTCAAAAAAAGAATAAAATATTTTTTAAAAAATAATTTAATACTAAAAAAAAGTATGCGTCAAAGTACCAAAAAACTACCGTCCTAAAAATAAGAACAATCAAATATTGATCATAGTTCGCAGCGATGGCGGTCAGCTGTAGTCGCAATTATAAAGATAATGATAAGAGAAACAAATGCGAACATAAATTTGATTTAGAATTAAAATTCTATTTTATATTTAAAAATTTTTAAATAAAAAATAATATAATTTATATTGTATAAATAAATAAATTATAATAATTATTAAAATATCCGGATTCGGGTTCAAAGTGAAGTGGATTTATAGTAAAATCCGTAACTCACCCCGAACCGGCCGGATCGAAAACTCAAAATTCACAACCCGCCCCGAATCAAATTTTTTAAACTCGAACTCGCTCCATTAAGACCGGATCCGAGGCGGATGCGGGGCTACCCCGCCCCATTTGACATCCCTATATATACGCACAAGTAAACAAACCCTATCTTTTATTTTCCCCTTACCCTTTTCATAATGCTTTCATTTACTCTTACTTTTCACAATTGAAATACTTAACCGACACACAGATTAAATTTAATCCTTATCTTGGATCTAAAAAATAGTTGGACTGTAGCATATATTTTATTTGGTAACCATGACGATCCTTCAGTTATTATTGGGAAGGAATTGGTGCTTAATTTTGTATCTTTATTTTATATTAAAACAAAAATTAATTTTGTGTCAAGAAAAATATTTAATACTATATTTTAAATTAAATAGGCCCAAAAAAAAAAAAACTCCAAAACCAGTCCCAAAAAAGTCTTGAGCCACACAACACAATGTACATATAATTTGTCCGATCAATAATAATAATAATAATAAATAAATAAAATTGTGCTTTGATTATCCTTAAGATGGATATATATAGAGATTAGGTAGCAACTCAGTCCAGATTTATTGGCACACATTTCACTGATCAAAATATTTCTTGTCTTTCTTAAATATATAATATATATTTATGAGATGAGTTGATTTTTAATTTATCGAATATATAAATATATATTTTATTGTTCAATCTCAATCATTGATTAAAATTAAATAATTATTATTATCAACACCGAATAAAAAGCGGTTTATGGAAATAGCTTAGCAACCTCCCCAAGAAAAACAACATTTGAGATTTATTGTAATTTGGGCCAAATGCCCACTTACTAAAAATGGATCGGATCCTAATTCCGGACTTCTCGAAAGAGAGGAATTTTGTGGGTCCGGATCTGAACCCGATCCTCCAAAACCCAACAATTAAAAATGGATCGAATTCATTGACCCAGATCGTTGTTGATAGGATCCGACCCGAAAGTGCTCAATAATAGTCCGAGTATAAATACCTTTTCAGCGACCCTTTTGGCGGGAAATCGAACTGCGTCTCTACTCTTCTCTGATCTGATCCCATGTCGAGGCTTCCGGAGATAAACTCTCTCTTCGCGGCGGTCGGGTCCTACCTCCGATCTCAAGACTCGACGGCGAGAGTGGATGTAGATAGTTCTGTCTCTGATCTGAACCGGTCACTCAACTTGCACGAAGTTCCTAGGGTTCGCATTCTGGACACTGCGCTGTCTCTCATGTGCTTCACGGCTCCTCAGGTCGGCTCCGATGATGCTGTAAACATTAATACAAAAATTTGAATGTGACAAATGTCGTAACTTTCGTTGATTCGATTGCTTTTTTTATCGATTTGTTTGTCTTAATTATGATTTATTATTATTGTTGTTACTTTTACTAATTTTACGCAGGTCTATGATTCGATGATTGAATTTACTTTGAAAACAATTGTTGCTACACTTTCTTCTTCGATTGAGTGCAAGATGCTGACTATCGACAAAGAGCAGGTCTTAAGAGTGGGAGGAATGGTGTCAAAAAGTGACTGTGCTGATATTATGGAAGCTTGTGTTGACATTTTAAAGAAAATAGAGGGACAGAAAGGTTAATCTATGCTTTATCTTTCCATTCTCATCTAGTACTGATTTTTATGTCGCATGATCTTCTATAGATTTTGCCTGAGCGATGTGGATATCTTACATATTGTTTAGACATTCAACAAAATTATCAAACAAGAAATTAGCTTCAAGCAAGCTTTTCAGTCTCTATCTATGATATGGGAACTCTATAGACATCTCTCTCATGATTTAAAGGGGAAGTCCTGAAATCATATAGTTCACTAGCATTCATTACCCTGCAATGCCATCTATAATATGTTATAAGTACATCACCCATGAAATACCATTTTGATAGGCTAAAGAAATACAAATACCTGAGATATGCACAGGCTCTCTAAACATCTCATGATCCCAATTGTAAATTATTCAGAACATTATCCATATCCATATTTTGTGCTGCAGGGGATCTATGCAATTCACTCTTATATGCTGTCATAAGAATGGCATCTCTGGCTCCCTGTTTTCAGCGAGTAACACCATCAAGTATTAATTTTGGAATGAAGATCAATGATCCCAGAATTTTGGCTGCTGCCAACTTACTTGGCCATGGTCGTGATGAATTCAACTTTGGGAATGAAGTGGTACCTTTAAGGTGTGTGTGCTAACTTTGAGTATTAGCTGGACTCATTGGCTAGTGATTCCATATGCCATGGTAAAAATTGTTGTTACTGTCAGATACGTTATACGGTTACCTTAATCTTACTTTTTATAGGACTCTAGTGTTTAACTTCAGGAGCAACGCAAGAGGGAAAGACATGCTTTATTCTGCTTTATAATTTTCTCCTGCTGCAGCTAATGCGTGCTTTAAAATCTGTTGTTATCATTGAATAAGCAACATATTAAAGCTCTCATCTGACTTGGTTTGTTTCATCAGAAAATCTTTATCGATTTTGAATCTTTTTTTTATTTATTGTTTGAATGTTTGATTCTGATTTGATCTATTGTGCATTTTAAAATCATTGAATCAGTAAGTTAAGGAATACAAAGATGTAAATTGATTGCAAGGTTCAAGCTTAAGCATTTGTCCATGCATAGTGCACTTGGTGTTCCATGATGTTACTTTGGTTCTATAGGAGTAAAACTTATTGCTTAAGGATCAGAATACAGCCTTTAATTAGTGAGTGTAAAATTTTGTATGTATCTATCATTGCCCACTTATAAATCTGAACTATACGGAATTAAAAAATCATGTATACGAGGCTTAGTTTATGATATCTGTAAGTGGCAAATATGGCTAAAGCTTTTCCACCTCTGAAATATATTGTTTTGCAGGTTGCTGTTATGGCATTTAGATCCAATAAATTTGAAGAAAGATATATCCGAAATTTTGCAGGAAATTGTGGAAAGGCCCTTTCTTTCTTTCAGCATGGAGATACACAACAGACTAGAGTGGAGATCCAAGTTACTTTGCCTCGTGGTTTCTCCCGTAATGTTCATTGAGACAAGGGCCTTGTTGCATAGTTGGTTCTTAATGACGTAAGTATAATATCTTTATGTAGAAAATTTGAGTATATCATTAGACAGTGAAATTCCACCAGATAGATAAAAGCGTTAAGTGGATTTTAATTATTGTTAGCATTCTATCATAACAGTTACATTCATGCTGAGTAATTACTCCTATTGTAAGCGGCCTGATCCAAAAAATTATCAAATGTTATATCATTTGAAATAAAATGGATGCAAGATCATTTTTTGAAAACAGAAATCTCATTATACCACAATCTATCTTGTTTCCTTTAAACTTGATGCTCAATAAAGATCATGGTTATGATAATCATACTACTGTTGTACTCAAGTGGTGAATTGCATTTTGTTACAGGGGTTTGGCTTCTGTAATGGAATTACAGATCGACTTTGCTCAGCAAGTACTAGATGTGATTTCCAAACCTATGTGGTGGGGTTTGTCAATGGAAGTTGGATTGAAGCTCCCATTTTCTCAAGCATACTTTCCCCATGAACATCATCTATCTAGAATTTTGGCTGGACCTATTTGTCATGAATACTTTCAGCTTTTGCTTAACAAACTAGATGGTCCAGAAGCTCTGTATGGGAGCCATTTACGCACACATTCAAAGGAAGCTGAAACCAAGTTAAATGCAATAGATCATAAATCTGTGTGGTACATTTTTCTGTTCAAAACAATATCATTTGAGCCCCTTTATTTTTTAATCTTTAACTGTTTATTTTCTTGCTTTTCAGGGCTTTGGTGTTGAACTTCCCTCAATGGTTCTATTTTGCAACAATGTTGCTCTTTTACAATGAAAGTGCTACTGAAAGTTTCAGTTCTGCCACCATTGCTCTGTCAGCCAAACCTTATATAATGCATGATGTTCAAGTATCTAAGTCTACTGCTGCAGCAAGATTTATTGCATGGTTTCTGAACCCTATTGATCTGTCATTCCAGTCTCTCATGATTGATTGCCTGGTCAAAATGTCAGAAGTATGGACTTGGAAGTGCTCCAGCTCAACTAAATGTGACAAGGGAACAAGAGTTCATGGGAAGCAGATTACAAGGTTCAAATTACTAGATAAGGATGAAAAAAGTTCCAATGAGGGCAATACCTGGACAGTTATGTTGTGGCTTGGTGAACTTAAAAGCATGTATACTAGGTTCTTAGGAACAAAATCTAACACTTTCATCTCCAATACCAAAGAGCTTGGCACTCTCCAGTTCCTGTTAGTTAGGAGGATCCCATTAGGCATCTTGCTTGTGCATCTTAACCACCTAGATGAAGCAAGTTGTTCTTTAATTTTGCATTATGCAGCTACTGGAACCATCCTCAAGCTCTCAGACAAACCAAATATGGTACAAAACCAGAAAAGATGGAAATATAATCAGTGTGCGGACTCAGCTAGGAGGTGGATTGAACAGTGTACCCAATCTGAAGCTGTTGAAGGATGTAAAACTGTCTTTCACATAACAGATGTGGCAGAAACTATTTCTCCTTCTAAATTCGAAACTGAAGAGGATGCACTGAATTTCATTTTCCAACTGAAACTTAAGGCAAGCAATTATTTGTTGATGTGTATTAAGAGGTTACTTCAACTCAATATCGATGATGAGGGCATAAATATGCAAAGGGATCTATCTGCAAGGCTAGTCAGGTGGAGACGCCAGGGAAAAGATGTATGTCCAAGTAAGGATATGGATTTCGTGTGCAATGCTTTGAATATCTAAGAGCTCATAACCTAAAAGAAGGGATTGCAATTGTGTAGAAAATGTTCATCACTCACTACAAGCTACACATGTGATCAGGTAATCGACAAGGACAAACAATACAGGAGTATATAGACCACTGAACTTTGTAATTATTGAAATTTTCTGTTCTATAAGTTGCCTACATTTATTTTTCTGGTACTATGCATCATTTTACAAATCTGGCCCTATGCTAACGAAGGCCCTGTTCCCACTACCTTGCCTGTATATTCAAGGTGGAAGAATTGTGGTATCTATTGCTGTTGGAAGAATCTATTGCCTGGACCATTGTCATCTCCAAAACAATCAAGAGGCTTGCAGAGCTTCAGAAACAAAGACTGAAGATAAATAATTGAATATATAGAATCCCTGTATACCCTGTACGCTGTATTCCAGTTCATACTGTTCTCTTAACTAAAGAGATTTTTGATGGGTCACCTCCCCATTCTTCAAACACCACTAACAGGTTCCCTCTTGGTTTCATCCATGAACGTGGAAGGTGGTACCTGCACATTCACAGTTTTACAAGGGTGTTATAAAGTCTACTCAAATGAACCAGGTAATATACATTCAACTGATCATGAATTTTTTTAATTTTACCATCTCTGAGATGGCTGACCACAATTCCTCCTGCATTTCTTCTCAGTGAATGTGCCATTGTAACTGCACCCACTACATTGCCCTGATGCTAGGTATCCAGGCCAGTGCCTTCCAATGCTGTTTCCGTTAATCCACACTTCCCCTTTTGCCATGCTGGCCATATCCAATCCCAGTGGATCATTTCCTTTAGGCGCATCGAATGTTGCCTGGAAAAGACCAAAACAGGATCATGTCCATATTAGCACAAGTGTGCATCAGGTAGATGAAGATGTTGAATCTTGATTAAAGATTTATTTTAAATGTGCTAAGCCATGGCTCACTCTATGCCAAGTCAGAGGTTGCTTTTGAGCAAACGCTGATCCCTCTACCCACTTAACAGAAGAGCTTCCACCAATAGTGTGAAGCTGTAGTGATTCACCTTTCAGTCCAACCTATCCATGCCGAATATGCAAGGGTAAATCCAATAATGCTTTATTCTTGTATTAACTGTATAAATATTTAGAACTCATGACATTTATGGATCAGGATTAACCTTGTAAGACCATCTCTGATTGGACAAGTCTCGGGTCCCCTCATTGACACCCTTCAAAGTGACCGGACCAAGAACTCCTGTGTTCCACTTCTCGTAGTGCAGGCCTCCATTCTGAGATGGATTGAATGAAGTTGATTTGGTAATTGTTCCATCTAAACCTAGTTCTGTGTATAATTGTGAAGATTTTAACAAACCGGTAGGCCAACAGTGATGCTAAGCAATGATATCTTGTTAACACCAGCTCTCAAGTTCACATATCCCCTAAAAGTAAGCTTTGGGCTCTTCAGGCTCCCGTACACGCTCCCTACAACAAAACGAGAAGCAGCTTATGAACATGAAAATGGCTGTGGCATAGTGTTGAAGAGAGGATGAACAACAATGTACCTGACCACTTGCCATTGATGAAGACATTTAAGGCATGGCCTGCTGACATAACCGTGAGTTGCGGCCATTGTCCAGTCTTTAGGAACCCTTCATTGGAAGATATGTTAACTCTGCAAAAAGCAGCAGGTACTTAAGGTAACGGTACATAGCTTCCAGTTTGGAGAGATTATATGTAGCCACAAATAGCTATGACAAAACTTACTGTATCAGGTACCATAAATAATCAGTGTTGTCTCTGGTAAGATTTGTTTGCTCCAACAAGCCTGCCACCTTGAGTGCATCATTGTCTTCAGCAGAAGGAATCTCTTCACTGTAAGACTGCCATTTTAATTCAACACCTGCAGGCACCATCTGCGCCGTGGAGCTTTTGGAGGTAATCTGCAACATTATTGTAATCCAAAATTACAAAACATGACTGTGATTCATATTTGCTCGCCAACCTATCGAGGTTATCTTCTTACTATTGCAGTATTATAAACTACAGTCTTGCAGTCAGGCAGGATACTGATGGACCATGGCGGCAACTCATATTGCACATTGCGAAATGTCAAGTTTGTAGGATACATCGGGTCATAGTTGGAAAGAAAAGCAGCACATTCTCCGGTCTTGGAGGTGAACGCATGAACCTGGGAACAGAAACAGGTGATTGATAGTATTGTAGAATGAGTTGGCCAGAGAAATTTTCATGATTTCTAAACTACCTCTTGGTTTCTTCCAGGCCATGAAATGTTGGGATAAGATGAAACTAAAACCGGTTCGCATTGCTTAATCGCTTTATGTAAATTCCTCAGGTGCCCCCATTTTGGCTCGTTTAGAAGTCCTATTTGGTTCCCATACAAACAGCAGTGCATAAACTTAAGTCAGAGTCACACACCATGTCCAGGCAAGGCATACAGTATCCTGATATCAGATGTTACCATATTCATCTATTGGCGCATCGTAGTCATAGCTGGTGGCAACGAAAAGACCAGCTGAAATCCGACCAAGATTAGTTCCTCCGTGGTACTGCAGGCAGCCGAGCAACAAAATGTAAGTCACATTTCTTCCAAATTCATTTCTAATCCTTGGACAATGCTCCCAAATGGAAAACTAAAATTACCATGTAATAGTTGAAGTACGAACCATTATTCTGGACGAACCTCGCCACAGCAAAGGCCAAGTCTTCGACCGGTCTGTGGGTAGATGTCTCACCAAACTGTGTAAACCTAACAGACAGACATACAGGAGATAGAGTGACCTGATTGAATTGAGGATTCAATGATGAAGATCACAACTGATATCTCAAATCATTCACCATCCAGTCCAGGCTTCGGTCCACATCTTGGGCTTATACGGTTTGTTGGGATGAAAATTTTCACAGTAGAAGCCATTGCAGGTATCGATCTGCAGAATTTACACAGTAAATGGAAGAAATTTGTAGGTAAAAGTTCTTACAGGGAGACGGTAGGAAGTCTTTACAATGGGATCAGGAGCAGTGTCTTGTTTACACATAATCCATGGAACACCGGTGTCCAATTCGAGAGCCATTTTAGCTGCCCACAGAGTATAATTTGTGCCAGGAGCCCCGATTTCCCATTCAATCGGTCCGTATTCATTCTCTATCTGCATTTTCATTTCATAAAGATGATCAAGAGCCAAAATGGATTCATGGAAAGTAAAGCTAATGGCAAGCAAAGATTTTGAACCTGAGACATGATTATTGGCCCTCCTTGTGGCCCAAACAACTTCTCCGACTTCATCAACGAGACGACCTTTTCTACAAACCGTTGCATTGCCACCTTCATCACAATCCAACAATGAAGGAACGAACAATCAAGAACGTCGTTAATTGAACAATGTAATCAACCTATGCATTCAGTAAACAAGCGGGAGCAACCTCGAACGATGTATTGTTTGTCCTGAACTCTATTCCCGGCACATATTTCAGCCAAACAGGGAAGCCCCTGCATCGAAAACTTGTAAGTATGTTCCCAATCAAAACTAAACTACAACATTGGCAAGTGAGATTACCCAAAATTCCATTCAGCACAAACATGAGGGCCAATCCTGAGATGAACATAAAGTCCTGCCTGATGTACAGTCTTGATGAACTTGACAAGATCAAACCTTCCCTCAAAATGATACTGCACATACACACAAACATAAAACAAAGATTGATTGATTAATTGATTGGCTGGCTTAAGTCATCTTCCAAAATCAATTGCAAGTTAGTTACTTGTCCAGGTGATGGTTCATGGCCATTCCAGAATACATATGTCTGAATAACATCGACGCCTCCATCTTTAGCCTTTTGTATGAGATCAGGCCACATCTATCCACCCCAGAAAACCAGTAGCAGTAAAGTATTGGAAAGAACAATCAGGAATAATTTTGTATTTATATCAAAAGGTTGATTGGATTTACCCCAGGGGTACTTCTGGGATAGTGAATTGAACCAGAGACAAGAATCCTTCGCTTGCCATTGATGATAAAAGCTTTGCCATCGTAGGAAACGTTGGATCTAACAGAAGGGAATGTGTAGAGCAGTGTAAACACCATCACATTGAAGGCCACAAAAAGCAAAGTCACAATCAACACCTTCGTCCTCATCATTCCCCATATTGAAGAAGAACCCATAGCTCATTTGAACAGAAACTCTACAAAGCACAACCAAATTCCTCTGCTGTTCAAATCAAAGTCCCTTCAATAAACTAGGGAACTTCTCTCTCTGCAAATATAAGTTTGAAAAGGAGAGAGAGAGAGAGAGAGAGAGAGAGAGAGAGAGGGGCAAATGATCCCTCTTGCTTGTTTAATGTTAGCTCTTTCTGAAAGGGACATTATAGAAATGAATTTGTAGTGATGGTTATACACGTTGCCTGGTTTCATTGGTGGGCTCTCTGAAGAATTTCATTCTCTGAGGTGGGAGTGGTGAAATGCTCGCCAATCACCATTTCCAGCTCACCCTCGCTCAGAAAATATATATTCTTGGCCTCCTCGAACGCAGGGCAGTGCAGGGCGAAGAAGAATGGTGGAAGCTTTAAAAATAATAAAAAAATAAAAATTAGATCTTTTTTTAATGTTGTGAGTGATGGGTGCTTTGTCACATTGGATGCATTTATTTCCGATACTAACAGTGCAGCTACAATAATTGCTGATACTTAATTAATCAATTATTGCATAATCCAAGCAATAGACTGGTTAGGGTTCTTGGTATGTCACTGGTTCTTGATCTGATTGGATATATTGAGTGAGGCTTGTTATAGTTAATTTGAACCCTAACCAGAGAATTGTTTGCATAAATCTCACATGTGTAGATCTGATCCACAAAGGGGCTATGAGATTATTAATTGGGGATACCCACCTTCGACAATTAGGGCCACCTCCTTCGTGTATTTATATATCCCTTACTTAATTGTTTTGGCCACATATAAATCATCTCATTTAGAACATGTGAACAGAAAGAAAATGGAGTTCATATGAAGTCAAGAATCCAGTTAGGCACCCACCAATAAAATCATTACATGCATCCTTACCAGGTGGGATTTTTTTTTTTTTTTTTTAATTTTTTAAATAGGGTTTTCTTGAATGTATTTGTGAATCTTGATCTTACACTTTATTTTTATCATGAATCAAACACGTGCATAAATAGAGTCTTTTATATCCATATAAATGTGATGGTCAGGAAGTGCTGTCAAAGCCCAAAGTAATAATAATAATTCGATCATTGCTAACATTAATCACTCACTCACGAGTTGCAATACAGAATTGTCTGTCAAGAGTTATCCATACACACACACAGGGACACACAGGCTCACAGATATATATTTAAATAATCATTCCAGCTAGATACTGATTTATATAGATCAGATCATAGTGCCTAATAACAACTATTGGTGTCTGTTCACAAGATTTTTGCAGTAAAGAAAAGGTTTCTAAAATAGCAATCTTATTCTCATCGTTAAAAGTAGTTAAAACCCAGATAGATATTTCGCCAAGAATTTCAAGCAAGATATGGTTGGACATGGGCACCAATCTTAAACATTAATGACATTTACGCTTTGCCATAGCCATAATGAATGGTTTAATTACTATATACATATTTTTATTTTTTGATTTACTTATTTATTTTTGTAATCTTATCAAATTAAAATAGAGAGACCCACCACTTTATTTATGTTGAGTGTCGGCACGCAGACTATTGATTTTGATATTTTTTCAGTCTTTGTCGTGACTATACATATGCTTATTTTTTGGGGACTTATCTTAATCTTTCAAGAAATTTTGTAGTACAAATATCATTGAGATACTTATATTCATTGGGAAGAAAACAAAAACGTAACTTTCAAAATACCATTCACTTTTTTGTATGCCATCAATACAAAATATATCCAATGAGTGATCCCAATTCCCATATTCAGGTCTTGTGATAGATGATCTATAGCAAATAAATAATACATAAAATGGGCTGGTTCAAATTTACATAAAGATCAGCCCATTAAGGTCTATTGCATTTCTTCAATCAAGTGAGGCCCAATACTAATTCCAGCGCTTTCTTCAAAGCAAAACCTAGAATACATAAAGTCGTGCTTCTAATTTACACAGTCTCAACACTTTTTTTATACTTAACAAATAGGAGAATGACTTTCTTCCCCAAACCTAATATGAAACTCCACTATATATATATATATGTATGTATAGATTCTTTGACTAGTACTTTGCATCTGTATGTACGTATAATGTATGTATGTATATATTGTGTGTATTGTTGGTAACAGGACTTAGTGTGTTCTCTTGACCAAAGTGATCCTGGTTGGGTCTCCACCCCACTCTTCGAACACTACCAACACATTCCCTCCTGGTTTCAGCCATGATCTTGGCACATGGTACCTGAATACACACACATACATATATATATATATATATATAAAGAATCGAACTTTCTTGCAAAGACGAGGAGGTAATGAAAATGGAAGTGATGAATGAAATACTGTACCATCTCTGGGAGGGCTGACCGCAGCCACTCTGGCATTTCTTCTCACTGAAAGTTCCGGCGTAGTCGCAGCCGCCGCAGTCGCCTTTGGCTATGTATCCCGGCCAGTGTCGCCCTATGCTCTGCCCATTCACCCATATTTCTCCTTTCCCCATGCTTATCATGTCCAAAGCCAACGGATCATTCCCTGCCGGAGCATTGAATGTTGTCTGCACCACCAACACTTTCAGTTCATCTTCATCATAGTGTTTTGAAGATGATCTAAAATTTATGCATTGATGATCATGAATCAGCTCACCTTGTACCATGTTAGAGGCTGCTTTTGGGCTATTAGGGACCCCTCTACCCACTCGATCGAAGAAGAACTTCCTCCGTTAGTTACAAGGCTCGTGGCTTCGCCCCTCAGACCAGCCTAATCGATGGAAATACAGAGAAAGAATCAGACAAGCTTTTTTATGTTTAGATGAACGAACTTCGTTGAGCATGACAGACCTTGTAAGACCATCTTTGCTTCGACAAGTCGCGAGTCCCTTCGTTGAGGCCTTTCAGAGTCACCGGGCCAAGTATTCCCGTGTTCCATTTCTCATAGTGCAGCCCTCCATTCTGCCATGGATCGATTATTACAGAACTCGAAACAGAAACTGTAAGGAAATTGCTCAACTCACCGGTAGCCCAACAGCCACGGAAAGTAGAGCAATCTTGTTAACTCCAGCTCTCAAGTTCACGTAGCCGTTGAACGTTAATTTGGGGTTGCCCAAGCTGCCATACACCGTCCCTATCATCGTCATAATCGAACCACAACCTCATGAGAAGCTGTAATAAGACCGATCATAGGCTTCATACAGTTAGTTCATGGGTGCATTGTCTTGTTACCTGAAAGCTGACCGTTGATGAAGACGTGCAGCGCGTGGCCAGCCGACATGACTGTGAGATATGGCCACTGCCCGCTCTTCAGAAACCCTTCATTAGAAGATATGTCGACTCTGCACAGGATCGAAGCGCCGCGTGAGATAACAAAACAACCATTGATAATTCATAAGGATATCATGAGCTGAGTGAACTTACTGTGTCATGTACCATAAGTAATCCGACGAGTCTTTTGTGACGTATGTTTGCTCCCACAAACCTTGCATTCCGAGCACGTCGCTGTCGTCTGCAGCAGGAGTCGCCTCGCTGTATGATTGCCACGCGAACCCACTGCCCACCGGCACCATCTTTGCCGGGGAGCTTCTGAAGCCAATCTGCAAATTCCAATCCCATCCGTTAGTAAAAAATCTGATACATTCTTAGCTTCTTGTACTATAAAGTTTTACTAACTCTAGCAGTGTTATATACTGCAGTCTTGCAGTCGGGAAGAATGCTGATGGACCATGGAGGCAAATCGTATTGCACGTTCCGGAATGTCAGCTTCGTGGAGTACGTTGTGTCGTAGTTGGCAAGAAACGCAGCGCAAGCTCCCGACTTTGATGTGAATACATGAACCTGAGGATGGGATAATCAGCTCGATGAGGCGCAGTCGATTAATAGAGAACATAATCACTTAAGTTACCTCTTGATTTTTGCCGGGCCAAGTGACTGTTGGATACGACGAAACTAAAGCAGGCTCGCATTGCTTGATTGCTCTGTGTAGATCTCTGAGGTGCCCCCATTTCGGCTGGTTCAGAAGCCCTGTTACGCAGCGTATCAAACAGATTACGAACATGGCGCGCGAGAGCTAAAATTAACAGGTTTCGCGACAGTAATGTTGTTAGTTACCGTATTCATCAATTGGAGCATCGTAATCGTAGCTTGTGGCGATGAAAAGGCCGGCTGCAGTTCGACCAAAATTGGTTCCTCCATGATACTGTGGACAACGAAAAGGAATAAGCATGAGCTAGCTATTCGGATTCCTTCTTTCTTCGACAAAATGCGCCTGTTTTGAATAGCTATACGTTACCATGTAATAGTTGAAGAAGGAGCCATTGTTCTGGACAAACCTTGCCACTGCAAATGCCAAGTCTTCTGCAGGCCTGTGAGGAGGCGGTCCGCCATACTGTGTAAACCTGCAGGACTCAAATAAGATCGATGATGATCGAAACAAAGATGAAGAAAATGGAAAGAACTGATTGTATGTTCAGTTTCTTACCAGCCACTCCAGACTTCAGTCCACATCTTGGGCTTATTCGGTTTGTTAGGACGGAAACCTTCGCAATAGAATCCGTTGCAGGCATCGATCTGTAAGAGAAATGCTATGAGCGCCGAAATTATCCAAACATAAGATAAAGATAGAAAAAGTTTGAGAAAATTTCTTACAACAGGATCAGGGGCAGTTTCTTGTTTGCACATCACCCATGGAACACCTGTGTTTGTCGACACAGCCATTTTTGCAGCCCATGCAGTGTAAGCTTTGCCGGGAGCGCCAATCTCCCACTCTATGGGTCCGTACTCATTTTCTATCTGTGACCTTATATTGATTAGATACAAAAGTTTGCAAGTTTTGTATTTATAAGAAAAGGCAACGACGAAAAGCACCTCCCACCTGCGACATGATTATAGGCCCTCCCTGAGGCTCAAACAAATTCTGTGACTTCATCATGTTGACGATATGCACGACAAATCTTTGCATCGCGACCTTTTACAATCACAATCAATGAATAACTGTCGTATGTATATATTGAATAAGGCGCGGAAAAGGACAAGGACAGGGCGCGTGCCAAACCTTGAAAGGCTGATTGTCTGTTCTAAATTCGATTCCACGGACATATTTCAGCCACACCGGAAATCCCCTGCATCGAGAAACAGAGGATCAAAACAGAGTACGTTGCAGCCATAAGTGATTTTGCCTCATCTTCAACAATCCAATATACATTGTGGATATAATGTTACCCAAAATTCCACTCTGCACAAACATATGGACCTATTCGGAGGTGGACGTAGAGCCCGGCCTGGTGCACGAGTTTGATGAACTTGACAAGATCGAATCGTCCCTCAAAATTATACTGCAAGAACATGAAGACATATTGGTTTCATTTCCTTCTGCTGAGTCAACAGAAGACTGAGCAATGTCTAGATTTTACAAGCAATGCATTACTTTTCCGGGAGACGGTTCGTGGCCATTCCAGAACACATAAGTCTGAATTACATCCAATCCTCCATCTTTAGCCTTTTGTATAAGATCAGGCCACATCTGCTCACAGGATTATTTTCATTAAGAGGCTAAATCATCAAACTAATTATAATTAAGAAGGAGATTATTAAAAATTGAAAAATGTTGGATACCTCAGGGGTGCTTCTAGGATAGTGAATGGAGCCAGAAATGAGTATCCTCCTCCTGCCATTGATGATAATGGCTTTGTCGTCGTATGAAACAGTGGCTATCACAGAAGAACATGCGAGCGACAAAAACAGTAGGAATAGAAATGGTTTGATTCTCGAGATTGCTTCCATTCTTTTGGGGAGCGAAGATGCTTGTGTAACTGTTGGTGGTGTGGTGTGAGTATTGTGTTGCGTGAAGACAAGAGTGTGGAGTGTAGTGTGAGGAAATGGGAGACGCTGAAGCAGCTTCTTTATAGAGAAGAGATTGAAAAGTGATGGGACCGACCCCACTGTGGATGAATCGCTTTGGATTGGAGCTCACCATTGCTGACAAGGAAGAGAACTTGAGTCTCATCCAAATTCGCAATCGCCGTAGCCTGCAACTTCTTTGAAGCCCTAATTTTTTTTGTGGTGCGACAAAAATTATACAATCGAAAAGGAAGGGAAGTTTTTTTACTATCATATTTTATTTATTATTATTATTATTTTATATGTGGATATGATTATTAAAATACACGGAAGTTGGAAGTTATGCACTGTGTTTTTAGATAATTTTGAAATTTTTGTACTTCTAAAATAATTTTTGCAAAACAATATCAATAAAATATATATATATATATTTTTATAAATATCATAGTAAATATTTAGTTCTTTAAAATTTTTAAAAACTTTTATCTAGATGAAACTAAAATTTGCCAAGTTAAAATTGAAATGAGCAAGCTGGTCCTATTATTAATAAAATACATATATATTTTTTTTGTTTTTCTATTAATTTTTATTATTTGAATATATATTTTTCAAAAAAAAATCGCATGATATTATATTAAATATTACTCTCAAACTTCGAAATTTAATTAATACGGAAAAGAAACACACCTAAATAACTAGGATGTGTTTGCATGTATTTTTTTATGCTATTTTACATCATGCAATTTATACATCTCATTTCATACCTATTTTTGTCATCCAATCAAATTCAAAACCTAAATTTAGCTACTAATATATATATATATTTAAAATATTTGAATATGAATTGGACAAGTGGTAACTGCATTAAACACAAACAAACACGCCCCAGTTACAGTAGAGTAGCAGGGACCACTCATTAGCTGACACCTCAGCATGCACATGATTTTATCGTTCTTATCCATCATCACATCTCATTCATTCAATTTTCAATCTATTCTTATTATTATTATTATTATATCTAAACACAATATTAACTTTAAAAAAACATCGAGTCGTGACACAAATCTATATATAATTTCCAGTTAATCACTCTAATGTGTAGTTAATTTAATAAAAAAAATATATATACAGAACATTTGAATAATTATTATTAGCAGTATAATTAACATGAAAATAAATAGTTAATTAAAAGGTAAAGATGTCTATAACAAATATCTGATCATATCTCATAATTGCATGCAAATTGCAATCTGCATCAAATAATTCATTTATTATTTTGCATGCAAGTCATAGTCTCATAATTTTTTATTTATTTATTTTCTTGAAATTAAGACTCATCAAATTCTAATTCTCTTTGGATCAGAATGCCACATAATATTGGATCAGTATTTCAACATTTATCAACTAAATTCTAGACACTTTTTCAAAAATAAATAAAGTACAAGTTAGGCTCTTGGGCCCCTTTCACTACCAACATACACAATTATTATATATACCAAACTAATTTTAAAGCATAAATTGAGTTAGATTAATTTAGTGATTAATAATTTAATTATTGAAACTATTTGAAAACACCAAAACAAATTCATATAGCTCCCCACAAATTAATACATATATACGAAATGATCACTAGATAATTATAAGTTAATTAGGGTCGTCGATATCGGATCCCGTCTCGATCGAATTCTTGTAGAGCATGCATGCATGTGGATCAGATGATGATGAGATATATATATATATATATATATTCACAATTAATCATGTATATTTATAATGTATATCCTCTTGAACTCATGAGTCATCAACGAATAGGACAGGTTTTTAGATCATTAATTAAGTTATATATAATTGGGTGTAAGAATCAGGGCCACATAGCACGAATTTTACCTACAAATCCTAGATTTCATTAAATCGCCCAATCAAGTTATATTTTTTATTAATTTTTTATGTCCACAATATATACATGAATGGACATTTTCAAGAATACAAATTTTTAGGTATTTAGGTAAGTTTTAGTTTTTTATTTAAATAATTGTTTGATCTAAAGTTTTGTGAGAATTTTTTTTTCTTCTTTCAATGTACAAACTAAATAATAAGAAATCAAAACAAAATCTCAAAAGAGGTATATATCATGTATGCATGTGTCTACGTACCAGGGTTTTGTTTTTTTACCCGAAAACTATTATATAAAATAATAATAATAATAATAATAATAATAATAATAATAAACATCTCAAATTATGTGCTTATTGTTTTAGGTTTTAAAATTTTAAAGTTGAATGAAAATATATACTATGATATGCACTTCTTAGTTATTGTTTCTTGCACACAATGTTTATCTAAAAATGGATCACGTACACATATTATTATTATTATTATTATTAAAATGAATGTGTGAAAGGCAAACGTGGTCATATTAATTTCCTCCTTTTTTTAAAAAAAAAATAAAATATAAATTTAAAATTCCATTATGGCTTTGCGGGACTAATAGAAAAAACACAGCTCATACTTTTGCATGTTTTAATTTCAAAACCAATATTGTCTTGGATTTGAAAATTGAACTGGACTAAGCCCATTCTATAAAGCCCAAAAAGTTTATGTCCCTTCACTAATAACTGATTTTGTCCAATGAGGGAGGATGTAGCCCAATCACTAAAACGAGACTGGTTTGGTTTAACTTCATTTTATTTAATACATGGGCTTATTTTTATTTAATATTTATATACTATTTTGTGACTACTTGATGAAAAAATCTGGACAGTAACGCCTCTGTGGGCCTATATATATATATATATATATATATAATACGTGTGGTGCTGTTACAGGCACGAGATATGGATTACTCACTCACAGTAGTCTGATTGGCCAGATTATTATCTTGTAAGGAGCAGAGGATCAGATTAATCAACATTAATGATTGGCTATTACAGTGTTAATTAAAATCAATTATTAAAGTGTACGTACGATCGAGTTTAATTTATTAAAGTGAAGTCAGGAATCCATTAACTAATTAATTAAATTAATATATTATAATTAAGATAAATAGATAGGGTTTGTGGAGGACGATGATCAGGACTGTGTGCCAGTGGTCGTGTAATCTTGTGCTTCCTTCCTTTTAATTTGTCTTGTTTCCCTTATTATTATTATTATTAAAAATTGTTTGTTTTCTCTTTTTTTTTTTTTTTTTTGTCGTGGAGTCACGTGAATGCATGCCTCACAACGTAACCCCACCTCCCAATTCTCCATTTTCCTCATCCATTCTTTTATTATTTTATATATACAAAAAATATTATGATTACATTACTATAGCGAATCAGACATTATTAACTTTTTCTCGACTGGTCTCTTCTTGGGCAATTTCATTGATCCACTGAATTAACCTATATTGCTGTGATCGATCCCTTTTACTTCAATTTATTCATTAATTTTATTTCTCGATCCAATCCGATCCGATCGATCGCCATGATTGTAAGCACGATTGCTCTTCAGTGTGAAGACGATGAGCATCCAGAGTTTGGTTTGGGGTTTTCTGCAGCTCTGCCAGCCTCTTCTTCATCTTTGTCTTCATCTTCATCTTCAAGCTCATCCCGCGTGCTCTTCAGTGCCTCAAGGCAAGATTCCACCGGATATTATCCACACCAATTATTCCTTCACCACCAGGTATCTTTTTCTATATATATATATATATATATAATCTTCATATATATTGCAGAAGCAATTTTGTCGTTCAAATTTTGTCTCTACTGTACTGTATGTATATATATATATGTCTTGTGAATCGCAAAGTACTGCTAGCTAGTGTAGTTACTGTTCTGTGTGTGCGCTCACACACACACATTTAACATTTTATATTTATATATGTAAATGATGGATGCTAATTTGATGGTAGGACGATCGCAATTATGCTTATGGTGTGAATGTGATGGAGGATAAAGTTAAACTAAGCCTGAGGCAGCTGGAAGAAGATCAAGACTGCCGCCGGCCAGCTGCCGGAGAGACGACAACAAAGAACAGTAATAATAATAATAATCATCATGTAAGTTGGATCACAACTCCCAAAATGAAGAAGCCGCCGCCATCGTCTTCTTGGGGAAGTAATTTCAGCAGCAACACCCCAATTAGGGTTTGTTCCGATTGCAACACTACAAAAACCCCTCTTTGGAGAAGTGGTCCTAAAGGCCCCAAGGTACAAACACACACTACATTTGTGATTTGATTTCTGTAATTGATTATCGGAGAATACATCGATCTGTGATCTTTCTGAGTTTTGATTAAATATAATTATAATTATTATTATCTTCTGGATCAGTCTCTGTGCAATGCGTGTGGGATTAGGCAAAGGAAGGCCAGGCGAGCTATGATGGCCGGCAACTACCAGAAGCCGCCGGCGCCGGCGCCGGCGAAGATGCGGAGAAATGGGTCGATGACGGGAAAAGGATGCAGAAGGAGAAGGGTGGGATCGTCATCGTCGTCGTCGTCGTCGAGGTTGGAAGAATCATTGAGAAAGCTGAAGAAGAAGGTGGGATTTGTTCATCAGAGTAGAGTGTTTCCTGAAGAGGAGAAGGATGCTGCGATTCTGCTCATGGCTCTATCTTCAGGCGCTGCAGGCTAGCTTATGATCATCAATTCACCTACCTCCATAATCTATCCTTCACCTAATTATCATTTAATTAACCATATCTTTCCAATTTTAAGTTTCGATTTTTTGTTTAAGTTGATTTCTAGCTTGGAGATCATTCATGAGCGCCTGAGATTTTGCTTTGTGCGTCTTCTTCTTTTGATGTTTTTTCTCTAATAAATTAAAGAAATAAAAATAAATCGTATGGAATATATGAATTGTGCTTTAGCAATAGTCCCTAACATTTGAAGTAATAAAACAAAAATATAAAAAAGAAGACGACTTTTCAATTTTATATACTAGTATTAATTTTCATTCAGGCATATTTTCAATTTCTCCCGTACTTTTTATCACTAATTTTATGATGATGATGAGCTGGTAGATAGTTTGTGTCGCACATGAAGAACTAAAGCATGAGAAAGAAAGAAAGAAAAATTATATATAAATTTGGTCGCATTTGAATTGTCAAGTTGATAAGCTAAGCTAACACGTACATTTATTTGTCTTTTCACAAGTATATTGCCTTGTATATAAAAATTTTATAATAATATAGCATTTGCTATGAATCATTCATTCAAGACGAACGTAGATAAAAACATTTACTATTACCCAAAGAGAATAATTGAAGTTTATTTACCAAATATTATATTATATCCAATTAACATTAATTTCTACTTCAAAAGATTCAGATTCAAAACATAGAAAGTATTCCAAACCATAAACTTTTGTTTATATATTAAATGAAAATAGAGTCGGAGCTAGTTCCACTCAAAATGTGTGGAGCCCGCTAGATAATACCAAATCACAAGAGTTTCAGAAGGCATTGAATTGAGTAGGGAATGATTGGTGGTCATAATAATATTTTATATACGTGATGATGATCAGGCAATCATCTTCTCATCGCCACTCACTATACATACAAATGATATATATATATATATCATGTATGGTCCCTCTCACTCTCACTCCATATAAGACAGAAGAAATAGACATGACAACAAAAGCCAAATATAAGGAGGTGGTTTGTCCAGAAACATTTCAAAATTTTATTGATTGAATAAACTAACTGGAGATCAATCGATCATGTCACAATATGTATAGCAGTTAATAAGTATACCCAACTTTCCTAGTCGAGTTGTATGTATGCCTGTTACATGAACCAAACTGGGTGCGGTGCATGAGAGATTGAAATTAATCTCTGTCACCCAACTCCTATCATATCTACAGCCCAATTCCCAGCTATTATATTCCTACAATCTTCTAAAATCAGGCATTCAACTAAATACCTCAATTTTAAAAATTAAATAAAATAATATAAAATGCCCCTCAAGTTCTAAGACACAACACTCCCCCAGTTTCATTACCATCCTCTGTTCTGCTGGCGAAGATCAAATGATCACCATCTCTTAACAGCTCTACACTCTCGATTTCGGCCCCGTTTATGGTCGAAACTCTTGCAGGGATGAAGTTGTATCTCTTCATGCAAATCTCTTCTAGTTCTTCAAACGATTTCGGAAGTAAGACGAGCTTTCCTCCACTGTCGCCTTTCTCGGGGCAGCTTACTGTCAACCTGGGCGGATACGTCATCACAGGTGCACAGCTTGTCTCCTTCGCCATCGGCGAGACCAGACCATGATCGCCAGTTTGCGCTGCTGACATGATCCCAAATAGCGAATTCGAGTAATTGTTAGCTTTACGCCTCAGTTTCGATGATTTCCCATTCGACTCATCCCGGTTGATAGGTGATGTGATCATCGTCTCACTTTCAAGTCTACCCGAGAAACGAACTCCTCGGCCTTCCTCAGGGATTGGCAGTGTACCCTTGGTCGTTTTACAAGATTCGAAGAGTTCTTTAATATCCTCATGACCTTGCTGCTCGGCCAGGTGCCTTGCCGTCCAACCGCCTTCATCCGCTGCATCGATATCTGCCCCATGATCCAAGAGAAATTTCACTACTTCAAGGTTTCCTTCACAGACAGCAATGTGAAGCGCCGTGCGCCCGCCTTTCATAGGCTGAGTTACATCCCCACCACGATGAATGATTTCTTTGAGAAGATCCAAGTCATTCTGTTCGACAGCTGTGCACGAAAACAGACCAACATCACCTGCAGTTAAACTAGCATCGTGTGCCGTCAATAGTTCGATAACTGATTCGTGCCTGCCGATGATGGCTTCCCACAAAGGAACACTTCCCTCCGAATCTGCACGTAAAAATGCTACATAGCTTTAGCAAAGGGGATTGGTAATACTCGCCAGTATGTCACTACGTAAATTACCTCTGTTGTTGGGATTGGCTCCGTAATCCAACAATAGCTTCACACAGTTCTGATTACCCTTCGATGATGCAATATGCTGCAAAAAAAATCAAAAAGTGAATGTCTTTATGATACTTTTTCTTGATTTAATATGAATACGAGCTCGGAAACTGAAGATCAACTCACTAGAGCCGTCCTTCCATTATTATCACATTCGTTAGAATCAAGTCCTCTCTTCAACAAATGACCTAACAGCAAGTCATCTCCCCTAACTGTGGCAAAACATAGAGTGAGAGGTAAGTCCATCCTCCCTCGAGCAAGCATGTTCTCAGTCTCCAGAAGAACTCCCTCCATTATCGGGTCATTCAATTCTTTCAAGTGCTGTCAGCAGAAAAATCAGTGTACTTTGTATGAGATTCGCAATGTGGGATAAGTTCAAACACATATTTTTGCGACTTTAGAGGATAAATTGCTTCCAGAGAGTCATATCAAGGACCGACATATTGAAAGTAAATATCAATTTCACAGGCATACCTGCAGAAGATTATTCATAATTATCGTCCCATCTCCAACATTGGCCTGAATGATGTTTAAGAATGTCGCACGACTCAAACGTAACAGCTGAGTTAATCTTCTTGTTCGCACCGTGAACAGTTGAGGCCTATAACAGAGGACACCAATTTCACCGCAGAGGTCACCAGTTATGGCCTTCCCAACAACCTGCAATCACTTGCTGCACTTAGGATTCTTAAGGGAAATAAATGTTCTAGTATTTTAGTATAAACTAACAAAATATTTTGATTTAGAGATGCATTTACCTGCTCAAGTCCATTTTTCATAACCAATAAATCCTGCAAAAGTAATTTATACAGCATAAGATATAAAAACATAATCTGGTTGAAAATTGCATACATGAACAATTAATGAAAATCAAAGGTAGCATTCTAGAATCAATACCACTGTCCCAGAAGCAAGAATATAGAAGTCTGTTGGAGCTTCATTCTGTAGAATTACATCCTCATTGGGTGGGAAATACTCAGCCTTCATCTCGGAAACCTTACATGCAAAATTGATAAATGGATGAGAAAAGGTTCAATCAATGGAATTGATGGAGAGAAATATCAAATGGTTGCATAGAACTACCAGCTGGAAGAGTAAATCATTCGACACTCCATGAAACAAGTAGACCTTATCCACTAAAGAATAGAATAGGAAATCAGAAATGCTTGATCGGATTGCTTTTGGAAGTGAATCAAGAGTCTCTTGCTGCTGCAGCCCCTCTGAGTCAGTTCTGTATTTCAAGCACAAATGTGAAACCATTTGCTCATGAAGCCGCGGAGGCAAGTGATTTCTATGTGCGAAGCTTGAGGCTGCTTGAATGGTATCTCTCTGTTATCAGACACCAAGTAACAGAAAAGATATTTATCAATTACATCATTACAGACATATAAAAACAAATGTGTTTGTGTGTGTGGGGAAACATATTGTCTAAATTAACAAAGGCACTCACAAATTGCCGAGTTTTACTAGTTGCATGAACCACCAAATTCGTCATATTTCCGATCAAATATGCAGTGAGTCCCAGGTTAAAGAACATGTAAAAAATGTCGAATATCATCTCTCCCATATTTGTTGCATGAAAATCACCATAGCCAACAGTTGTGAGCGTAGTGATAGACCAATACATTGAGGTGACATATCTAAGTCCCAGGCTGTCATGATGAAAATCGTGATTGTCTGCACCAATCCATGTGTCTTGCGGATTGTGGTGATGATCAGCAATAAGATAATAAAAACAACCAGCACAATGAACCACAAAAAGAGTGACCTACATGTAGAAAGAAGATTGTTCAATAACCAAAACTCCCATATCATTTCAACTGGAGATATGCAATAAAACTAATGAGGACTTACACATATAAGCTTGGCACACCTAACCCAGAAGTAGTTGAGATTTCTATTTTTCTCCATTCTGTACTTGAAGAGGAAAACAGAATAAGCGCATATGGCTAGCTTAACTTTTTATTTTCTAAGTTACAATAATATATAGCAAATACAATACTACTAGTAAATCAAAAACATTTTACCTGGCAAAGATTGCACTAACTCTTCTGAGCCGCCACAATCGCAGCATGTTGAATAAGCCATAAGTTTGTAGTCGTTTTGGTGAAATCTTCAGGGCAAGTTCAGAAGGAATCGTAGATATGACATCAAGTACAAACCCAAGGGAGGTCAGATAGTTCAAAGCAATCTTCTTGTGGTCGTCAACCAAAAGATATGTATCCTTATCCATGTAGGCAACAAAGAATGTAAGAATGATATCAACAACGAAAAATCCATTAACAACATTGTCCGTGATGGAGAGAGGTCGATCTGGTTTATCAAGAAATCCTAACTCGAAAGGACACACCCAAGCTGTGTAGACAACGAGAATAACCAAAAATGCTTCCCATGTTCTGCAATATTAAACCTAAGGAGATTTCAGAAAAATGATATACCAATCTTATTCAATAAGGACTATCAAATTTGTCTAAAGGAGAAAACATCTTCATTTCAATATATTCCAGCTTCAGCCTACATTAAGCACTAATCTAGAGCCGACCATATATCCAACCAAAACAATATGGACAATCTTCCACTTGGGAGCTATCTAATGTTATAACTTATAATTGGCCTGCATGCATGATATTAGTGTCCGTATGCACAGTAACTGCAGATTATTTACCCTCAATGATATATAAATGGTCAAGATTCTATATAGGGTGCCATGAACAGAAAATCCAAGTTAAAATCAATATAGTTCTATTTCTGAAGGTATTCACAAGGAATTATATAATAACAAGCTCGTTACATCCCAAGATTCCACAAAGTTCCTTAAAATAAGAATAATATCAATAACTTGGAAACACCACAAAATGACAATAGAGGACAACCGTGCCCCCACCAACCATTAAGAAAGGGCTGCATGTCTCGTTCTTCTCGAGAATTTTTAAGAAGTGGTAGGAAGGTCGGTGAAGTCCATAAAAGGCAGTCAAAGATGAAGGTTTGAAAGATTATTCAAAACTAGAACAATTAAGTGTTCGTTCTGACTACTAATAGTCGTAGTAATCACATTCACAAGATCTTTTCTCAGCATAAAAGTCAAGGATTACAATAGCAGAAGGAACACTCCCAAATTCCTAAGGAATAACAAAGGACAAAGAAAGAAAAGTCAGGGACAAGGAATCACGGGGGACCTTATAGACACTATATTCAACGAACTGGTTAGCAGCGCCCATGTTAAACTAATCAAAAAGCGACAAAACAATGGTGCCAAAAGTAGTAACTTTTGAGGAATTTTTAATCATTAACACCAAACATAAAAGAGACAGATGGCGAGTAAAACGAAGAACATATCAGCTTCGATAACAACCAACAAGATCGAAATCTAATAAATTAAGAGCACAATATACTCTTATGTCGGAGGGAAACAGCAATACACATTGAATCCTCCTCATCACTATCAAGACTCAATAACTAAAAATAAAAACATGCAAAAACGCAAAAATGTACAGAGAATCGAAGCGAAACCTGTATCGCCGATCGTAAGGAGAAATTATGAATGACCGAAGCTTGACTCTGCGGTTACTCCGCGCTCCAAGCGAAGGAAGAATTCCGGTTGAAAGGCTGTACTGGCTCCCTTCTCGAGAAATCTGTTCAATCTCCTGCGCTTGGACACCTCCACCGTCGCCGCACATGAATGCCCTGAACAGTCCTCCTCCTCCGCCATTCCTACGGCCCATTGATTTCTCAATAGGCGCAGCGCAGGAGCGATTGCTCGTTGTGCTAAATCTCGAATGTCTTGAACTGAACTTGGTGAATTTCTACCCCCATATATATAGGCGCAAACAAGGGCGTGTGAACCACGCGCTTTTCAGTAACGCCATAAACCTCTGTGGGTAGGTATTTTTCGCCAAATAGCGGTTAGGTCAATAAAGTCGCATTCGAAACTCCCAAATAATCACAAAAATAGTAATTAACAAAATCAGGTATCGTCAAATTCAATTATCTAAGTATTCAAATATGATCTAAGCACACCCTAAATTTTTTAGTTAAATTAAATATACATGCACACGTGTGAACAGAGGGAGAGAGAGAAACAAATTTGAATTTTATTGTTACTATTATTGTTATTATTATTTAAATAATCCGATTGTATACGAATATTACAATTCTTTAGATTATATTATTTGCATTTGTATTTGGTGTTTATGCTTATGTTTATATAATATTTTAAAATTATTAGTATTATATTGAAATGCAGTGGAAATAAAAAATAATAATAATATTTATGTAATATATTATAAAATATAAATTAAAAGAGTATTTATATTTATTTTATTACTATTTTTATTAATCTTATACAAAAATATCTATAATCTATTCTAATAAAATTAATGATATATTAATACTAAAAAAAATATATATATATATATTTTATCGTAAATTACAAACATATTATTATATATATAATTAATTTATAAATAATCTCAAATGACCATTTGGATTGAAATGGAACGTCAACTATAATAAATCAAAGTATATATATATTATATTCATATAAAATTATTTGTTTTGAAATAAATTTACTTTATTATAAACATATATATAATCTTAATATTTTCAGATGCAATAAAAAAAGTGGACGTTTTCTATATTTTGTTTATGATGTCATCTTTATAAATTTTTATAAATGTATATTATTTGTTCGTATAAAATATTACATTAATATTATAAAAATTAGTTTGAAATAAAAAATAATAATAAAAAATCAAACAAACTGATGCTCTTATCTACATCATCGTTTCAATTAACTAATTAATTAATTAATTATGATATTAATAATAATTATTGATTGATTGTTGAATCTCATTCGAGTTGCATTGACTGTAACAGCAACTAATTCATTAGCCCTTTTTTTTAAATATGTTTTGTCATAGAATCAATAAAATATGGATCATTCACGCAATCATCTGTTTTCTTAACAGTGAATAAGATACTTTGTTATGATATGTTCAAATTTGCTTTTGAATAAAGTTGAAAGCAGGAATTTAAAAGGTGAAATTTGCCAAAATATGTATGGTTGCGTGAAATTATTATTCAATATTCATGCACTCCTCATGATTCCTAGCCACCTTTTTATTTATTTATTTATTTGTTATTTTTACGAAACATGTGTCTTGATTAACCCATTGCGTTTTCCTACTGTTCATAGTATTCTCACTTTTACTCAGCCATTTAACTTCTACTTTTACTGCAGAAAATAAATTGGGTAAATACTTTTCTTATAGAATACTTAATCATCTGTTCAAATTTATGGTTTTTTTTTTTTTTTTTTAATAAAAAGTCATATTATACTTTTTGTTATGTATATATATATGTATGTATATATATATATATATACTATAAACGTATCCAATATTATACACCTACGTTCAAATCTGTGCTTAATACTCCCTCCGTTCCAGATACCATGTCTGCTGCATTGTAGATACGGTATTTTAGGAGGAGTGTAATTAGTAGATAATTAAGAATATATTAGTGAAAATAATTATCCTATAATATAAATAATTATAAATTAAGATTAAGATAACTAATTAGTTTAATTAAAATTTAAAAAAAAATTTAAATGAGATTAAAGTGTGTAATCATTTTTCAAAAAATGAAAGTAACATGGAACGTAGGACGGACAAAAACGACAACATGAACATGGTATTTGGGACGGAAGAAGTATATTTTTAGATTACGAAAAAATAATTATTAATTAAAATGTCATCAAGTATAAGGGCATATATGATTTATCTACAGGATTTGATTCTTTTTCTTTTTCTTTTCCTTGTTTTTTTTTCCATATGTTCAAATAATTCAACAAACACGCACTAAGATAATTCTTGAGAGCCATTATTAAGTCTATAATAAGTTATTTATTAATTTATTGAGCTTAGATGTATTTAGTAAGTGTAGGTCTCTTATATGCAGAAACTCGATAACTTATTAATGGGGTAATGAGACTCACTAATAATAAAGAATATAAATAGAATTGTGATCCCAGTTCTAGGCGCTACAACCGTTACTTTTCATATATCAGAGTAATGCCAAAAACCCTAGTGGTTTTCTCGGGAGGAGTTGCGCGATAGACTTAAAGAATACAAAACCCTCTGTCAATTTGCAAATTCGAATCCGACTATACTGAGGAATAAAGTTATATCTAATTTGCCTTATTTTATTATCTCAATTATTTTAACGCGACAGATCGTGAACTTAGGTTTAATTCCTAATATGTTCTAACATAAATTACGTATAATATTACAATGTAATAAAACCAACAAATGAAATAAATATGAATATTACATCATATTTCTAGAAAATGGGAAATGAGGGTGTAATTTAATGGCCCTCAATCCTTTAATACTAGTAGTTGTTGATTTGAGTTTTTATAACAATGCAACATTATTAATATTTCAAAAATTACGCCAAAAATGATATTATATTAGTAGTGGGTACAAAATAATTAATCATATTTCATTTTTGCCATTATGAATCTATATTTTAATTTATATATATAAATTACGAATACTTATGTAATAATAATAAAAATATGAATGTAATTTATGATTACATGACTATTTATGGTAATAAAACAATCTATTACCAGAACATACCAAAATTAGTAAAACAGCCAATAGAAATGGAGCCGGAAAGTATTTATTATTCATTAAGTTTTTTGTATAACATTAAAATTTGAGGAGTTATGTTATTTTTGAAGTGTACATAGAATAAGGGTTTCTTTATTTATTTTTTATATAAAAAACACCGCTAAAAGTATATTGTTTGTTTTATAAAATATTATATCAAATATATAAATTAAATATATTTTAAGCAAATTTTCAACAAAATAATTTATATTAGGCAAACCATATATAAGTTTGAACTCATAATTTCACAGTCACAACATTACATCTTTTGGCGAGATGCATTTATTATTTATTTGTTCAATGTACATTAATGGAGGAGATATCGAGGCCATGCATCGATTCACGTGGGAAGACCATTGAACAGAATATTCACATGTATATAGTCTTATAGAGATATTAAAAAAAAGTCACTACATACATACATAATATAAACCGTGACCTGCAGCATGCCTAGATATTAGATAATGAATATTATATATATATATACTAATACCATTCACGTATGCATATTTATTTAATTATACTTATACTTTTATCATATTTATAGTTATGTTTTAACTAGAAATGATTAAACATACAAAATTTCACGCTAAATAACTATGAAAATAAGTAAAAACACAAATGCGAGCACCGATTTTTTTATTTATTTGCAAGAGAAACCATACACGTATGATAGCTAAGTTATAGATAACCCTAGTCCCTAGCTAATCCTATATATGGTATCAGAAGCGCAAGACATTGCTATTTTATCTCACATGCAAATTTATTCTATTATTATTATTATTATTATTTCAATTTATTTTTAATTTTTTTATTCTAAAAGATTAATTAACTTTTATTTTTTTTTACTTACCTTTTTAGAGGCACGTCCAATGGACATACATTTTTATGACGAATATATTATTTTCAACCGATGGTGGGTCGTTGCGTTGGTAAGAGTGCTCTATTAGTGGCACAGAGCTAAAGCCATAAAACAGGGAACGTCCTCTTTCCTGCAAATAAATTTCATTTCAAGTTTTTAGAAGTTTCTGGAATTTTTGAAATTTACAAAAAAAATAAAAATAAAAAATTAATATTTAATTTAATATTGTATTTAATGTGATATTTTTAAAAAAATAAATATAACTAAATGAATAAAAATGCGTTGCGTAATCGACATCCATCCATCAAATCGTAGCTAGGCTATATAAATAATCAATTAATTACAGCAGTACTATTAATTTCCATTACAAAAAACATAAGCATGAATTCCGTATATGCACAGAAAAGGCAAAAACCAAGACGTGCATGTGGCGTCAGTCAAACTTGCACCACACCCACCCTAACTCAACATCAACCATCAAAATAAAATGATCCACGGTCCCTTCAAATGGGATCCGATTCGGATTCGGATTTGGATTCGGATTCCATCCCTATTTAAATATTCCATCATGTACATGTTATTGATTTTGCATTAAAATTCAAAAAAAAAAAAAAAAAAAACCTAATCAACCCATACATAGGGCCACTTCAAAGCCCAAAAGGCCCAGACAAGTTAACATCTGTGAAGGGAAGATGTCCACGTAAATTAATATACTCCGACCAACGAACGGATAACACGCAGGATCTTCTCAGGTCTGCAGGTGCAGGATATTCTTGGATTTCGTTTTGGGTTTAAATCCAGTAGTTTGTCAGTCCAATGGATAAATGATCGAACCGCAGTGGGCATAGTTCAAGAGAATTCCTCCAAATGTGCTGACGAATTGAAAGGGGATGGCTAATAGATATGGCGTGAAACTGCAGTTGCCAAACTTGGTGGGTGTGAGCACTTGTCTCCAGACTGCAATTGCTCATTTTTCTCTGTTGGCGAGTAGAGCTGGTGGACGCAAAGTACACCGTAGAGTGGTGCTGGGAACTGGACTCGCCGTTCTGCCTCAGTTCCTGAACATGTCGGCGAGCAATCTTGGTGCGAAATCTTTCATGGCTTCCGCGAGGCTAAAGAGTGATGTTGACAAAGTGATTTTCCGCTCTCAGTTTTTTCCTATTTTAGTTTATGTATTGAGTGCTTGATTATGTTGCCTCCTTACCTTACCTTGCCTTGGCGACTGGCGAGTGTTTATGAGAAATTTCTGTTTCATTCATTTCATGAATTAATTAGGTTATCAGAATTTCGTGATTGAGTGATGTCTAGTGTTGGATCTTTTACCCAATTCTGCTCAGTCTGCGCCTAATTAACTTGTATGATCGTACATTCAGTTATTAGAGAGATTGTAACTTATAGTTATAAATTGAAGGTATTGGAGAATGTGAAATGGCCAGATCAATTTCCCTTCAAAGCAGAGGATTTCCAGCGATTTGATGAGTAAACTTTGGCAGCACCACCAGCATTCACTTGTTCTAATGAAGTTAATTGCTTGAAGTTGAAAGTGGCATTCTGATTTGAATACCAATGTTAAAACTTTTCAGGTCACCAGATACAGTATTCTATGATTCACCACGTTTCGTGACTCATATAGACGATCCAGCCATTGCTGCGCTTACCAAATATTACTCTGAGGTTTTCCCCCCAAGCAACACCCCTGGAGTTGCCTTACTCGACATGTGCAGCAGCTGGGTCAGTTTACATACCACATTTGTTTGGTTCTTTTGCATTAAAATATACCATCAACATAACATTGCTCGTGATTATGTCTAGGTCAGTCATTATCCTAAAGGTTATAGACAGTCCAAGATAGTGGGAATGGGCTTGAATGAAGAAGAGCTAAAGCGGAATCCTGTAAGATCAACATATTCAGAGAGGAGATTTTTTGCATTCTGGTTTATATCAGTACAAGTTTGATATACTGTGTGCTGATGTCTTCATTAGCTCTTGATCAAATCATATACCTTGAATTACAGATTATTCACTGGTGCATTTATCTCTCTGCATTGGAAATATCATACCATTTCTTTTGTACAACTAATTATTATGCACTGTTGTATTCTTGTAGGTTTTGACTGAGTACGTTGTGCAAGACTTAAATGTTGATCCTAAGCTCCCATTTGAAGATAACACCTTCGACGTAATTACAAATGTTGTAAGTTCATTCCCCACTTATGTGTTCGTTTGCAGTGTGATCATTTGCTCACTTGATTAGCCATGTGAAACGAAATATATCCTTTTTTTGCCTTTTCTGGTTATCACGAAAGCCTTTTTTATCATGTCTAAGGTACTTCCTTGCTCAGTTATATTAATAGAATTGCTTCATGTTTTAGGTTAGTGTCGACTACCTAACAAAGCCAATTGATATTTTCAAAGAGATGTCTCGGATTCTTAAACCAGGGGGACTTGCTATCATGAGGTAATTGTATGATTTTGCTCCAGCATGCTTTAGATGTTTTACAGCCAAATTATCTTCTCAGGTCTCCTCTCTATCGGTAAATAAATCAATGTAGCTATGTTTTGCATTTTTATCTTTTGGTTCACTACACTTCTAATTATCTATCATTCTTGTATAAAAGCTTCTCCAACCGCTGCTTCTGGACAAAGGCAATCTCAATATGGACATCAACTGGAGATGCTGATCATATTATGATAGTTGGATCATATTTTCATTATGCTGGAGGGTTCGAGTCTCCCAAGGTAATAGAGTCAAAATTGTCTGGTTTAACAATTCACATGTCGCTAAGTCAACTGAACTTACTACTGGATGACCATTTGAGCTGTGTGTTGAATCACAAAATTTATCAGAATTTTGACATGGTCTGCTCTTCCTTAATCCTTGCTGCTATGCAATGATACTATATCTTGATGTTCTTGCAGGCAGTGGATATTTCACCGAACCCTGGCCGCACAGATCCCTTGTATGTTGTATACTCAAGAAAGTTATCTGCATGAGACATTACTGAAACCCCTTACAGCTTCTGGTGAGATATATCTTATTTGTAGAGATGAGTTGTAAATTGGCCTTATATTGAAACTTCTACATGTATTCATGAGTCTGAGTTACAAGGAGCCAACAGTGAAATTTATTTGTCAAATTAGGTCTAAATCAGCTGGAACTCAAATCCCTTGGAATCTAATGAGTGTTTATATACACTCAAAACAAGCATCAACTGAATTAGCCATAGCTATGTAGACATATACAACATTGTCTTTGGACATTGAATAAGCATATTCCAATTCATTGCAAGTGCAAGAAATCTATATCTGTAAGTGAATGACTTTCAAAAGGTTTCAGAGTGCCCAGAATAAGGAAAAAGGTGAAAAGAATCTGATGCCCTGTGTTTTTGCACGTGCAGTATGATAGGGTTTACTTTATTTTTTTAACATTTGCTTGCTGCTTCTTTAGTAATGGTGATGAACAGCTTGCTTTTTCCCTCACCATTTGATTAAGGGTAATTTCAAAGATGAAACTTTTGGCATCTTTGATAACTATTGTTCATTCACTTCCCTTTTCCTTTATAGCATACCATGGGAGACAGGGAGAACTTATCGAAAACTGGAAACACAGGAACATGAGAATGTCGGCGACGCCCTCCTAGGAATATTGCCAATTTATAATAAATTGACACATCTTTCAATTCAAAGGTAACAAAAACTATGTGATCAATGTATGTGCTGCTCGTTTTGTTCGATTGCTTACATGAAAACTTTGCACATAGTATTGCTACAGGCGTGTGCATTTCATTTTTGTAGCCCATCAAAATTAGCACACAACAAACTACACAGGACATACACAAAACCAGAAACTAGACATTACAACAGCACAAAAGAAGCAGAATAGAACTTACTAACAAGTCGAAAACAAGAGTGGAAGATGGATGCACTGAAAAGTACCATCAAGATCAAGCCCAACCATGTTTGTATCTGCGGAAAAGCTCTTCAGTTTGAGCATTCTTGTAAGCACTGCAGGCTATGATATAAACCCAAATCAAGACCACCACGGTGACGATGAGTATAATGTTGGCCTTTCTCCATTCATGCCTCAGGTTCCCAAGCAGGCCAGCTTTGCACGAGTCGCAATTGTAGCAGAGCTGGCTCGGATCGTTGTTCCAGGCGTAGCAGTCGGGGCTTGCTGCTATGTTAGCTGGCGCCGCCCACGATATCGGGCTCGAATACTGGAAGCCACATATTGCCGGAGGCTTACAGCAGCCTGACTGCAGCTCACAAAAAGAGTGTGTGTATCAATTAAGTGCTGAAAAGGGAATTGAAAATGTTATGAGAATTGGATGCTTTTGGGCTATTATGGAATGCAATAAGCACTAAGATCCCATATAATGTCATATTATTCTGCACTCAATTGGCCTTTGTGAGATCATCATTGGTCTGTGATGGAATGTGAAAAGAATTGCATTTTGGACAGGTTTGACAGTAAACCAACAGACAAAAAATTCTGTTTGTGGGTCCGAAAATGCATACTAAGTACTTTTATCATCTCTACCTTATCTTCAACTGTTTTCTTTGATGACACAAACTGGCTGTCCATTGAAGTTCAAGAAGACAAACATGAATTTTCAGACTAAGGCACTCTACATACTGCAATTGCAATAAAATCTACCCAAAAAAATCAATGTAATAATGAAGTCTGTAGGGTAGGCGCCACCATACCTACAGCTTAGGGCACTGTCGAATGTCGATCAATCATTGAAGAGCAAGGCCGCGTTTGGATTCAAAATTCAGAAAAAAAAATAAAAATAATGAAAATGACGGCAATTACCTGGATCGGAGAAAGGTGGGCGGCGAAGAAATCGGCGGCGGAGACATAGTTCTGAGCGAGTTTAGGGCAGATTTGGGTTTCGGCCAAACAGGACCTGATTCCGGGCCAGTTGTCGTCGCCGGTGACGTGATCCCGGAGCCAAGATGAGAAGCCGGCGAGCCTGTACTCCCGGAAGGCGACGCCGGCGACGGAGTAGGCGCCGTTGGGGCGGGTGACGACGAAGGCGAGGACGAGGAGGACTAGGAGGAGGACTATGAGGATGAACATACAGACAAGGTAGACGCCGAGAAGGCCCTCCTTCTTCCAGTAGGCGCCGACGAACCCGGTGAGGGTGACGACGAGGAAGGCGATTCCGATGCAGATGAGGGGCCACCGGAGCCAGCGGATGCACTCGTTGTCGGGCTTGGAGGCCAGCCAGATTCCGGCGGAGATGATCGGGATGGAGCACATCAGGGCGATGAAGTTGAGAAACGCCGTTATGTTGTTGCTCACCGCCATGTCTCCTTCTTCCAGTAGGCTTGCTTGCTTGCTTGCTTTCAGTTTCAATGGCGACTGACTTGACGGAGAAGAAGATGGAGTATGCAGTAGCAGTTGTTAAGGATTTTTGGGAAAGTTTAATTGCGTGGGTAGACGAGCTTGAGCTTATTAACTAATGTTAAAATATTGGGCTGCCTAAAAAATCGAATGGATATTTGTCATTGAAGGAAATGTGATTGTGGTTTCCAAGAAAATACGGCCAGGCCAACTATATATATATACATAGTTATTGCAAACTGAAATGATGCCTGAAATGATGCCCTGCAATCAAATCTATGGATGTTGATATCACTGCTATTATTATTATCAATTATTTTAATCGAAGGTACACGGAAATTTATTCTGTGGCATGCCATGTCAGAAACCAAAACAGACCATAAGGGAAGGAATGGGAAGACGACGATCCTGACAATTCAGCCTTTCATTTCTCAGGAGCCCAATAAGAGCCCAAATAATATCATAGGACGGCCAATTTTTAAAGAGCCCACTTTAAAGGCCCAGATTACTATAAGTTGGAACAAACATTTGCAATGTTAATTTACGGTTGATGATGTTGATCAACGGCCATGGTAGATGGATGAGATCCCATACACATAGTCCATGTGCATGTGTTCTTTGTTTTGATCGTGAAGACAATGCAAATACGAAGACAAGACTAACAATGAAGGATCCAAGTGTGAGTGTAGTGTCATAAAAGACAAAACGTGGAACAATATTAATTTGATAATTTGTCTTATTAGTCCAGAACCAACTTTTGTCATCTTTCTTATATACATGTCTGTCACGCATACAATAATCATGCCATTCTTTCTTTGATACCAGAAGACACATTAACATAACTCTCACAAAATTGAAAATTATTACTATTGTTAGGCATTGACATGAGAAAGCAGAGTAAATTAATAGAGTTGGGTCTATGGGTACAGTTCAGATGATAGCAATACGATAGTAAAAAATAATAACCATCTTAATGTTACGAATTCAAATAAATAAAATAATATAATTGTCCTTTTAGTTATACATCAGTCATTGACTTTACAATTGAATCAGTTTATCAAATGAAAGATTAAAATTTTGTCCTTTACATCATTAATTATTTTGCAGCCCAACTAATAGTGATTAATTAAGCACAGATCACTGTCAATCAATAAAGAGGGCAACCAGTGGAATTATTAGGCATCATATTGCAGTGCAACTTTACTATTTGTGTATATCTACATAATTAATTAACTAATAATACAAGATTCATGCATGCATGTGGATCTGCAAATATACATATACATACATATATATATATAATCCACAGTTAGTTAATAATATATATTGGTGGAGTGAGAAAATAGAAGGAAGAAATGCATGCATTTATATTTGATTAATATATATATATATAATTGGATGATATGACCGACCGACAGAGAAGACAGTCAGGTGACGGCGATAGGCCCCTCCCCCGCCCCCATTCTCGTCGATGACGATGAAGATGAGAGTTTAAGCTCCAGTTTATCAGTAGTGATCATTGGAGTAATTGGGGAGGATGAGAATGTGGAGGAAGAGTCTCCTGAAGGTGCAGTGGTTTTGTTGTATTCTTCGTCTGACGAAATATTGGGTGATATTGACGATGCAGCAGCAGAAGAATTCAAATCTATGCGTAAACCACCATAGCCACCTGCATTAATAATGTCGACGTCACCACCTCCTCCAACCTGCAGCCAATTAAGCGGAGGAAATATGCATACATGTGATGTATATATTTGACATTAATTAATTAATTAGCTGCTGTAGAGAGTATATGGGTATGGTAATGGTAATGGTACCTGGTGGTGGCTGAGGTCGAAGAGGCTGGAGCGTCGTCTCTTGTGGTGGTGGTTATGAAGATGAGCAGTAGAACTGGTGCAGGTGGGGGTTTGTCGTCGTCGGAGAAAGTACTTCTGGGCATGGCTGGCAACCTGAGTTGCAGTCCTGGTAGTGACGAAGTGCCTGGAGATGCCCCTCCAGTCTCCTTTGCCAAGCTTCTCCAGCCCTATCAGGAACGCCCAGTGCTCCTCTTCTGACCATGGAACCCCTGCTCGCCCTGCACACTTACCAACTAACTAACCATTAATTAATAGTAATATATATATATATATATCTAAATATTAAAGGATCAAAGACATGATGCTGATGATCGATGTTACCTTTCCTTGTGTCGGGAGGGCGAGCAATGAGGCCATCAGAGAGATAAGCAATGGATGTAGTAGAAGTGGTATTACTGTTTTGGAGAGATGGGGAAGATGATGAAGATGATGATGAAGAGGAGGTTAGATGATAACGATAATGATTCATTGGTTGCGAGTAATTGGAGGTCTTTGGCTGCTGCAGACAGTCCAAGCTGAGGCTTTTCTTGATGATATTGTTATTAGTATTGGGGCTTATTAATGTTGACGAGGAGGCACAATCAGATTCAGATGCAGAAGCAGAAGAGGAAGAGGAAGAGGAAGAGGAGATATATTCAAGATGCACACCAAACAGCCTGAAGAAGAAGACCCCATCACCCTCACCCTCACCCTCATCTTCAGCCTCGGCCTCACCGCCATTGATGATTGCAGGAGCTGCGCTGCAAGTGGTATTAATTATTATTTGGCAAGTTCTTGAGTTGTGGCCTATGTTCCCACAATGAGAGCACTTCCTAATTCCCATCTCTATTTCTTAATTTCAATCACAACACCATACACCTCTCTCTCTCTCTCTCTCTCTCTCTCTCTCTCACCCTCAATTCCTAGCTAGTTGCAAACACACAAACAAATAGCTATAGTGCATATATATATCAACTAACATGCAGAGAGAAAGAAAGAGTTATAAGTAGCTGTAGCCTCCTGCATTATATTGGCAAGTGTAATATTTATAATATGTACTGTTTGCTGATTTATATATATTGATAATTGGTGTAATGTTTGCACACCAAGTGCACATGATTGGATGTGCATTATTAATTAATCTTTAATATATATTCTTTTAGATATTTTTTATATATTTATTTCCTACTAATCAATGAACCTTGCTTCACATCACATACTTTTCGGTCTCTCACTCAAGAATAAAAGTAAACACATCACACATACTATAAAACTAAACTTGGTTGATAATTATTGATTAATAAATAATAGTAGTAGTAGAAGATTGTTGACAATAAACAAAAGGCTAGTGTAGACTTGATGCATTCATCTGGGGAAGGTTGTATTCCCATTCCCAAGTACTACAATTTCACATTATATTATAACTTACTGTTGATTTCTAGCTTTTAATTTTAGAACCAACTTGCTATTTTTAAAATTTTTCTATGAAACCTAGACCCTTTTCGAACCCCCTAAATTTTATATATACATCATACCCGAAAACAAAACAATTAAAAAATATTGAAAGGACAGACAAAAAAAATCAAGAAAATTTAATTACTTATATGCAAGAAAATGAGAGAATGCACATATCATAAATAGTAAGACAAACCCTTCTAATATAAAACAAAATAATAATAGAATAATATGCATCCCCATACACAATTGTACTTAAACGAACTGTGGGGATATGTTATTCTATATTAGCATTAGCAAACTGTTCATCATCATTATTATTATTATAATTATCATTTATCTAATAGTTAGTGGTTGATTTTTTTAAGTGATCGTAATCTTTAAAGACGAAATGATAAGTTGTTATGGGATTTTAATAAATCAGTTTGATAGAAACATTATCTCTATAATAAATCCACTGGACAAAGATATTTTCCTAACTTCCCTTTACCTCTTCTTTTTGGGTAGAATTTCCCAGAGAGTCCAAAAAAGTTGAAACATTGTGATAATGCATCTACTATAATACAATATCCTAAATTGTTGATTGTACTAAATGCATGCAGATATGTCTGTTCATGAACTGGTGCATTTTTATTTTTATTTTTTATTTTATATATAAAGACAAAAGGATAAGTAAGCATTCTTTCTGGGGACTTTTAACATTATCTGGAAAATGGGTTGAAAGATAATAAGAGACCAGATCCATTTCATAGTATGAATGCAAATTTGATAGCCATTGATGAATTCTTCAAATAGAACAAAATGGACCTTCAAATAGCATGTAACAGATGTCGTGTTATGATCCAGTCCACAATCTGAACTTGCAAATTCCTCGGCGATCCTCTGCTAAGGAATCCCGGATTGATCGTAGCATCAAACTGACAGCTGGAACACGGCCCAGTTGGTCATTGTTTTCCTGAATGATTCATTTTAGGGGAAAACTTGTAAGGGGTTGTTTATAAGGGAGAAAAGTAAGGTGACATTAGTGTACCACTTCAGACAGGCGGTCTTCGATGCTCTGAAGATTTCCATTCCCCGGAAAAAATATTTTTCTATAAGCTGTTTTCAGGCCCTTCATCTGTAATAGAAAGGAAGATGATTGTCAGAAGATGAAACTTATTGCGGACTCCATCAAAGTTCCATACAAAGTTAGTTTAATCTGTCACAAACCTCAACGGGTGAAAAACCATGACGCCGTAGACCTTCTAGATTTAAACCACGTAGTTCAGCTCGCTCGCCAGAGACCATGATGTACTTTGGTACATCTTGAGTAACCTTCACCAGAGAGTGTGAATAGAACATGATGAATACAATGACTATCCAAGTCAGAGTAAATTTAGTTAATATTTACCACCGAGCCACCTCCAATGAAAGAAAAGGAACCAAGATGACAAAATTGATGCACAAAGGATCCTCCTCCTGTGTGAACATAGTCCTGCAAGCGAATTGCTTTAACCGCCTCATTGATTGGCAGAAGGATTATCACAGCCTAGTTATCCTTGTGAAAACTGAAGGCATAAATGTGGCTCACCTCTACAGTTACATGGCCGGCTAATAGAGTATTATTTGCCAAAATATTGTTGTGACCGACTTTGCAGTCGTGGGCAATGTGACAACATCCCATGATAAGATTGTTATCACCAATCACCTGATGATGATGCTTTTATGAGACAGAAAGCTTTCAGATTCTCGTGTTAAATAAAGAGATTAAGCAACATTTACTGTTCTATCGTCTGGCTGTGAAGATCGATGGATTGATGCAAACTCTCTTATCTCATTGTTGTTGCCAATCTCAAGGAAACAGTCGGCCCCTAACTAGGATAATCAAGTAAGCCACTTCAAAGACTTTCCCCAATACAGACACATGAATTACATTGCACGCTTACAATGTCTACAAGTTCCATAGCCATGAAAAAAGCATTTAAATTAGATAGAAAAAGTATTAGCTGGGGCAAGTAAGCATCTCGTAAAGCAATAGTCATACTAACTGAATAAACACAACAACTAAATTCACTCATCTTCATCTACCTTTAAAACTACATTAACACACCCAAGCTTTCCTCGAGTTAATTAGCCATATGAGCATAACAAAGAGTTCATTAATATCACATCAAAAGTTGTGGCTCAAACCTTGTACTTCATGTCTTGACACTTGATCCCCACCACAGCATGATGCCCGATAACGTTGTTGCATCCAACAACAGTATGGCCTGGAAGATCATCACCAACTACGGCACCCCTTCAAGCACAGTAAAGGAACCATTCACAAAAAAGGGCACATGGATGGATGGAACTCAATAATGCTATAAACAAGAGAGCACAATTATCTCACATCATCAAAATGCAATTATCCCCTAATTCAGTGTTTCCGGAAACATGGCTCCCGGGGTATAATTGACAAGCATTGCCCAACTTTGCAGACGACCCAACAGTGCAAAAAGGACCAATTGAAACACCCTGCAATCAAAGATTGTTTCTTCGCACTTTCGTAGCCATAAAAATTAAACTGCAAGGGAAAACCACCATCATTTACACAAGCAAATGGCAATACCTGACCCAAAATGGCGTCCGGATGAACAACCGCAGATGGATGAATGAAACTGCACTTTCTTCCTGTTTGAGTATAACTCAATCTCTCTCCTTCCTGGACGTCTACAAAGGAAAAAACAAGAAAAGTATTTAATTTTAAACCAAAAAGAATATATGTGCGCGCGCGCAAACACAAATGTCCAGACATAAATGAAAGCTATATGTGGGTAATTACCGGGAATTGAAGTGCAGCTGCATCCAAGGTAGCGGCGCTGAACGGAGAGCAATCGGAAAGTCCTATTCCTCAAAACAGTAGCGATCATACTTCACGAAGGGAGGGGAATTCTTTTCTCCTCTGTGACTAAAGGATCACCGGAACGAAGCTAGGGTTTAAATCAATCTGACTGATGCATCCACAACCCAAAATCAATCTTAACCAATTTCTTTTTATTTAAAAAAGAAGAAGACCCACCTGATTTTTCCAGTGTGTCAATAGAAGGTATTCTTGTCCCGTAAAGAGAGTATTTCTTTAGGGTTGGGGATTCTTGAATATAAGGGTTGTTTAAATAACCTAATAGTTCAGATTGATATTTTTGGAAATTAGCTACAAGATTTTTGAAATTTTGAAAAATTATATATTCTTTATGTAATATTTTCAAAAAATAAATAGTGTCCACTGGTGAAAATTGTCATGTAAACTAAACTTTGAATTTGAGTTTTAAGTTTACTATTTAAATAGTAAAATTTTAAATTATAATAATTGTATAATGTCATATTAATAAGTAAATAAAATATAAAATTAAATTTTAATTAAAATTCATCAAAAGATAATAATTGTATAATGTCATATTAATAAGTAAATAAAATATAAAATTAAATTTTAATTAAAATTCATCAAAAGAACACATTCTATAGTAACAAATATAGATGAGGCAAACAAATTAGAACCGAAGCTTCTCATCTTCTTAATGATGCATTCATTTTCACAAGCACATTATGTTAAAATTAGCCAATTGATTATTACATAATTTCTCTAGTAAGAAATGGTTTGGTGGTCCAAACATCTCAATTTCAAGAAATAGGAAAGACTGTTCCAAGTAAAATACATGATAATATGTTTGGTTTGTTTATTTTTATAGTAAATTATAAGAACTGCATCTTTTTATCAAGAGAAAATTATTTCAAGAAACTAAAAAGACAATAAAACATATGCAAAGAGTAGAGGATTTAGGGTTATTATTATTATACCATAAATAAAGATGTCTGCAAAAAACAAGTCGCAGGTTTATTAATTATTAGGTCACACACACACATGCATATTTGGACTAACACATGATAGATATTATGCAATGCTACAGGTCAGGCCAACCAGCTCTAATCGATCCTGTTGTTCTTCTGCTTAAGTTAAGTGTCATATTATATTATATCATATTATATAATCTGACCATTCGGATATGAACGAGGTATGATCCATCGACTCCCCGGGGATTTCTTCGTGCATCTTTGGCTGTTCTTTGCCTCCAACCAATCTGGCCGGATTCCCCACCGCGGTTGTTCTTGCAGGCACATTGATCAAAACCACTGACCCTGCGCCGATCTTGGCGCCCTCCCCGATTTTCACATTCCCCAATATGGTCGCTCCGGCACCAATCAACACACCATCTCCAATCTTAGGGTGACGGTCCCCGCTGGCCTTGCCTGTTCCACCGAGTGTCACGTGGTGGAGAATGGACACGTTGTTTCCAATCACAGCAGTCTCGCCGACCACAATCCCTGTTGCATGATCAAATAGGATGCCTTTCCCGAATTTGGCAGCCGGGTGGATGTCAACTGCAAAGACATCTGAGATGCGGGATTGAAGTGCTAGTGCTAGTGGCTTTCTGGATTGAGTCCAGAGTTTGTGGGCAACACGATGAGCCTAAAAGTACACAAACGAGTTAGCTTGGTGATATACTAAACCCCGACTATCATTAGCAACCTGATTAATCAAACAATAATAGAGGAGGTAAAGATACAATAGTGTGACAGAAATACTCAACTAAAAAGTGATCAGCAGTTGACAATCATGTGGATGAAAGAAAGAAATATGAAATAAAAGTTTGAAACCAGACATTTTATAGGTTACAATGATGGGCACCTGAGCAAATTTATTTACGGAATCTCAGCTATTAAACAAGTTTGCTTTCCTGCTGGTTATACAATATTGCAGTAATCCGAAACACCATAAACTAGCCCAGAAACGAAACTTAAGGTACTGAAATTCAACAAGCCATTCAGCCTAGTTTGCAAGTGAGGAGCAAAATGATACAGACTTTACAACTTCATAATAATCGATGTCTGTAAGCAATAGATTAGTTCTTTTTTCCTAGCTCCCATATTACACTCCAAATGCTAGAAAAAATGTCTAGATAGAAGATCATAACAAAAAGTGTAGGCGTTGATAATACCTTTAAATCTCCAAACAAAACCAATCAACTTGGAAGATAATTTTCACACTCATGCCAGTAAACAAATCTAAGAAACTGACAAGCATTGCCAATATCCAAAATCTCAATCAATCTTCCTAATCAAGGCATATATGTTCATAGAAATCTTAAACAAGATCAATTCAAAATTAGTAAGCTTTTCCTCAAATAACATAATAGGCTACAGAGCATCTTGCACCACATCCGACGCACAAATCAGGTCAAAGAACAATCAGGAAAACAAATTTCTGTAATATGCAATAAACACAATGCAAATAAAGGAATAAAGAAACTAATATGCGTAAAAGCAGAAGCAAATCAGAAGAGCAGAAGTTGAGAAAAGGAAAACCTGGCAAGCAAGGAATCCTTTGTAATTGAGAAGACAGTGGGAGAAGGAAACGCAGGCAGGGTCGCGAAAACGAGCGGCGCGTAAATCGGCGACGGTGGCTGACCGGAGGCTGTCGTCGGTGGAGAAGATGTTGAGGAAGAGATCGTAGAGGAGCGTGGAGAGCAGCGTGGAGGAGCAGAGCTTGTTTCCCAAGTGGAAGGAGAGCGAACGCCCCAAGGAGGAGTGAGAGAGGATTGTGGAGTACAAGTAACTGGCTAGGGCCGGCTCGGCATCAGCGTCGCGCCGAGCCTCCGCTTTGATCTGTCCCCACACCCATTCTTCCTCCTCCGCCGATCCCGTCGGCGGCGGAGGCGGCGAATAATGATGGCACACTTCCCCGGCAGGCATTGGCTGAAACGACGTCGTCGGAGAGGCGTTGGGTTGTGATAGTTTTGAACATTATAATTGATTTTCAAATGACCCACCGAATAAAATAATAATTAATTAAAAATAATTTTCTTTTAAAGGGTACACATCCACAATTTGGCTTCCAAAAAGTAATGAACAAGCACAGAATCATATGGTTAATTTATTCAATAAAACAACACCCATCAAATTAACTTGGCAAATTACAACATATATATGTTAAACACCCATCTAGTTTCCATTAAAGCATCACCTGTGGAAACTTTCACCCCTCCAATTTGAGATCATGCAATGCAAGCTTCTCCTGCACAAGATGAACTGAGTGTTAAATGAACTTTGGACTAAACTAGCACATTTATCATCAAAAGAATATGATCATCATCCATACCAGAGCCTGTTGTACTGCTGAATTGCATTGATCTTGAAACATGGCCATCTGCTCTCATTCCTTTGTGCGTCGCGCATCTCTTTCTCCCCTTTACAGGGGCTGCCCTGCAAATGGAACCTTGGCCTATCTTAACTCCACAAACATCAGTGCTATAATCAGCAGAGCCAGTCCTGTGTTGATCTGATATTGTTTCATGGCAACAACTCATGTTTCCCTCTTTATTCGATAACCCTGAACTACACTTTATTCTCATTCCTTTGTGGGCGGCACATCGCTTCCTACCATGTACAGGTGGTGCAGTACAAATGGATCCATGGCTTAAAGCAACACCACAAACATCACCAGAACCATACAGCTCTTGTGGTGGCATTATCACCCTCCTAATCCCAAATACTTGAGACATCGATACATTGTTATGATCTGCATCACTTAATTCAGAGCCATTGTTCCCTTTAGAACCTGGATTGCAGGCTCTGATTTCAATCCCAACTTGCTTCTGGTTAAAAGACAGAAGTTTCTTTATTAGGATTGTGAACTGAGATTGCTTCACACAACGGTCTAGTTTCTTGCGGATATCTTCATGGCGGCGTATGCCATTGCTGCCTTTGTTCCATGCGTAATCAAACATATCAAGCAGCTGTTTCTCAGCCATTTCCGCATCCTTCTTACTTCTCATCTATCCAAATAATTTGTAAAGTGAGTGAAAACAATTGTGCATTATGTTTTAGAAAGAACTAATTAGTACTTACAGGAGCACATCTGTAGACAATAGGGAATCCTTTCGCGAATACATCTGAAAATAATTTATGTGAAGGTTCACATAGACCATAGGTGGATTTCTTGTTTGAGCATCCATTCTCCAAGTGCGCGCCGTCACGGCCATACTGCTGAAGCCTGGTCCTGAGATTATCAGCTTGTCCAAGATAAACAGGCACCACTGAGCTTGAGTCAAGTCTACGTGTCTCTCTCCCAGATATCACTGCAATTCCAAGCTCATAAACTCCTGGGGCAGGATTCCAATTTGGAAGGTTTTGTGTTCGGTACCTTTCAGATCCTTTTCCCGTTGAATAATCTTTCCAATCAGAGGCCCCTATTAAAATCTATAGCCAAATCCAACGCACATACACCATAATACATCAGCACTAAATTCAATACAGAAGAGGGATAGACAAAATGCAAGCATAGTAAACCAAGAAAAGCACTTCTTCTATGGCCATTTCTCATGTCTTTTCTCAATCAACAGTTTGGTTTGTGGTGTTGTTTAAAGTCATTGATCGTTTTCCATTCAGAAATTGCAGATCTGAATGCAAAGTATCACTTTACAAACTAGTATTATTATTAATCAGATCCATTAAAATGCAGAATAAGATTAAATACTTGCTCGGTCACTAAGCTTAAATCAATGCAGACCTTTCAAACAACTTAATTATAACTAAAATAAGAAGCTGAGATCCTTAGCAAAGAATTTAAACGCCTATGTCTATGGCACTATTCAAATTCTCAAAGGAAGAAAACGGTTATCCTTCAGACCAAATGCAACTATGCGAGTATGCAACTGAGTAACTAACAACCTCCTCCAGTGAAAGAGCAAACAAACAGTCAAATCCATGTCAAAATCAGAAACTAATAACATCGATTTTAAGAATCACGGAATATATTACTCATCAAGTTTGTGCCTATATACTGAGCGACCTTCCATTGCGAGAAAGCAGAATCGTGCTTAGTTCGCCTGAAATTTTCCCTCTTCAATCTATCGCCGGTGGATGATGCCGAGCAGGAACGTGCAGCGTCGGCGGCGGGCACTCCCATCGACTCCTCCACCGTATCACGAGAGTGAGTCGACCGTTGCCTTCGGCCACTTCATATTGCGCGGCGGATCTTCTTCCAATCATGGAAAGGACGCAACGGCTATAAAAACTATTATTACTGTTACTTAAAATATTTGAGCATCAATTTGGGCCGTAAACCAAAAAGGCCCAATACAATTTGGGCCGCTCAAGTCTTTTTCAGTCATTTCAAACCTTCGTTTCCATTTACTTGGCCACGTCAGACAACTATGATAGCGATGAGTGATTGTGACATAGACTGTAATGTCAATAAATAATATTTAATCAAATCTTGTTGTCAATTTTAAAAGCCCAAAACAAAACAAGTGGACAGCTATTCCGGTGGCAGCAATCACAAAGTACAAAATCGACAGCTCATCTCAAGATTTGTCTGTCAACAACTCTTTTTTGTTTGTTTGGTTTTTCAATTTCTCCCTCCACCGTTATTCATTCCTGCCTCACAAAATGTCTGTCGCCTTCATCATTTACACATACATAATATCACCATCAACACAAACGAATATGAATAATCCAAAAAGAACCCTCTCTCACTCTACTGTCTCACAAAGAATTCCCATCTTGTTTTCTCTCTGTCCACAGCCCATCTTTCACCAACATAAAGATTATTACCATTATATGCACCAATGTAGCAATATGAAGGGGGGGGGGGGGGGGGGGGGGGGGGGGGGGGGCCTGGGGCCTTGGCTTCCAATGTACAGGGTGGGTTGAAAAGAATTTGGTTTTACTTACTTGGGACGAGTCTTGATAGGTTTAAGTTTTAATCCCATACTCTCCGGCGAGAAAAGTTCCGGCGATATCCGCGGCAGGTTCGACGGGCTCCTCGGGCTCCCGCCATACATGCTTGGCTGGTACATGCCATAATTCGACAGAAAATATTCCAACGATGTCAGCATTGCTTGAGGGTGCTCTTCCGTCACCATCGATCCGCAAGAACTGACCTGTAATAAAGGGCGTCGATTAAATCATCGCCATAAGCAGTATCGTTGATGAAAACTTAACCACTACGGAAGAAGAAATGCATCGTTAATTACATATTATATAGTTTGACAACGTTTGTTACCTCGACTAAAGCAGTGTGTCTTTCGTCCATTTTGGCAAACATGTGGACAGCCTCCGAATGGAATGGGGAGAGGCTGCCGACGAATATTAGTGTTCTACATCTCAGTGTCCTCAAGCCTTGGGTTATGTCGGGCCTTCTGTCGATTTATCATAGAACAGTTGGCTTAATATTAACCACGACTGTGAAATCTAGAATGACGAATCAGTAGAGCTCCATTTCTCAATTATTACCTCTCCAACGCTTGAACGAATCTCATTACGTTCTTGCTCTGCCTCTCATCCAGAAGCTGGAAACCCAAACGCAGTCACATGTCAAAACTCGAAATTTGCTCTATGAGAAAAAACAATTTTAGAATCAGGACTCGGGCTAAAATTAGCAACAACTAGATGTGTTCGAGCGCTGACCCTTCTACATGCTTGAACTATGTCCGATTCTGGAAATCCAACACTGCCACGAACTTCCTGGCACGATAATAGTAAGTGAATTGTGACAAGAAAGCCACAGGACAAAGTGGATTGATCAAAAACAACAATGGTAGAAGAGAAATATTGAATACCTTGCTGAAATACCGGTAGAGCAAACATTCCTTGAGCAAACCACACATACCATAGTAGTAGAGCAAATTCGATATTACCTGCAAAATAGTGCTTTCTAAGCTATCCATGGAAAATATGCAGACAAGCAAGCAATGGAGGAAGTGCAGCTACTGAACTGACCTTATTGCATAACCATTCTTTCCAAGATGGTTGTTTGCATAAAGGAGAAACGAGTATCAAACCAATAACCCGCTCCCTATATTTCATCTGTCAACGATAAAACCTAAAGCCTTGGTGTAGCAAAAGAGAAAAAGGTATAATCGTTGGAATTTAGAAAACGAGAACATACAGCGAAGAGGGTAAGGATGTAAGCACCGGCTGTTACACCCAAGCACATAACTGCTCCAAGCCTGAGCAAATCAACACACCGATTAGGAGTATATTTCCAACTACCAGAGTGATAATACTTTAGGGAAATCAAAGAAATCAAATTGACCAAAGGATTGATCAATGGGTCAGATGCAGTAATGAAGTTACCTAAAATAATCAAGCACCTCAAAAATTTGATCTGCTAAGTCATCGACAGAAGGTAAAGGATCACCGTCACTGATTGCAGCAGCTCCCAACTGCAAGAACTCTTACCAGAGTTCGAATAAAGTTTGTCATGAGTAGTATTCAGTAACGTCATAATTTGGACGACAAATGAAATAATTAATACATCAAAGTTATCCTGATGCAACTATGAATAAATCGGGACAGGAAAATTTACAAACCTCGTGCCCAGGAGGACTAATGTGGTAAACACAGAAATTGTGAAGCAGCAATGCGGCTGCATCTGGACAGAAGAACAGCCCTTGAAAACACGACATATCTGCATAAAGCACAGGCAAGTGAAGTATTCATTAGATTGAAGATGTATATATCACTAGGAACAAATAATGATGAGCAATGCCTTTGTAATAAAATTATGTTACTGCAAAAGTGAAAAGCATGTCTTACGATTTAAAGCTAAATCAGGATATGTAACCAGCGCAGCCTTCTCTTGATCTCCGTAAACTATAACTGATACAGAACCACTACTAGTTCGTATAATATGCTCCTGAGAGAAGAAGACATTTGCGTTCAGTTGATCAAAACCATAACATCCAAAATCTTACAAATTACAATTGTAAAAATAGAAGATGCACCACCATCAATGTAACTCCATTCAATAGGATATTTATCATTCTTCAATAACAATTTTTTTATTAATAAGTGGACAGTTAAGTAGTTAATAACGTCGAGCCACCCACTTTCCAGTCAAGTAGTTGACAACATATTACTGCCAGAAGGATCCAAATCAAAGTGAAGAAAAAGTTTCCAACCATGCCACAATTAGCATACTCAGTTCTAACTCAAAAAATGAAGAAACTAACACGCAATAAGTTCAATCTCACTCAAACAAACGCGACAACGACAAAATGATCACAACTTGTAACCACCAGAAAACAAAATTGGAATAGGCCGTGCACCGGACAAGTGGCAATAACGAATAGCTACGAAAAAAGGAAGTTACAGGTGTCAGAAAACAATCTTGGTGGTAAAAAGAGTTCTAACTAATGGAGCACGTTTCATTGGCACTAAAGCACCAAATATGGATTATACTACTTCAATCAACATCTTAATTCTTTTCAATCGAACTCTACTATGATTTTTGGTTTCTGAGGGATGAGGGATTAGGGATTTGAGGGGTGGGTGAGGATTCTACTCAATTTTAATCAAAATTGGCAATAATACAATCCAGATAAGGACAGCCATGGCTGATGAATTTTATCCCAAAGCCCACAATAGGGACATCCCAACAAGGACCATCACCATCCCCCGTTTTAGGGCAACCATTCATGGAAAACCCGCTTGCTAAGGAAAGAGAACAGCAATCAAAGATACAGAAAGCAATAATGGTTCAACCGAAACTTCCCCAAGAATGATGAAATCGTTAATTCCATTGCTCCAATTGCAGATTAACTGAAGGAATTAAGCATACAAACTGCAAGCACAGCCAAGATTGTTCGAATCTCTAACAGAAAGCAATCTCTGATAAATGTGTATAACAAGAAGCAAAAACCAGCGAATGACAGGCAAAGAAGTGAACAAAAAAAAAAAAAAAAGAAGCTTATAACAAAAAAAGGAACAAGAAAACAACCTTCCCGCCAAGATAAATCGTCTCTACATCGAGGCAAACAGAATCACCGCTTACATCAGCCATGACCGTCCACCTCTTCTTCCACGCATGTACACAGACAATCAATATCTGCTCTCCTCTCCCTATCTCTTTCTAAATTTCTCTCTCTCTCTCTCTCTCTCTACACACAGTAATCCGATAAATGTGCGTCTATATACCGTTGAGAAAAAGGGTTGGCCCTGATCCTTTAGATGGCTTATATACGAAGCGATTCTCTCGCTCCCCCTTTCTTCTCTCTCTCCCTATATTTGCTCTGTGTATTTTCGAGACATGTATATGTATATATTTCTCGAGCTCTTTTTTGTTTCTTTCCATTTCAGTAACAAACAAATCTCCACCGACGCCTTCTGTCTCTCTCGCTTCGCTTGTGCAGACATGGTGGAATTACCCCAAAATGTCCGGGGCACTGTTGTCATTTCATTAGAGCTTCTACCCAGCTGCAGTTAACTGGCGTCTGGAGTCTGGATGGATTATTCATTCACTAACTTTAATATTATTATACAAACACAATTACGATAATTAGTTTATTACTTATCTAAGATTTTGATTATCTTATATTGAATGAAGCTTATGATCCTTTTTTTATGTCTTTCAGTAACTAAAAGTGATTATGTAAATACGATTTGGGCATTTATGTAATGATAAATTTTTTAGATTTTTTGAACTTTTTCTTTTATTACCATAATGTTCAATTTTTTTTATTTTTTTTATCTAATATTTCGATAATTACTTAAATTAAATTGCTGTTTATATTTTTAGATTGTTTAATATCAATTTATTTGAATGAAAATATACTTCAAATATTAATAATTTAATGCGAAAACATTATACATTACGGACAGGGGGAAACACATAAATCAACCCCCAGTCTTTATTAATAGTATTTAATAGCATATGCATATGTCTATAGAATATAAATATGAACGAATAAAGTTGGTGAATTAGCTGGATTTATTTTTAACACAAGAATATATGTTTTGCAGCATGCTTATAATATATTTATTACTAATTCACAAAATTTAAAATATTTTATATTGTTTTACTATAGAAATAATTTATAACAATACAATATGTTCAAAATATATGAAATGCGGTATAATCATTATATCACAAATATAATATATTTATCATAATAGTCAAATTGAAAAAACATTTAGATCAAGTTCCAAAATGGAAAAATATTACAAAAACCATATAAGACATAAAATAATACTACCAATTTCGATACATTATTTTATTTGTATATATAACTCATCAGAACCATATAAGACATAAAATAATACTACCAATTCCGATACATTATTTTATTTGTATATATAACTCATCATTTTGTTTTGCTTTGAAGTAAAATTAAACTTAAATAATTATCAAGAGCCTTAAATTGAGTTTGATCTCACACACATTCATACTTTATGGATCACTACCAAATTTGCAGCATCCCTCTTTTCTTTACAAAGCTCATTCATGATTGAACCATCCTTTTGACAAAGAAGATTGCAAAAATCTTCCCTATCAAGGAAACCATCATACAGATCTAAATAAAAGATAAATGTGTGCTATAGAGCACTGTATATATATATATATATATCGGATCCGGTTGCGTTACCATTTCAGTCCTTTGTGCTGTTCTTAAGCCACTCCAAGTATTGCTGGTTGCCTCCAGTTATCGGCATGGCAATCACTTCAGGTACGCTGCACAAACAAACATGAACACGATTTACAGCGGGCGAAGAAGGAATAACAGTATTGCTACAGAGATGGTGTGGTGTCAACATCATTCTTTTTTTCTTTATGCTAGATTAGAAGCACAAGAATGATTTGATAGCTTCATATCGGCATAAAAGCTACAGCAGCACAATTGGTCACATGGCTGATTCTAAAGACATGTGGAAGAAAGGCAGCTCAATTATATACAAGCTTTGATGCTTTTGTTTTTTGTTCAGACAGGAATTTAGTTGTTGGTTTCTATTGATGTTGGCAGATTCTTTGTGCACAATATGAATATGGAGCATAAAAATTGATACCCGACATGACGGGTGGCTGTTGATTATTGTTAAAAAGTAATTTACTTTCCTTAAACAAAAGTTTTTAAATGTTGAGTAAACTAGGGAGATAATCGTAGATCAGCAACTGTAGATCATTTCACCAAATGCCAAAATTATTCGAACTAAGAGTACTTTTCACCAACATGTTCAAGAAGGGGCAAAAGAACTTACTCGTACTCATGATTAGCTTTCACATGTGCAGTCAAAGCTTCCAGAAGAGATTCCCTGGTCTTGATAATGAGCAGCTCTTCAGAATCAGTTTCTATCTGTTTCAAAAGTGAAGAACAGAGTGACTAACAATAGTAGAAGGAAAAACATAAAACTTCAAACACCATTCCGAATGCTATGCCATGGCTTTGAGTATGTTCCTCCTTCACACCACTGTCACTAAATAAGATAGTGTAGAATGTTTACCTTGCCCTTCCACTCATAAACAGATTCAACACCTGCATATAGAAACACAAATATCATTTTTCTTGTCTGGAATTAGCTCAGAAAGCAGTAGAAGAATGAGCAACAAAATTTCCAGCACAGGGAAAAAAAATGCATTAAAAAGATGAAGAAACTATCAGTTAGTTCATCCAGAATGTACACAACTTCCAGACTTCAACGTTGAAAGGCAAAATATTCGCACTGAATAGCACTAGGAAATATTCTTCCACACCAATGAACTTGCCTTTAATCCAGACATTTGTGTTTACTCAATCCTCAGTAAAGAATAATAACCTGGTATTCGGTTAACACATGCAGCAAGCCGCTCTTTAACTATGCTTTCTGCCAGTTTTTTCCCTGCAGCAAGGTTTAAGGCATTATATTAACTATTACTTTACAGTAAAACAAAGTCTTTATATGGTGTCCTTCCAAGTTGGAATTATTTCGAGTAAATTAAAGAAAGGAAAATAAAGTATAAGTTAAACCTGCTTCTTTATTTGGAACTGTTACATAGACAACAATGCTGGGCACAGTAGTCTTGCTTGTTTCCATTCTTATTTGTTCAGCTTTATTAGTCTCTGCGTGTGCGCAGAACTTTGACCTGCATATAAAAATCATAAAATCGTTAGAAGGTGTTTTCCCTTGGGAGCACCATAACAGTTTACAAATCAATGCAAATAATTGAGTTTCTAGGACACGTAAAAGTTACCGTAAAGGAGGAACAAAGGAGAGGGACTGAGCACAACCCGTTTTGTGAGGAAGGGTGATAAAAGGGTTGAGATTGTGAACGCAAAATCTAAGCACACAAAAAGCACTCACTATGGGCAGGGGCCGATGAAACACTGCGGTGGAGACAATGGGCAAAAGGCTTAATGCCATGAGAATTTTGCAATTTGAGTCTTCTTTATAGATATTAGTATTACCTGATACCAAAAGTATGCATATTACGTTTAGACTCCAACAAAAGAAAGGTATTACTGAAATACTAAGTGGTGTATGGCAATGATCAAAGCCAGATTCCGAAAATTATCTCAGCAGTGATTTCAGCATTGCTTCTGAACTAATCAAATTGCAAACTAGCACTAGTTACCATCCAAAATTATGCAAGTATTAATGTCCCTATTCTCTATCACAAACACAAACTAGTTAGCTTATATTCCTAATTTCTGAGCTCCTACAAGGGGATTGAACAAAAATCAGATTAAATATGAATCTAAATGTTTTAGTTCCTCCAGATAAAACGCTGTATATATACGCCCTTGCACTCAATAACTTCCAATCGATACGAGAAATTCGGGCTTCCTAACCCCATGAAGATACACAAGAGAATCACAAACCCCAGCTCCAGAGGAAAAACCACATTCTCATTAATCCAACCGCAACCAGCGGAATTTATTAAAGGCGGTAAACCAACGCCATTTGTTAAAAAATAATAACATCAAAATGAAGCAACTGAACATAGATAGTACCGAAATGGCAACCCAGACAAAAAAAGATAAAAAATAAAATCTTCAGCTCCAACTCGATGCGAAAAATTAACAAGTTAATCCAAGCTTACGAATGATACGTATCCAGATTACAGAAAACTAACCTGTTAATGAGTTGCTGCTCAGCCGAAGATCTGAGCAGTGTCAGTTGAACGTTGCTTCAGCCAATTAGGGATTGGATGTAAGAAGAAATCACTCCATAAAATTTACAAAAATCTTTTCGGCGTCTGTGAAGTGCCTGTATGAGTATCACTGATCACAGTTTTGTTCTTTGATACCGATTTCTATATTGGGCCTTAATTTGGGCTTAAAGATTCGTATATGGGCTTTTACTTCAATTAGTTTTGGACTTGTAAAATTGTGGGTTTTCGTAGTCATTCTTTGTCCCCAAAAAAAAGCAATCAAAATATTTAAATTGGCCCGTAAAAGATAGTGGTGGGGTGAAAATATGAGGTCATGGTTCAAACAGCTCAAGCATCAAGTCACCTGTCACATATGGATAGCCTAATGTGACTTGTCTGTCGGGTCTCGGATCGAAGATTTATCCAATAAGCACTTTCGAATAGCGGTGGCTGATTTTCATATCATGAATATATATATAAATTTAATTTAATATTAAATTAAATTGTTTAATTCAGGGTATAAAATGATTTGCATTAATTACATTCACGTAACATTAAGAAAACATGCATGAATGCATATTGATTTCCAGGCACGATGTACTAATAGTGAATATCATCCTTCATTCGTCTTAAAATTATTTAAGGTATTAATTTATCATAAAATTATGATGATCTATATATACTATTATTATTTAATTTGATAGCACCAACTTAAATAAAACACACTTAAACAGTGTATATAACCTACGAAATCTCACATTGCAATAGTTACTTCTGTGTAGTTTTTTTTTTTAACAAACAAAAGAAAATAAAAAAACCAAAACTTAAACTAACACTCATTTCTAATATATTTGTTCACTCAATATTTTTCTAACAATATATTATTCCTAATAAATAGTATCAAAAATACTATATATATAATATTTTTTATTCGCAAAATATTAATATTTAATGTACAAATATTATTTTTTTATATTATTAAATAAAATTTTCATAATTAATATAAAAAAATACATATATATATATATATAAAACCGTAGTGAATAGTAATGGATGTGTCTTTGTGTGTATTTTTTAGGCTTAATATTTTTTATAACGATTTGATATGATATTTTATTAAAAATAATCTCTTTTATAAAATAAAAAAAAAAATTGTAATAATTGTGTATAGTAAAAAACTATTTGCAGTGTGAACAAATCATTTGTGTTTGTTTTTGTTACTTGATGCTATTCAAACTTTTATTTTCCTCCAAACTACAACGGATTTGTTTGGTTTGGGTTTAGGTTTGTAATTTTAATTTTAATTTAAATAATATTTTATAAAATATAGTAATACATTTTTATTGAAAAATATCACATTAAATAAGGCTAAATTGCACAAAATTCATCAGTGGTTTCATGAAATTGCACCAAATCCCCATACTTTTAAAACTCCGTCAAACTCCCTCGTTGTTTCATAAACTTTGCGTCTAACCTCCTCAGTAGTTATTATTTAACGGTATTTGACCTAAATGTGCTCAAACTGCGAATAAATTTTAGAATCTCAATTTATAAACCCCTAAAATTACAAATATATTTATTTTTTAATATTTACCCTAAAAAATAGTAAATATGCTAAAAAAATAGTTTTTTTTTTTTCAGATTTTAAGGGTTTATTTTTACTATTTTTTTTAGGCTAAATATATAAAAAAATAAATATTTTGTAATTTTAGGGGTTTAGAAATTGAGATTGTAATATTTATTTGCAGTTTGAGCACATTTAGGTCAAATACTGTTAAATAAGGACCGTTGAGGGGGTTAGACGCAAAGTTTATGAAACACGAGGGAGCTAGTTTGCAGCAGTTTTAGAAGTACGGGGATTTGATGCAATTTCGTGAAGCGTGAATTTTGTGCAATTCAACCAATTAAATAATTACTTCATATAAAAACAACAAACCAAAAAATAAAAAAAAAAAAAATGAGCAACCAATATATATTCTAAACAAAATATATACTATTTTTATTCAATTTTTTTATATTTTTAAAATAATTTAAGATGTAAAAATATAACTAAATAAATCAAGTAACTTTACAAGATCTATCAGAAAAGAGATATTTTGAAATTTGAGATTGTATATCAATTAGAGCGGCTAATGGGTCGATTCGTGTCGGGTTGAATACTTTAAACGGGTTAAATTACTCGACCCTAATCCGACCTGTTTATTATCGTGTCGGGTCGTGTTAACCCGTTTATTATCGTGTCTTGTTCGGGTTGACTCGTGTTGACCCGTATACGTAATTAAGTCGAATTTTTTTATTCAAATTAAATAATTTTTTGTTATGTTGTCGAGTTATGTTAGTTTTTATTAATTTGAACGTAAATTACGTTGAATTATTTAAAATTGAACTTAGTTTAAATTAATTTATGAAAAAATTATTAAATTATGATTATTTTACATATATAATAAATATATTATAATCGAATTGTCGTGTCGGGTTCGAGTTGAGAGCCTCAACCCTAACCTGACCCGCTTACCATCGTCTCGGGTTCGTATCAACCCGTATACATAATCGGATTAAAATCTCTTATCCCAAACCCAATTATTAATCGTGTCGGATTGTCGTATCGTATCAGTTTTTGTCAGCTCTAATATCAATATATATATATATATATATTTAAATTTGATATCACCGAAAGTAGAATTAAATCTAAAATGCAATGCAACCCCATGAATGCGGTTCTACGAGTATATTTGGGTTCATAAATTCACTAGATTTGTTGCACGACTTGCTACCCGCCACGAAGCTTCCTATATTAAAACTGTTGTCTCCAAGCTGGAATATATATATATATATATATTATTTTTTTACCAAATTAATACAAAATGAAATATATCAATATTGAAAAACATACTTATATTTATATATACATGCATGCGTGTTGGAAAAAATCAAAACCGAGTGCAATGAGAGCGTGACACTTGTGTGTGAAAAGAATAAAAAGCAACAGTCTCTTTTTATAATAAAATTAATTAAATAATTATCCCAAAAATACATCCATCTTGATCGAAAGTACCTTTTAATTATTAAATTATTGAGCAATAATAATTTAATTTAATTTAATTATTCATAGTATATTATTATGGGATTATTGATGTGGCTTTTCCACGTACGTAATTATATATAATTTGAATTAGTAGGAAGCTTCTAATGAATCAAAATGTTATTACAATTATTATTATTATTATTATTATTATTATTATTATTATTATTATTATACATTGTTAGGCACGTCGGCTGTTTTTATATTGTAAATTAAAATGATGCAGAAAAATAATATTAGTGTTACATAGAAAATAAATTAAAAAAATGACGACATTGATATATGTTAATAATGGTAATGGGGTTCACAAAACGTGTTGCTGTGAGCGTGCACGAGTTATTACAATTAATGATATATAGTGTACTGACATGCATCCCATCTTAATTACTTCCCAATAACGAATATCTGTCATTAAATGCTCCTTTGAATTCAATCTTTATTTATAAATATGTGTTGTCTTAAATTTTACTCCCTTCATCCCACATAATTTGTCCCTATTTTCTATTTTCGTCAGTTTCACATAATTTGTCCTTTCTATTTTTGAAAATATAATTATGCACTTTAATCGTATTTTAAATTTTATAATTTTCTTAATTTTAATTAAACTATTTGCTTATCTTAATCTTAATCTATAATTATTTTTACTAATATATTTCTTAATTACTTACTAATTATATTTTACTTAAATTTCCATGTTTACAGTAATACGCCCATGTTATATGGGACGGAGGGAGTAACACATAAATAATTCAATAAATAAATAAATAATAAAAATTTCATTCCATATAAAATAAATTAAATAGGTGCAAAAATAGGATGGATTTTGAATTATGGAACTCGGGATCCAAATTTATAATAATAATGAGTCAAAGTTGAACCTTATAATTGAACTTATTTTATCAATTAGTATGTAACATTTAATTATTATTCATTAGAGTGCTCAAAGATCTAAAGTTATTAGATGAAATCTATTTTTAAGAATATTCGTGGTATGAAATAAATGCATAATCATACAATATAGATGAAGTTAAAATTTCTTATTTCATTAGTTAAAAAATGGAAATAAATCGAGAAATTACGACATTTCAAAAAAATTAAAGAAATGAGTATATCAAGAATATATATATATATATATATATACACACACAAATAGGGCCTTCAATAATCTCCTAATAGCTGTATTAATATTTAATCGCTGAATAAGGTCAAAGTTTAATACTGTCTAATTCATTTAAAATAATACTTAATTATTATGATATAAATATAGAATAATAATTCAAAGCAAACAAATACTATAAATAATATTATTATACTAAAAATAATAACAATTAATTGATTAAAATAAGTACATTATCCAAAATAAAAACACATGTCCCAATCCAAGGAAGTGGAGGTGGTGTGAAGCTTCACCAACCACCTCAATAAAATTAATTTTCATTTATAAAATAAAATACAACTTTGCATAATCCCAAATATTATAAAATCCAAAAATAAAAGCAAAATCCATGACACACTATCTACCAAATATTCAACATCTTTGAAGGAATATATTGAACGGAACCTTATCATCAAATAAATATTCCAATTGCATTTAAATTTAAATTTTAAAATTTTAATTATTTCATGAAATTAAAATTAAGTGTAAGTAATTAAGATTATTTGTTTGTTCTGCTTCATAAATCATAATCCCTTCTGTCATTGCATCTTCCGAGACGATTCCTGCTGTCCAATTATGACACAAAGGATACTTAGGTAACTTCATTAAAATTTCCTTAATTAAATGAAAAAAACAAAACAAGTTTCAAATAGGAAATATTCACACTTGTAATTAATATTATTTCATTTTCCTATTTATGGCAAATTATTATTTTTTTTCTATTTATTCATCATATTATTTATAAATTAATTCGGCTAAATTGTACAAAATGTACACGTGGTTTCATGAAATTGCGTCAAATCCCTTATACTTTTAAAACTGCGTAAAACTCATTCGTGGTTTCATAAACTCTGCGTCTAACCCCTTCGGCGGTCCTTATTTAACGGTATTTGACCTAAATACGCCCAAATTGCAAATAAATTTTAAAATCTCAATTTTTAAAACCCTAAAATTATAAATATATTCATTATTTTGTATTTAGTTTCAAGAAAATAATCAATATACTTAAAAAAATAGTTATTTTTAGCAGATTTTAAGAGTTTATTTTTATTGTTTTTTTAGTCTAAATATAAGAAATATATATATATTTGTAATTTTAGAAGTTTAGAAATTAAGATTCTAAAATTTATTCACAGTTTTGGCGCATTTAGGTCGAATACGGTTAAATAAGGACCACCGAGAGGTTAGACGCTGAGTTTATAAAGCCATAAAGAAATTTGACGCAATTTTAAAAGTACGGGGATTCGACGTAATTTCGTAAAATCACAGGTGAATTTTGTACAATTTAGCCAATTAATTCAGTGATACTACTGTCTATTGTATCAGCTATGGTATTTATTAAGTTTGATGATCCCAATCGATCTCTGCAAGCATAAAATTGCATGTCTTTAAAAGGAATCCGAATTTTAATTTTTATATTCCATTTATTTGACATCATAGATTCTAGTAACAGCTGGTAAGTATATAAATATATTTATATATATATAAATAAATAAAAAATAAAAATTACAGGTAATTAGGATAGTGATTTTTTCTACATTGAGAGTTTGATTAAGTACGGCACCTAATCACTCTACTTTGAGATAATTATGTAATTAAGCATTGGCAATTAGGTGTGTTCCTCAAATTAATGAATAATTCGAATTATATTACATATAAATTATTAATTTTAATAATTTTTAGTATAGTAATCTTGTAAGGATTACAAAGAAAGATTAATTAACCAAATAAATAAATAAAATTAAAAGGAATCTGCAAAAAAGTCACCTTATTTGGTGCATTTGTGTTGATCTATTGGCAAACACAAATTAGAAATGTCTCCTTAATTAATCTCTGCACTCTAAAAGCACAGCAACAATATCTAACAAATTCACCATTGTTTTTTTAATTTTGTCCTAACCAGACATTGTGATCTGCTAATTTGTCCTGTGTTTGAATCTCTATATATATATATATATATATACATAGATATTGTGTGAGCCTCTCCAGTGTCCACATATACTAAAAATCTTTAAAAAGAAATTTAAATATATATGTAAACTAAACAAATTTGTGACGTGGTAGAATTTATTCTCTCGACGATTTTTGTAAATCCCAACTAGCTTTTCCATGTCTGACGATGTCCCTTTTCATCATGTAATAAATTAATAAATATATTCAGTTTTACTTACCCATTTGCCAATTTAAGTTAAGATGTTATTATTACAATAGTAATAAAATAATAATGGGCATTTGGAATTGGGGCAACATAAATAATTTCACCCTTTTTTTATCAATGTACAAAAGCAGACAAAAAGGTAGAATAAATTAAACCATATTGCCCATCTCATGAACTGATCATTTTTTGTTTTATTATTTTAATATATAGATATATATATATATATATATATCTGTCTTTCTGCAGCATTAATAAAATAGTGCATTCTTTTAATGGCAGAAAATCTCACAAACCCAATTATATCACATGGATATATATCTTGATGATATGCAGGGCCTTTCTAAATTGAAATAGTATGAATTATTTTATTACAACATACATACATATATAGAGATTAAATGGGAGATGATCAATGATTAGGGCGTGCATGGTGCTGTGATTATTATGAAACAAAAATACTTAGGAAGGTTTTTAAGGAAGTTGGGGAATTAACTCTGATTAATTAAATAATTGCTGGTGGGCCCAACATATCTTCTCTAATTTTCTTTTTCGAAAATTAGATGACAAGAATCTTAAGGATCTCTGTCAGGTTGTAACAAAATTTAAACTTAACCACTCTTCCATTTTTATTTTTTTTTTCAATTTTCATTTATATATATATATGTGTGTGTATATAATATAGCTTCGTGTTATGTGTGGGATAGTAGACCACTCACTTTGATCAAGATGTATTATTTTTTGCTGTGAACATGGATATTTAATATTCTTGATTAATAAACTTGTTACAAGAAATTAATCTTGAATCATTACTAAATTAAGTTCAATAAATCAAGTGCAAATTAAATCAAATACATAACTTAATAGTGTAATCCACAAAACTTAGTTCCATTAATGAAGTCAAACAGTGATTCCTTATTATCCAAACTGACTGCATAATTTAATGCACCTTATATATATATATATATAATCTCAAGCTTAAATATAATTGGATCTGCAGTGCAGTGCAGCTGTAAATAATGAAGTTAATTACAATTATATGAATAAACTCATATAATTAAGCAGCACTTGGGGAAATAAATAAAAATAAAATAAATGTATATAATTGGAAGTTAGAAAGGGAAGTATATTTAAGAAGAGAGAACACCCACTCCCTTCAACCACCATATTTGCTGTGTATCTCGTGGAGATATTGAGATATGTATGCAGCTTTGAAATTGATGACAGAAGCCTACAGTTGTTGCCAGTCAGTCACGAATTCGATTTAATTAATTAAATTAAATTATTTTAAATGATTAATTTGGCTGCAAAAGGTGAGGTTTGATCTGATCTTGCTTGCTCCACAGAATCAATCATTAGTCTAGTCTGCATTCGTTTCTTTCTCTTCTTCTTCTTCTGTTTGGTGTGGTTTTTTTAATTAGGTGTTTCCATGTCAGCTGAGGGACCCAAATTTTCTGTATAAAAAGGGCTTCACCATTGACAATTGCATTTCAAGAATTCAATCAAACGCTAGTTACTTGTTGCAGCTAGCTAGCTAGCTAACTCGAGATTCATTCTTTCATTTCTTCATTCAATCTCATATTCTTGTCCTTTAATTCATCGGATATATATATATATAGAGAGATGGCGATTATCGATATTGAACAGCAGCCTCTTGTGGGATTGTCGAGGGTTGCAGTTTCGGACACACATGGTGAGGATTCGCCATATTTTGCTGGGTGGAAAGCTTACGATGAAGACCCTTATGACGAGGAGGGCAATCCTGGGGGGGTTATCCAGATGGGTCTTGCTGAGAATCAAGTAGGTTTTATTTATTACATGTACTGTCGATCTTGTTCTTATGGGTTTTGGTTGTGATGATGGAAATTTGTGTCTGATATTTAATTTAATTTGATTAATTACCTCAGGTTTCGTTTGACATGCTGGAGAAGTACCTGGAAAAGCATTCTGCAGATACGACGACGACGACGACAGGCTGCAACGGTAAAAAAACTACCTCGGCCTTCAGAGAGAACGCACTCTTCCAGGACTATCATGGACTTTTCTCTTTCAGAAAGGTATCAAAATGATGCACAGACAAAGTTGAAATTCAATTTCTGCAATTCTGATCAGACATTAGACAGTTTAAGGATGCAATAATATTAATAATTTGTTATGACTGCTGTGCAGGCAATGGCGAGCTTCATGGAACAAATACGAGGAGGACGAGCCACGTTCGACCCCGACAGGATCGTCATCACCGCCGGCGCCACCGCCGCCAACGAACTTCTCACCTTCATCCTCGCCGACCCCGGCGACGCTTTGCTCATCCCCACTCCTTACTATCCTGGGTAAATAAATAAATTCAATCACCATTACTGTTCTTACACTAATTAATACTATACGTATGGATGTAAGGAAATTAATGATGAGGGTATTGAATTGAAGGGATGGATCAATAATTGATCAATTGGATTTTAATTTAACCTTTTTCTGATTTTTCTCGCAGGTTCGACAGGGACTTGCGATGGAGAACGGGCGTCAACATCGTCCCCATCCACTGCGACAGCTCCAACAACTTCGAGGTCACTCCGGCGGCCATGGAAGCCGCCTACGCGGCGGCGGAATCCGGCAACATGCGCGTCCGCGGCGTCCTCATAACAAACCCTTCCAACCCTCTCGGCGCCACCGTCAAACGCTCCATTCTCGAACAAATCCTCGACTTCGCCGCCCGGAAAAACATCCACCTCGTCTCCGACGAAATCTACTCCGGCTCCGCCTTCTCCTCCGGCGAGTTCGTCAGCATTGCCGAGGTCCTCGCCGCCCGCCGCTACCGCGACGCCGACCGCGTCCACATCGTCTACAGCCTCTCCAAAGACCTCGGCCTCCCCGGCTTCCGCGTCGGCACTATTTATTCCTACAACGACCGCGTCGTCACCACCGCCCGTCGCATGTCCAGCTTCACTCTCATCTCCTCGCAGACGCAGCAGCTCCTCGCCTCCATGCTTTCCGACGCCGATTTCACCCAAATGTATATCCGGACCAACCGGGACCGCCTCCGGCGAAGGTATCAGATGATCGTCGACGGCCTCGCCCGCGCCGGAATCCGGTGCCTCTCCGGGAACGCCGGATTGTTCTGCTGGATGAATTTGGGCCCCCTCCTCCGTGAATCCTCCATGGAAGAGGAGCTCCGAGTTTGGAAGCTGATTCTTAGGGAAGTGAAGCTCAATATCTCGCCCGGTTCGTCCTGCCATTGCTCCGAACCGGGCTGGTTCAGAGTTTGCTTTGCCAATATGTCTGAGGCCACTCTCGAAGTCGCACTTTCCAGAATACACGATTTCGTCGCAGCAAGATCGTCACACTGACACACAGATACACACATATACATTTAATTAATAATCGATATATTATCGTCGAATTTTATTGTATTAAATTGATGATTTATATTTTGTAGAAATTTTTTCATTCTTTCAAACCGAAGAATGGGTTTGAATTGAATTTGAATCTAATATACATTTAATTTCTCATATATGCAGTAATTATGTTTAGTTACGTTTTTATTTATTTTATTTTATTTTAAATCATACGTTTGTGTGTGCCCACACTGATACACACGCACGCACGCGGATGTGTCTGCGTATGTATTATTGGATGATTCAATAAATAAAATAAATAAAATAAAATGTACAAGTGAAATAAAAAAAAATGACTGAAATGGTCTGTGTTATTAATGTCAAGAAAAAGTACACTGATAATTGGCAACAGAAGCAGTAATTACTCATTAGTCAACCACAACCGCAATGTTAAGTGTTTAGGTAGGAGTAATTAAATTAATTATTAGTAATAATTCGTTAATTGGGTAAGGGTGTTCCCATTTGTCCACATTGAAAATGGGCACCAGCTGGCAGATCATTGACTAAGCCACGTGGCAGTAGGATATTCAGCAATATATCCACGCCGGCCATGCAGATACTGCACTGCGCACTGCAAGTCATTGTTTAATAATAGTGACCACTTTTTCAATAATTGTGAAAAGAATAAAAAAAAAAAAATTAGTAAATTTTGGGATTTGAGGTGTAAAAAAATATAGGTATTTTTAATCTTTGATTTGATAACAAAATCAAACACATTTATTATTGTATATACATTCAATATATGCTTTGAAATTGTACTAGTTATTTGCTTCTTAAACGCTGCTACACGTATCCACCAAATTTGGAACAAGGCTCAGGACACAGGAATTGAGAATATTTAAATACGTATAACGTTATATATTTATTTTATTGAAATTTAAGAATTAAGACACACATATATATATATGTCATATTTAATGTATGCAATAATGTACAAACACAATACACACGTACTTCGTTACGTGTTTCAATCCACCAAACACTTTTTCTCCAATTTGTACTATATTTTATTAGATATGTATATATTAAAATATTAATTGTTTCATACTACTGATATTAATATTTATAAATTTCCTTTTTTTTTTCTCCAGAAAAATTCAATTGGATTATTAGTCGGCAGCTTCCTGTGAGCTCACTACTAATACTCGAATTTCTTAAAATAATCTCACAAATAATATATATTTATAATTTCTTGGTCAACAAGATATATATATAATTCATTACATAATAATGTCACCCATTCTGACCTTATTATTTAGAAATAAATTGTGGGTTTGACATTTTCGTTCGGGCTTCAGCTTCATTACACAAACATTATTATACAAATAATAATAAAACTAAAGGTCAAATAGTTTGTGATTGCAACACATAAATTGAGTAATTTTAAAAGTAAAACCTGATTCTGACCCTACATATATTAAATATTGAAAATTAAAATTAAACCATAAATGTCACACTGCTAATTAATATGAAATTCTTATTGTGACAAATATATTTTATTTTTTTTTATATACATAGGAGTTTGAGATGGGGCTTTTAATTTAGTATTGACCTCAATACTAAATTGAAGGTCAAATAGCCTGTGTGCATGATTGCATGCATCACATCATTGCAAAGGGAAACATATCATTGTTGATATTTAAAATAATATGTAAAATGATAATAAATCATTCTCAATCATATTCATTAATTATTTAAAAAAAAAAAAAAATTAAATAGTTTCTATGGTCACAGAAGAAAAAAATAAGTAAATAAATAACTATTAACAGCGACTGTTAAGTCGGCTGAATAATAACCCTACAAAGTACAAAGAGCATATAGTAGTGTATATACAGACAACGTGTATATTATTCCCATGAAACATTTCATAGATAAGATGGGCTATGATGGTTCCAATTCGAGTCCATAACATTTTATTATTGGGCCGCCAATAGGCCCAATACAGAATTTGTGGTTTATTCTTCCCAAATAATTTCGTTTGTTTATTTTTATTTTATTTATCCGTCGTGCGAAGGCGTTCAGTGCTTCTGTCGTTTCTACTCTTGGCGGCGTCGGAAGTGCGAATCCTCTTTGTGTAACTCCGGTAATCGGGGCCGAGGCTCTTCATCGGAAAAGGGTTTATCGGTCAAACACGGATTTCTAGATCACGCATTGTTTAGCAGCTGCGATATTGGTATTTCCATGGGTTTTAGTGTTTTTTGTGGTCAGATCTATATTGTTTTGCTGATTCTAGGGTTTATTTGGTATAGGTGATGGTTGTTGATACTAAGTTTTTGATCTATGACCTAGTTGCTGAATCATTTTTATTCTTGGCTATTTAGATACTGTAATTGCTTACGGAAGAAATGATGTGATATGTTCCGTGTAGGGGGAGAATAATCTGTCTTATTTCATGATATCTGCTGAAGTGATGATTGAATGGGCTGAGGGATAAGAAATCCAAAAATAACCTTACTTATGTGAATTACTGCATGAATGCTGGGAATTTGAAGGGGGTTTTCTGATCATTGGATTTGCTGGGAGTAATTTGCTCTGTTTAGGAAGTCGTTGCTCTCAATCGATAATCGGTAGCAACAAATTCTCAGCCGTTGCTGGTTTAGTTTTTCAAATTGGAGTCACTTTGAGGTTCTTAAAGGATTTTAGCCAGCTTGATAGTTACTTGTAATGGAAACTTTGGATGCATAGTCTGTGGGTAGAAGCAGATAAATCTTGTTTCAGTTAATTTTGTATAACTACAATATGTTTATGCTGATTTTTTTCATTTCACTGAATACATCACTTAGATGATTGGACATATTGGTGAGTTGCTGAGTGCTATTAGAATCGCAGCAAGAAACTATCAAACTCCTGTATTATTACCCATAGTTGGGTTTGCGAACCGGGTTCCATGCAAAACAAGTTTAGAAGAAGGAAATGTGTTCTGATGTGCAAAATATTTTATTATCAACTGAATGATGCAATAGTTAAATTTTAACACTGAAAAGGAAGGACCAGTGTCTTGCATATGACTGTAATCTCTCCCACGAAATAACTGGAATTGGTCAGTGGATTGTCATGTAGCCTATTAATGCCTTATATGTTTTGTTCATTTTCATTCTTTAAATGTTGTTTCTTTGTTTGAAATGGTAGATTTTCTTTGGAATTTAATGGCGTCCAAGCTGCATCAGTTGCAAGCCCGGGCATCCCAGGCGACACAATTTGTGTCTAAGCATGGATCTGCTTATTACAAGCAGCTGTTGGAGGAGAATAAACAATATGTGAAGGACCCCCCCACTGTCGAGACTTGCAATGAGTTAGCCAAGCAGCTGTTTTACACTCGTCTTGCCAGGTTACTACTCCACCTCCTTGTTTCTTTTTGCAGAGTTTCTACATGGCACATTCAAGTGAGATTCTAGTATGGTTGAAAGCATTTGATACAGAAAAGGGCCTTATTTTCCATGCCTCTTGGAAGGTTGATTGATTAATAATTTAATCAAATAGCACCTTGCCATGAGATATTGCCAGCACAATTTGCACTGCAGAATGATAGTATACAGTTTGTGCGTGAAAATCAATTTCCCTAATTATGCCAAGCTACATCCTGCATTAGATAGCAATTGATTCATGTATGAAGGTCATCCTTCACATGAAGTTCCCGAGCCCATTGTCCCATCAAAATTACCATATGCATTCCCATTGTTCAAGCTGTTACTCTTATCATCATTATGCTCATCCAACTCCACATTTGGGATCCTTTTGTTCTTTTTGAGCTGAGAAATATTGGTAGAATATATACATATATATATATAACTTGCATATGTTCTTTTTATTGTAGCATTCCAGGCCGCACCGAGTCATTCTGGAAGGAACTTGATTACGTCAAGAATATGTGGAAGAACAGGCATGAGTTGAAAGTCGAGGATGCTGGTGTCGCAGCTCTGTTTGGGATTGAATGCTTTGCATGGTTTTGTGCTGGTGAGATTGTTGGAAGAGGGTTTACATTTACCGGATACTATCCTTAAGAACCAACTCAATAGCAGGACAGCCCTAATCACGGAACTTCTCATCAGGGCTGACATGAGATTTCTTTTCTTGCATAGATTTTGAAGCTGAGAAATCAGTTCTACATTCTTATGCGGCTGCAACTGGATTTTTTTGAATAACTAGGATTTTCCAATATAGCTTCTTGTGGAGTGATTTCAAACTGAATAATATATATAGTCTGATGACACTGCTACTGCCACAAATATCGGTCTTTGGAAAAGTTTCAGTTGGTGGCTTCCTGTTTCTGGTTACCCGTAAAATCGTTCAATGTTCCATACTTTCATATTGAACATGGCTGTGTTTATGTTGCCGTATTTTTGTTCATGTTCACGATACTATTTTATACAGTCATATTTTTGCTTATATTTACAACTTTGTTTTCAACACAATCATAGTCATATTTTCTGCTCATGTTTACAATCTTATCTCAACGAAGTCATACTTTTGTCCATGTCAAAATATGACTGAAATAGATTGCTTAAGTCACTTTTCTGATTCATCTATGGGTTGTTTCGTTATATAAATTTTAGCATAATCCACCAAAATTGATTAAAAAATTTAATCAAACTGGATAAGGGGAACAAAAATGAATTTTTCTCTTAATATTTGTTCCCATGAATAATTACAAAAAGAAAAAAAAAAAAAAAAAAACTGTTCCATGTTTTCAATTCAGTCCATAACATTTTCTATTGGGCCGCCAATAGGCCCAATACAGAATTTGGTTTATTGTTCCCAAAGAATTTCATTTGTTTATTTCTAATTTATATATCCGTCGTGCGAAGGCGTTCAGTGCTTCTGTCGTTTCTACTCTTGGCGGCGTCGGAAGTGTGAGTCCTCTTTGTGTATCTCCGCTAATCGGGGCCAAAGCTCCTCATCGGAAAAGGGTTTATCGTTCAAACACGGATTTCTAGATTACGCATTGTTTTAGCAGCTGCGATATTTGGTATTTCCATGGGTTTTAGATTTATTTCTATTTTTAATTTTTTTTGGTCAGATCTATATTGTTATGCTGATTCTAGGGTTCACTTTAATATAGGTGATGATTGTTGTACTCAGGCTCTGATCTATGGTTTAGTTGTTGAATCATTTTATTCTTCTCGATTTTGATACCATTTTGCTTACGGAAGAAATGATGTGATATGTTCCGTGTAGCGGGAGAATAATCTATCTTATTTCATAATTTCTGCTGAAGTGATGACTGAATGGGCTGAGGGATAAGAAATACAAAATTAACCGTCCTTACGTGAATTAATGCATGGAATTGTTGAAGGGTTCTCGTGATCATTGGATTCGCTAGGGAGTAAGCTCTGTTTAGGAAGTCGTTGCTTTCAATCAATAACGGTAGCAACAAATCCTCATGCGTTTGCTGGTTTGTTTTTCAAATTGGAGTCACTTTTGAGGTTGTTAAAGGATTTTAGCCAGCTTGATACTTGCTTGTAATGGAAACTTCGGATACGCAATCTGTGGCAAGAAGCAGATAAATCTTGTTTCAGTTAATTTGGTATAATATGTTTATGTTGATTTTTTCATTGCACTGAATATATCACTTTAGATGATTGGACGTATTGGTGAGTTGCTGAGTGCTATTAGAAACGCCGCAAGAAACTATCAAACTCCTGTGTTATATTACCCATAGTTGGGTTTGCGAGCTGGGTTCCATGCAAAGCAAGTTTAGAACAATGAAATGTGTCCTGATGGGCAAAATATTTTATTATTGACTGACTGATGGGTGCCTTCAATTATAACTCTGAAAATAGAGGATCCTAGTCTTGCATATAACTTTAATCTCTCCCGCAAAATAACTGGAATTGGTTGTGGGTTGTAGTGTAGCCTATTAATATATGTTTTGTTCATTTTCATTTTCATACTTTAAATGTTGTTTATTTGTTTGAAATGGTAGATTTGCTTTAGAATTTGATGGCGTCCAAGCTACATCAGTTGCAAGCCCGGGCATCCCAGGCAGCACAATTTGTGTCTAAGCATGGATCTGCTTATTACAAGCAGCTGGTGGAGGAGAATAAACAATATGTGAAGGAACCCCCCACTGTCGAGACTTGCAATGAGTTAGCCAAACAGTTGTTTTACACTCGCCTTGCCAGGTTACTTCTCCACTTCCTTGTTTCTTTTTGCAGTGTTTCTACACGGCATATTCAAGTGAGATTCTAGTATAGTTGAAAGCATTTGATACAGATAAGGGCCTTATTTTCCATGCATCTGGGAAGGTTGATTGATTAATAATTTAATATTATTTGCTAAAGCTCTATCAAATACCACCTTGCCATGAGATATTGATTGCACAAGCTGCATCCTGCATTAGATAACAATTGATTCATGTATGATGGTTATCGTTCACTTAAAGTTCCCGAGCCCATCGTCCCATAAAAAAATTACCATGTGTTTTCCCATTGTAAATGTCAAGCTGTTACCTCTTATCGTCACTATGCTCATCCAACTCCACGTTTGGGATCCTTCTCTTCCTGTTGAGCAGAGAAATATTGGTAGAATTATATATATTTATATAACTTGCATCTCTTCTTTTCATTGTAGCATTCCAGGCCGCACCGAGTCATTCTGGAAGGAACTTGATTACGTCAAGAATATGTGGAAGAACAGGCATGAGTTGAAAGTTGAGGATGCTGGTATTGCAGCTCTGTTTGGGATCGAATGCTTTGCATGGTTTTGTGCTGGTGAGATTGTTGGAAGGGGGTTTACATTTACCGGATACTATCCTTAAGAACCAACTCGATAGCAGGATAGCCCTAATCAGAATACTTCTCATCAGGGCCGACATGAGATTTCTTTTCTTGCATAGCTTTTGAAGCTGAGAAATCAGTTCTACATTCTTATGAGGCTGCAACTGGATTTTTTTCTGAATAATCAGTCAGTGATTTCCCAATATAGCTTCTTGTGGAGTGATTTTAAATTGAATAATATATATATAGTCTCATAACACTGCTACTAAAACAAATGTTGGTCTTGGAAAAGTTTCAGTTGATGGCTTCCTGTTTCTGGTTACCCATGAAATCTTTCAATTTTTCATACTTTTGTGGTTGCTGCTGATGCCCTTGATTCATTTTATACATGGACAAGTATATTTTATTTTGGCAATTTTTATGCATCCAAGAAAAGTGCTTTTATAATCAATTGGTGTTTTAACTTTTATGACTAATTACAGTAAAGCATGTACTGTTAGAAAGATCCTGTATATTCCAATTTGCATACACTACGGGTGTGTTTGTTTGAGAAATTTTCCTTCAAATATACTATTTATCCCATTTTTTTCAACTTAAAAATATTAAATTAAATAATTATTTTTTATTTTTTATATTATATTAAAATCAATTTTATATTCAAAATATGACATTAACATTTATTTATATCACATCGTACAACTATTCAAATTCAAAATTTTACTATTTAAATTTTAATTCAAAATTCAAATCCTCATAACAAAAACACCCTAAAAACAATTCTTCAAATCAAAACAATAAAGAAACACGGTGTATTTGAATTTTCTATTTTACCACTCACCTGAAAAACATACGCCAACCAATGAAACGGCAGAGGCTACGGAATTCCGTAACCTTGAGGAGGGCGATTTTGGTAATTTCGAACAGAATAAAGCATGTGGGTCTGAATCTAATAGAAGCCGGCAATCCATGGAGACTATAGGAGAATGATGTGCGAAATTAATAACACGAATCGGATCACGAAGATAATGCTGCAACGATCTGCCATAGTTCAGCACCGGACAAGCGTCACCGCCGCACTCCTGTTCGTGTTCGTTGTAATCTTTGAATCGTCTAATGCTGCACAGGCACGCGTTTGTTTTGACTGTGTTCGTTTTTGTTTTGTTTTTATTCGGACTTCGACGATTGTTTTGTTTAATTAACTCGCTGCCCGGGAATGGCAGGTCGGATGCAGCAAGATATGTGTGGCGGAGAATTGCAATAGTAAGCGCTTCTTCGATGACTTGTGAATTTTGTTGGATTTGTGCTTGAAATGATTTGCAATTTTCATCTTCTTTTTTTCAATCTGGATTGCGTGCTTCAGCTATTGGGATTAAGTACGGTAAGTACTGCGGAGTGGGATGGAGTGGATGCCCTGGGGAGAAACCTTGCGACGATCTGGATGCTTGTTGCAAGATTCATGATGAATGCGTCGAGAAACATGGTATCTACTTTTTGTTTTTCACCCTCCTAAATTAATTATCGCATAGTCCATATAAATTGGCTTATGAGTTTTGAAGCGATTGAGTTTGAGCAAGCAAATACCAATTTATTATAATATGTTCTTGGTCAGTTGATTATGGTGAAAGGAAATTGTTAAAAACTTTGTTCCACAAAATACAATGCTCTGCTCTTGGTTTTATGTTTTTAATGCTTTCCTTTCTGTTTCTATCTCCCATTATTCCCGACAATCCAAGGCGCTAATTTGTGTTCGTCTTTGAGTTGTCATTAAACTTCTTTAGTTCAATTTAATTTTGCTTGTTGCTTGCTCTGTGGAATAAGCATCATGTTGTTTATTACCTGGTTTATTTTGTGGTGAGCAGCTTAGCTTCATAAGATAGATGATATATTGAATTTGTTTGGCTTGATTAGAAGTTTTTGGCATTTGAGTTTTTTTTTTTTTTTTTTTTTTTTTATGGAGTATCACTTTTGAGTTCAATCTGGTCCGTCGAATATGGACTTGATCGGGGATTTGTGTGGATTGTGGAACCATTTGTAGAACTGGAAATGATCAATATCAGATTTAGAAGCAGAGAATCTAACAAAGCTAATGCTTCAGTGAGACAGTACCGCAAATATTGATGGTCCTCTTTCACTTCAAACAATGATTTCATATCCACATAGCCCTCAAGTTGTCATGTTTGGTTCTTCATTTAATCTCTATAACTTATAATAGGATTACTACTTATGAATATGAGGATCATCTACCTACCCAACTGCACTATCTTATCAAGATTTATGTATTCATCGGTTGGCCTTGCTGTGGTTCCAAGGCCAAGGCACCTTGTATTCTTAATTTGATTTATACCTAGAGATTTATATTACTAGCTTACCTCTTTTATCCCCTTCTTAATTCATGCAGAAATTACTCTTGTCTATGGTGAAAGAAACTTAAAACCTGATATACAACAGGAACTACATTGTATTAAAATGTCCCAAGATTGCCCATTTGTCTTTTCATAATCTGAACCTATACACCTCATTCAATTCTGTGCTCCATGGCATGTTCTTGTGTGTGTGTGTGTGTGTGTGTCTGTGGTGTATAACTTGGTTAAATATTAACCATCTTGATGTGAATATTTTCAGGCATGACTAACATTAAATGCCATGAGAAGTTCAAAAGGTGCATAAAGAAAGTGCAAAAATCTGGGAAGGAAGGGTTCTCCAAGACCTGTCCATATGATATAGCAGTGCCTACAATGACTCAAGGCATGGATATGGCAATTCTTTTTAGTCAGTTGGGTAACCAAAAGATTGAATTATAGCTAGTTAGTTGCACTTACCACATCATTCTTTCAAATTAATTGCAATTTTTTTCCTCATTGAACAGAGGAATCTGAACAATTTTCTTCCTTGAAGTGTCAACATTTTACTTGTGTTCATCAACACTCAATACTCTTTTCGACTGCAATTTGCTAATTATGTGCGATAGATTTAAAATGACATTCAAATGTGGCTTATGAAAATATTCCATCACCATTGCTGGATGTAAGCTTTTTATATATATATATATATATATATATATATAGAAAATGTATATATATTTAAATTTTAAAACTAAAACATACTTCTGCCGTCCCATAACTGTATGTTTACATTCATCATTGAATTTAATAGATATTGTACTTTAATAGTAAATAATGTATTCTTTGTATATAATAATTATAACCCTTGTATCTTAATTTGAAAGAATGGTAAAGGAAGTAAATAAATACGTTCAAGATTCTATGTTCTTATTTGGAATATATTTGTGAGGTCTGTCAGTTTGTGTAACCCAAACTTAACTTTGAAGATAGAACCAGTTGACCTTTACAATCTATATTATAGACGACTTTTGATCGGCTTTCTCCATTACAATATAGTACTATCGATTTTAGAAGTACTTATTTATTTATTTAATATTATATCGTAATAATAGATTATGGTATAATATTAATATGTAAAACAATGGAATAATATTTCTATCCCAGAAGAGAGTAAAATTATAGTATATCATAGATATTGTATAATTTATTTATTTATTTTTTTGATGACATTGTATAAATAATATATTGATAATATTGATAATGGTAAATAATTAATAAATAGTTGTATATTTAGGTGGTCGGAAAATTATAAATAAACACAGGAATCGTTGTACTGCTTCCGAAAAGGAAAAGTCAAAATATTTTAATTAATTTATAATTTACTATTTATTAGTACTATTATTTTCTTTTCCTGCTAAGAAATTCGGTAACGCGTTAACGACCCAGACAAGATCCGAACGGTCTATCTTTGCTTCTTCATAGAAGCTTCTCTGTCAATTTAATCTCTTTTTTCGATCGTGCGCATTTTTGTTCAATCGGAGAGGGGAATTCGCACCTGTCTGGATCGGGAAACGCTTCCGTGATTTACACAGAGTTGGATCGATCGCAGAATTCAGTGCCTTTGTTGGTTTGCTACTGCCCTAATTTGGCGTCAGTTGTCAAGGATTAGAGAAGATGAAGAAATCGAAGCTGCTGCAGAGTTCAAAGGAAATGCTTTCCAGGAGCTTCAATCCGACAAAATGGTATATTATCCTCTTTATGGTTGTTCAGGCATTCTTATGTTGTTGCGATAAATCTTCTGATAAAGAGGTATACGCTGCGTAATTATATGTTCGTCATTTTGGGAATTACGAGTTCTGCGCGTTGGTTGTTTTTTGTGTGGATCACTTATTTCTGTTCATTATGAGTTTGCCGATTTTATGTTTATTATTATTTTTTTCCCTGAATATTTCAATCCTGGATTTTGAATTGGATGTAGCAAGACGTCGCTAAGGTTGGCAGCGTCAAGGTTGAAATTGATGAAGAACAAGAAAGAGGTGCAAGTGAAGCAAATGAAAAAGGAAATAGCCCAATTGCTCGAGTCTGGCCAGGAACAGAATGCTCGAATGCGGGTAATGATCTATAATTGTTACAGATGCTCCAATCTTATATTCATCCTTTGAGTAGTTGCTTGTCATTGCTTTGCGTTTTCTGGAAGTAATTAGTTTTAATCTGATGTTGATTTGTACTATTAAAATTGGCATGTCAAAGATGGAGAATTCTCAGCAACCAATCCATTATCTTATGTTTCTAACAATTTCTGATCAGGGAAAGTGTTGTGAGCAATAGCAATTGCATATGAATTGTCTCGATACTTTTGAGTTTCTTTTAGTTTTCTGTTTTCCTGCTATTTATCAATGCTAGGGTACCTGTATCAGATCTTTTATGGTTTTTTTCTTTTTCAAAACTTTCAGGTGGAACATGTTATTAGGGAAGAAAAGATGATGGCTGCATATGATCTTCTTGAGATATACTGTGAACTTATCATTGCTCGCCTACCTGTAATTGAGTCGCAGAAGTATGTATATTCATCCATCCATGAAAACTCATATATTTGTATTTATTTAGTTAGCATACTTTTCTTTTCTTATCACAATTTAGAAGTTGCTTCCGTTGGTGTTATTTACCATAAGATGCCTCAGATTCTTCTAGACTTCACATTTGATCTTTTTCCAAATCAACTTTATAGGAACTGCCCCATTGACTTGAAGGAAGCAATTACAAGTGTTATATTCGCATCTCTAAGATGTGGAGATCTACCCGAGCTTCTAGATATAAGGAAGCAACTCACAGCAAAATATGGGAAAGATTTTGCAACTGCAGCAATTGAACTTCGTCCACAGTGTGGTGTCGGTCGGTTGGTATGTTATACAAGTTCATTTATCTTACATCACTTGAAATTGAGACAGACATTTACGTCTACACGGGTTTTTCAAAATCATATGACCTGCCTTTCTGGTTATCTTCTTGCAGTTGGTAGAGAAGCTATCTGCTGCAGCACCTGATGTGCAGATGAAAACTAAAGTTTTGAGTGCCATTGCAGAAGAGCACAATGTTAAATGGGACCATGAATCACTTGAGGAGAAAGATTCAAGACCATCTAGTGACTTGCCAGTATGTTTTAGTTATTTATGATATATGCACATAAGGTTATCTCCTTCCGGTATTTACATCTTCCTGTCATCAATGTGATCAGGGCGAAGCAAGTTACTATGGGAATGAGAGCAAACCACAAGCTGAACAAACTCATTTTGAAGCTGCAGTTTCTCAAGCTCGCCCCAACAGTAACAGTGTACATAGCGCACAACCGAATGTTTTTCAGCATGATCAGAGATTCCCAGTGGAAGTACAAAAGGTCAATTCTTCTCAACCTTCTGTTGCCACCACAAAGTACAACCCTGAATCTAGGCCTCAAGGTATAATCAGTTGACAGGATCATATCATCATTTTCACTCCATACACCTGTAATTGCTTAACCCTTCCTATTTCCAGGATCAGGTGATTATAGGGCCCAGCTATTTCATGGTAATAGCAGTTCCAGCTCCCCTGGTGAGCAGAGATGGAATATGGAATTCAAGGATGCTACAGCTGCCGCACAGGCAGCTGCTGAGTCTGCAGAACAGGCAAGTTTGGCTGCTAAAGCTGCTGCAGAACTTTCAATGCGTAACAAGATCATCGGGCAAGATTCTACTGAATTTCATCGGCCGGATGCTTATATTTCAAAGGCTGAAGGACTGGATACACACTCAAATCCAAAAGTTTCACAAGAACAATTTCCAGAAGGTACTTTGAAGAAATCCTCTCCTGGCTCGCACAATGAGAAAATTGATAGGATTATCCCTGATGACCATAAGACAGCTACGAGATTCAAGGAGGATAACCATGGTGGTTCAGATGAATATAATCAGCCAGCTCCCTTACTATCTAAATCCTCAAGTACTGATGGCCCTTCAAATAATGGCTCCAGAGTCGAAACAGTAACTAAGGAACAGTCTTTCAAAAATTTAGAGGAACCTGCAAATGACTGGGCGGAGAAAACTGAGAATCACGAAGAGAAAAAGATGAAGAAACAAAATAGTGCAAACTCTTCTCGTTCTCATTCCAGTATTTCTGATGATGTGAACATTTTTGCAAATTCAGAGGACCTGAAATATGAAGAGGATGCTGGAGAGAATCCTTTTGTCGATAATGCTGAGGGTATCATTAATGCAGGAGAAGCCTCTCATCAGAGCCATGAAGATGCTTCTGTATTTTATGACAAGTTTGATTCAGATACTGATGATCACGGCTTTGATTTAGGCCCTAGGTATGACATTGGCTACTCAGACTTTAATATACCGTCAGTAAGTCTGAAATCACCCGACGACCTACCGGTTACCACAGATTCTTGGATTCCTAAAATTGAAGCAGCTGAGACTGTTGATTCTACTTCTATATTTTTCACAGGAGAGAGATCAGCCAATGATTTTTCTGAAAGTATAACTTCAAGGGAAGATGCTGAAGTCAATAATTTTGCACATGTAACATATGATGATTACGATGGACCTAGTTCTGATAATGAAAACTTAAATACCGAGCACCATGAGGCCGAAGATTCAGTACGCAATCCAGGTAAAGTTAGTGAAAGAGAACAATCATCTACATTGCGATTTGAGGATGTAGGCCGGCATTCAGACGGATCACCATCAGAACAGCTGAGAGTAGACAGGAAACAATTGTCGATTTCCTCAGATGATGAATTAGACCATTCAAGAACAAGAGTTGAGATGTTTCATGACAAGAATTCAGCTGAGCAGCAGGTTTCCAGTCCTAAAGAGTCGCGGGAGATAAGTGGCTTTGGCGACGAATCCAGTTCTGACGGTGAGGAGAGGCTTCTAAACTTACCAAAGCTCGTTGGTGGTCTTCGCAACAAGGGCCGTAACAGTCTGCCTTTCTCAAAGAATGTGCCATCATCTGTCGACAAGGAAACTGAAAAGACTGGCGATGCCTCTAGAACCTCCAACACAACACATTTTCCTGGTCCTAAAAGAAATACAGTGCTGCATTGGAAGAAAAACATACTGGATTCACACTGTGAATCAGACAGCAACAGTTCTGAGGATGAAGAATTTTTGCAAAGGCAGTCAGGCCGCAAACAGGGAACGAAGAAAGAAATTAAGACAAAGCATTCTTATGTTGGCTCTAATAGCAGTGATTCAGATGAGGATCAACCCAAGGTGTCTCTCTCTAGGAAAAGCAATCTGCAAAGTGGAATGTCTCGAAGAACAAGAACCCCTACTAGTTCAGGAAAAAGTTCATCTAGTAAGATTCATCTAAGGTCTGAAGCAAATGAAAACGATACTGGCAACGACAGAAAGCCTATTTCCTCCCATGGTTCTGAAACTTGGGACAAGAATGAGACACAAAGGAGAAACTCAGGTGAACAGGAAAACCACGAGCAGAATATCTCAGCAAAAGTAGCTTCCAAGCCGGCCAAGTCTAGTTTCTGGGGACCGCCAGAGCAACCTGAGCCTGTGAAAACAACGTCTATACCGATGAAGGAGTCTGAAACACGGCATAGATCTGAAGTGAATGATTCATTGTCTAGCATGGGAGGAAAATCTTCTAAGTTTCAGTCCTCAAACAGGACCACGAATCAAATGGACATAGCTGACCAGCCTACCTCACCAAAAATGGCCTCAAAGCCTACGTCTTCAATTTTGGGGAGAAATCCAGAGAAACCAAGTTCAGCAGAGCCATCTTCCGCATCAATGCTGAAATCTAAGATCACTCAGAAGTCATCTACAGTGGAAAAGCCATCGAAGCCCACACAAAAGGCAGAGGCTTCAATTAGTAGTGAAGTTCCAAAGTCAGAGACGGCGAACAAAGCTTCTTCAGACAAACCCGACACTCCCAAAAGAGCCAGCCATGTTCATCCGAAGCTTCCTGATTACGATGATCTGCTACAATCACTTCGAATGAAACGTTCTTGAAGAGTGCAGTTATATTATTTGAGACTTCTGCCCGGTAAGACAGCTTTAATCTCTCTATGGTTTATTACCATCTCCCTGAATATCTATCATGGCTGTGGTTATTTGATGTTAGCTATGAAAAAACTCCATTCTTTTGTTGAGTGTATAAAGTGGAAACTTGGAAGTATAATCTGATATATCCGTTGTTAGAATTTAAGTTCAGGAAATGGAAAAAAAGAATTGTTTTATTCTCAGGTAATCAATCCCTTTGTGTCATCAATTTGCCTGTGCTGCGACATAAATATAAATCAGAGCTTCTAACTTCACCATTTTGCATATTACTGTAGTAACAATCTTTTTGGGCTTTACTGAATCTACTCAGAGCTTAGCTTCACAGTTAGGCATACTATTGTAGTGACAAAAAAAAATCCAATGTTTGGACTATACTGTACGATCCGATCTCGATAAGAAAATTTTGCAAGACCATCCTTACAAGCATTAACTGAAAAGAAGAAAATACATAATCATAGCATATCTCAGTAGGGAATGCAAACAATCAATCAAGTACATTACCAAGCAGCTAATGCCCAAAGCTTCTTTCTAAGCTTCATGGTAAAGGTACAAGCCCAAACCGAACCGAGCGCAGGCTCTGCAAAAGGCTAGTTCTTCCGCTGCAGCAACAGGGTCCAAAATATTCTCATCGCGAGTGGACACGGTACCACTTGAGTCACGATGTGCCTGTATTAGATGTTGAAAATGAATTAGATTCAATGCTGCATTCGTAAGAGATTGGTGCTATGGAAAGAACATGACTTTCCTTGGCTTCAATTTATCACTAATAATACTAAAAGTAGTCAGGAAGTATGCATGCATGTTGTATCTAAGGCTTAACTCTGAAGAGATAAAATAAAACAAATAATAATGATAAGGAGAAAAATAAAATGATAATGTTATATTGCTATGCTTAGGCTCATGGCAGATAGAATATTGTACTCAACATTCCACTGTCTTTTGCAGTGACATAAATTCATGCTCCATCATTATGCTATTGAAACTGGGAGATGAATGCAGATGTTCTTCATGTTAAGAATGCAGAAGATGTTGCAGGTTTCAATGAATTCTCTATCCAAAATCTAAAGGCCATAGAAACATTTTAGAAATAAGCATAGCAGGAGCATTATTTGGTGATTGGAGGAAACTTTCACTCCAATTACTTTCCAAGTCTGGGACATTCTATGCTATCACATTTCCAAAATGCCACTGCTCAATTATTTTCCTAATTTTGTCCAAGATCTGTTCTTTGATTGCAAATTTGGGAACTAAGGATATCAAGACAGCATTTTCAAGTTTGCAAATAGAAGTAGCTTCCCCTTGGGCTGAAAGGGCAATGATCAAGAGAAAAATATACATTTTGTTCTGCACCTATAAAAATTGTCAAGACACCCAACCAACCAAATATACACTCTTTCTAAGTTGGCCTGTTCTCTCTTCCCCACATACAAAAACTAAAATATTAGTGGATCTTCAATCTTAACTCTGATCTTAAATCAAATACTGTACTTTTACATCCAAGCAAAGAGAAGAGTTTGTTTTTTCAGTATCTTGCATACATCAGATGGCAGTGAATAGCAAGTTGATATTATTTTTAGTTGGCATTATGGTATAAAATCTAAGAGAAGCATTGCAAGTTTTGGGCTTGCTATTATACTGATTAAATATGAAAATATTTACCAGAAACTTTTTCAAACATAAACTCATTTTACACTTAATTAATCACCTGCTGGAAAATTTTTCTTAGAGGAAGACTGAGAGCCATGATCCCCAGGAAGTCTGAATTCCTAGAGCTTGGAACTCTTGTAGGTTCCTAATTTAAAATCTAATCCAATTATCTTTAAAAGGAGTAGGTTCCTGTCGTAACTTTAAAGGCATGATGTCAGGAAATACAGGGATAACATTAGGATTTTCCTTTTTCCATTGCATCCTCACCTTTTATTAACAATATGGAGTATTTCCCCAACAGGAAAATTTTCAATGACCTCCTACCCTTCAAACTTGTTATATGTTGACAAAATACTGCATTTCTCAATGTGAATACAAACAAAATTGGATAACTACATTACTAGACTTACCTAATTAAGTAACAAATTATATCTTGATTAAGTAGAATTCATTGAAAAGGTAAGTTCCAAATAAGTAGAAACCATACATTCTTTGATTGGTACATCCCAACCTACTCTTATTGTATCCTTTTCTTCCCTTAGATATTTGCTGCAACTTAATCTTCACTTGGAGTGAACAGGGAGGAATCAACATCATTGATTTATTTCATGTGTGTCAACATTGACCAAACACTATGTAACCATATATCCGATCATTAATAAGAGTTGAAAAACCTGTAATTTTTTCACAATGTTGTTTGGTGTATGCTATTAGAAGTGGTAATATAACTTCAAGGAATAACTCAACCACAAGTTAGTTGAGATCATAACAAAAGCTCATGAAGAATATTCAGAGGTTCCAATATAACATAGAAATTACTACCTAAAATGATTGAATATGCACTTGCATTGTGCCAAGCCAAACAGTGCATAATATCTAGATCTTTCACATTATTGAATAGACCAACTGATCAAGACAAGTGTAATAGAAACTATCCAGAAAGAGCTATGGCAAAGCAAACAATACAATTCGTAAATCCTCATTGTATCTAGCCTATGATGGTCCACATTGCAAGCTCAAAAGAAAAGATAGAAGGATGAGGAATACAGATTATAAGAGGTAAAAAGCTACATTAGTGGCACTACAGTCGGTTGTAATCTAATCGCAAAAAGCATATCCATCAAAAGGAACTGTCTGAAAACTTACATGCAATAACTACATTATTCAGCCCAAGACAAGCTGTTATCAGGTGAAATGATATTTGCAGGTGTAACTTAATGAAACTTTGTAAATGTTACAAAAAGAAAACATACCTCTCCATCAGAACCCCTAACTGTCACTCTATACACTACAGTCACAGTCCCATTGTCAGAATATGTAACATCACGGATTTCCCCACACCAACCTACAAAGAAAATAGCATAACAGGAAACACTGTTCAACAAAAGACATCAAAATGACAATTACAAATAAACAATAAAAATAATAAGAATGAGTACTAACAAAATTTCTTGGTTATTAACATTTTGAAGCTATGAAGCAAACAATATTGAAACCTGCAAAACTCATAATAAAACTAGCACATTCACGGATATAAAAGTTTTGGGGACATTCTGTAAGACTATGCCTTCAGCTCAGATCATTAGGTCTAAAAACCCATCAAGGGGAAGGGATAACAAGGGTATATGTATATCTTATTCTACAAGTAGATTGAATGACAAGTAAGAAGAGAAACAGAGAAACTCTTGCACTTTCTATATAGAAAATAATAATAATAATAATAATAATAAAGACTTTTATATTAATTATTTGATGATTTTCTTCTTTTGATTGAGCTGAAAGAGTTCTAAGGCGCCAAACATGAGCAGAAGCATCTTCATATATAGCTTGAATGAAGAAGACAACATGAAGCTCAAACACAACTGGTAAAAGAAGGCTTCAGATTTCTTGCAGCAATTCTGTATTTTCTAAAGCAATTTTATGCGTATAGACAATTCTAGAGAAAACAATCACCCAAAAGAAACAATTCATTATTCATGGAAACAATAGAAAAGTAAGCCTCCAACAAAGTTGGAAACAGTAACATGAAAAGATAATGAATATCCATAGCCAAATAGTTACTGATTTCTGATGAATAAGTGAAACTTTAGGATACTTCACAAAAGATCAAACACTAATTTAATCTTAACAAGAAGATACAAAAGCCATAAACATCTCACCTGGGGCATAAAAACTCAGCATGCGGTTCGCCTGGTACCTTCGCATAGCAACACAGTAAAATATCAGCACCATAACACAAAAGCAGGGCAAAATAAACACACAACATAAACGAGGCGTCGCTGCGTTACTCACCAGGGGATGAAGGTGGGACGATCGTCAGATGTCTTAATTATGTTATCCGGAATCCTCTTATTAAGGTCACGCAGAATCTCCACCAGCGGCCGAGTTATGAAGGAAGACGACTTGTCCAGGGGCACCACATAGTTGGTATTCGTAATCGACGCCATCCTACGAGTTCGACTGCCATCACCGACTGCCATCGCAGCAATCCGGAGCTCCAGTCGCCTACCATAACTAAGCTCGATCCGTGCCTGCCATGGCATCGAGGTCCTAGCAACAGGAAAGCTTGCATCTGCGGCCTGCACCATGAAGTTAGGGCACTGAACGGCCATTGCGAAACTCCCCACCTACTCACCTGATACGGATGGCTTTCAACGGGCGCCCCTTGGTATGTGTATGTGTATGTGCGTGCGTGCGCGAAATATCTCAACTTATATACGAAAACCGATGGCCAGCCACTAGCCAGGCAAGCCAAGGCAAATCGCCAAAACTCCACTCAAATAGGCACAAATATTATATTATTATTATTATTGTTATTATTTATATAAATAAATAATGAAGATAGACTTCTATTATACTCTTCTATACTGCATACATGTAACACTGAAAATGGTATGACAGTCTGACATATATGTATTAGTATATGATACTATGTAGTGGCGAAGGGATGGTTCTTTTTATTTTTCTTTTTTAAGTGTGGACTGAAATTTATTTATTTATTTTTTATTTGAAATTGGATTTTAATATAATATTTGCATGGTTATGTGCTATTTAATTAAACCAGGGAGAATAAAAGAAACATGTGGAATCAGATAATTGATATGGGCTGACAGTTGACTCTCGCTCCCATTTCCGAATTAAGAATATTTATGAATGTGGGTTTAGGACAAAAATCAAATCAAATCAACTGTGCCTACTTGTGAAGTCTTAAATTATTAATAGGTGTAGATGAAAGTTCAGTTCCGACACGCCACAAAGCTATTCTTTGCAGTTCCATGTCTTTGTTATATCTTAAACCCACTGACACCTCTAACATGACAATAAATTAAATCTGGAAACACAGACAGAAAATTAAGGCTATTTCAAACAGCAGTTCAAATTCTGGAATTCAGAGGTTGTGGGATGGGGCTACGGAGGCAGCCAAGAATCAAGATTCAGGAGAGCTTCTCTTTGCAGATCTCTCGGCTCGGGCACCGAAGGTTTCGGCTACCAAGAGAGGGAAGGCAATGGTTGCGTCGCAGTGCACCTGCTCGGATGGAAGAAAAATTATGGCGGAACCTTGGCAAAACAGCAATGGATCACAGCAACTTAAATGTATGAATGGCAAACCTTGACAGTCTTGGCAGAACCTCGGATCTTGCCCCAGGACACAGCTTCATCAGGGCGGGCACCTGAGTCGCTTCCATCAAACTCTTGTGCGGTGTTGATGAAGACGGCGAAATCGGCTCCATTCCGCATCATATTGGCATTGCAAATATGATGCTTCGGCAGCCCTCCTCCAAGTATTATCATTCCAGTTTTTCTTGGAGCAGCATGGACAGCCTCGCCATTCATTGCCCGAATATCTGTCCTCATGGAAGCCTACAGTCAGTCATCTTCGGAGATATCAAGTGGCATGAGTTATATGGAGTCTCGATATTACCTTGCACGATGTCAATCACAAGACCAGGCTCCCTCTTGTATGAGTGGAAGTACAACATGTCGCCTAGTGAACCATCAGTTAAGCCAGGGCAGAAGACGGGAATGTTGTTCTGCAGGGAGGCAGGGGAGTGGCAAATTGTGTGGGTATCAATTATTCATCAGCATAGAGAGAACATTAAATGTTAAATGCTAATGTTACCTTTTAACAAAATCAACAAACATGAAAACCCTCAGTGTGCTTAGAACTAAACAGCTGTCATGAAATTATGTAATTATGTATGTGAAGAGTTACTCAGGTTGCACAGAGGTAAACTTTTCACCAAATTAAGTAGCAACATGTTACGGCCTTGAAATAATTAATTAATATCATATAAGGCAAAAAACCTTCAGAATCCCTCAAATTCCAGCATTTAATCAACAGTTGTGTAACCAAGCCTGTGAGTAACACTTTTCACTATAGTGTCGCTATGCCCATAATAATATTTGGAAAACTCTAACTAGATCACTCCAAAAGCCCCAAAGTATTTTAGGACTTGTAGTAGATGGAAACCAAATGACATATTAGAGAACAATTTACTGAATTAATAAGAATGCAGTTGTACAAATCTTCTGGCAATTTAATAAACAAAGATGCAAGAAATCCTACTAAACTAGTAACAAGTTCTACGCATTGGCTTATCATTATCTTCACTTGAGCATCTTGTTTGCGTACTTTAGGAGTAATTATAATAAAAGAGACTATGAAGATGAGTTATTGAATACATTCAACATTTCGAAAAAACAAAACACCTAAGAATGAGTTGCTTCTAGGAGTTTGAGTTGCAATTTTAATTGCTGTAGCTACACCATGGACTAAATATTATAAAATAATGGAGTCTACCACAGTTTAATAACCCCCTGTATAAAATATTAAGTGAGGTTCACAAATAGAAGTTATAGAATATAATTTTAGCAAATGAATAATATGACAAGTTTACAGTAAAAAATTCTTCAAAATCTATAATTTGATCCCTTATGCTCACTCTGTAGTGAAACTAGACATATTCAAAATTGTTGAAGGAATTAATAATACTAAATTCATCATCACCAAATGACATTCATATACAACACATTTAGTGAAAGGATTGAATAGTGACGAACGAAGAAAGAACACTAAGTCAGTTCACAAAAAATATTAATTATTTGACTGTTAGAAACAACTTAAAACAATACTTGAATAGTAAAGAAGTAAACAATGTGTACAATTTGTAAGTTGAAAATATAATTAATTTCATTGAAGAAAACTTGATAATAAACATAAAAATAAATTCCAGAAAATGTACCACGTATGCCCAGTACAAATATGAATTTTCATCATTTATCTCCTTCCCTAGGCGAGCAATTACTTTAGATGGTGTCCACAGCACATTCTGCAAGAATGATATTTGGAAATTATGCAACTTGGTGAACAGTGACAAGATTGACTAGTGAACTTAAGATATAAATGTTCCAAAAGAATTTGAATATAATGAATAGACTAGAAGAACATTGAAGATACATGCAAATGCATTTATTTATAGAACAGGTGGATACCTTCATAGGAACAAGATCACAACAATAGATTTAATATGAATCCGTGCCAAAATCTTTCAGCAGAATTTAATAAACACTTGCAACAAACAGTCTTGGGTATTTTGAGAGAAACAAATGAAGGTAGCAACTACAAAAAAATTCTTTTTCGTCGTTGCCTATTCCCTAAACCCATTACTTCTTCTAAAGGCCAATCAACCATAACATAAACAGATTGCATTCTATACGGTAGCTTATCTAGCAAACAAAAATAATTTTAAAGCATATACAGGAGTTTATGAAGCGAAACATTTTTGGCAGTAAGTATCATAACTTTTGCCATAAAGAACAAACATTTTACAAACTAGATATTAAAAAAGTAGAAAGAAAATCAAATATTGAAACACGGTAGTGAAGGATACCTGAGAATTTTGTTCATCTAACATTTGGTCAAAAATTGGGATGATCCAGTCCTCAAATTTGCAGTAATTTTCATTGGGAACCAACAGATTACCAATGCGGTTCAGACCTTTTGCTCGGAGAGCAGCTCCAGGAAGAGAAAATTTGCCCCTGTAAGTAGGGGCAAGACACTTCACAAGGTCCTCCTCCACACCACCTGCTGTTGTCACCAGTACATCAACCTGTCAACAAAGTCAAATAATTTGAAAACAAACTATAAATCATAAAGTTGAATCAAGATGGTCAATATGTTGGAATCTACATAATGGTTAAGAGGTGAACATATGAATCACTAGGTTGAGAATGTTAAGTGCTGTTCAATAAGTTCTTTTAAATATTTGAGGATTTTAAACTACTGTAGAGGTCCCCAAAAACTATTAAAGGACACGAAGAAGACACTTGGTATGGTGTTTATCACATAAACCAACTTTCACAGTCTTCACGTTCAATCTATCTTGCATTACAGTTGAAACAAATAGGATCCCCTGAATGTTCAACTCTGCCTACAAATTTCAAAGCTTCATAAACGTGGTTTTTGTGGCACTCACCATGCTGTGCTGAACAAGATAACGGATTATATCTCGTACGCCAGAGGAGATCAGATTAGAAGTGAAACCAAGAAACACCTTACACCTTATAGACTCCCGGTAATCAAGGTCTCTCTCCTCCTCACTGCAATCTTCTGCCGGTGGCTCGACTGAAAGCCTCCAATCTAGCTTCAAACACAGTTGAATTACTTATAAGGTGATAAAGACAAGTTAATTTTTAGTTCATTAAGCATCTTACATACTTCATTTAACACATCAAGAGGAATTATATGTGACTATTCTATTGAAACAGTATCATTGAAGTTGAAAACTTCCCACAGTAAAATCAGCAAAATACGAAACCAATCCAAACAGGAAAAGAGCAAACCATTTGGTTGACTAACTCAATGGCATCTCCGAGATTGGACGCCTGGAATCCAGTGAAAGCCAGTGACTTGAAAAGCTCGCGATAGTTCACGCCTTTATTGAAATCGTAACCCTCAATTTTGGGACATTCGCCGTCCAAGGACACAGATTCCTTCAACACCGCAGACCGTACGGATTCCGGTAGATTATCCTTCACTGTGTCCCCCATGGCCGTTCTCGGCGCGTTAGGATTGGACTGCGGCGGCGTTCGGAAGACGCAAGTACGCTTCGCTGTTCGGCCGCTTGAGTGCTTCTCGGGTCAGAGGCGGGGCTTTTATAATTATTGCTTAATGTAAATTTACACTTTTGCCCTACAACCTCGTTTTCGTTTTTCCGAAATATCGTAGAATCTTGGGGTGTTTGTACATGTTTGGCTGTGTGTTTATATTTATTGCTTAATGTAAAATTACACTTTTACCCTACAACCTCTTTGTCTTTTTTTCGAAATATCGTAGGATCTTGGGGTGTTTGTACAGGTTTGGCTGTGTGTTTATATTTATTGTAAAATTACACGTTTGCCCTACAACCGCTTTTTGTTTTTTCCGAATTATTGTAGAATCTTGGGGTGTTTGTATAGGTTTGGGTACTCCTGAAAATCATGGATTTATTTGAGTGAACTTTGAAAGTGATTTTAAATAAAGTATTTAACTTTTTTTTTTTTTTATTTATTAAACAAAGAGAATGAATCATTTGAAATGTCTTAAAAGTCTTGTTTGATTATATATATTTAAGTTAAATCTATTTCAAATGATTCTACAAAATTACGAAGTTAGTACTTTTGTTGTTGAATGGTATTAAAATTATAACCAAACACATATAATATGTTTTATTATTAATGATAATGTATATTATATGAATGATTGTCATAAATTATCCATTCATATCGTATAATATTAATTATATATTGTTTAAATTTTTAACATCTCAATAGTCTTGTATCACTTCAAACACTTGAAGTAATTAAAACTAATTTCAATTTCATCCAACCAAAGGATTTGAACGTTGAGTTTGAATGGAAGACTTGAATTTTAAAAAAATTAAAAAATTAAAATGAATACATTTCAAAATTCATCAATATTATTTTTTTATTTGAATACATTAAACTTTTAAAGTGTATTCAAAATATTATTTCAAATTCATTATATTATATAAATACATATTATGATCGTAACAAAATATTTAGAATATATATATATATCTGTATTAAGAAGCAGAGCAAATATATATATATATATATATGTGTGTGTCAAAATAAATATTAAGTAAAATATCAGTGTATAAGAAAAGTTACATTATATTGGTTTTAATATCACCAAACCAATATACTAAGTTAAGACCCAATCAAAAGAATATCAAATGACATGAGAAGAAAAAATTACAAAATAGTATTAATTTTAATAACACCAAACAAATATACTAAGGCCGTGTTCGTTTGGCCGATTGGATTTAGAAAATCTGTATAATTACTGTACAGATTTTAAATTAAAAATCCCACACCTAAAACATATGTCTGTTGTTGATTCATAGGCTTTTTTTTTTTTTTTTTGTCAGAAATGATCGCAGTATGTCTTGTCCAAGCTTGTTAAGTCGGTTTCGAATGGGCCGTTGGAAACGCCGGTTCGCCGATTTCAAACAGGCGTTGTCGAGCCGAAACCGGTTTTCCGGTTTCACACCAGCGGTTCCGAAACCGTCATCGAACCAAAACCGATTTTATCTGAACTCAAATCAGCAGTTTTCGATTCGAATCGACAGTTTTCTATTTTTATTTTTTTAAAAAAAAAAATATATTAACTTGTGGGGAATGGGGAAGATGGTAAAGATTGCTGCGTGAAGAAGACCAAAAAAAAAAAAATGAAGGAAGAAATGAGCTAATTGGAAAGGAAGAAGGATAAGCAAAAAGAATTTGGCGTTGCTGGTGGATTCATTGATTAGCACATTAGGATAAATATATGCACATTAGGATAAATATATTTATTATTATATATTATTAAATTTTTATAAACTTAAAATAAGATTATTATTAGTAAAAAATAAATACTATGTATTTATATTTTAAATTTATAATTTTTTATTATATAATTATAGAAAAATAGAAAAATATTTGATTTGTTATTTTTGTGTAAAAAAATTTTTTTATAAGTTTTTATTATATAATTATAGAAAATAGAAAAATATATTTGATTTGCTATTTTTGTGTAAAAAAGAATTTGATGAATATAAAAAATTTGATAGAATAATACAACAAAATCTGAAAATATAAAATAAACAAATATAAAATTAGTCCAACAATTCAAACCTCCACACAACCACAACTTAAAAATTCATACTTCAGAATCCTCGAGAATCCAAATCTTCCAATCCCCTAAACAAATATCAAAACCTTCAAACAAACAAACCCTTAAAAAAAAAAAAAATCCCTCCGTCCAATAAAATATCAATTTTTCCATTTTAGTCTGTCTCATAACAAAGTATCTATTTTTTTTAGTAACTGTACTATCTACTTAACATTACAAATACCCTTACAACTTACAATATATTATACAAATGTCATTACCTTTATACCATTTATTTTAGTCATTTCTATTTTATTCATACTATATTCTAATATAATATTAATATTTCTAAAACTACGTGCAAAAATCAAATAGATATTTATTTATGGGACGGAGGGAGTAATAATAATAATATCTCCAATTTTTTTTTTCAAAAATTATTTTTAAAATATCAATTCTAGCATCACTTTACTTTTTCACTTTTTTATTTATTTTAACAATATTTAAATATCATTAATTTCAAACTATCACATCAATACATCACTTTTTTCAATATAATAATAATAATTTCTTCCAACATAATCGCTATAAAATTCAAACATTCAAACAAACACAATTTAAAAATTCATACTTACAAATCTTCAAAAATCCAAACCCCCGAACAAACACACCCTAAATTCAAGACCTAAATAAATATATATATATATATATAAAGTTACAAAATATTAATTTTAATATCACCAAACTAATATACTAATTTAAGACCTAATAAAAATACATACCAAATAACACAAAAAAATAAATAAAAATTTAAAATGACACATTCTACTGTGGATTTCGAATGAAATACAAAAAGACTTTAAGAATTCTAAATTCACCTTCAACAAAATTACTTGCTATTTTTGTTCAAAAAGAAGAATATTATTGTTTTATTTACGCATAAATTTTTAATATTAATTACTTCCTCCTTTCAGCTAAAAAAATATAATATTTATATTTTGGGACGTCCAATTACGAAGTTTATTATATATATATATTTTTTTAAAGAAAAATAAAAATATCATTTTACTACTTTTAACTACACCCAACAAAAAGTAAATATTTACTTTGTGTATGGACGGAGGAAGTATTATATTAATATATATAAATTTTTAAAAAATGACACAAATATATTTATTATTCTATTATTTTATAATATCGATACAATAATATTTATAAAATAAATTATACAAATATAAAAATATTTTTAATATTAAATATAATAATAAAAATAAATAAATTTTACAGAAGTAGTATACAAAATTTGATCACTCTTAAGTCCCTAAATACTTCAATCCGAACGTATCTGCAATTTGCAAATCCTTCTAATCAAACTAGAATTCAAGAGTTTGTCTAAATAGAAATTTTTGGAGTTTTTTGAAAATTTCGAAAATTTTGAAATTTTAAAAAAATAAAAAATTAATATTGAATTTAATGTTTTTATTAAAAAAAATTGTATTTGATATAATATTTTTTAAAAAATAACTAGTGCCGAATAAACTAAAATTTGAACTTATAATAAATTTCAAATCACCCCTAAATCCGACTATCCGTACAGGAGACCTTTTAGTACAGGCAGTGTTGGGTAATTACAGTCGAACCAAGTAAACGGGCCCTATAAATAGCCCGAAGCAAAAGCAGGTGCGGCTGTTCACTTCCCGCGTTACGCATTTCCCGCTTTCCTCGCGAAACCCTAATCTCAAAAAATGGGGACCAAGCACAACTCCTTGCCGGATCTTCCCGACAGCAAAAAGCGACGCCGCGCCGGAGTTTCCAATACTGGCGGTTCATTTTTCTGTCTTACTTTGATCTTACTGTGTTATTTAGATGTTTTCTACTTGAACATGGTTTCGGAGTTTCTGTTCTAATTTCTCCTATGCTCTTCCGGCAGATGCTGGAGTCGAAGCCAATGAGTGCATCAAAATTTATTTGGGTATATTTTTTATTATTGCTATTGTATGAGGTTTTCTGTAAATTACTTTCATGTTGTTGCTACTGTGGTGTTCTCTTTTCTGCGGATTCTATATGGTGGATGCTGTGGAGGTACTTGTATGTTCTGGACCTTGGTATGCAAGCGAACACTTAAATATTTATATTTATGATTTATGTATTTGTAACGGTTTGAAATAGTATACTGTCCTGGTCGTATTTTTGGTTAATGTAGGTTATTGGTTTTATGTGAGTGAATTTTTTAAAATATAATTATAAACATACCTTGAGGGGGGGGGGGGTTATGTTTTACTGTTCTCCAGTAATAAGCTCATAGTTTGGTATTTCCCTAGGCATTTCTTAAGTTATAACAATGGAATTGGCTATATAATAAATGGTAAGCTGTTTATCATTTTTAAGTTAATTTGCTTCAAATTAATTTGTGTATGGTGTGAATTTATGAGCTTTGGTTATTCATCCTAATGATAGGAAGGTTAAAGTTCTTCATTTTTGTATAACTTTAGTGGATGTGCATGTGTAGCTTTTAGCAAAGAGGAAGTGGATTCTCCAAATATATACCAAATTCAACCCGTTGATGTGAATCACTTTTTTGAAGATGAGAGGATATACGGCTACCAGGATTTGCAGGTAAGCTTCATAAATAACTTACAGTATACCCATTAGAAAATCTGGAAATTTCTAGCAGGTAGACAAATGTACTGAAATCTCAACTGCAGGTTGTTATCTCTTTATGTTCTGTTGTTTATTGGCCCTTTTCATCTTTCAATTGCTTTTATTTACAGATTACAGTTTGGCTTAGCGGCATATCCTTCCATGCATTTGCCGAGATTTCTTTTGAGAGCTCATCGGATGTAAGTTTGTACCTTCTGTTCTCTTAAGTATAATTGCAGCAGTTAGTGTTATCCAATCTTTAACTTAATTATTCTCGTGAATGTTTGAGAACTTGTTGAATGTCTATTCAAAGATCCTTCATTATGGGAAAATGTTTTTTAAAGTCAAATGAAAGATATTATCTTGTCTGATAACATGTATGCTAGTCATTTTGCTTTATTTTCTGTTATTTCCAAAGGAAGATGAGGAAAGGTGGAACCAGGGGAAGACACTTGGCTACAATCCAATCATCTCCTTCAATTTGTTTTCTTGCAAAGTAGTGCTGCGATGCGTTTGATCTAATTTCGCGAGAATCATTTCAAAGTAATGTTTGAGCATACTGTAAAAACTTTCCTAGAGCCACATGAAAGCCTTAGTGTCCAACTTTACTTGTATGTAATGAAGCATTGGAAATACTTATGTTAGATGGACGGTAGCTGCTCGATTGAGATTCTATAAATGGTTGAAGTTTAGTAGCAAAAATATTTGTCCATTCCCAGTTAATTTTTTTTATCTTTTACCATTTTTTTTTCTATATAGGGAGGCAAGGGTATAACAGACTTGAAGGCTTCCCTTCAGGTAAATGTGAATGCTGATGTTTGAGAATTTCAATTTATCTTCTCTACAGAAGTTATATGTAACATGTCACTAGTATTTGCTAATACAATTTGACAGAATATGTTTGCTGAGAATCTTGTTGAGAAGAAAGAAGACTTTCTACAAACATTTTCATCTGAAGGCCATTTTGTGAAGTATGATAAATTGATAATAAATGTATACTAGTATTCAAATTATGTTGAGATTTCTTATAATTTCCTTTTGACCATTGCAATGCTTAGATCCATTGTCTCCAGTGTGGATGTATTGCAAATAGATGCATCTGATTGTAGCACTGAGGAATCTAAAGCTCATCTGCGAGAAAATGTCGAGGTGAGTTGTTCCCCTCACTCTTTGTTAGTATTGAATGAAAGCTTGCTCTCACTGAAAATTATTCCTACGGCAGCCATGATAAACAATACCCCTGCAGTTTCTTTGATTATTTGAAGAGAACTTATATGGCAAATGTTTTTCAAGCATCTATACCTTGCAGTTTGGCATATGGTATTGATGCTCTAAAACTCCTTTCTTATCTTAATATGAAAAATAGTAGTTTTATGATTTTTCCCTTTAGTGGGTTTCATCTTTATTTCCCTGGTACGTGTCAAATGTATGCTTCAGGCATAATCTTTTTGTTCTACTTTGCATCTGCTTCAGGTTTTCCAAGTTCGCGGTGCTGGTGTGGGGCCTCTTTATGCCCGATTAGTGCCACTCGTTCTTCTTCTAGTAGATGGTAAATATCCAATTTTCTTTACTGAAATAACAACTTTCATAGTAATACTGATCCCCTATGGTTCTACTGACTCAGGTAGCAATCCTATCGACATAACTGATCCGAGTTGGGAATTATACATTGTAGTACAGAAAGCAACCCAAGACAGTGACATGCTATTGGTTGGGTTCGCTTCTGTTTATCGCTTTTACAAATACCCTGATAGCACACGAATGCGACTTGGTCAGGTATCATAAATCTATCTTTATATATGTGTGTATATATATATATACATACGTGCATAGATGAGTAGATAAATATAGGTGCACATCTTCACTCAACCCTGTATGCACTACAATGTGTGTTGCCTGAATGAACAAAACAAATTTATATAAACTCTCCATTAAATATAACAGTGTATAGTTAATGGCAGATTCTGATCATCCCTCCCTACCAGCGAAAGGGTTATGGCACCTCTCTTCTCAAAGCGCTCAACAATGTTGCAATATCAGACAATCTCTATGACCTAACCATTGAAGAACCAGTGGATTCCCTTCAACATGTGCGAACCTGCATTGACGTGCAGCGCCTGCTCAAATTTGCTCCAATCAACGAGCCACTCGATCAGGCTGTTGCACTTCTTAAGACCGAAAACTTCTCCAAGAAAAGCCAGCCAACTCTGCTTGCACCTCCGCCTAGCCTGATTGAGGAGGTCAGGAAGAGTTTTAAGATCAACAGGATACAGTTTCGGCAGTGCTGGGAGATACTAATCTATATTCGTTTGGATCCCATCGAGAAATACCTGGAGAACTACAAAACTACGGTTTCTAACCGTATAAAGGCTGATGTCATTGGGAAAGAATCGAAAGGCAATGGGAAACGAGTGATTGATATCCGAACTGATTTTGAGGAGGATGATTCATTTTCCATGTTCAAAACACAGGATAAAGAGCCGGATAGCACTGGGGAGTATGGCAATCAGAATAATCAAGAAGAGGAGCTGAAGCAACTTGTTGATCAAAGGATGGAAACGATCGAGTCAGTAGCTCGTTGTGTTTCCTCCCAATAATATTTTGGTGGAATTAAGTGGTGTAGCAGCAACAAGATCTAGCAGCAGTAATTGAGTTGTAGCTTCCATTCCATATGAGATTTTAGAAATTGCCCATTTCTATGATTCTTGTCTTTTACATCTTAACTGATACACATATAGTCGATTGCTAAGGCCTCTTTCTAACATACCTAAATCATTTTGCCTTCTTGGTTACAACCAATCTTACAGATTCATTTTCTCGAACTGTACACAAGAGAAAGTGCCGAATTTGTACTAAAACTCCTTAAATCCATCCTTGAATTGAAATAAATAAAATTCAAGTTTTAAAATGCACCGACATGGTAAAGCAATCAAAAGTGTAAGACTGATAACCGATTTCTCTATTCATTCATTCTATAAATAGGATATCTACCGAAACACCACCATAAACTTTAGATTCCATAAAACGATATCCTTGGGATTAAAGATCTGCTCTTCCAGGGTATCTTGGGAAGGGAATGACGTCCCGAATGTTTTCCATGCCAGTTGCAAAAAGAATCATCCGTTCAAATCCAAGCCCAAAACCGCTGTGCTTCACAGTCCCATACCTCCGCAGGTCAAGATACCACTCATAAGGCTCCAGGGGAAGACCAATCTCCGATATCCTGGACAATTTAGTTGTGTCAAAAACCTTTTGCTATGGACCATCTATCAGAACTTTGGGGTACTGATAATCCCCAAGGAAAAGCAAGAAGAATTGATCAACATAATAAAAGCAAACCTTTGCTTGAGAATGTCATAATTCTCTTCTCTTTGGCTTCCACCAACAAGCTCACCCACCTAAAGAGTAAATAAAATCTAATTGTAAAAGAAATAAAAAAGAGGCTTCATCCAAGTAATTAGTTTCTTATACTTGAAGAAAATGTGGATAGGCAGGTGGGAGACGGAAGGAGGATAAGACAGGAGATTACCTTTGGGACAAGCACATCCATGGCAGCAACAGTTTTGTTGTCTTCATTCAGCTTCATATAGAAGGCTTTAATTTGTTTTGGATAATTATAGACGATAACTGGAGATTTAAATTTCTCTTCAGTCAAGAATCTGTAATACAGGTTTAAAAAGATATCAATTATGTAGCAGCTATCTTATAAATAAAAGAGAATAAATGACAAATGAATGAAAAAAAAGTAGCAAGATTTTTTACCTTTCATGTTCTGAAGCTAGATCTATTCCCCATTCAACATTATTCTCAAATTTCTTTACTTTGGCTGCTTCCTCTAGAATGGCAATAGCTTCAGTATATGTTATTCTGATGAACTTGGATTTTGCAACCATCTGAAGTCGTTGCAGAGCACCCTTGTCGATAAATTTGGTCATAAACTCCATATCTTCATAGCAGTTGTCAAGCAACCACTGACAAAGAAATCGCACGTATGCCTCTGCACAGTTCATATCATCCTGCCAAAATTTTAGCCCTGTTATTCAACTTGCCGCAGCATACCAATGAGTAACTAAAAGAGAAAACGGAATAATATAAGAAAAGAAAAAAGTTACTTAACACCCAACATTTCAGCCAAATATCTAATAGTTTTGTTCAGAATATGGCTTTCCAGTTTCAGGATTTCTCTTAACTTTCATTACATTAAATGACACTATCCATAATCAGCAAATGTCCTAACTGGAAGAAAAGTTGTAGACCCATAGCAAAACTGCCTCAACAAAAGAGCTTTGCAGCTGATTAAAGCAGCAAAACCAAGTCAACTATGCATGGCAGTTATAAATCTTATGGTTTTTGCTTCATTGGCATTTTGTATTGAGATGTACAAATACATAGAAAAGTTTGTTATCGACATACCTGTAGGTCAGCAAACGCTAATTCAGGTTCCACCATCCAAAATTCAGCTAGATGCCTCGAAGTATGGGAGTTCTCTGCTCGAAATGTAGGTCCAAATGTATAAACACTACTGAGTGCACAAGCATATGTCTCAACCTGCAGCTGCCCTGATACAGTCAAAAACGCCTGCCTTGCAAAGAAGTCCTCAGTATAATCAATTTTCCCATCTTTCTTAGGAATGCCACCACTAAGCTTACATCTCTCTGCCAGCTTGCATCTCTCCTGTAGCTTATTGAGGTTTTCTTTAGCCTTGTTTAGCTCACCGACAGCAGCAACAATTTCCGATTTGTTGGCCTTAGCAGATTTTAGCTTAGCAACTGCTTCCCCTTTCTCTTTGATAGCAAGCTCAGCAACCTCTATGTCACTTTCAGAAGGAGGGGGGTTCTCATTCAGATCTTTTTCCAATTTTTCGGCATCATTAAGTATTGTTGTAACTTGAAACATCTCCCCTGCACCTTCACAATCACTGGTTGTGATAATAGGAGTATGCACATAAAGGAAACCATGCTTTTGGAAGAATGTGTGGGTAGCATATGCCAAGGCATTGCGAATTCTAGCAGCTGCAGAAATCTAAACCACCAAACAAACAATTTATCACAGTGAAAATGGAATAGATAAAAGTAAATAATGTAATGTATATGCGCATATAATGAATGCTAAGATACAGAGGTCAAAGAAAAATACAATCAAGCCTTACACATCCACTTTCCACCAAAACAAGGCCTTTATGGAACATTCATAGAAATAGAAGTGAATAATAAAAAACACTTAACATTATCAACTTTAGCATCCCACAATCAGCTGTGCAAAACAATGTTATAGCCAACAATATCGGCACATTCATACAACTAGAATTTTTTTCAGCTTTTGACCAACAATCATTTTGTAATGAAAGTAAAATAAGCAGAAAACATTAAACTTGGCAGCCAAATCATTATTCTTCATCTTCATTTTTAAGTTCAGTTTTTTCTTAACCTAAAAAAAGATTATGTAACACTGCTGAACACATAATAAATTTAAGCACGAACCATTATCTAAAATCAGGCACTTTTAATGTAATAGTGAGGCCACTAGCATGAAGTGCTCAAGTTCATCCAAGAGCATCAGCATGAAAAATGATTGGCAATGTATCGAATTCTATGATGTTTGTGAAGCAGAAAGTATTACGTCAACACAGTAATTGAAGTACTCTCCAATCTCCAAAAATACGATCTAAAAAACAATACTTTCCACACAACATCACAAATTCAAACATTATGCCAAACAAAATTGGGTACAAGAGGAAAATCATACAGTGTTAGTCCTGGAGCGCAGGTGCACAACATCCCTGAGAAACTCGAGCGTCAATTTCGTCTTAGGCAACGGATACTTCGCCGCATCTACAGTCCCCACATCGATAACCTTCTCCACCTCCAGTTCAATCTTTTGCTTCACGCCTTCCGGCGGCGATTTCAGCAATCCCTCCACGTGGATGCACGTGCCGGTGGAAACGACGTCGCTTAACTTGTAAAGCTCCGCCTTTACAATCACCTGCAGGTTCCCCGGGCAAGACCCGTCGTTAACTTCCAAAAACGCAAATCTGCCCTTATCGGCCTCCCTCCCGGTCTTCACCCATCCCCCAATACGGACCTTCTGCCCCGCCAGCCCGCCGCCCTTGTCCGGCCGGCCGAGTATGGATTGTATTGGAACACGTTGAGAGAATTGCGCCTCCTCCACGGTGTCGCGGAGGCTGAGGCCATCCATTGCAGCATCCACTGACATTTTTTCGTGTATTGATGGCCGTATCCCTTCCAAACCCTAGAAACTTAGCGGCGGACAATTTATAGCAGTGTGTTCAGTCAAAGAATCCACTGAAATCCGACGGTCGAACGATCTCAAGACTTTCAGTTCACACATTGGCCAGTAATATTACGCCACGTGGATATATTTTTTGCCATATTTCAGTTTTATAAATGGCGAAAGCATTACTAATTTTGGATGATCAGAGTGATGGACCAATCCTGTTTGGGCTGAAAGGCCCAATTAAAGTTTCGAAGGCCCACTTCAGTTTTAACCCATTTTACAAACCCTAATATTAACCCTGAAAAAGCCCTACCATTGAAGATTTCTCATCTGCAGCTCATTTTACACCGCGGCGGCCGAAGACGAACCAGACGAAGCTGTTCGGAGAGATCAATCGATCATGGGTACTGTTTGTGTCTAGATGTTACTTGAGTTAGGCGGTCCGTTGGATTTATCGTATTTGTAATTGCGTAATGAATTTGTAGGTAAGGTGCACGGTTCATTGGCTCGTGCCGGAAAGGTGAGAGGGCAGACGCCGAAGGTGGCGAAGCAGGACAAGAAGAAGAAGCCCCGAGGCCGTGCCCACAAAAGAATGCAGTACAACCGCCGTTTCGTCACTGCTGGTAATGTTTATATTCTTTGATGTTAATTATATTTTCAGTTTTCATTAACGTACGCCCTCCATACTTGCGGCACTTTCTGGCTTCCGTGTTTGGTGAAAATCCTTGACTCTTACTATTAGCTAACATTGATTATGCTTATGAACCGAGTATCATTATGTAAGATTTGTATTATTGTTTAGGGATCTTGAACCAATATGTCAGTAACAAAATATTTTCTTTTGTTATATGGAGTTTTTTTTATTCCATAAAGAAAATCCGAGCTTTGGTTTCTTGCGGTAGTTTTTTGTTAAAAGGGATCACCTTGTTAATTTTGTTGACACAAATAATCTGTTATTTGATTGGGGAACTGTGTCTTTACTTCCCATTTAGTTGACAAAGGATATTGTTTTTATGAGATAATGTGCTTTTGCAGTTGTTGGCTTTGGGAAGAAGAGGGGGCCAAACTCATCTGAGAAGTGAAGCTGATTTTATAGGTGACGAAGAAGCCTTTGCATATTGGACTACATGTTTTTTCTTGCGTCATTTTGTCACTAGCTATATATGCTAAAAATGACATTTTGGATTTGATTTTGAACTTATTTATATCTGCCTGTGGAATTCAATGAGAATTTTATTTTTCTGAAAAGTTGGATTCTGTGATCTTGCTTGTGGGCTCGGTGATTCAGGCTTTTTAGTAAGTTTCTAATACATTCAAACTCCTTTGCTTATAATCTGGTAGGGCTGATAAGCTCCGGTACAAATATTGTGCTCAATTAGTATTGATGGTTTACAACTTTACATTACAAGTTCCTGAAGACTATCTCAGCTTGGTAAAGTTTTCTATGATGTAATGCGTATAGGTTTCTCCACATCAGGAGTATCTCTCTATAAGTGTTCTTCCTTTGCCTATTAAGTTTTGAAATTTAATTAAACTACATCTAGAAAGAGTGTATACCATCTTTATTGAGATATGTATATATATATATATGCAATGTATGTTTGTCTGGGGATCAAAGGCATCTATATGCCATTTAAAAAGTTATGAGCACGAGTCCACAACTTTGCAAATAAATATAAAAATGTGGGGGAAAAAAATTTCAAGTGGAAATTTGATTTAATACCCAAGAAGAAAATTTTATTTACACGTAATTGAGCTCAAAATGAGCAGTTGTCATGAAATTTGAACTTCAATGCATATAACGCATTGAAAATTAAAAATACTAAGCAAGACATTTGTAAACCTACACAGACCATCCAAAAAGTGGAACAACATTTATGAAATTTAGTTTCAATAGGCATTAGTGACGGGAAGATCATAACAATCTTGCATGAATAAAATGAAGTAGCTACACAAATTTAAGTATCCCAGTGTCCTTCAAATTTGTATCGAAGTTCAGATTAAAATGGGAAAAAAACGAGATGTATATCAAGTGTTTACATGGGCTAATGAAGAACAAAATATTCGGTGTCCCCCTGTTCATCAATGATCTGCTAGAGTCCTCTAATGCTAGTATTGAAGTATTGGAGAATTATCCAATTAACCATACCGCAATGTAATCATACTCCCCGGCGAGACTCCAATTGCTTGGTGTTCTCCAATAGTATCTGTGGTTTGACATCGAATATAAATTGTAACAAAGCATCCCCACATTAACTAATTGAAATAATCAATGCAGGGCATACAAGTATAGGTAAACTTAGTCGAATGAATATCAACCCTTACTTCCTTAATGTAACTTGCCACCGCTTTGCAGCCTTCTATTGCTAATTGCATCACATTCTCAAAAGTATCCAACTGTAATTTAGCATCCATCTACCAGTAAGACATCAACAGTTCAAGACTAACTTAGAGGTGAGGTCAGAAAAAGTAACAGTAATCCTAAAAACTAAAGTTGAGTACCTGAAGTAGTGTCACTTTATCTAATTTAGGCAGAATCCCAACCGTGACATCAGGGCCACCAGCACTATCTTCAACATAGTTTAGATCTGCTTAATTTGAAAATTCATTGTTTTTTTCTGTTGTATACTAAATAAAAAATGATGGAAACTAGAAGATAAAGGTATTCTACAAGATTATATTGGACTACTTGGTTACCAAGCAAAGGAGTTCCATTCAAGTATCCAGCAGCACATGAGGTAACTAGATCGCGCATTGGAATACCAGCATCAGCGAGGGCCAACGTTGCTGCATTTATGCATGCTGATCTTGTCCCTAGATAATGTAGAATTAGACACACGTACAGTTAATGGATAGATATCCAGTTATAGAAAGCAAATCATGCAAGTTCTCAAGCTAATATATATATATATATATACACATATACATATATACATATATCCCAAGTGCAATCAGGGACTTTCATCTTACCACCATCTGCTTGAAGAACTTGAACAAAAATATCTATCTGCAGATACAAAGAAGAATACTCATTATAAATAGCACCTCTTCGATTTCTAATACGTCCACTTTGTTAGAATTGAACCTGAGAACGAGGCATCAGGTGTGTCAATATGCAGGCTTCCATTGTCTGCCGAATTACCAGAGATATCTCTGTGGATCGCCTGCGTGCCACGTGGGATGTTTAACACTAAATAAAATAACCTACAGATGGACGAGAAGAAAACACTTCTCTTTGTTTGCAGACAAACTATTTACTTCTAACTTAGCTAAAAATGATGAAAAGAAGGTAGATAGACAGAAACAGAAGATAACTATTTTCAAGCTAGTCCTGACCGTAATAAATTAATAATATCCTACAAGGTTGAGACACCATGGATGCACTGGTATGCTTGCTGAATTGACAATTATGATCATCCAAGAACACAACAAAGAGAATACTATCAATTAATCAATCAAGTTAAACTACCTGTCACCTTTCTGTCTTCTATGACGATCTCCAGTGCTAAAATTTGCCATGCTATATTCGCATCTCACCTGAAAACCATAGAAGTAGATAATCAGAAAAGCAGCAGCACAATATCAGCATATATTATAGCAAGGCGGTTTTCGCATGGATGAATACCAATGCCTGGTCGTTAAGTTGCTGACTCCTGTTTTGGACCTGAAAGATAATTAGCTGTCAATAAGAATAAAACAAATGTATAGGCTCAAAGAAGCCAGAGCTACCTCATAGTAATGAAGAACAATGACTCACTCATTCCAACTACGAGTGAGGAAAGTAAGATTCTAGCTTTGTTACATAATCAATGTTTTAATAAGCATAGAAATTTGAAATTACTCAGACCAAGTAGAATCCCAAATCAATTCCAGATTAATGCCAAAAAAGCCCCTATTTTGTTCATTCTAAGGAATGTTTTGCTCCATTTCAGAATACCTCTTGAGGACCGTAAACTGCCGCAATGACTTTAGTGTTTCCGATTTCAAATAACGCTGAGCTGTATTTAATTGAAGCAATTTCCGCCAACACATGTTAGTTATATTAATAGGTGTCGGTTTAAATTGTAGGAAGAAGATGTTTGATTATGTAACACAGAGAGATTGCTCAACAATGCATAATAATAGTGAAGTTTACCCGTCAGCTTTTGAAACAACGCCTATTTCTGCCCGAAGCTGCCTCATCTGAACCCTCAAAGAAGAAACACATGCGGTGCAGTCAGGTAGTATAAGGAAAATACCAAAAAGTAGGATTGTTTTTAGATATGTTTTGAACTTTGTTTTTGGAGTCCGGAGAGTTTTTGGTAATATTAAAATGTTAATGAAAATAGGTTGTCAGAGTTAAACCCTAAACCCTATAAACATGAAGAAGAGAAAGCCAACCTCCATTGGACGGCGACCATCCAAGCGAAGACCTTCTGGGTTGACGTACTCCATCTCCGGTCCGATTTAGATAGAGTAAGGGGCGGGATGGAACTGAGATAGCGGAAAAGAGTGAGAGAAACTGACGGTCAGTGTCATAAATCTGAACCGGTAAGGTTGCAGTTTAAATCAATAATGAAGTCCAAATAACCAGCTGTTGGAAGTGAGGCCGGCTGAAGGAGGAGTGCCAACTCAGGGATGGCACACAAATAAACAGATCCCAAGAAGCAATGCTTAAAGATTGTCATACTTGTAGATATTGCCTAATCAACAGATGCACATGCAACAGTGATAAACAATAACATGCTATCTGAATATTAAAGAAACTTCCAACTTTCTATCCAAAAGAAGCTTTGCAGACTCAGCAGGAGTTTCAAGCATTAAAGCAATTCACAACATCAAAAATAAGATTTGAGCATAAGCACCAAAATAGCAATATCACCAAAAATATCATCAGCCCTCAATAAATATCACGCATAATACATTGTCATCAACATGATGGCAATACCCACATTTCGGAAATTACCATATATATATATATAATACCAATTCATAAAATAAATAAATAAAAGTAAAAATAAAAATACAAAAATCACGCAAAATACCGACCAAGGGGATAGGAACGGGCAGCTAAGGGCAACAAGCGGTGGGGGACGAATCAAGCTCAGCTTCTATCACCTAATCGAATGAAGAGAGTGACTGAGTGGAGGAATCGAGCTCCGCTTCTCCCCTCACCTAGGGCAGTGATTTATGTTTCATAACTTATAGTATGTGAAAACATGCCCAACCGGCGGTTTCGGTTTAATTAAACCGAAACCGATTTTTTTACATCGTTTGGTTTCGGTCCAACATTCTTCAAATCGTGGGGATTCAGCTACTCCGTACAGTCCGATTCCGGCAAGATGCTCCGAGCAATTTCGCACCTCTCCGATTCTCGCAGCAGTCCGATTTTGTAAAACGGCACCGTTTTAATTAGATCTAAAATCGCCATCGTGTTGCAGAGGACGAAATCGGCTGTTCTCACAATCTCAAACGCCTTCAAAATGAGATGCTGAATAGGTGGAGATACGGCCGTGTGTTTAGTCAAATAATGAAATCAAAATTAATAGTAAACTTTTTATAACAAGATGAAATTAATTTATTTTTTAGTTTTTACTTTTCCCTGTTTTTAAATATCATTAAGAATTTATCATGTTATAAGTTTTTATAACAATTTTCTAATAGATCTACCTTTTTTAAAAATAGATAAATTGACTAAAATAATTTGTTTCTAAAAATTGGTTTTAGCAATAATTTTTTACAGTTCACTGGCATAAAGTCACAATTAACTACAAAATTATAAAACCTATGATTCTTGTTCTTCCACATACAAATCTGATAATCTATGAGACTATACAAAGCATTGCCCCAATGCATGGAGGGATGGGTCATAAGCATTTGAATAAGAAAGAATCAACTTGAAAGTAAGTATTAAAGAAAATAAAAGAAGCATATGCACTAGTGTAGGTAAAAATAATTCTAGTTTTTATTACATGTAAATGTAACCACAACTGAAGACATGTATTCAGCCTGTGTGATGAAAAGAAAATGCATTTTCTAGAACTAAATAAACACAACACCAATATAGAAATAGGTTTGCCTAAAAAGAAAAGAGGGTTCTGCAATTGTACCTCAATGATCATGCTTCTCCTGTTTCAATAAGATTATGAGAAACATTTGCTAAGCATATTAATTTCAAGTGAAATATTTGTAAGCAAACTATAAAACTCAAATGGACTAAACCTAAATCCCCGATTATAAGAATTTTATATTGAGAAGCTAGTGCAATCTAAATCTTTGTAACAACAAACTACGTCTCACCTAATCGTCGGTTGGCAGGCTGGATGGCCATCTACCCTTGCACAATCACACGATAATCTGACTGGTGTTGAGAGCTCCAGTCTATACTTTCACGTAAATATATTAAGAGCCCAAGAGGTTTTTCTCTTCCTCTTCGAGCCGCTCTAACCATCTCAATCCTAGGTCACACCCTGCATTTGCAGCAATTTCAAATTGTGCTCTTGCCAACTCCGCTGGATTAGATTCCACATTGTCCCTTGATCTTCTGTTTCGCACTCCTCCTTTCTTTAAATTGAATTTGGTTACTGATTCAGGAACTTCAACACCTACAATATTTGCATCAAAAATCATCTTAGGAGAACTATCATCTTCACTATTATTTTATATTTTCCTTTTCTTCTTCAATTTTTCAACAATAATAATATCCAGCTATGCACTAGCATCTACTATGTGCAGATTAAAAATAATGACTTAAAAGGTAAGCCATAAAGTATGATCGTGAGAGAAGTTCTATAATCCCATTATCACTACTTTCCAGATATAATTTTCTTGAATATTTAAGAAACACAACAATAGTTGAGGATATCTAAAAAACATAACATGTGTATCACCAGGAAAAATGCCATGCTAACTGTGACCTTTTTCATCAAGCAATGTAGAAGGCATGAAGAATAAGACTTTCATTCCTTAGAAGGTAGATTTTAGATCCCAGAGAAGGCTCAACTTCTTAAAAGTAACAAAACTCGTGAGGAATTTCATGACCATGTTGAACTTAGGAGTCAATATTCTTTTAAATTGTCGTAACTTGATAGCAATAGCATCTCCCTGGAGAGTGTAGCCAAGGGAAGGTCTAGTATTGTAGCATCTGTATGAAACACTTACAGTCCTTTGTGCTACAGTAAGTTATCATGCAATATAAGGGTAAACAGGGCACATACATTTATGATTTCCTGATTCAAACTTCAAAGTAAATGAAGCAAATTCTTTTTAATGCTACAATCAATGATTAAAATGAGCTAACCTCTAAGAAGAAGAGATCCATAGGCAATAGCAGCACCTGCATGACCCTGCATGAAATCAAGGTAAATATTTTAAAATGTTCAGAACTAGGAAAGTGAGAATGTTCAAGCACTCAAAGATGCTACATACGTTTAACTATTTTAAAATAGAAAAGCTATACAACTATAAGTATCAATTATATCAGCAACATTTGTTGTGTTATAGTCCAAACAGTGTGAATCAATATAGTGCTGCCTCAGATCAACTAACAGTTAAAGCTAACAGACCAGATAGTTCAATACCTTCTCAGATGCTCTATGGAAGCACCATATGGCAGAGGAAATATCTTGCTTCACACAGTCCCCAGTCAAATACACAGCCCCAAGGAGGTAGAGAGCATCAGGATGTAACTTGAACATAGCAAATTCTATATAATTAGTTCCATATAAAATATGTTCCAACATAATGGTATCGCATTTGTTGCAGAACATACCTGCTCCGCTGCCTTTTCAAGATAGCGAAAAGCTTGTTGATCAGATTCCACGTATTTATTCTGCGAAAGAGAAACAAAATTTGAACAAAGTGTGGATCTTGAGTATGAATAACAGAAATTAAGATTCGCAAGCCAAAGGACACAATACTAAAAGCACAAAACCAGCACCAATATATCTGCAATTGATCTTTTTTTGCCCCAAGTGTCATGATATTCAGAGAGGACCGCATTCAGCATTAATGCATGTATGTAACTCTGAGGTACTATAATATATTTTCAACTCAGAGTTCACCATTGAAGTAACTGAAAATCTCTCCTGCGAAGCATGGGAGCTTTTAATTATATCATATTGTAAAAACACACCATGTTTGGGGATCATTGCGCCCCACAAGTTTATCCTACTGGGTGCTGGCTTTTGTTGGCTGCTTAAAATGCATGGCTGAATAATTGTTTTCATGCCATATTAATGTAAACTATTTATGCAGAGTCATAGTTTTAACTTAGTTTTAATATGATAAACCCATCTGAAGACCCACATAGATTGAAGAAAGTAGTTTTCAGATAATACAACACACTCAAAAAATTAGAAGTTCTTCTTACATCGATTCTTAGGCGGCGGCCAAGCTCATATTGTGCATCTGGATTGCCCATGTCAGCAGCTTCTACCAGCAATGCAGCACCTCTGTTATGATAAAGGATTATAAATAAATGACGCAGATCCAAAAAAGAAAAGTATGAACATTATATGCAGCTTATATTTCTCCAAAATTCAATAAAATCTAAGATGACCTTGAGATACCGTAGAAAGAATTAAGCAAGTTCAAATAAAAGAACAAATATTCGGACTTAATCAAACTATTTCAGCAAATGGCTGCCTCAATAGAATTAAATATAAAATTTAGCACTCAAATAACAAGGATAGTGCTACAAGTTTGGAAGGCATGTGATTCCTTACACAGCTTTATTTGCACCTGGGACATGGTATTTGAAATGCAGTTTGGCTAACCAATATCTAGCATGAGTATTTGAGTTGTCAGCTTCTAGTGCTAGCTCAAACTGCTCCTTAGCTGTCTGAAAAATAAAACCAAAAACAGGATATTAGTCAATGATCGAGCTTAAAAGTACGTGAGATCATATGAAATAACAAAATAAATTACAGAGATGTATACACTTCAATAACAATTATGAAACCGTTAGGTCCTTGGTCAAAGAAGCTCTTATCTCCGCAATAGTTATATGGGTAGGGGCAGAACTAAAATGAGGCATAAACTTGGCAGAATAGATAGAAGTAAATGAAGAACTTGAAACATCAGTATCAATGAAGAGCAAGAGCTCTCTCAATCTCTGTGAGATATAAAATGTGAAAGACTCACAATATCTTTTTACATTTGGCAAGGAGCAATAATTACCCCAAAGAAATGAAGAGATAAGAATGGACATGTATCTCATTAGAGCTTAACACGTAAAAAACTTAACCAAATTGCTTATTAAGCCTCACAAATGTATGTAACATGGTTTAACGTTGTTTATATTAGTCATGCAAATACAAATTCCAACATCAATGCCACAAATAAGATGAGAATAGATAATGTCTTTATATTCTCGATAAGTTTGCTTTATCTTCCACCGTTACATAATTACTTATGAACTGATCATACAGATCCACCCCCGTCCAGCGAAATCCAAATAACATATAAAATAATATGAAGCAGGGGAGCATACAAACCACATAAAATTAAAACAAGTATTGAGATTATCTCATTTCTTTAAGAATAAAATTTACCCTTAATAAAGGGATTAGCCGCTTGTCATTGAGTTCACAATAATCTATAACTCTATCAACTTCCTTCACGGCACTGTACCCTTTGGCTATGAACTCCATTGCCTTCTTGTTTCTACTATGCATTCTTCTCTGTTATAGTAAGAGTAGAGACACGTATGAGGATAGAGCTAAAAAACAAAAGAAAAAAATGTCACTAAAGCACATAATTTGTTATGAACCTAAAAAAAACTCACCAACATATTGAACTGGGACAAAGCTGCACCCGTGTTGCATTGCTGAGCACAAGTCTTCCAAAGGTATGCTCTCAGCATTTCCTCTTACTGTGTGCAAAAGGGCGCAGGAACCTGGAACAAAATAACTCAAAATAAGGGGGAGGGAACAAAATTCTCTCCTAATGTTCACCAGCAACATAAACCAAAGAAAATTAAACACAAATGTGTTGAGAATCAATACAAATAATTCAATCTAATATTTTGTAATTTGCAGTATTATCTGTAGACAAAGTCCCAAGGCAAGAAAAGGGGTTAGGGCTTACTACCTATCAGATTATCAATACCCAAATGCAAAATTCTTCATTATTTGCATAAGACGAAGGTTTTAATACTTCAACAGCAGTCGATTTCTGAAAATTATAGCTAAACTGACTTCAATTAAACGATTTCAAGAACTTGAACCTTATTGCACCATATGTGCTCAAGCGTGACAAACGGGCGTAAAATTCCAATTGATTTGTAAACTAACACAAATAACCAAACTAGAAGCATAACCAACTTACTGCTAACAAAAGCACTTATAAATCCTTGATAACGAAAACATCAGTTGCAATTCAAAGAAACTGTATGCACCGGGACCAAACCTCGACGAAGGAAGGACGAAGGAGTCGAAGGTGACGGAGCACGGTAGCGCAGTGGAATAGACTTGCCCAACCGGTTTCGAACTGGCGGTTCGAATTTCCGGTTCACTTGTTTCCAACCGATCAAACCGAAACGGATTTTTTTACACGGTTTCAATTTTCAAACCGTTCAACCCGGCGGTTCAGAGTCTTTTTTTTTTTGTTATTATTAGTAGTATTTGTTTTTCGTAAAAGAATATAGAAAACTCACCGCCGCCGCCGGTTCTAACTCCGTCTTTTTTATTCTTCTTGCGTAGGTTATCCTTCTGTGGAGCAGCAGGTGAGGCGAAGCAGAAGAAAGGAAGAATGAGGGGAAGAAGAAGAAAGAGGACGAAATTTGTGCGGCAGCGACTGTGGATGCGAACAGGTTAGGGCAAAATGTTAAATTTGTAGTATGTTTTATAAGATTAATATATTATAATTATAATTATTTTATGTTGTTATATTTTTATATAAAAAAAGATATTATTAATAACAATTAACACAAATAATTATTTTTATGATATTGAACCAAAAAATTAATGATTTAATATTACTATTTTTTTTAAACTTTATATATATTTTTTATATTTAATTCAAATTATAATATTATTTAATATATTAATAATTTTATAATTTATTTTAATTTAATATCTAATTAATTATTAAATTTGTAATATCAATATTTTTCATCTTATAATCGATCTTTAGTAACTCCCATTCAAATACATATAACAAAATAAACATCCTTTCCAACTTTAAAAGTTTAAACGCAATACATGTAACTTTAGGTTTGAATTATTATTTATATAAATTTTATATTCTATTTAAAAAAATTGATATAGGAATTGATTTTTAATTAAAATTAAAAGAAAATTTTATAAAAATAAATAAAAGAAAATCGGCAAAATAAATATTATAACTTAAAAAGGTTCAAATTTAACAAAAAAATATTAGTATATATTAAAAAAAATATATATATATATATAAACTGTAAATTTATGAAAAATACACATAAAAAAAAGCTACATTATTTACATTATATTCTAATATTTTATTTTTTTATACATATTTGAAAGTTTTACTGTAAATATTTTTATTCAATATAAAAAATTTTGGTGTATATGATTCTTAATTATCGTTGTTTCTTACGGACAAGTATTAAATACAAATTTTACACTAATACATAGTGATCTTGTACCATAAAATAAAATATAATTAACATATTTTGTATACTTTGAGTGAAATATAGAAATACTACATAGGATTGTTTAATGTTTTATACTACTATAAATTAAAATATCGTAGTAATAATAATAATAATAATAATAATAATAATAATATAGGTGCATGTGTTAAAAGGTGTGGTGCAGATTGTGCCAAGTGTAGGGTGGTCGCGGCAACTTGATAATACGACGTCGGTTTCAGTTGCATCCCATCTGCCAACTTTTGGCTATCTTTCTTAAATTATGGCAGAGTTGATTTATACTAACTATGAATCATATTTTATCTGTTTTATGTCTGAAAATTTTCAAAGTATATTTCCAAAACAAAGCAAACCACGAATAAAATAATTAGTAAATTATTATAGATGTTATGGATGTATGCATGCAGTATGGAATTGTGCATTTAAGGATAGCCACATAAACTTTCATAATTGCAAACCAAACAATCCCTTACCTGTCAATCTTTATCCATGTTTTTTACTTTCACAAAAATTGACTCCTTAATTATGGTGCCATTCAATTATTTGGCTATGGCCTCAATAATTTTAGTAGGTACGGTAAGTTTTTTTTTTTTTTTAAAAAAAAACTAAATAAAAATAAAAATAATACTCCACTTGAAAGTACTTTTAAAAATATTTTCCATCGGCTAAAAATAAATTATTCATTTCTCATGTACTAGTAGATGAAGAACTTTACTATATATTACATATATTTTATATTTTATATTTTTTACATTAATATCATGACATCAAATTGAAATAAAAATAGTAAAAAAAAAAATTTATATACAAAAACTCAAAAAATATCGCAAATTATCATTAAAATATAATATTTTATTAATTTTTCCTCAAAAATTATAAATACTCATTGAATGGATGAAGAGAATAAAATAATATATGTACATACCAAACCATCGAGCCATCTAATTTCTGGTGTATTAGATGTAAAAAAAAAATAATAATTTATATATAAAGGATGTATCTAATTTTTATAAACTATTATATTTAAAAAAATGAATACTGTAGTATCATATTTTAAAACACATTATTATTATTATTATTATTATTATTATTATTATTATTATTATTATTATTATTATTAGTATTAGCAGCAGCAGTAGCATTTAGTTGTACTACACATTTACGTGCAGTGGCTTAGGGGAATATAGACATATTTTTGGTACCATTTATATATAGGTAGACACGACTAATTATCAAATTTGACGTATTAGCTTTATATAGTTATATTTTGATTCTTGTGAGTTGCAATAGTATAAAATGTTTATTGTGTTGTGTAAGATTATCCACACAAGTTTTCTGTGATAAGAAAACCTACAAAGTTAGATACGAAGGTATTAAGTTATGTTACAAAAAAATGATCATATACATGTGCAGAGTGGAAAATATATTTAGCTTAATTTAGACATGTCCTCTAAGATAACAACATTAAATTCAAATGTATAATAATAATAAAAAATTTGGGACAATTTCATGACATGAACAATATATATGGCTATGATACAATTGAAACTATATATATATAAGGATTTTTGCAATATTTTAAATATTTATTTATTTTTACATTTGACTAAATATGTCAACAGTCAACGCCATAACAATTGATAGTACACCAGAGACATCCATACGGTTATATTATGGTACAATGATAATACATAAAACTATATATTTATACTATACATTTTATAAATATAAAATATCAGCATATAATTTCACTTATCATAACAGGTATTGTGTCAATTAAAATGATATATTATTAAAATATTGATTAAGATAAATCAGCGTTAGACTGACAGTCTACGTGGAGAGTATGCATATAAGTAAAATAATGAAGAACCTACCAAAATATTCATGATAATCTGATAATTATTACTACTATTTAATTATTTGTTATGGATTGCAACGAACACTTTCTATTCTTGAATTCAAATAATTATTAATTACATAATCATAAATATATCCATTCACCAACTAACCAATTTTAGCATCAAATATCAATGCCCTTTCACTTGGTAAGAAATCAATGTGCAAATTAAGGAAATGACACGTGTGAGCACATCTTTTTAATTACCTCCTTGGCTACTAATTAGTCAATTATGAAGTTTTACCCAACCACGGTTACCCCCGGACTAACCACGGATAAGAAGCAGCTTTATATACGAACCTCCCCCAGAATATTTTAATCTAAAAAACAAAAAAATAAAATTTAAAAACAATATATAATGCTCGGAGAAAGAATCAACGGCTACAGATCAGCCCTTCGTCTTCCTCCGTGGATCTTCGCCGCAGACAGTCCGACGTCCTCCGTTTGCAGCCCCGCCGCCGCCGCCGTGGACGATTACTCCAATTTCTTCGGCGCCATTGATTCGCGATCGAGCGATCATTTTCACATGTTCGAGTTCAAGGTGAGGATGTGCACGAGCGCGAAATCGCACGACTGGACGGAGTGTCCATTCGCGCATCCCGGCGAGAAGGCACGCCGCCGCGACCCTAGAAAGTTCCAGTATTCCGGTGCCGTCTGCCCCGATTTCCGCAAGGGGAGCTGCCGGCGGGGGAGCGCCTGCGAATTCGCTCATGGCGTATTCGAGTGCTGGCTCCACCCAGCCCGCTATCGTACGCAGCTCTGCAAGGACGGCGTGAGCTGCACGCGCCGAGTGTGCTTCTTCGCGCACTCGGCCGAGCAGCTTCGAGTTTTAAGCCCCATGGCAGACCACAGTCTGCACCACCGCTTCTCCGCCGTGGACTACTCCCCGGAGTCCAATTCTCCGTCGCTCTCCTCGCCGACGATCGCCACCATGCCGGACTCCGTCGGCGAAATTTTAGCGCACCTGGAGCAACTGCAGGTGAGGAAAGTGAAACCCATGGCGGCGTCTTCTTCTCCGGCAACTCGAATGGCGAGAGGATATTTTGAGGATTGGGATCACGATCGGACTGTGAAGGTGCATTGGCAGGAAGAAGACGACGACGAGGCGGCGATGGAGAGGGTGGAGTCGGGGAATCATCTGCGAGCGAGAATGTTCGAGAAGCTGAGTCGGGAGAATCCGCTCAGTAGTGGAACCAACCCGGACCCGAACCCGGATGTGAGGTGGATATCGGAGCTGGTAAATAATTAATAGCAGAAAGTATTAACATTCAGACATAGCTTATAGTATAGGTGTGTTATGTGTGCTGTATAATAACTGGGCAGTTTTTTCTCTCTGTGTTCGTCGGAGTTAGGTATATACGATATGTCGATAAGATCAGGGGCAGGGATGTCATTTTACAATATCAAATATACGTATGTAAATTATCTATACCTACCGAATTAACATTAGAAATAATATTTAGGTTCATGCTTTGGTACATAATTTAGAAACACGTGCGTGGCTTAAAATCTCCCGCCATTTCCGTACCTGAAATTTTGGTATATCAAATTTCTTATCGGAAAACTTTAGTACATTTATCAAACTTTTTTGGTACTTACAAAAATTCAGGCGTGTTTGTTTTGTGTTAACTATACATGTGCTACTTATGAGTTTGAATAAAATTGAAATAAATTTGATATTAAAATAATATTTGATAAATATTTTGGAAGATAAAAAATATATATATATTTAAAAAAAGAAAATTTAAAAAGAAAAAAGGAACACACATGTTTAATGATACTGGATCACTCAACAAGCTCAGCCCAAGTTCGACCATTTAAATGGGTTTGGATCTGGGTATAGCAAACTGGCTCCGTCCACTCCAAATTCAAGTGGGTTTAATCCAGACTGAGCCCAGTTGAAACCATTGTAGACTATGTGTATATATAGTTAATAAAGAAATAAAAAAATAAACTTATATAATTTTCTTCTGACTTAAAGTAACGATTGACACATGTTTCTTTAACGAATTACTTTTAAGCCTATTTAGGTTAGACTTTAAACTCGATAAAAAATAAATTGAGGCACGAAAATATGGATACAGTGGATTGTAATTTCCGTTTATAAGATTACCCGTTACATGATATTTATATTTAAATAATGACTGTGATTGATTCATCATGCCATCAACATGGGATGTCCTCCCTCCGATCCCACATAATTTGTCTCTATTTTTTTTCGTCTGTCCCATATAATTTGTCCATTTATTTTTTGAAAATATAATTATACACTTTAATCTCATTTTAAATTTTAAATTTTATAATTTTTTTCATTTTAATTAAACTATTTAGTTATCTTAATCTTAATTTATAATTATTTTTATTATAAAATAATTATTTTATTAATATATTTTTTAATTATTTATTAATCATATTTTATCTAAATTTTCTATAATAGATGGGACAGGAAGTATTAAAAATAAAAGAAATCTATAAATCATCGGTCAATAGACAATAAATACAAGAATATACTATCACATCAGGTCAAATTATATTCCCTATCCAACTCGGAAAAGATAATATAAAATTAAAAATAAATAAATAAACAATCCGCCATGTTCACGAGTACAGTGCATATGAGAATCAAGTGGGCCCACATCCTAGTAATACGATTATTTCCTAAATAGGCCAAAATAATACTAAAAAATATTAATAAATAAATAAATAAATAAAGGGAAAAAAGCAGAAAATATGAAATGTCTGACATTCTTGGATGAAAATGAAAACCGGAAGAAATGTCCGAAGTCCGCGCTCTGGTCTCTCCACCTGTTGCCCCTTTCGCCACTTCTTGCCTCTCCACCTATACACGCATGCAAGCCGTACACGGCGCGACTGCTACGTTATACCTGTAGAGCCACCGCTTCGCAATTTTTTTTTTCCTCCATTTTTTTTTTTGGAAAAAGCTTTGAGTTCTTGATTGTCTGATGAGTTTTCATGGACGCCGACTTTTCGCGTTTTCTTTATCTCCCTTTTTTTCTTTTCCTCGCCTGTCTAAATTCTTCATCGTTTGGGTCCCGTGAAGATTTTTCCATAGTAGACTATGACCCGCAGTTCAAGATTTTCAAAGGGGATTACTCGCCGCCGACGCCCCCACCGCCGGCTCCGCCGCCGCACCCGCCGTCCGTCTCGTGCGAGGAATTGAAGGGCGTGGGGTCGCTCAACACCACCTGTGAGCTCAACTACAGCTTGAATTTCACGGATGACGTTTATGTGGAAGGCAAGGGCAATTTGTTTATTCTCCAGGGGGTTGCTTTAATCTGCCCCAAATTGGGCTGTTCGATTGAGATCAACATCACGGGTGCTTTCAGATTGGATTCTTCCTCCCAAATTGTTGCCGGGTCGGTTTATATTGTAACTGGGAATGCCAGCTTGGTTGGGAACTCTGTCATTAATGCGACGGCGAGGGCTAGCGAGCCACCCAATCCATCACCAGGGACACCCAACGACGCCCAGGGGAGCGGAGGGGGTCATGGGGGGAGGGGGGCGAGCTGTGTGATGGACAATAAGAAGCTGCCGGAGGATGTTTGGGGCGGGGATGCGTATGCTTGGGATACTTTGGAAACGCCATGGAGCTATGGCAGTAGAGGTGGGACGACTAATAGGGGTGAGGATTATGGAGGGATGGGGGGCGGGAGAATTTGGTTGGAGGTGAAGGAAACAGTGGATGTTCGTGGATCACTTTTGGCGGATGGAGGGGCAGGTGGGATCAAAGGTGGAGGAGGTTCTGGGGGCAGCATTTTCATCAAGGCGCAGAAAATGTAATGTATACTTTGCTTCAACCCTACTTCAGCTGTATGATTGTTGATATTTAACTTGTGTGTTGTAGGATAATGTTTTGTTATGTTTTTTCATGCTTTGTGGAGTCGATCTGATTATATCTGGGTTAACGTTCCATTCAAGTTTTGAGTAACTTTGCACTTGGGTACAATATTGTGTTGCAGCAAAGTAACAATACTATGTTGTCGAAACAAGCATCATAAGAATGCTTATAGTGCGTGATGAAGGCTGTTTATCTTCATCTTGTTTGAATTGTTGTGATCATCATTTTGTGGCTAATTTTATGAAGCCATGTGAATTTCATCTAATCTCTTCTGTTTCTTCGGAGAGAGTAGTACTTGGTTTAAGTAAATGATTCAGAGCATTATATTATGTTATCTTGTCATTTTCTTTTCCCATGTAGCTATAAGGTTAGTATCATTTTGTGGCTGAATCCATGTGTTACGCAGGATTGGAAGTGGCAAAGTATGTGCTTCTGGGGGGGATGGATTTGCTGGGGGAGGTGGTGGAAGAGTTTCAGTTAATGTCTTCAGCAGGCACGATGACCCCATATTCTTGGTACATGGTGAGACATGTTAGGAACAACACTGCATTACAGTTGACAGCTGCCAGTTACACTTTTTTGAATGCCTTATAGAAGAATGTACATATAACATGATTCAGGATTTCCTTGTAAAGTGTGGCCCAATTTTTGACAGGAGGAAGAAGCTTTGGCTGCCCTATGAATGCAGGTGCTGCCGGAACATTCTTTGATGCTGTTCCTCGAAGGCTTATAATTGATAATCAGAATATGTCCACGGATACCCACACAATCCTATTTCAATTTCCAAACCAGCCTCTCTGGACCAATGTTTACATTCAGAATTATGCTAGAGCTACCGTTCCTTTACTATGGAGTCGTGTTCAGGTCATTAAGCAAACAATCTTATTTCACACCATATCTTTCATCGAAGATTTTGCTGAGTTTTCATTTTGTGTTTTATTTCTCCAAGCTGATACACTATTGAGGCAACTGTTAAATGAGAGTATGGGTTGAGGAAAAATATCACAGTTCAGATGTCTGCAATTTGAGTCTTGCAGTTTCTGTTATTTCCTGAACTACAAAGATAATGGCATTGGTAATGAGCTTTTGTAAATATAAGAAAGTATGAAAATCATGGATCAGTCAAAAGGATTTGAATAGATGATTAAACATTGTATATATGGTTTTGAATCTACAATGCATTAGGAATTTCTATTTCAATACAGTTCTAGTTGTACTTTTACATTTCTTTAAGATGAATGGTCTTAACCATAAATGTGGCTTAATGTGTCACAGATTGTATTGATGCATTCTGAGTAAATGGCCGAAATATACACAAATCTAAAGGCTAGAGGGTAGTATGTGGGGCATTGAGCTCTATATCTATATTTATCCGGGAGGATCTGAAGGAGACATCCTTTTGGTTATAGAGGAATAGAGAGCTGGGTAGTTTAAAAAATTTCTAGTTACCTGGCTCCTGGAGCATATCCATTATAGTATCTTTCTTTTAACCAAAGGCATTTAACCTTTGAATTACTTGTGCCTCAAAGTTTACTGGCAATGACACCCCCTGCCAGTTAAGAGCGTTATTCTGCATGTGATGATTTACCATGTTACTTCTACTTCTATTGCTCCACCTGTGTATTTTATATTTTGTTTTAGATTATTTTGGATTTTCAATATACTGGTAGTTTGCCTTATTTGTTTCTTCTGTTCTTTAACAGCTATTCTATATCTGATTATCCACGTGCATTATAGTCATTAACGGTCTTACGCATTAATAGGTCAGAGGACAACTTAGTTTATCACGTGGAGCAGTTCTGAGCTTTGGTCTTGTGCATTACCCTCAATCCGAGTTTGAGTTAATGGCTGAAGAGCTTCTGATGAGTGATTCAGTAGTAAAGGTAAGTATCATAATACTTACTTTTTCTGTTTACTATTTTCTGATGTGTTGGGTTTGTTGCTCTTAAGCTGATATTTAGTTTATAAGGTAATGAATATACTTACTTGGACAAAATAGCATATCACTATGTAATATTATATCATATTCCAACTCTTTAACATCTGTTCTACGAACATCTGTTTTGTAGAAGCCATTGCATTAATGACAAGGTCGTCTAGGTTGACATGCGGTCAAAGAATGTGATAAATTTTACATGGTTGTTACCAATCTAGTTTCACAAAATATAATGACTCAACGAATAGCTTAGGGGAAAGTGAACTGATTGTTCTTGTTCACCTTCTGTAGCTGTAGGCCACTGCAAACTGTCACTAATACACTATACACCAGGTGAATATAAAGTAAATTCAACTACCCTGTGATTACCGTAGGCACTGACATGTATCTGGTCTGATGCAAGGAAGACTTTCTCAAACTGTTGAAATTCATCTTTATTCAGTTTGGTTTGATGATGTATCAAATTGATTTACTTTTAGGTTTATGGAGCTCTGCGAATGTCTGTCAAAATTCACTTGATGCTAAATTCAAAAGTTCTTATAACTGGTGATGGCGATCCAATTGTTGCAACTTCTTTCCTTGAAGCCAGCAATCTAGTTGTTCTTAAGGTAAGTGTCTACACAGCTAATTTTGTTTCGCAACCCTGACCTTTCTTTCTTTCTTTATTTTTTCACTCTTAGTTTTCATTTTGACATACTTTGGTGCCAGGGATCCTCCATGATACATTCAACTGCAAATTTGGGGCTGCACGGGCAGGGGTCATTGAACTTGACAGGGCCAGGAGATGTTATTGAAGCTCAACGTTTGGTTTTGTCCTTATTTTATGCTATCAGTGTAAACTCCTCAAACTTTAACTCTTTCTTTCTTTGGGAATACCAAATGATTGGGCTTCCTCTGATCTCTTTTCATGATAGGGTTTCTGAATCCTCTAAGCCAAACTATATAGTATCGACCAAGTTCTTTCTTATGTAGCATCTTTGGTTGACTGGAAATCCCACCATTTTTAACACAAAAAGCAGTAGAATGTGAAATTGTGAATATGTCAAAAATGTCTGTATATGTGCTAACACATACTGTCCTGTCATAACATTCTCAGACCCTTAGACAACATACTTGGGCATGAGCATGCTTGCACACCTTTCTAGGTAGTATTACCAGCCAGAGTTGCTCATCAAATTGTTGACCCCCTATGAACTGTAGAAGTTGGTACATCCTAACTTGTATTAATGCAAGGCAGCCTATGTAATATTAGCATATGCGTTAAGGAAAGATTTTAGCTCAACCATGGACCTCCTGGATTTTTCTGACCTAAGGTGGATACCAGTTATGCTAGAACCAACAATAAAGAATCAGGAGTTATGTGTGTCTGAAAGCTCTTTAATACCAGAAGCCTCTTCTCTATATCAACACATATTTTAGTTGAGGTGGCAATGGTAGTGAACTAAATTCGTGATGAATATAATACATTCAAATAAATAGCCCGATTAAAGAAACTGTCGACGTTAGTTTAGTTATAAACCATTATCTGCTCACAGTATTACTTCTTTTCATTTGAAGGTTGGTCCCGGATCTGTTCTTCGAGGTCCCTTGGAAAATGCAAGTAATTCTCACATGTCAGTGTTTAAGATACAGTATGCTATCTCTTGTATTTAATCTTGAAACTTCTTAGAAACTAATTTTCTTCTGACATTTCTAGGGCGCCAAGGCTTTACTGTGATGAGAAGAGTTGCCCTATTGAACTTATTCATCCACCTGAGGACTGCAATGTGAATGCATCATTGGCTTTTACACTCCAGGTGTTCCAATACAGATTCCAAGATCCGAGGAGTTAATTTGCTTAGTTCTTCATATTGATCATAGTAGTGTGTGCTTTAAACTCATTTAACAGACTTCTCTTATATACTGAGAAATTAAGGCACTTATGTTGCAGATATGTCGAGTTGAGGACATTATCATTGAAGGCTTGATAGAAGGTTCTGTAGTTCATTTTCACTTGGTCAGAACTGTGATTGTGAAATCTGATGGTGTAGTAGGTGCATCTGGACTAGGTATGCTATTTGTACTAATCATACGATGCTTCATGTTATCACCAAACAAGATGTTAGGCTCTTATACGCATGCAATTTTGCAGTTTTGGTTAAGTCTTCAACTTTCTCAAACAGGCTTCCCAAGCTATCTAGTTACTTTTCCTGACAAACTCATAATTATCCTGTTTTATGGGATCACTGTATATCGTATCTCAGACCTGAAATTTTAACTTGGAATGAAACAGGATGCACTGGTGGGTTGGGTCATGGAGAAATTCTACCTAATGGCCTTAGTAGCGGTGCTGGACATGGTGGTAGAGGAGGGGATGCATATTATGAAAGTAGTTTTATCAGTGGTGGTGCTGCTTATGGCAGTACTGAATTGCCTTGTGAACTTGGCAGTGGAAGTGGAAATAAGAGTCTACCTGGTTCGATTGCTGGTGGCGGCGTGATTGGTAAACACTCTACTGTTACTTTTGTTGTTTGTAGGCTTTTATGTGTGTTTCGGGATTTCATAGTGTGATGTAAGTACACTCAAGTTAATGTCACGTGGTGTTTGTTTTGTGTTCTAAATCATCACTAGACAATGATAAGTTTATGAATGCCTTCAGGGTTTTGTAACAACTTTTTCTCGGTAGTTTCACTCCTGTACAAATATGAAACACAGATCCTGCTTCAGTTACGGATGGTTTTCGAATTTTCTATGTTTTAGAATTAAGTCTTATTTGACTTTCTTATAGCGCTTGATTCATTAATTCATAAGATTTAGCTTTTAGACTGATTTATGAATGAAGCATAGAAGCTTGTTTATACCTATGTCATTTAATTTCATGCTGATTCTGTAAGTTTAATCTACAACTATTCACCTACTGATGCATTTTGCTTGTTTCCTCAAAAAGTGATGGGTTCAGTGGAGCATTCATTATCAAGATTGGTTGTGGAGGGAGAGATTAAAGCAGATGGAGAAAGTTTTGGAAAATATGTTGGGAAAGATAATGGTGTGGTTGTTTCAGATGTGGGACCAGGGGGTGGATCGGGAGGAACAATCCTTCTTTTCCTCAGATATTTAAACATCAATAGAACTGCTACAATCTCGAGCTCTGGAGGACATGGATGTGCAGATGGTGGTGGCGGAGGTGGTGGAAGGATTCACTTCCATTGGTCAGACATTCCCGTTGGAGATGAGTATATGCCAATGGCAACTGTTAATGGAACTATTACAGTCAGGTTTGTTTGCCAATGCAACCTTGCTTTGGTCATTAACACATGCATCTAGTGCAAATTAAGTTGGCATTATAACTGTTGTCGACATTGGTTGCGCCAAGACTTGTGAAATCAATAAGTTGCATTGGTTTTCATGAACCATGTTCATTCTCCTCCTTTTGCACTCTTCAACTTATCTTTTCTCCATTGCTGAAACCAGAGGGGGGATTGGTAGAGGCCAGGGGCAAGAAGGTGAAAATGGGACTCTGAGTGGAAAAGCATGTCCAAAAGGTCTATATGGCATATTTTGCGAGGTAACTTCTGTATTTGCTTTTGTGAACACACAAATGATGGAAAAATAGAAACTAGCTAGCCAGATAAGAATAATTTGGTTTAATTTGGTCTATTAGGAATTCGAATTGAGTTCAGACTTAAACTAAAAAAATTTCAACGGGGTAGACTCATTTTAATCCTTTAATTGTTATATACATCTTTACTGTAGTGCTTTTCCCAGATATAGAGTTACATTGCCAACATTTCTCTTTTCACTAGCAAAATTATTCAGCTATTGGGGAAAAATCATAAAATAGTAGAATTTCTAAATTAGTTAAATGGTTAGTATCAACTTGAGGTCCTGTGTTCCAATCTACACTAACTACCATTTAAGAAGAAGTATTTCATGTTTGACCAGGCAAGGTTCTATGAAAGAATCAGCTTATAAGAATGCGTCAATTTTCTTTGCAAGAAAGAGAGATTACATGAAAGAATGTCAAGCCTTTGTCTATACTAGTTATTAATTATATGCCTTCAGTCTTTGTGTTAGCGACTCATGCAATGCAAGGATCTATAATTTACATCATTACTGAACAATTCTCTATCATTATTTATGATCATAGAGACCAGTAAAGCGTATTGTCATCATAATCTTAAGATTTCACCCTGATATGTGTTGTCTAGATTTCCACTTATCCATATACAATTGTGATATGTATATTTTGGTACTTCTCATCATGTACATGGTTATTACCAATGGTGGTTCAAAACCTAATCAACTCTTAATGTGCATTCATAATGTAGGAATGCCCACTCGGGACATACAAGAACGTGACAGGGTCAGATAAAGAACTTTGTGATAATTGCCCATCTAATGAGCTTCCTCGCCGTGCTGTTTATATTGGTGTTCGAGGTTTACTTTCTTCCTTTGCAAATTTGCATTCCAACTTGTTATAAGCTCTAAATTTAATTTTGCCACATTTCCCTTATAAAGATAAAGATTGTTTTATGCACAACATTCCAACTTGTTATAAGCTCTAAATTTTAATTTTGCCACATTTCCCTTATAAAGATAAAGATTGTTTTATGCACAACATTATTTATTTATTTATTTCTTCTTATTATTATTTTTTATTGAACATCATTATGTTTTCTGTATTTACAGGTGGTGTCACAGAAACACCATGCCCATATAAGTGTTTGTCAGAGAGATATCATATGCCATATTGTCGTACTACCCTTGAGGAACTCATATACACTTTTGGAGGACCTTGGTTATTTGGTTTCATACTTTTAAGTCTTCTCATTGTTTTAGCACTTGTTCTAAGCGTTGCTAGGATGAAATTTGCTGGTGGAGATGAACTGAGTGTGGTTCCAAGCCGGCGTACCTCTACAATCGATCGCTCATTACCTTTTCTAGAGTCACTAAATGAGGTTCTCATATTATGCTGCATCTTCCATCAATAGTAGAGATTGGAAAATTTCTAGGCATTTATTCTCTGCCATTATGTATTTTATTCTCTGCAGGTTTTGGAAACTAGTAGAATTGATGAATCCAAAAGCCATGTGCATCGAATGTACTTTTTAGGAGCCAATACTTTCAGTGACCCTTGGCATCTTCTGCATTCCCCTCCGAAAGAAGTGAAAGAAATAGTGTATGATCTATATTTCTTGATAGTACACACTCATGCAAGTATTGTTGATATTGTTGATGTATCAAACATGTTTGTTGACTAACTGGATTGACTGTTCTCATGATTGTATTTAGGCGTGACTTTGCTATCTTGTGGTTTTGATAGATACGAGGATGCATTCAACATATTTATTGATGATTTGAACGCATTAGCTTCTTATCAGTGGTGGGAAGGATCGGTATATGGCATTCTCTGTGTCATTGCATATCCACTTGCATGGCATTGGTTGCAATGGCGTCGGAAGGAAAAAGTGAAGTACCTACGTGAATATGTGCGTTCAGAATATGATCATGCTTGCTTGCGTTCTTGTCGTTCTCGAGCCCTGTATGAAGGGCTGAAGGTATGTTCTTGTACAAATTTCCTACATTGCCTGGCCTTGCGAAAATACCTGTGCAAGAGCGCTTAGTTACAGCAGAACACCTATTGTAACATGCTTAACGTCTCAACAGGAGGAATCTATGGAATATAATTAAATATAAAAAATATAAAAAAATACATATGTATATGTTCATAGAATTCGATTAATAGCAATCTCAAGTTATGATAGTGATCTAGAGTTCTCTTATATGTTATGAACTTCAGGACTCGGGTATAATTTTCTATTTAGGAGAGAAGCATATTTGATGTTACTTAAGTGAAAAGATGAGTACATTGATAGGGGGAAATAGCCATTAGAAGCTACACTTAGCATAGAAATTCATATAAATACGGAGATGAGGGAAGATTAAAAAAAATAAAGCCAAAACGAGAGCTCCTCAGTGCCACAGGCACCATGTTTAGCGAAAAAATTTGCAAGACCGTTTGCACATCTGGGTATATTGATGTGAAGCTTTTGCTATTATAGCCAGCTTCAATATATTTTGACATTAATGCTTAGTCAAGAAACTGCTGCCTGCTATTGATTCAAGAGTGCCATTTTGGTGTTTCTCTATATCTATTTGCTTGAATATAAGCTGAAGTACTACCGTCTAATCAATGTGAGATTGTGAGGATTCCATGTTTGCTCTGTGCTTAGAATCAACAGTTGCTACTAATTAAAATGTTAATCTGATGTTTATATCATTAATATACTATATAATTATACTCCAAATCTCTTATCGCAACCTAAACATTATTTTATACCAAAACACTAAATGTGATATACTTATTTCCAATGCATGTAAAAAGTTTCAGCCATAATTACATGGAATCCTTTTGAATTCAAATATGATAAGAGGTCAACCTGCATCTTGTGCAACATGAGTTGATTGAATAGGGTGTGAGGTGCGCCATTGATTCGATTGCCTCAATACTTGGCAACTGACTTAATTGTAGCTAATAATACTACTTCAGAAAAGCACGGCCTTTTAGTATCAAAGCAATGTAGTAATCCACAAAATGAAATTCTAAGTATTATAAACGTTACCGGATGCTTATTGAAGCATGAGGACCAATGAGAAAGACTAAAGACGTTATACCTCAAGCAATTTTCTGGTCAAACCATAACAAAACCTGTAATGTGCTAGGGAACCTATAATTTCAGAGATAACATTAACAATTTGAACATATTTTTACGATACATGATCTTGTGATTCAAGTCTCTTGACATCATAGGTTGGGTATTATATCCGTGAACTTTTTCACATGACATTATTCATTAGCTTTGTTGGAGCAGCACTGCTACTTCATGAATGAACAATTCAAGTTGAACTTGTTTTACATGTGAATAATTCTCTGCATCAATCTTGACCTATATCGCGTTGGATGAAAATTTATTGGCTTTTCAATTCTGTTCACGAACAGGTTGCTGCAACTTCAGATTTAATGCTAGCATATGTGGATTTTTTCCTTGGTGGAGATGAAAAGAGGACTGGCCTCCCACCACGCCTGCACCAAAGGTTTCCCATGCCATTAGTGTTTGGAGGAGATGGATCTTACATGGTTCCTTTCTCCCTTCACAGTGATAATATTCTGACTAACCTAATGAGTCAGGTATGCTTTTAAATCATTGAGATCCAGTTTGTAAACAGAATATGAATTTATAATCTATTTAGGTTTCTACTGGTTTATGGAGGTTCCCTTCCCCATTCAAATTCTCTTTTATTGTAACAGTCCATCCCACCAACAATTTGGCACCGACTAGTGGCTGGTCTTAATGCTCAACTTCGTTTGGTTCGCCGGGGACATCTAAGAACAACTTTTAATCCAGTTATCCAGTGGCTTGATACACACGCAAACAGCAGGTTGCGCTCTCATGGCATACGGATTAATTTAACTCGCTTTCAACCTTCTGCTAGTGGATATTGCCAGTTTGGGTTAGCCGTAAGTGCACTAGAGGATGAAAATGCCCATTCATCTAGTCAGGGGCCACATGTGTCTTTATTAGCATCTAAGGATGCAAGGTAATTCACTATCTGGCTTTCCCTCAATAAAGTCACTCATCGTCTTGTTTCCTATCTCTCTCTCATTCCATTTTGTCTTGGTTAAACTAAAATGCAGTTTGCCGGCTAGTCGCTGGAAGAAAGCACTGGATCTTGTCAGAATCAGTGAACAAGCACTGATGCAAAAGAAGATGTGTGGCGAAACTGTAAATGATAAGAACATTCATAAACTGGATGGCGGATTAACATTAACTTATCCTTTCTACTACATAATACGTAACATCAAGCCAGTTTTTCATCAGGTAAATGAGATCTAGCCCTCTCAGTTGAATCTATTATTTTTATTCTGGATGACGGATTAACATTAACGATTCTTTTCTCTCTGTACTGCCTCTTGGATCATTTGCAGGATCTTGTTGGTTTAATCATCTCAGTACTTCTTTTAGGAGATTTTAGCTTGGTCTTGCTTCTTCTGCTTCAGCTTTATTCCATTTCTGTAACAGCTCTTTCATTGGTTTTGTCGATCTCTCCTCTTGGCATACTATTACCATTTCCAGCTGGTATTAATGCATTATTCAGTCAGGGGCCAAAGCGATCGGCTGGACTTGCACGTGTATATGCTTTGTGGAATATCAGCTCAGTGATTAACGTTGTAAGTGGGAATTTACTTTCTCCTTAAATACCTAATAGGCTAATAGTATAGTACACGACATTCAGGTTACACGTTTCTGGGCAGTATAATTTCGGCATGAGGTCTGATTTTCAATGGATCTGCATGGCGACAAAGAGTATAGAAATCTTAACATTTATTTATTTTCAATTGATATGGACCAGATTGTTGCGTTCATATGCGGAGTGATACATCTCAAGTCTCAATCTTCCAACAAAAGACATGCAAACTTTCAGACATGGAATTTTAGCATGTAAGTAGCCGTTAACATTTGTCGACAATTTCATCAAGTTTTTCCAGAAACTACCTTATGATCATCATTCATCTGTAGCATAAAATCTTGTTATGGTGCATTCATTAATGGTGGTGGTGGTGATGATCAGGGATGATAGTGGTTGGTGGATGCTGCCTTGTGGTCTTTTCCTCTGTAAATTGATTCAAGCACGCCTGATCGATTGTCACGTTGCTAACCTCGAGATTCAGGATAAGTCGTTGTACAGCAGCGACGCAGAAGTATTCTGGCAATCTTGAACCATCCGGCGGATTCAGAATATCCCTTCTGTTCACTGAAAATTTTGTTTAGACACCGGCGGGTTTATGGTCACATTTTTAGTTTCTATTAGTTTTGATTCGATTTAGATTTGGCTATGTGAATATGGTTTGAAAAGAACACATTGGCTGCTGGGATACTCAAATTACATCTTATTCAAATCCAATATGTTTTTGGAGAATGCAGCAAAAATTTTGAATCCCCAGCAGGAGATGAGATGAGAGCTGAAGCAAAAACCCATCAGGTTAAATTTTGATGGAGTTTTTCTTTACTTTTTTACAGTTTTACACCTCCCCCAACTTTGTTTGTTGTAATGTACTGTAATATTTATTTACGTTTGTACAAAATTGGCACAGACCGCAAAATCTGCAATGGGGTGCTGCTGTTAGATTTGAGTTGATTTGGGTTGGAAACTTCGGAATCACGTGGTACGCACGTTCGACCTAACGCTTGTAATTACTGCATGGTATGGCAGGATCATTAGAAGAAAAAAAACAACATAAAACATGCGGATAGAGTTGACTGTATTCCAAAGAGGCTAAAAATAATTTTTTAGTTGATATGTAAATAAAAAATTAGTAGATTAGGTTATATAAAAAAAAATAAGCTTTTCATTATATAATTTTAATTCATAATTTTTGGAATTGGTTATCGGCCGTATGAGTTTTATTACGGGCTCAATGGTCGTGGGCTTAAATTTGGCCTTGACAAATACTAGACTTGATGAGGTTATTATATTCGAGATTTTAATTATAACAATAAAATATTTGGTTGAATTTGAAGTCCAAATTTGATTGGACAAAAAATATAATTACTTGCATACACAATTTGAATTTTATAATTCAAATCGACACATTGATGACTAAAATTAATAGTTCGTCGAAACTCCATAATATTGAATTGTTTTAACTCATTTTATTCGTGAGGTACTATATAATCCGAAGATGGAAACTCCATAATATTGAATTGTTTTAACTCATTTTATTCGTGAGGTACTATATAATCCGAAGATGGATATGTTCGTTGTGGGGGAGAGATTTTTTTTTTTTTTTATTTTGAAGTAATTATCAAATCTTATTTTTGATAAATATTTTGATATTCTTGCAGTATAATTAATTTTTCAATACTTCACATGCATCCATTCGAAATCAAACTCGGATCGATGATCATTAAATCTAGAAGTCTTGACTAATATATGCAGCTTATGTAGATTAAGTGATGACTATCCAATCCATCTTTTTGAAGGGTTGGTTTGATAGTAATTTTAATTTCAAATCGTTAATATTTATCCGCATGATTTTTAATAAAACTTAAAACCAATATTCATATCAAATTAGTTTCAAATCAAAATTAAAATTGTGTTTAGTTATGAGATTTTGATGTTGATTTTACTATGTCGAATAAACACACTCTTGATTGTTTCTCAATCTCAAATTCCACTTTGAATTTAATATTTTTCGAGTGTGTCCATCTTTATTTATTTATTATTCAATTATTACGACTTTCTACAATTATACATTAATTTTTCTATTAAAATATCTATATTCAAATAAAAACAACCACCAAAGTTCATAAAAAATCACAAACACAATATCATTTTCTGCGTTTTAATTGCGTACACGGGATGCACATCAGTGGGACCCCACCCCACCCCGCGCCCCCCCCCCCCCCCACCACTAATAAATATCAATTATCTAAGACTAACTAATAAAATATCAATGCCCTGATGATAAATATCATAATTTTATAATTACACTTGTATGGTTGGGTCATACAAACTCAATTTATTTCTTCGTTTGTTTTTTGAGATCTATATTATTGTTTTTTCAGATTTAAATTATTGTTGGGTCACTGTATAATGCGATGGCTATATTTGTACTGTCCCTACGCATCGTTGTCATGAAAGTTTATTGGTGCCCTTTTTCTTACAAGTCACTGCACAGACAAGTGGGGAACTCGTTTTGTGTGGTGAAGATTGCTTCTGATTCCGGACAAAAGGCAGATGCCCCACTCGATTGGCCGGACAGATTGCCGAAATGCTGAGTTCTGACAATTTTATCGAAGAGCTTCTTCTTCCGGCAGAGTATCTCACTCCATCTCTATCTGCCATTAATTACCATATATACACGTTCAACATATGCCATTAATTTGCAGGTAAGAACAGATAGAGAGGAGTAGCTGTGTGGAGATCAATCCATTTATGGAGGAGAGATTAGACAACGATCCACTGCTTGTAAGTGACGGACATGGGGATTATCATTCAGGCAGGAAAACGAGGAGAAGGATTTGGTTCCTTTTTCTGGTACTCGTCTTTCTCGCCCTAACAACATGTAAGTCACTCGCTTTATTACACTAATTTGCTTCAGTTGGTCCTTAATTTCTTGTTTGATCTTAGGAGTCATCGATGATTCGATGATTCTAATGCCCAATCCTGCTTCCTGTTTATTTTGCAACTGTTAGAATTCTAAGGTTAACCAAATTAATTCATATGTTTTTTTTCATTTCCCCTTTCAGACCTCGCTTCGAGGTCAACTGACTTCCGAAGAAATGGCGACCACTTCTTATTACACTTGGCATATAAAGACGTTGTCCAGTCACCACATGCCGTCGTCGCCGCCGACGACGGCCGCTGCTCCGAAATCGGCATATCCATTCTACAAAACGGCGGCCACGCCGTCGACGCTGCCGTCGCAACTGCATTGTGCCTCGGCGTCGTCAGTCCGATGTCCAGCGGCATCGGCGGCGGCGGCTTCATGGTCGTGCGATCCTCCGCCGCCTCCGGCGCCGTCGCCATCGACATGAGGGAAACTGCTCCGGCAGCTGCTTCACAGGTCGTCACATTTCCCCAACCCTAATTCCCTCCTCAAGTCCTCATATAATTAATCAATCCATTAATTATTTAATCTCCATCTCCATCTCCATCTACCTACAGAACATGTACAAAGACAATGCTGAATCCAAATACGAAGGACCTCTATCCATGGGAGTTCCCGGGGAGATCGCCGGCCTACACTCTGCCTGGTCGAGATACGGCCGGCTGCCATGGAAGGCCCTGTTCGAGCCCGCCATCAAATTGGCAAAAGACGGCTTCTTCATAAGTCCTTACACGGCATCAAAACTTTCCAACAATGCCGACAAGATAATGCGCGACCCCGGCTTGCGTGGAGTCTACGCTCCAAACGACATTCTCTTGAAAAGCGGAGACATTTGCCATAACGTGCAGCTAGGAATCACCTTAGAGGCCATAGCAGAGCAGGGACCGGCAGCCTTCTACAACGGCACAGTCGGGGAACGACTGATCAAGGACGTGGCGAAAGCCGGGGGCATCGTGACAATGGACGATTTACGCCGTTATCGAGTTAATGTCGTCGATGCCGTTACCGTGAACACCATGGGTTACACTATATACGGAATGCCGCCGCCTTCCAGCGGAACTCTTGGCCTTTCACTGGTGGGATGGCCTTAGACCTTTTCTTTTTTACGGCAATAGAATTGATCTTTCTTACATTGTGTTGCTGTAATGATGCCGCAGGTTCTGAATATATTGGACAGCTATGGAAGCCGCGACGCTGCTGAAGGTCCGTTAGGACTACACCGCATGATCGAAGCGCTGAAGCACATGTTCGCTGTAAGGATGGATCTCGGGGACCCTGCTTTCGTGGACATAACTAAAACTGTGTCCGAGATGCTTTCGCCTGCCTTTGCGAGGAAAATCCGGGAGAGAATACTCGACAACACGACATTTCCACCCGAGTATTACATGCATAGGTTTGTATAGCACGGATAAGGTTGTCCGAATGTATATCGAGTTGGTTCTAAAAGTTTGAATTTTCGAGGTTCCAGATGGAGTCAGCTAAGGGATCACGGGACAAGCCATTTCTGCGTGGTGGATATGGAAAGAAACGCTGTCTCGCTGACAACAACGGTGAATTATCCGTTCGGGGCCGGAGTTCTTTCCCCGTCCACCGGGATCGTTCTCAACAACGAAATGGATGATTTCTCGGTACCGGCCGATGTAACGCCGGACGCGCTCCCGCCTGCTCCGGCGAACTTCATTAGGCCTAACAAGAGGCCCCTGTCTTCAATGACGCCCCTCATTGTTCTAAAGGTTGTTCATATCAAATGATTACTACATTTAAGGTGGGAACAAATTTGGTTTATGTGTTTTTGGGTTTTCAGGACAATCAATTAGCAGGGGTGATTGGAGGCAGTGGTGGTCTGGACATTATTCCTGGAGTCGTGCAGGTCTTTTTAAACCATTTCATACTTGGAATGGAACCTTTGGCAGCTGTTGAGAATGCAAGAATCTACCACAGGGTACATCGTTTTCCGTTGATTTCTTTTCTTTCTTCGTAAACTGATTTTTTATTTTTATTTTTACATCTTACAGCTGATTCCTAATGTGGTGTCATATGAGAACTGGACAGTGGTGGATGGGGAGCATATCGAACTTTCTGAAGAGAAAAAAGAGTTCTTGAGAGAAAGGGGTCATGAGCTGAAGGCCAAGGCAGGGGGGGCCATTTGCCAGCTGGTGGTTCAGAATCTTACCGACACTGCCGCCGGAGAGAGGGGAGACAATGTGATCCGAGGTGTGCTGACGGCGGTAAGTGATCCCAGGAAAGGCGGCTGTCCGGCGGCTATTTGATGCTGTCCGTACACGGCAAAAGGTATCTATTTTTATCCGGGGATCTTCTTACCTTGTTCCAGTCCAGGCACTTTTTAACCATGTGCATTGATACGAGGTCTGATGATCTTAATGTTTATGTTAGACCAGAAAAGACAGACCAGTTTCATTTAGGATTGACTGTGCCACGAGATTGATTAATTTAGAACAACTTTTTGTTTTATTTCGTTTTAATTTATTTAGTAAAAAATATAATTAAGCCTATATATATATATGGGGGGTTCTCTAGTTTTCCGTTGATAGCTTCGGTTTGGTGGCAAGAAAAAATGATTTTTCTTTGCAGATCAATTAATTCATTGAATCATCAATAAAGTTTTCTCATACCTCTCCCAAAAGTCAAAAGGAATGCAAAGCTGTGATTGATTACAATACATTGTCCACGAGATAGATAGATAGATAGATAGGGCCACATCTGTCTACCATAAATATAGTTTAAGACATGATTCAAAATTGCAGAACAACAGTAATGCTTTTATAAACAAGACGATAAACCGTTTTCATAATCTCAATAGCCGCCAGCCAAAAAATTACAGCAAACACTCAACACATGCTTAGATACACATATATACGTATATATATCTATATTATATGTATGTATAAATTATAGCATGAGCTCTGTATCCATGCCGACTTGAAAATCATCATCAAAGTAGCAAAAATCCAGCAGCTGATCATCGCAAACTTCTTCTTCTTCTTCCTCCTTTCTGCAGCAGCTCTGGAAGCTGGGCTGGTTCGTCGACGACAGAAGCCGCGCCCACATTCGATCCGTCGTCACGACTTTCTTCTGCCCCTCGGTGATTTTCTGCAAATACATAAACTCTGTTTTCAGTATCAGGCAATTCAAAAGTTAACAATTGATTGTATCTTGGCGTGTGCACTCACATAGAATGGTATATAAGCATGCTTCCCGTTCACTGGCCCCACCGTGAATCCCGTGTATCCTGCCATTGCTCCGTGCACGGCGCTTTGAGCAAGCAGCGTGCAGTAGACGTTGTCGGATGCATTGCTGGGAATGGCGCGGATCATATACGTCGGATCTGAAAAAATTTTGTTTCGAAACATCGTTAGGCGAGACGAGTACTTAATCGAATACTTGCAGCAATTCAGTTTCACTCACCTATGTATTTGAGATTAACTATCATCTTCCTTTCCTTGGTGAAATAGTCCTGAAAAAACGCAATCAGAAGAGAATTGCAACAACTGTATGCATAAACAGGATGGTGACATTGTCTAACCTTAATCCGCTGCGATAACCAGAGCCCGGCGTCGTCTAGAAGCTTGTTTCCGGAAGCATCTTTACGCTCTTCGGATCGGATACTCTTACAGAGTAGCTCTTGCCCTGCACCTTCAGCCATGACAATAACGGCATGTCCATTTTCTTTGATTCGTTTCTCGATGTACTGAAGAAGCCCGTCGGATCCTTCGAGATAAAACGGTGACTCTGGAATGAGGCAGCAGTCGACATCTCGGCTAGCAATGGTAGCATACATAGCAATGAATCCTGCAAGAACACAAGATCAGAGGATTAGTAACAACAAGACAACGATCGATGATGTTTTAACAAAGGACTTGCAAGAACACCCACCGCTGTATCGCCCCATTAATTTCACAAGCCCGATGCCATTCTCGAAGCTCGTGGCTTCAACGTGCGCTGCATTGATAGCTCGCTGAGCCTCCTCGACCGCAGAATCGAATCCAAACGATTTGTCGATAACCTGATGAACCAGAAGTTAGGTCAGCAGATCAGATGAACACAAAATTTAACATTGTCCAATTGATGATGGAGAGTGTACCAGAATGTCATTATCTATTGTTTTGGGGATTCCTACGACCGCAATCTTAAGCCCGCGTCGCCTAATTTCCTGCAGGATCGACGACGGATAGTAAGATAAAAACATTGCATCAAAACATATACTATAAAGAAGATCTAAATGAAGTTAAGAAAGACCTCATAAATCAGAGATGCTCCTTTTTGAGTCCCATCCCCTCCTATTATGTACACTTGATTAAAACCGCGATCTTCGATGCTGTCGACTATCTTTTTAGTGTTGTGACCGCCGCGCGATGTCCCTAGGAAAGTTCCTCCACGTTTGTGAATGTTATTGACCGTTTTCGGAGTTAGAGGGACGGTGTTTTTCGAGTAGAAACCTCGGTATCCTCCCTGCAGGGAGGACAGAAAAGTTCATTGTAATAATCTTGCAACATAAGATCCCTGCAACTTTTTCGAAGCTGTAAAGGAGCTAAGCTTACATCTATTCCGTAAACTCTGTTTACACCATACATGTGATGCAGACCGCAGACTATTTCTCGGATAACTGTGTTGAGGCCAGGGCACAAGCCTCCACATGTGACGATACAAGCGCGAACCTCGTCCGGCTCGAAATAAACCTGAAAACCAATACCATTTGTCTTAAACTTGAAGTGGATAACATTAAGCTTTCATATCATAGTGATCGCATGTTTGAATTGGACATACTTTTTGTCGAGGGCCGGCTCGTCGAAAGTGAACCCCTCTTTTGCTATCCTTACGAACAATAACCTACACAAGTATATAACAGAAACATCAAAAAAGGTAACACAGATTAGACTAAACAGGGGATTTGATTTAATAAAGAAGTGTTACAGTTTGGGCAACTGTGTCATTAATGTCCACGAAATATTGCCTGTCGAGAAACAGAGGATTGAATCAAAACCCTAGAATGGAATGATCACTGCATAATTGAATCATTGATCGTCAAGATGATGCGAAATTAGTTACCTAACAACCGAGTAAGCAGGATTGTCTTGCAATGGATTAAGATAAATCTGTCGATCGAGGATAACAAGACAACATCAATATGAAGAATCTTGATTTCAAGATTTTCGTAAAAATCAATAATATATATATCTAGAGAGAGAGAGAGAGAGAGAGAGAGGCGTACAGGAAGATCAGGGATGTAATCAGACAAGTGCGGGACATCCTCGAGGAGATAACCAAACTCTCCCGCCACAATCTTAGGCTTCGACGAAGCAACCTCTGTTCGTGAATTCGGACACCGATCGTCCCTCTTCAGAGACTTGTGATAATCGCCGGCGGCGGCGTACTCCTTCAGCACGGCGGCGTTCACAGCACCGCCGCCAACAGGATCAGACAGAGAACCCATGAATCTGACGCAATCGAAACCTCGTGGACACGAAATTTAATCAAATTTGGAAATACCTAATGCCAAATCTTGCTCGCTTTTTCCTATATATCCTACGACGCACCCTAAGCCCCAAGTTTTTGTCGCTTAGCTTCGAGAAGTTAGAGAAGTTTCTTATACGAGAATTTTCTTTGTTGAGAATGTAGTGTCTTATTTATAAAGCCGTGGGCTCAATGTGGGGGAGACGAGTGGCGCCAAATAAAAGATCGCCGTTAACAGATCACGGAAACGTGGCGCGCCTGTGGAAAAAATATATAAATAAAAAATAAGAATTAGTTAAGAAAGTGGAAGTTTCCGCGTTATATTTGGACGGACGTTATAATGGAATTTGTACGGTTGAGCAATTTTGAAAAATCGTTATTAAAACGTGTTACGGCTTGCCCCTACGCATAGTACGGAAGGCAATTAGATTAGGAAGAGGTTTTCGAATTGTAGTAGTATTATAGTTAAGTATATCAAATTAAAAATATTCAACAACAATAATAATAATAATAATAATAATAATAATAATTAATATTATTATTATTATTATGGCAATATGTCAAATAAGTTGTTAAAGTTGTAGTAGTATACTCCAACTAATGAAGTGAAGGAATCTTGGAATATCCAAAGGGATATTGTTTAGTGAATGTCGGGAAAAGGAATCATTAGAGGCGTAAAACAGCACAGAGTAGAACCTTTGACAATTTGTGTACTGTTGCGAAAACGATTGATCGAATGGTTGTTTTGACTTTTGACTTTGGGTGTGTTTACCTAGGGTGCTTTGTTTTGGAGATTTGGATTTTTTATTAGAATTTCAATAAAAATATTTGAATTTAAAACGAATATAACAAAATGGAATAATCGACAAAGAAAAATAAAGTAAATTTATTTTAATTTTTAGGGAAAATACATCTCATCTCATTAAAAGGGGTAAGAGCTAAGCACTTTTCTATTTAATCAATTGAGGAAATTTCTTTACTCAGTGCACATTTTCGGATAGCGACGGTTAGTTTTCACGTCATAAAAAAATTGAAGAAATTCCCTAAGTCGCTATTTCAATAAAAGAAAATAATACTAATTAAAGAACACACTTTAATTAAGAGTTCGAAACACTAAAACAATTGTAATTATTATAATAATTATAACTAGAATTCTATATTATATATTTATGTAATGTAATAATAAATATTTTATCCGTCCCAAGTTATATTTACTCTTGGTACAAATATTAGAAAATATTGGGTTTTAATGATAATTTATAGTATTTTGGGTTAAATGACAAATTTATTCATATAAATTTATTTGTGATTTAATGATATTTGTATATAAAAATATAATTGAAATGATGTTTGTAATAAACAGTAGAGTATATAGTTACTAAATAAAAAAATAAAAAATATTAGTTAAAATTGATGAGAGAAGGAGAAGCTAGAAAAATGAAGAATTGTCTTAACATGAAAACACAAAAAACATCACCATTTTTTACCACTGTGACTTTTCTGTCGGAGCTGATTTACAGGATATTATTCGGCTAAGGGTTTATCCAGTGCGAGTAATGATTGCGGATTTTCACGTCATAAAAAATAATAATAATAAATTTGGATTGGATTGGATTGAGCATAGGGAATGAGCATCCATAAAGTGAATAAACAAATCCTATATTTTCCTATAAAATTAATATGTAAACAGCCCGGCTCAATTCCAAGATAAAAGGGTCTTGAACCTATTTTTAGTGATTAGGCCCAAATTGATTTCACATTAGCACCGAATAAGCCCAAACTGAGGCAGTATGCAATTTTGTTCCTGTTTCAATTATATGCCTTTTGTTTATTTACTTTTAAAGTAATAAATTATTAAAATAGTTTCTATGAAAATAAAAATTAAATACAATAAAATTCAATTATATAAAAAAGAGATTATATTTGTAACACTCATTTTATTTATTTATGTGTTTCTCAAAAAAGACAGATTTGTGAAGAAGAACGATTACACAATTTTCAGGAGATTAATTAGTTAGATTTAATAAAAATAGGGGGTGACGTGTCAGCCGTACCTGTATTATATATTTCCTCTCTAGTGGTGGGATCCTCATTCGCCGCTCTCCTCTTCCCCATTTCCTTCCCTTCCTTCCTGCAGCTCAAAACCCTCGTACCGTAAACGCACATTCTCCGGCCGAACTCGCCGATCCACCGTCGCGCTTTCAATATGTACCGTCTCAGGGCTCTCAAGGTCTGGAATTCTCTCTCATCTATTAACCACTCGTGCTGCCGATTAGTGTTTTGGCTACTCGACATTTCTGTGTTTATATCTGCCTTGTGTTGCGATTTCGCGTCTTAGATCTGTTGGATGCTTGGGGATATTACGTGTTTTTTGGCGGTGATTTTTATTTCTGTGTGGGTTGAAATTTTTGAGAGTCTGTCGTTTTATAGGATAAGTTAGATATTTATTTTTTTGTTTGATTTTTGACACTGGAAGATTTGAGTAGAATGATAAATGATTGATGTGTTGATTTGTTTTTGCAGTTGTTTGATACGTATGGGTAATCATTCTGCTTGACGTAAGCCGTAGGGTTAGGCCATATAAACTTTGTTGATGTTTGTTTCTTAGATTAACATTTATCAATCATTTATCTGTCTCTGTTTATTTTGTTGATCAAAGCCGCTTGTGTCTGATTCAAATCATAAGTTGCTCAATGGAGTTTTTACATTTTAAAATTTTCTCATTGCATTGATCTTTAACTTCCCGTGTATGCCAGAGCTAGTGTGAAATGCATAGTTGCATTGAGTTCCTTTGGAAAGCACTATTTCTTAAGCCACATTATTTCTATGCCATATTTTGGAGTGTTTACTGCCTCAAAGGGACAGTAGAGAATTGGGTGATTGCTTATGAATGGCAATATTTTTCTCATTGATTTTCTCCTAATAGGGTCGAACAAAGGGATTGACTAGATATGCCAGTACAAGTGCTGTTGCAGCCAAGTCATCCTCAGGGGGCTTGTTTAGTTGGTTGACGGGTGAGAAGTCATCTTCGCTTCCACCTCTAGACTTCCCACTGAAAGATGTTGTTCTCCCCCCTCCACTGCCAGACTTTGTCGAGCCTGGAAAGACCACAATAACCACTCTTCCAAATGGACTCAAAATTGCTTCTGAAACATCAGCGGTATGTGATCTCTATATGGTTTTTCAATATTTTGTTTTTCTAGAGGTGTTTGTTATTTATATTTGGCAGACAATGTGGATAATGATCAATTGAACTTGTTAACAGAACCCTGCAGCTTCAATTGGGTTATATGTCGACTGTGGCTCAATCTATGAAACTCCAGATTCATATGGAATCACCCATCTATTAGAGCGAATGGCTTTCAAAAGTACTACCAACAGGAGCCACTTGCGTATGGTGCGAGAAATTGAGGCAATTGGTGGCAATGTTACATCATCAGTCTCGCGGGAGCATGTCAGTTATACCTATGATGCACTAAAATCCTATGTTCCTCAAATGGTAGAGCTTCTTATTGACTCTGTTAGAAACCCTGCATTTTTGGATTGGGAAGTCAGCGAACAGGTATGTGTATTTTGTCTTTTCATGCAAAATCATAATTGGACCTTCTTGCTATTTCAAATTTTTTGTAAGGTGTCTGTAACTGTTTGCAGCTCAAAAAGTTGAGTGCTGAGATTAGTGAAATCTCCAAAAATCCTCAGCACATGCTTCTGGAGGCCATTCATTCAACAGGCTATTCTGGTGCATATGCAAATCCGCTTGTGACTTCAGATGCTGCACTTAGCAGATTAAATAGCAATATTTTAGAGGAGTTTGTCGCGGTGAGTCTCAAACTTAGCAATGTTGTTGTGATGATAGAAGTACCCATGATTCTTGAATCTTTCTTCTTATACTTTTGGTTAACTAAATTATATCCATTTATTACAATAATCTCTTCTACTTATTTATGATGTGGCTTAGGAACACTACACTGCTCCTAGAATGGTCCTTGCAGCATCAGGTGTGAACCATGATGAACTTTTAGAACATGTAGAGCCACTTCTAGCCGATATGCCTAAAGTTTCTCGACCACAAGAGCCAAAGCCAATTTACACAGGAGGTGATTATCGCCATCAGGGCGATGCAGGGGTGTGTATTGTAAATATTTTTCTATGCATTTCTGATGCATTTTTCTTAAGCTTGATCTGAAAATACTGGTGTTTACATGTGTTACTGATTCTGCTTTTGATCAGATAACTCATTTCGCACTTGCCTTTGAACTTCCCGGTGGCTGGATTCAGGAAAAGGATGCCGTCACATTGACTGTTCTTCAGGTTCATTAGCTTCTTACCTTTTCATCAGCTGTTATGAACTCCTTATGGGGCCCCATCCCCAATATGAAGCCAAAAGCAGACGAATTGATAATATTCAGATAGAATTTTGTTTTCAGGTTATCTTCCCCCATTAATTGTGTATTCTAATTTAATGGTGTCTGCCCATTTGATTATGTCAGATGCTAATGGGAGGAGGTGGATCATTCTCAGCTGGTGGTCCTGGGAAAGGGATGTACTCTAGACTGTGTAAGTTCAATTTGTTGGTATGGAAATGAAGTGCAGAACATATTATACAACTCAATTTTAATTGTTTGATGTTTAATATAATCAGATCTCCGTGTCCTGAATGAGTATCCTCAGATTCAATCCTTTTCTGCATTCAGCAGCATTTACAATCATACTGGATTATTTGGGATTCAAGCTACCACTGTAAGGAGCTTATATGAACTCTGTTCATAATTTTTTTCTTCTTGAAACTTTGCTTTGATAGTTAAGATGGCCTGGCTGTTATTGGAATATTTATGATGAGATTGGTTATTTTGCAATGTGCTTTGAGGCCTGGATTTTATTTAAAACAATGCTTTTCTGCTGAATGTTGTGTTGGTAAGATGATGTGTTCCTTTACTTTCTTGTGTTTCAATTTGGCTAGAGCTAGTGCATTAAGAAAGTGATGCAGTTTAACCTTTTAAGCATTCTTGAGCTGTAGGCCTGTCATATATGATAATTTGATGCAACCGATATTTTGAAGACAATTAATTCATTATCATGCCTGGGGAAAGTTATTATGGAGCATGAGTAAAACTATTGTGAAATTTGAATTAATTCAGAAATAGTCATTAGTGAAAACAATCATTTGTGTGGATTAACAATGATGACTATATCTTGAAGAATACATCTAGGTGCATTCACTGTCTATCTGACCTGTTCAAAATGATATTTTGGATCCTGAATGTTGTTTCCATTTACACTTTCCAGCAATCTGAATAATGCAGTCACTAAATTATATCATTATCCTTACTACTACTACTGTTTCTATTATTGGTATTTTCTATTTTGATGAAGAGTGGAACATTTGAATGCTTACGAATCTTTTTAGACTATTGGTGGTGTGTTGCGGTTGCTGCATGTGAAAGCCTTATCCTGTTTTCCGCATGAATTAGTAGAAATTTTGTACACTGTAGGTGATTGGGAATGAATTTTCTTTTTACTTTGATGTGTTCTCCTTTCCATTTTGAAACCGTTTAAACTTTGATACAGGGTTCTGATTTTGCAACAAATGCCATTGATATAGCTGTTAGAGAACTTCTTGCAGTTGCATCTTCAGGAGAAGGTTCTACTTCTAAATGTGCTTCTTTGATTGTTATATTATGTTCTGCAATTTTGTTCTTCTCCTTGGTTATTTTGAACCGTGATTCTTGAACTTGGTGGTGTTACAGGTTTGTTTGCTTGTATTTTTTTTTCCATTTTATTTAATTATTAAATCTCTCAAATTTCCTCTAAAAGCGAAACATTCAACCACAATTTTTTTTTTTTTAAAGGAAAAACACACACACAAAACAATGGTAATAATAATAATTTAAGCAACCCAAGTTGCATGATATGCAACTAGCCTCTCTGCTCCACATTCATGTGTTTTGAACTAGTTTGTAATTAGGTTGTGTTCATTTTGTGTTTGTATTTTGAGTTTTGATGTTTTTGAGGTGAAATGGTTGTTGAATTTGATGTGTATTTTAGGGAAAGTGAAACATATCTTAGAAAAAGTGGAAAATTTGTAAATTGAACATAATCTTATAATTGTATGAAGTAAATACCCTCATCCTATTTTTCTCTAATTCCAAATTTGAAATCTTACTCTTTTTTTATCTTGCAGTTGACCAGGTACAGCTAAATCGTGCAAAGCAATCGACAAAGTCTGCCATTTTAATGAACCTGGAATCTAGAGTGAGCAATTTTCTTTTACATCATCTGTTGAACTTGTAACTTGTGGCACGTTCTTTGTGTGTGTGTTTTTTTTTAAAGATATTTGAAAGGTAAAGTAGCAGTCGGATGTGATGTTTCTTTATAGAAAATGAAAGTTGGATATGATGTTTTTGAAGAGAATTTGTGATATAGTTTTGGTTTTGCTGTTTTAAAGTAGGGATGCATTTTCTTTCATGAATATGTCTCTAACTCTTTGGCTTGTTATTACAGATGGTTGTTTCTGAGGACATAGGCAAACAAATTTTGACCTATGGACAGAGGTTTGTCCTGCAGCTTTCCTTCTGAATGTTTTAAGTTAACTGCCTTCCTAGTTCAAACATTTTCATTTGCATCACATTTCAAACTAATATAGTATATTGGTTCAAATAAATTTTGGCATGTGAATTGCATGTCAGAAATGATAAGTTATATGAAATTGGGAAAATCAAGCTTACAATAGCATTTGAAACTAATTCAATTTGTTCTTGCGTGTTTGTTGCATTTATTAAACCTTGAATGGTTTCTTTAACTAGGTATCGACAAATAAGCCTGGCAATTTGATATTGAATTCAAAACAAAATATAAAGTAGAATTCACAGCATTCAATTATTGAAAGTGGTGATTGTAAAATGAATGTTTGCTTTAGAACATCCTGAAAGATTGTTCTGTGCAATGAACGTGAGATGTGCTGAAACCATTTTGAGTCCAGTCCAGCGCAAATCATGGTTTCCTAGGATTCCTAATTCTGGTGTCGAATGATATATTTTGTGTGAAATTAAGATGCTAATAACAGAGTATTTGTCTAATTTCTTCGCTGTCCACAACATCCAGGAAGCCCGTGGAGCATTTCTTGAAGGCTGTTGATGAAGTTACAGCCCAAGACATTTCTAAAATTGTTACTAAGCTTTTGTCCTCTCCCCTCACAATGGCATCTTGCGGCGATGGTAAACTAAATCTATCTCTTCTCTTGCCTTAGCTCTTCGATTTTCCTAAGAGCATATTTGATTTTGAATTATTCCCTGTCTTCTTTTCTGATATATCCCCTGATCTGCAGTGCTTCATCTGCCGAGCTACGATTCAGTTAACAGAAAATTCCATTCCAACTGAAAGTAACGTCGGTTTTGCATGAGTGGATGGATACCTTCCATCGCAATGTGCACTTCTTTTTTCAGGGACGCATGAAATTTGTTGAGCAGCCTTTTTTTCTTTTTAATATCACAGATGGAAATAATGGTGCAATAATTTACAAAATTCTTCGCATGATACCTCAATGCCCGATTCATTGTATGGCTTGTAATTTTTCCAGAAAGTTCTCTTAATCCATTCCATGCTAAGAAATTGTGTAATGTCACATGCGCATGCATGTCCAATAACTGGCATTTGAGGTTAGTAGTTGAACGTAAATTTTGAATTACGTGAGTTTCATTATGCAATTACAGAACATATTGGTATTTTCCTCTTTTATATGCTTTTACTTATTATAGTGTAGATTTTATTTTATTCACAAGTCCAGCAAACACTGCAGTCACATACTGGCATTAATATAAAATAATAACTACCAAATCCTCATTTCTATTGTTTAAAAACGAATTTATGAATAACTATTCCATCTTGTAATCATTTAAGACTGCAAATGCTTCTTTATATGCCTGCTGCAATGCTTTTGTTACGACACCATAAATGGTTAACAAACTTAAAGCATGTCTTTCAGCAAGATTATATAGGCACCATTAGAGAAGTAAAAACGTAAAATAGAAGCAGCTGGATGAGAGAAGTCATTTATCCGCATCATTTGACAATAAACAATGTCCAAAACATATGACTGAATTTCAACTATCATTTGATTAGTTTCGTGAGTACGAACGTCCTGTCCTTTCACTCAAGGGCAGCTTCAGCCAACGCCAACAAGATCCAAGTCAGTGAGGATTACATGCTTCTCTTCTCGAGGAGGACAAGGGGCGGCTAGTGCAAGAAAGTTTTGAAATCGTACATATACCTTCCCATTTATAACATCAACTGAAACAAAATATTATTGACCGAGTCGATGAGATCTCCCCCGGAACACTCCGGATGCCCTTTCAGGCTCAGGTGCAGCATTTCTTGTTGGAGTACCAATTCTCCATCTTGCAACAAGCTTGTGCCTAAGAGAAACTGGTTAGGGAACAGAAAATGCAACAACTAATACGGTCACTCAATGAAGATATATCTAAAAGAGCTATATATATAAACACCTTCTAGGTGCAGTATATTAAATTACTAAACAAAAGGATACAGAAAGGTAGGTGTCTGGAGTATGTTCTTCCCACCGGCGAGTGGATGCAACACTGTCAGGAAATAATAAAGATGCCCGGCAAGAATGCCCAAAAGATCCGGCACAATTGGAGAACCAAAGATAACATCTAAGCAGAGCATGGCCCATGGAAAATAAAAGGCCTGAGAAGTATATGTAAAGTTAGAAACTCACAATAAAAGGGAAGCTGTAACATATGCTTGAAAGAGGGTAAGCACCTTAAGAGCGACGAGGCCATACAAGTTGATAGTGGCATTTGGGAACTCTCTGCTCCAGATATATAGAAGCATGAAAACAACAGATATCCCTAAAAATGGGAACCGGAAAAATGGTATTGCAGATAAAACCTAAAGGAAAAGGGAAGGTACAGAGATTAAGCAAAATGCAGTAACAAATAACAGTGGCCCTAGCCCTTCTAAAACTTATAAAAGTGATGAAACAGAAAACCTACCAGTAGTGTTAAAGCTCCAAACAACATCATCCATAAAAAGTCAGCTGTGCGTCTTTGGAAGGGTCCATTTTCCAGTTGAACTCCATATCTTGCTCTGTGAAACAAGTCAGTGAATGGCAAAGACATCATGATACATAATATCAGAATATTAAGTTTGAATGATCTTAGTCACGTACATCATTAAGAGTCGGATCCCAAAATTGATAGAAAATGGGCCAAGAAAAAAGAAGTTCGTAAGCAACCGCCACACCTGAAAATAAGAGTTTTACAATGTCAGTCTGCAGATTCAATAGAAAAAAATCAAATTTTACCATCAATAGTATCTCAATCATAAATTCTATATTGTAGAAATGGAGAGATATTATATGAACAGATGCACAGAATAACAAGGGTGAGAAGAAACATGGGGTGGGATTATGGCCAATTAAGCAGGAAAACGGTAAGATATTATCATGCACATTTTATGAGAGAAAACCACAAGTACATTGTCACCAATTGATCCCATATGTGGTTTCATAAAAATGCACAGCTTAAAAAGACTTTCTAAGCTAAAAAATTATGTGGAACAGGTTTAAACTAACATCTGTTTGTTGTTATTTCACTTAGTTGTCAACCCTGAAGTCCAACGCTATAATCTTTTAGCACAACTTTCAACATTAGGATTTGAAGCAGTTGCTCCCACTTACCACTTGTTAGCCACAAGTCACTACACGACTTCAATAAAAGTTACAGTTTTACAAGTTGCACATCGATTGCTGAATTCTAGCAAACATGCATCTCAAACTTTTGTTACATTGGATCATTGAAATTGGTGCATTCTGTTATTTCATTTGGGAGGAATAAGATGCAGCTTCTACTCTAGATTGACAGCTCTCGTTCCATTTTTTCAGATAAAAAGCAGCACAGTTTACTGGAAAAAGCCATTATTATGAAGGTTCATAAAGTTTATGTTCCATGGGAAAATCACAACCAACAAACAAACCAACAAACCAGCTGGTAACGTTATTTGAAAATGTCTCCATTTTCGCACACAGATCATAATCATCATATCCAAAGTACATGCTTATCACAGATCATACCATCATATCTAAGTACAATTCTCACTGTAGACTTGGTTTTAAATTTGAAATTAAACCACATCCATTAGTTAATCTACACCAAAAAATTGACCGCTAAATCATAAGCCACCTCGAATGATAGACAGCCATTTAAAACCTCCAATCATCCACAACACCCTTGGATACTGTTCCCTTATTATTGCCAACTAACCAAAGATAATGAAACCTTATCTTCAGTGCATCAAGAGGAGCAAGTCCGAGATCCTTCAACTCTCTATATGTTGTTACCCTTACATGTGCAATGGTCAACATCGCATACAAGTTTCTTTAGGTAAGGTTTCTTTCTCGGGATATTATTTTAAATACAGTGAAAGGACCTCAGGTATGATCAATTCTTTGAAGTAGCTAAACTACCATTAATGTAAGGCTGTTATTTTTGTTCAAATTGCACCATGAATGAACAGCGGAAGAAATTTTAAAAAATGGAGGTATCCAATAACTAACTTTCACAAGAGCATAAACCCAAATATTTTTCAGAGACCTCAATTTACAGAGCAGACAGACTGTCAAGGCCAAAATAAGGTTTCCAGACATTAAAGGAACAGTTAACAACTCTTGTTCAGAATAATATGAGTGCATCATTCTATAAACATTGACAAGATTCTTGGAAGAAATTCATGTTACCTGGAAATTATAGTATGACAAGTCATGGATGTGTGCAATGAGTTCAGGACCAATAAGCCCAATTTGAACTGCCACAGTGGTAAAAAAGCAAGCAGTCCCATATGCTTTAGTTATAGGGGGGAGAGAGTTGTAGAATCTGTCATAACACACATATATTAATCACCATATACTGCGAAAATTTTTAGCAAGGCCTGCTCATTACGTGAGTCACTCATGAATGATCTAATTCCTTTACCAGCAACAACCAAAAAAAAAAACAAAAAAATACAAACTATGCACCATAATTCTCAACAGGCATTAACAATTCATAATATAATGCGTTGACCATTACTAGCATCAACTATGATAAAGCTCAGTCTTAGATTTACCCCCAAGCATTTGCATAAATCTTATTTCTTCGAATCATATTCTAAATGATCTTAGGATGCAGATTTGAAGTTATATCCTTAATGCGGCATACATAGCATCACATCTAGATCAGCGTCTCATATCAAAATCACATCCAAAGCAACAAAAACACCTCAAAACCTACATTTCACCTCCAATTGGGAGTCAAATACGATTCCACCTAAAAACAATAAACCTGAAGACTTAAAAACAACGGAAGCAACAACATAGCACGCAGCTGTAGCGAACAAACACAACCCCCAAACATAAACTTCTAGCACGATAAAAACGAACATAGAGAGTCGCACAAAACGCTTCCACAGAACAAAGGGAGTAGCAGAGAGAAAATTACTCGGCAGGAGAGGACATCGTAAAACCCAAATTGATTAAAAGCTGCAAATCCAATATATCAAGGATCCCGCAATTGACGAAGAACAAGCACCGGAAGTCGAATTTCTTAACGAGGACGAATCCGCAGGCTTAGAGAGGTGGATTTGATTTTGATCGTACGAAGAAATAAAACCCAATAGAAATGCCCAGAAGCTTCTCCGCTAATTAACCCATGACCCGCCCCTAAAAGGTCTCCTTTTCCCTTAAAAAAAATTAAAATAAAAAACAGTAGTAATAAATTTGCTTGTGTTTGTCAGTATTTGCTAATGTATGTATGTATCTTCTGTAAATTACTACTTATTCCAAATTTATATATATATATATATTTTATCATAAAAGAGAAAGTTATTAAAAATAAATAAAAATAAAAATAGTAGTAATAACTTTACAGTTTATATATATATAAATATATATAAGCGTATACATATAGAGCCATATTACCATGGTGAATTTTTTTAGGATAGTGTAGGACACAGGGTGTGTTTCTTTTCACACAAGTTTACTATTTGAAGTTTTGTGTTTTTTAATAACTTTTTCTTTTATCACAAAAAATATATATATATATATATTTGGAATAAGTAGTAATTTACAGAAGATACATACATTAACAAACACTGACAAACACAAGCACATTTCCAATCTTGTGTGTGTCCGTCCATATACGAATCATCATGAAAAAATTGCTATTTCGTTTTCATAAACACACACACATATCCTCCTAGCTAGCTCTGCTCTACTACTGCTGATCAAAAATGGGGAAAGGAAACGGAACCAAGCCAATTATAAATTGCTAGCTAGCTAGCTATCTAAAACACTCTAGTCTACCCTGCTCTTCTTCTTCTTCTTCTTCTTCTTCCATGGCATTTCTCCCATACTCTCTAAAGGGATAGTAATAACAATAATGTAAGCGAGGCCAAGGAGGAGGAGGCTGTCAGCAAGTAACCCCGCAGAGCAGCCATGGATATCGACTCTGACGACGACATTGCCTGTGATGGCGAAGGCGACATTACTGTCGTCGTAACATTGCTACCTCCCGTTCTATTCATCGCCAATGCCGCGTACATGCAATTGTCGTAGCCTGCATAAGATAGAATGAACATCAGACAATTCCCATTTCAGCAAAACTAACTGATTAATGAATCTATCTAGCTGCAGTCATACTTGGATCCTTGTTTGTTCTTACACCAGCTCCTCCGAAGCTGCAAGCGACGTCCGTCGCCCCGTTCTGCTGGTAGTAATTGTTGAACGCATACGATGCATGCGACGCCAAGTTATCCGGCTCGAAGCAAGGCTGGCTCGGCTGAATAGCCGAGCAGTCCACATTCCCCGGACCGCAGGCCCAGTCCAGTCCGTGCTGCAGATCATCCTCCGAAGCAGTAGTTGAAGCAATGCACCAGGTCCCGTTGGAGTTATTGTTACCTATACCGGTGCTGTTTGCATCCGTTGAAGGAATGTCGGCAGCACCCCTTCCGGAAAAGTCTAGATTGTACACGCTCGTCTGGTCCGGAAAGAACAGACCCCAGTTCCTCTCAGATTCCATCCCTGGCTTCCTGTTTTCGTTAAACAACGAAAAGATGTACACGTCAATCTCCTCTCCCGGCTTCTCCGGTGTGCCCGTGTCACTGACGATGTGGCGAATTAAATTCGTGTTGTAGGTTTGAGCGTTGTCCGGTGTGGCGGCGGTCTCCTTTGGGGTCCCTTTAGCCGGCCATCCGGTCTCGGTGACCATAACTTTGACGGTTCGGAAATTCAGAGCGGCTAGGGCGAAATTGACTGCATCGACCTGTGCGTCAAACATGCTCGTGTAGAGCAATCCGGTGTTTGGATCGATGACTTCGGATGAGGCCTCAAAGAGGGCATACTCCAATGATACATTGGTCGACGAATCCCGGTAGGCGTAGTAGGGGTACACGTCGACCATGAACGGCGATTTGTTCTCCTCGAGGAATTCCAACATCGGCCGGAGAAAGAAGGCGTGCCGGCTGCCGAATTCGCCGGCGGACGGCGGGAATGATCTGGACAGAATCCCCAACGAATGAGTACTGGAGATTTTAATCTTTGTATGAAATCCAGCTTTTCTCAGGGCGGTGAAGATATTTCGCATTGCCGGGACGACCAAGGCGGAGACATTGCCGGAGGATTCGGTGACTTCGGCTCCGACGGTGATGTAGGTGATCTTCGCGGCGGGGTAGTAGGGGAGGATGCTGTTCTTCAGCCACGTGTCGGCATTTGATTGGAATTGGGCGAAGGCGAGGAGGTCGGAGTTGGGTACTCCGATCATGAGCTCAACTCCGGTGTTGGCGAAGGCTTTGAGAATCTGGATGTTGGAGTCGTAGATCCGTACTCGTTTGATGTTGTGGAGGAGGACGAGCTGCACGACTTTCTCCGGCGCCGGGAGATCGTCGGCGTTCCTGCCGTAGCACACGCCGACGGCGCCTCCCCGGCAGATGCCTGCGCACAAAATGGTCACATGATTCAGCCGCCATTAGAATTAAAAAAGAAAACCTAACCAAAGAACAAACCAACATTACTCAATATAGTATTCGATTACAGCATACGTCACAAAGACCGATGAACAAAGCAATTATTGAAACAAAAAAGGCAAGAGGATAGAATTATCCCTTATTTAATCATTCCTGCTACGCCAAAAGAATTCTCACTCTTTCCCCAAACCAATACCGCCAATAATTAACTGAAACACACCATTCAATTCCTCAATTTTACAAAATCATACAATACATTATACATCCACACTACCTACATACAGCAGAGAACCGATTCGCATTAACAAAACACAAAAGCATAAACAGATAAGATTTGGGGAGAAATTGAGGAGAATGCGGTTACACACCAAGCAGCATAAGTAGATGAAAACTTGCAACCATGAGAGCACAACAGCCGCTCACCGCCATTTGATCTGCCTACAGTTGCGATTTAGCTTCAAGGAAATGGTAATTTAGGTCGCTCTGCAGCTTCTGATCTTCTGAACTGAAGAAAATGGGTTCCAGGAACGGTCTGGTCTTTGATTTTTGCTTCGACGGGATAGAGAGTGTGTTGTGTTGTGTGCCGTACAAAAACGAACAGAGTGTGTCAGCAAGGTGATGTGTGGAGACAGCGGACTTGAAATTTTTATAGAATTGGATTTAAGAGAATATCTCAAATCCGAGGCTTTTATTACCATATTTTCAATATATTCATCAAATAATACATACAGTATTATGTATTTTAAAATGATTTTTTGATAGTAACGTAGTTGATAGGTGTATACGAACAAAATAAAATATTTTTAAAAATTGGTTCACAAAAGTGTAAAGGATAATTATATTTAATCTCCAATGTTACTTTCATGTTATAATTCAATCTTGTTGGAATGAGCATCACATGGTTTGGTCATTCATTTATTTTTATTATTTAGTTCTTAATTAACAAAATATTCTATAAAATTAAAATCAAATACAAAATAAATACATCGAGAAAAATCTGATTTAAATGGTTAATCCAACAAAGTGGAATATATTAATCAACCACAAATATCACAATCGCAATAATTTATATACTTCGGTTCATTATAAATTTTTATTACAATGAAACTATTTGCTTCAATATGCATTATTCCTCAATATTTAGAAGAATTTTTGTATTTGTTTGTTCAATGTTTTATGGTATGTTTACTTAGTGTTTTGATTTGAATTTATTTTTTTTACAGTGAGTCATAGAGAATTATATAAAAAAATAATATTTTATTTTGAATATTTTTTATATGTAGTATAGAAAATTGTGTAAAAAATAATGGATGAAAAAATATTTTGTTTGAAATATTTTTTAAAGTGTATAATTATAATTTATTTTTATTTTTTTTTAAAAATGACAAATTATGTTGAAGAAATAGAAAATATGGATACTTTTAGGTGGGATGAAAGAAATATAAAATTTTACTCCTTGTTGCATATATTTTATAAAAATATAATTATTAAATTAATTAAACACATTTTTAGTTTTTTAATCATATATATATTACATTATAAATCACATATTAATTAAATAAATAATTCACAACCCAACTTTCAACTCAATAATATAACCAATAACCAAAAGCACAATAGATAAACCATGATTAGCTACTTAAAATAAAATATATTACTCCATCATTCCCACATAATTTGTCTATATTTTCTATTTCCGTCCGTTCCACATAATTTGTCTTTTCCTTTTTTGAAAATTAATTATACATTTTAATCATATTTTAAAATTTAAAATTTAATTTTTTTTTAATCTTAATTAAACTATTTAATTATCATAATCTTAATCTATAATTATTTTTACTAAATAATAATTATTTTTACTAATACATTTCTTAATTGCTTACTAATTATACTTTACTTAAATTATCGTGTCTACAGTAATAGACCCATATTACATGGGACGGAGGGAGTAATAAATAAGGTACCACCTTTCTTATTGCTTTCGGTAACGCCATCGACCTTTTGAAATACATTCAAGTATTTAATAATTTCCGACTAACAATAATATCCGATTCTACCATCTTATTGCTGAATTGATCTTCTTTCGCACAACATCGACACCGATTAATAGGGCTGCATCGCGACTTGAATTTCCCAAAGGATGAAGATGATCGATTATTGCATTAACATGTTGTACTTGTAACGAAAGAAAAAGACTTACAACGACGATCAATAATAGAACTTGCGATGATGTTGATATTTTCTTCGCCATGTTGGTAATAAATTTTGTTATAGATATAATATGGCTATGAACTTCCAACGCTATTTATATTGATATAACAACATCCAAGTCATTGTATTTTTTTTTTTGGAAAATAAAATATTAATTGGAAATATAAATTAGATAATTCTGTAATTCCAAAACAGGTAAAACATATAACACATTTAATTAAGATGGATTATAATTGTGCCATACATGGTAATTAAATAACTACATATAAATATGGGAAGTAAATTTATGTAACATAATATAATTTTACATGTATTTATAATATATTATAAAACTTCATTGTATAATTTGCATTTGAATTTGACTTTGAAATTTATAATTATGTTATACTCCATTGGGCTATTTGGAATTAAAAAATTTAAAGAAATCATTACCAATTAAATAAATTTCAACAATTTGGAAATTAAATCTGTCGAGGGGTGAAGTGCCTTTAAAAGGCCTTCACGATTCCATTTTTCAAACACATGAAAAAATCTTTTATTTCCCTTTCTAATTCTCTCCTCTTCGGTAACAATTTTTTTGAAAAAGAAAGGTTAAGGTGTTTTCAAGTTAAGGAATTTTTGGCTTCATTGTAGTCAAAATACAATTTTTTTGAAAAAGAAAGGTTAAGGTGTTTTCAAGCTAAGGAATTTTTGGCTTCATTGTAGTCAAAATATTGTTCGATGGAGTATTTGAGTAAGAAGAAAAAGGGTATCAAAACTAATGTAGAGTTACACCGTCGATATTGAAAATCCCGTGGAAGCATTTTTCTTTGGAAGATTATTCAAGAATGACAAAGAAGTATAAACGAGGGATAGTTGTCTCAAATATTATTGATTATTCTAATTTAAAGTCAATTGATATTACGTGGAATAATCATCTTTAACCTTCTTATAAGTAAATGAGTTCTATATTTTTTCTATTGTCATTGGATGATTATTCAAGAAAGACAAAGAAATGTAAAGAAAGAATATTGTCTCGAAGATTATTTATATTGTCTCGAAGATTATTTATTATTCAAACTTAAAATCAATTAATATCAAGTGAAATAGTCGTTTTTCACATTTTTGTCATTATAAAGGAGTTTCGTATTTTTTCTTTTGTCATTGGAAAATTATTCAAAAACGACAAAGAAGTGTAAAAAGTGGATCATTGTCTAAAAAATTATTGATTATTTCAACTTAAAATCAATTGATAAGTAAAGTACCGTCTTTCACATTTTTATCACTGTTAAAGAAAGTTTTATATTTTTTCTATTGTCATTGGAAGAATATTCAAGAAGGACAAAGAAGTATAAAGGAGGGATCGTTGTCTCAGAGATTATTAATCATTCTAATTTAAAGTCAATTGATATTAAGTATAGTCTTTCATCTTTTTATAACTATCCCATCCTCATTGAAAAATTATTCAAAAAGGATAATGAAGTATAAAGTTAGATCGATTGTATTAAAGATTATTGACATTCGAACTTAAAGTCAATTGTTATTAAGTAAAATAGTAATTTTTTTTTTTACCTTCTTGCCACTAGAAGAGAATTTCATACTCTATCCATTCATTCATTATCTTTTCATTTATTTTTTGTACAAAAATTTTAGTATATTTATATTTTATTGAAGCTTAGAACTTATGTAAAGATAAATTTATCCTTACTTTTGGATGTAAAATAATAATATGATGATAAAGTAGGAGTATTTTTGTATTCATGTGAAATGTAACTTTACTAAAAAAAGATAAAATAAAAAGATTTGAATTGACAAACTAAAATAAAAAATAAAAATATTTTGAATGGACGGAGAAAATATTTTTTCTTTTGTCATTGAAAAATTGTTAAAAAGAACAAAGAAGTGTAAAGAATGGATCGTTGTCTTTTACCTTCTTATCGCTATAAGAGACTGTTATATTTTTTCTATTGTCATTGGAAGATATTTCATGAAGGATAAAAGAAGTGTAACGAAGGATTGTTGTCTCAAAAAATTAATTATCATTATTGATATTAAATAGAGTAATCATTTTTCATCTTCTTGTTACTAAAACTTTTAATTTTATATATGTATTTTTTCTGAGACAATATTCATACTCATACTATATTCACAATAAATTTCTTTGAATATATACATCCCAATATATAATGGTTACGTGGACATTCTTTAGTACTCACACACATGATTCATAATTTTGAAATAAAAATAAAAATAAAAATAAAAATACATATTGCATAAGACGTGTCACCGTTACGAATACCATGTAATTAATTGTATGACTTTAATATCTCAACGTGGCGGCGGTAGTCACAGCTAACCATACCATCTACCTTAGGCTTAGGTCTTAATTTCAGAAAAATGCAATGCAAAAATCTTAGGCTCAATTATACAATGAAATAAATAAATAAATTAATTAATTAAAAACCTTATCCACAACGTTACATTTAAAATAAACATTCAATTCAATTAAATTTAATTCATTGAATTGAAGCCTTGCTGATTAACTCCGCAATAACACAGGCCTCTAAATTCTATCTATTAGCATACACTTTTAAAAAACAATAATAAATAAATAAATAGAAATAAATTAATAATACACATGAACAAGCAGCGGTGCTGCCTAATTCAGACCTAATTGTTGGAATGCCACCGAAAAGACCGTTTTGCCCTCTTCAAATCTATCCGCTGCACACGGTATCCGAGAATCCGTCGTTCATTTGAAAATGTCCTAAAGAAAACCCTACTTAAAAATAAATGAAAAATGAAATAATTAGTATTATTTAAAATTTAATGATAGATTTGTGGGGACACGATGGCAAAAAGGCAGTGACTTTAGTCTACCCAAAATGCTGAGTGGGTGTGGTGTGGTGCAGTGAGTCAGATTTGGATGTGTTCAAAATCTTGTTCCATTGGATCGACCTTATCCTCTCATTTTGGTTACCTTGTACGAAGGGAAATTCAATTCAGCCTTAGGCCTGACCTGTCTGCACACCATATAAACCGACCACGCTACCCAACAGCCACACATTTATTATATATATATATTTCACAATTATTTTATTAATACTGTATTCCACTGCCGGCAGACAATACGTATACGTGAGTGTGTATATATATGGTTTTAGGAGTGGGTTGCCCTTTTCAGAATCCCATATTGTTCGTTACTCGTTATCCATTTATGATTTTATCCATCGCTTCTCAGTCTTGATAAAATTAGGGTTTGTTTGGTGAGGTGTGGATCGATTTCTTTTCTTTTCTTTCTCTCTCTAGATCATATAGATATATGGGTGAAGAAAAACAGCAAGATTTGAAAGGGAAGGGGAAGGGGAAGGGGATGGAAGAGTTTGTCATCAAGGTCTGTGAATCATCCATGGAATCATCCTTGTCTTCCTCGTCGTCGTCGCCGGAGGTGGACGACGACGATGGATCGTCGTCTTCCTCGTCGTATTGCCGGCGGACTTCGTGCGGGCCTCTCTATGAATTGTCTCAGCTAACGGATCATCTTCCGATCAAGTGAGTTTGTTTTGTTCTTCCTTCATTATTACAGTATTAACCAGAAAATTGTATTTTTTTTTTTGTCTGTGAGTGATGTGGAATATTGGTTGATGGTGCAGAAGGGGGCTTTCGAAGTTCTACAATGGGAAATCGCAGAGCTTTGCTTCCATGGCGGACGTGGAGAGCTGCGCGAAAGATCTGGCGAAGAAAGGGAACTGCTACAACAGGAAGATGAAATGGAGCAAGAGCTATGGCGGAAATCTGAATCAGCAGATTAGATTAGGGCCCAAACCCTTCATCGCTAAGAGATCTCCCAGAAGATCGTTTTCGACTTCTTTAGCTGTTGATAGCTTCTGATCTCATGTCAAGTTTGGCTGTCTGACCCATTCCCAGTGATTCTTAATTAATTAACAAAAACAACGACAACAACAGACTGTTCTTTTGTTTAAGGAGCTTTGCTTGTTTCTGTTTTACTGCAACTGGCACATTGACAATGCCCTTTCAATCATAAAAAGGAATACATTATTGTTGAAACCCTTCTTCTGTGCCTTTCTGATAAAAATGCAATCATTTTTTTTTTTTTAGCCCACAGATCGGAAGGGAGCTTTATTGGGTGGTTGTTCTTACAGTGGTTAAGTTATAGTGATTAATTATTTTATATTGTGCATATATATAAAATATTTAATTAAATTGTCGATCTTATCCGTTTGCCAAACATCACACAACGTATGTCCATTCATTTCCAAACCTACTATATAAACAGTTCACGGAGCAGTGCATTTTCCCCAATTCATCCTCGATTAGGGTTTTTGAAAAGGCGAATATGAAGAACAGCAACTCCGGGAAGGGTTCCAAATCGGGTGGCAGGGACGTGAGGAAGGATCGCAGATCGAACACCGGAATGGTTGGATCGCCGAAGAAAGGCGGCCACGGCGGGAAGTTCACCTGGGAGGGCGACGGCTACTCGAGCTTTGAGCTTGGACGGGCGGAGAAGGGAGCCATGGATGACAAGGATCCCAACTTCGATGAACCAGAGGCTGTGGTTGAGATCGCGGCGCAATGATCGGATCTGCACTCGGTTTCGGTTTCGGTTTCGATTTCGATTTCCTGCCCTGATTTATACCTGAATCTTCTCTGCATCTGTTAGATCGTGTAAATATTTGTTGTTACCTTCTGTGAACTTTTACGTCGGCGACCATGACCATGGATCTGCTGCTCATGGATTGCCTCTCTTCCTTCATTGTAGATTCAATAAACGTTGATTGGTGTTCTCGTCAGTCGTCACTGATTCTCACTGACAGTACAGCTGTTGTTTCATCTTGGGCCTGAAATGGGCCTCCCTTGCTATTATTGTTCTTGGGCCCATTAAAATATATCTATTAAGTGGAGTAACACAAGGACAAATGCAAACAAACACATGAAAATTTGAAGAACAAGAATCATAATAATGAACTGAAAAATCTAACATCAAACAACAAACACCATCATCCATCAGTGGTAACGACTAATGAGAATCGAATCGAATCTATCTAACTGGTGCAGTGGAAGAACAGTTTTCTTCTTCTGCACGAATCGGAATCAGTTAGGATAAAAGTTACTGCTACTTTCCCTGTTGTTCCCAAGCTCCACAAAATCTGAGGACCTCCCGAGCTTACCCATCACTGCATTCTTGAAACTAATGGCCTGCGAGCACGACCGCTGCATCCTCACCCCGCTCAGGCTGCTCCTCGACTCCATCACTTCGTGCAGCGACAGCCGCCGCCGCGTCCCGCCGCCGTCGCCCCGCTGCTTGGGGGCGCTCTGCGATCTCACCTTCGCCTTAAACGACTGCGTTTTCGCCATGTAGTTCGGGTGCTCGCCGTACCGTCTCAAATCGCACGAGCTCTTCGCCGGCGTCGGAGGCCCGTCGTAGCCGGCGAATCTCGGAGTGCTCTGGGCGGTGGAGAAGTGGCATTCGTCTCCGATCACACACCATTCTTGATCGGAGAAGTTTGGCGTTGCGATTCGGGCAGGGTATGGTGAGGACGCCGCCTTCCCGAAGGAATCCTCGCCGGAATCCGCCATTAATGAGTAGGCCCGCCTGGATCTCGACTTCGGCCGGCTCCCGGTGTCCACTTCCACGATTTTCGGGCTCTCCTCCATTGAATTCATGGCAGCGGCTTCGAAGGAGGAAGAAAGCCTCCTGCTGTGCTCGGCTTTCGATTCTTCAGGCTTCTCCTGCAAAATTGAAATTTCTTGATTTGTTAATTTACCAGCTATTCGGGCCTGAAATTGGAAATTGGGGAGGATTATTACACACCCGGCGCCTGATTCTCTCGGCCCGGACACTGGATTGGGCTCTTACAAGAGCCTGCATGCTGTGAAGCGTGGCGGCGGCTTGTTTTCTCACCAGAAATCCTCTTACAAGTGCTTGAATCTTCACCAGGCCCTTCAAGGCCCGATGCGCTTTTCGGGCCTGTAACGTTGTACGCCATTCCCGACAAGGACAGAACACAGAAGGAAGGGTTTGAGCATACGATGAGCTAAAATTCTAAAATGGCCGACAAACGAAACGCAAAGCAATTGAAGATGACCTTTGAAATGACATCTAACGAGATTATATAATCGCGTAAAAAATCGAGCCCGAAATAGATTTTTTTTTTTAAGATTAAATTAATGGACATTACCAAATATCCACGAAACACTGTTTGAATCTTGATAGCCGCCCAGTTTTCGCGGCTCCCGCGGAACGCCGCCGCCGCGCCGCGCCCCTGACTGGTGAGCCGAACAACCCTAACCGCTGCCTGCGCAGCCGCCACAGCGGCGTCCGCCGCCGCCGCCGTGGCGGCGGCCACCGCTATTGCGTGCTTGTTCTGCTCCTTGTCGGTTTCCCCGTAGAAGGATCTGAGCCAAGCGGCCTCCGCCGGCGTAATGTTGGGGGGGATGGTTGCGGGGTTGTGGCAGAGCCCGGCGGCGGCGGCGGAGTCCCTCGAGCTCCGTAGTCCGTTTCCCTTTTCCTTCCCGTCGGCGGAATGTTCGATTTTGAGGTCCTTGTCCTTATTCTTAATGCCAAAGAGGCTCTTGAACCACCTCGTCGCTCTACCCATGATTTCCACTAAAATTCTCAGATAACAACAAATTTAGTTCTTCCAATTCACGAAAAAGGTGCCTTGAAAAGAGGACTGTTGGAAAAGAAGACAAACACGAATTTGAAAAAAGCAAAATTGGATTCTACCCATGCCCAAGAAGAAGAAGGAAGAAGGAAGAAGAGGAATGGTATGGGTAGGCGCAATTATTGTCTTCCTCGTATTAGGGTTAAAGTTAAAAGGGAAAAAAGAGGCAGGTTGCTCACAGCTTGCAAGAAAACACAAACTTGGCAAGTGTTTAATTTGCAGAATAAGGAAAAAGGAAGTCGTGGGTAGAAAGTAGATGGAGAGACATGCATTATATACTGTGGATTGGGTGTTGGATAATAATGTTACGAAGAAGATGAAGAAGAAGAAGTAGAAGAAACAAAAATGGATAAAAGAACAAGGTAGGAGAGTGCCCGAATATCATGTGCACCAGACATTTGTGGAAGAAGAATCAACACCTGCAGCTGCTCATCACTCAGATATTGATCGGATCGGATGTGTTGTGGGGTACTACTACCAGGGTAAATTTTGAAAAAAAAAAAAAAAAAGAAAAAAATTATTATTATTATTTTTTTAAAAAAAAAAAAAGAAAGAAAGAAGAAGGCTCGTGATAGCTGCTGCAGATTTGGAGTGGAGCGGAGGAGCGCAGTGCAGAAGGAAGGAAGGAAGAAGACAAAAAATGTGCGGCTGAGAAGTGGCACGACTGTACGAACATTACCAAAATCCAACACCACTTCTCCTAATTCAATATCAGGTCATTTTTATTTCAAATAAAAACAATATTATACTACTACTACTACTATCATTTGGATTTGGATTCGGATAGGTTAGCTATATAGCCAAAAAAACGGATTCTCCTAACAAATGATTGAGTTAGACCTACTACATTTTTATTTATTTATTTTCATCGACTCTATCATATTAAAAAAAGGAGGGATTAAGCGACTACTTTGCCTAAAAATGTGTAGTGTATTTGTTAATTCAACATACATAATATGTTTGGTTAAAGGATTTTGCTCACGATTTTTTTATTATTATTGATATTAATACTTATTTATATTATATTATATAATTATTAAATTTAAATTTAAAATTTTTATTATTTAAAACACAATCCAAAATGCTATGTATTTAAAAGGGGGAAAAACATATTAGAACGAAAATATGAGGACATCCCATCCCATCCCATTGTGAAGATGATTATTAGATGTGAAGAGGAAACTGTCCCGCACTTGAACTTGATGTCGATATACCCATTTTGATTTATGCATTCAATTTTTATGGTTAATTAAAATTTAAAACTATAGATATGTTAAGACACAACATTTTTTTTTATCAATGAATATACAGCATTGTTTTTTAAATCCCTTATTTAAAATAGTAAATATTTAAGGAGGCCTATCCAGTTTGTGCCAACTCCTACTAAAAAAAAGAGGTCAAAATGCGAGCTTGTGGAGCTCTGTGCTCATCTGCAAGACTGCATCTTTATATATATATTTATATTATTATGTGTGTGTTCTTTTCCCCTTTCCAAAGCCTTTCCATAGGCCACGACCACTTTAACTAGTTGCATTCTTTTGGATTATTTACTTAATTGAATTTGGATTCTTGTTTGTTTTGCCTTCTGCTCTACTGCTGTGCTATTGATGAGACATCTAATACGATGATTAATCCTTGAAAAAATTAATGGTGACATTATTAATTAATGAATTAGACGACATTGAAATTGCAGTTTGAATTCACAAGTCCTGCAATATGATGTGATAGTTTTTGTGATTGTGATGATCTGATCTGACCTAATTTGTGATTTTTCGTAAGATTATTGTGGGAAATATCGCAGCCACAAGATAAGAGAAGAAGAAGACGACGACACTCAATTATACATACAGATACGGAGATGATACATGATGATGATGCAGTCTCAGTCTTTTGTCTGTTTTCCCTAAATATGTGTCAGTTGACTTTGAGCATTTCAATTTCCATGCACTTATCAAATTCACTTACAGTGAAAATATATCAGTTTTCCCATAGTTTTGTTTGATTTTTCTAGTTTAGAACAAAACTATTATTATTATTATTATTATTATTTTGTGACGTGGAACCAGCAATCGAGGTTTGGTAGAAAATTTATGCTAAGCGAACCAGGTGATCTGAGACGTCGGGGTTTGAACCCATAACCTCACGGTCACAAATCCAATCTCGACACCACCAGACCATCCCTTACAGTACAAAACTTGGGGTGTGTTTATTTGTCAGATTTTACACCCGATTTTACTATTTCAACTTTTTTTTCCCTCCAAAAACATCAAATTAAACACTCAATTTTTATCTATTTTATTACACTAAAATCTAATTTTACATTCAAAATATCACATCAACACATATTTATATCACATTAAACAACTATTTCAATTCAAAATTTTACTATTCAAAATCAAAATCCAAAACTAAAACCTCACTAGGAAACAGATCCTATTATTTTTATATATGTGGTCTACGGACTAGGCATACATTTTACTCTCTTACATTTTAGTAATGTCAATATATTGTTATATACTATTACCCACCACACAAAAAATATTGTTTAATTGTACAGTTAAATTGTGTTAATGACAAAGAGTATGTTCATTTAAAATTTTGTTTCCATTTATCCAGGTTCAATTTTTAGTTACTTTTATTTTTTTTATATCTTTTATATAAAAAATTATAAATTGCATTCAAATATATTATGCACCAATCTTTTTTAATTGAAAACGTTTAAATAAATACATTCTAAAATTTTCACATTAGGCCCAATAAATTACCAGAACGGAAAGGTTGAGCCCAACTCATATGTCCAATTAATAAAGGTTAACTGATTTCAGCCCAATCTAACAATACACACAGTCTATTACGAAATAAATAAATAAATAATAATAATAATAATAATTAATCAACAACATGAAACGTATATGAGATTTTTTAATTTTTAAATAGTACACACAGTATTTATTAATTTTTAAAATTATATACATTAAAAAAAAAAAAACATCATTTAAATTTTCCTGAAAAAATTGGTGGGCCACTTTGGAACACCACATTTCCGGACCGGGCCACCAGGTTTAATTTTAACCAAGAATGGACCGGTCCCGGCCAGACAAGCTTGGGCCGGCCGGCCGAGCATTTTGAGGCTGTAGTGGACCCACCCGGAGATCAGGTGTTGGGGTCCATTGACCGGGCAAGACCGACCCAAATTGTTGTCAGGTTTGAGGTGGTACTAACTGACCAAAGAAAGACCTTTATTGGGTGGGAATTTTGATTGATTAATTTGTATTCATGAAATAGTAATAATAATAATAATAATGATGAATCCAATTAATACACTTTTTAGGTCACAATGATTTCAAAATCTACCAAAAATAATTCGAGGGGTCAATCTGATTAGACTTGCAAATCCTCCCGAATCCAATACTAATCATGTCACAGTTTTTGATTTGATGTTAATGGCGTTGTATTCTATTTTATTACATTAACTATTTTATTTTGTCAAAATAATGTTGTCAAGATCTTCACTGTCAACGCAAACCATGATGGTACATTTGGGGGGTCATATTTATTGGTGTATTTTGTTGACTCCATTATTCTTAGATTAATGCCTTACAAAGAAAAACTTTAAAAATTGGAGTAATGGTGAATCTGATCATTATCTATTGAATAATGTTTTTCAGTGGTTAGAAATATATATATATATATATTCTACCATAATATGTTAAGACGTCCCTTAAATGAGACCACCAAGAAATAATTGGACTAATGATTGCATTATGGTTTACCAAAAATAAAATTATGTTGATAAAAAAAATAAATAAATAAAAAAATAAATAAAACCAACAGTTAGAAGTTGTGTTTAAATAATTTTTCTATAAAAGAATTTTAAAAAACATTTTAATAAATATTTTTAAAACTATTAAAATTAACAAATAGGATATGGTGCTAATGTAAATATATTTTTTCTACTATTTTTTTAATTTATTTTAAAAATTTATAAACATAAATTTTCAAGTCAGACTTAGCAAATTTTAGATACTTATTTTTTTTTTTTTACAAAATATTACTATATTCAAATGATTATTTAATTAGTATTATTATAATTAAAAATTATATGTATATGTATAATAAAACTCCAACGCCCTTAATGGACATATTGTTAATTAATATGCAAATTCATATATCCCTCTTCATATTTTCACTACATTTAAATAAATATATATTGTCAGTATGTTCTAAATATAAATCAGTAAACTTGAAAAATGTGATGAAATTAAAAGTAACACTTAATTATATAATAATAGATTCCCTTAATGATTCTGAAAATCTTGTTTTCTCTCTTTTGTAAAACCGTAACCTCCTCAACTAATTATAATGAAGATAAAGTGACAAAATTAAAATAAAATTTCAAGAAGTTAGTAGGCCAACCTCGTAAATTTAATTCCCAAATACAGTGGATCCCATTAATTATAAAATTTTCCACCTAAACTACTTTTTGCAAATGAGGATCAAAATAAATATTCTCAAACTTTATTATTATTATTTTTTATTTCTTTACATGAATTGAGATAACTCTCTCTTTTTTTTTTTTTTTTTAATTTTTGGTAAAGAAGAATTATTAGCAGTTTGTTTTTCTTTCCAACGTGTTCGTGTGTTGGAAATATTTGGAATGTATTGGCATTACCTAAAATGGAAAAATATTGCATACTAATTTGGAAAACATGTTGTCAAATGCTTCCCACCACAATTATGGACATATTTTTTTATTTCAATTTTAGGGATATTATTATTTTTTATTTCTTTCTGCCAACTTGCCTATATTTTTTATATTTTATAAAATTAAAAAGAAGTGTAATTAGAAAATTGTTCAAAAGAAAGTGCATTATACACACAGCCACACACACACATATATATATATATACATATATATATATATAACTGCAGATTATCTTCTAATAGATTGGTAATAATATATATATATATACATGCATTGAAGTATACTACATTCTCTTTTTTTTTTTATTGGATTTTATACTACATTCTTGAAAAATGGTATTGGAAGTGTGTGGCATATGATTATGAGAACACACACATGCACGACGACTACACGAAACCGTGGATACAATTAATAAAAATTTATATTAATAATTGGTAAGTGGGTGGTTTATGGTCGAACTTAATTAATTAATAGCTTCTTGTTCTTCTGCCTTTTTTGTTTCCCATAATATAAATGGGGATGGTTAATAGTTTAATTAATTTGTTTAATTTTCTGAGTAGGTTAATATTTCAGAATTTGAAATTTATTATTTATTTTTTTAATATAAAATGTTATTTTAAGAAGAAAAATTATAATGAATATATATAGTAGTATTAAAAAAAATACTACTACAGTACAGTACAGTACAGTACAGTACATATGATGATGATGATGCATGTCTTGGATCCATTTGTAGTAATTAATCTGTGTCCTTAAAATACACAAGTTGGCCCATTTCTAGTAAACTGTCTGGAGGATTTTCACATGCCTTAATTCATAATCTTTTTGCACTTTTGAGCACACAGAAAAAAGACATACAGATAGATACATGCAGGAAGTGTCTTGTGAGAAATTAATATTCGATGCGATCTACTACTACAAATCCTTTTTGCAGTTCTGGAAAAACAAAACCTTTTACTTACTTTTATTCTTAAAATCAAATATTTATATATACAAAGTACACCCTAAATTAATTAATTTGATATGTCTGGGCAAATTAATAATATATACTAATATATAGATATTCCTGATGAATTAATACATTAATGAAAATTACGACAAGGATCTCCCATGATACTCCAAATCCCAAGAAGACAGGTCTTCTCTTCACCACCATGTGAATTTCATAATAATTAATAATCAAAAGGGAAAAATAAAATAATAATAATAAACAGATTGCATTTAAATTTAATATTAATTATTTATATATATGTATGTATACGTGTGATGATAGAAGATATGGCAGCAATGGTGTCGAGTCAGTCCCACGGGGAATAATGTGAATATTGCCTGTGTTATCAAGACAGTTATCATCACAAATTAAATTTCATCTTAATTAATATTTTAATTACAGGATATGATCTGAAATAAATAAATAAATAAATTATTATCATTATATTCCCCCCATTTATTTTATGAACTATCGAGAATTAACAAAGATCTGAGACTTAGATCTATGATAATATATTTTTTCAATAGTTTGGTTGTGTATGTTAATATCCATGTTTCAGCTGATCACATCAATGAGGTCACTTTCAAATCATTCATTTTAAGCATTTTGTTTTCGATTTTATATTTTGAAATAAAGTAATTGTTGATTGTGATGTTAAATTATTTAGTTATTTTAATTTTAATTTATAATTATTTTTATTAATATATTTTTTAATTATTTACTAATTATATTTTACATAAATTCTTATGTTTGTATTAACATGTCCAAATTACCTAAGGACGAAAAGAGTATATATTTTTTTGTCTATGCAGTTAGTGACTATGGAGATTTTATTTTTATTTTAATCTTAATGATAATTGGAGATATTTCGTTGTTTCCGGCGTTAAATTGTAATGTCATCTTTTGTGTCTTAATATGGAAAAATAAGAATACGTACAATATAATGTACCGAATGACAGTAATAATTCAAAAATAAAATAAAAAGAGACAGATTGACGAGAGAGAGACCGGCTGCAATATGGAAATACAGTTAGCCAATTTTTGCTTAAAGGTAGTTTTGCTGAGGTGTTATCACAGTCTGTTTGGATAATATAAATTTATAAGTAATCAGAAATTTCTTCAAGTTTAATATAGTGGAAATTGAATATAATATATATTTTTTTAAAAAAATAAAATTACAGTGTAATAGCCTTTTAATTCCTTTGAAAGGAGTCGATGTGATTAATTCCCATTATTTTATATATATATATATATATATATATATATAAAACTCGTTTTCATGGCCAACAATATACAGCATATAGTATATTATAGAGATGAATAATTTTGTAATTAACACAAGGTCGGCAGAAGCATCCCATGTGTGTATAATTTGAGTCAAAATGCCCAACAACTTGCTCATCATGTTATTTATTTTTCTCTATGTAAGAGTAATGGGGCAAGTACATTTTTTATACGAAAGTTCTAGACAATGAGGAAATTTATAATAAAATTAAATATATGTAGTTCGTGTAACAGTGCAGTCTCTGCATTAATTTTCATACTCGTCACGAGCACTTACCACTATTATTTAGAAAAAAAGAAAAACTCACGACGTAAAATATCTAAGAATGAATGATGGTGAATTTGTGATTGTATTGCTATTTGCTAATGCTAACTTGTTGTTAAGTTTGTTACAGGTCAAGATTTTTACTATTTTTTGAAAAATTGATATTGTTTGTCAATACTAGAACTTTTTGGTTTAGACAGAGCCTCCTCGTAAATGAACAAGTGAAAGTGATAGATCGAGAGATTACAATCGAACAAAATAATCTATCAACTGTTTATGTAAAAACTTACCACGATATGATATGATCCCGCGCCATTGCAGACGCAGTTGCAGCCATCTTATTGTAGTATATTTGTATAGACAGACCCTCATAGACTGTGGTATTGTTGGAAACTGCAGTGCAGACTAGGGACTGTGTATAAATCCTTCTTCTCTCTCTCTCTCTCTCTCTCTCTCTCTCCTCCACCACACACACACAAACATATATATATATAAACTTTCCAACAGATTGCTTGCTGCTTGCATCACAAATCAAACTCCCCCTAAACCCCACATCACATACATATATATATATATATATTTCTGTCAGCAAAATATCAGTATATATATATATATTGAAAAGGAGAAGGAAAGTGGCAATAAAATTTAATGAACTTAATGCTCACACATACACACCAGTCATTCTTCTTGAGAGAGAGAGAGAGTGTATGTATACATATATTCACATATATATATATATATATGCTCTCCTCTCACACTCAACAAAAACGCATAAAGTCAGAAACCAACTGAAACTAGAACCACCGTGTATCATCAACAATCACTATGTGCAATCCCAATTCCCTTCCCGACCACAAGCCCCCATCGCCGGCTCCGGCGCCGGCGCCGGCGCAGCAGTGCCACCTGTATCTCGATCTGATATCAGCAGTCCCGGCCCTCAAACGCCAAGAAACCACCGCCACCAAAAAGGCAGCAGCAGTCGCCGGCCTGCCCATGGTATTGGCAGAAACCAAAGCTCTTCTAAATCTGGCTCTCCCCATAGCCTTGACAGCCCTAATTCTCTACTCACGCTCCATGCTTTCTATGCTCTTCCTGGGCCACCTCGGCGACATTGAACTGGCCGCGGGGTCCCTCGCCATAGCCTTCGCCAATATCACGGGCTACTCAGTCCTGTCCGGGCTGTCCCTCGGAATGGAGCCTCTCTGCGCGCAGGCCTTCGGGGCCCAACGCCCAAAGCTGCTTTCTCTCACCCTTCAGAGGTCTGTCATTTTCCTGTTGGTTTGTTCAGCTCCGATTGCTTCTCTGTGGCTCAACATTTCCACGATTTTCCAGTATTTGCACCAAGACCCCTGTATTACCAAATTGGCCGGGACATATCTTGCTTTCTCGCTCCCTGATCTTGTTGCGAATTCCTTTATCCACCCCATAAGGATTTACCTTCGGGCTCAAGGAATCACCCATCCCCTGACCCTGGCTTCCCTCGTCGGGGCGGCTTTCCATTTGCCGATCAACTACCTGCTCGTCTCCCGGCTCGGCCTCGGCGTGGCGGGGGTCGCGGCGGCCTCCGCCGCGTCCAATTTGGTGGTGCTGGTGGCGCTGGTGGTCTACATTTGGGCACGTGCTCTGCACGCTCCAACGTGGACGAAGCCGAGCCTCAAGTGCCTGACGGGGTGGGCGCCGATGGTGCGGCTGGCGGCGCCGAGCTGCGTGTCGGTGTGCCTGGAGTGGTGGTGGTACGAGATCATGATAGTGCTGTGCGGGCTGCTGGTGGACCCCAAAGCCACGGTGGCGTCGATGGGGGTTCTGATCCAAACGACGTCGTTGCTCTACGTGCTGCCGTCTTCGCTGAGCCTGGCGGTGTCGACCCGGGTCGGGAACGAGCTCGGGGCGAGCCGGCCGGACCGGGCCCGGGTCGCGGCGATCGTGTCCATCTTTCTGGCCGGCATGATGGGCTTATCCGCGATGACGTTCGCTACGTCGATGCGGAATCTGTGGGCCCGGATGTACACGGATGACGTGGACATTCTGCGGCTGACGTCGGCGGCGCTGCCAATCCTGGGGCTGTGCGAGCTCGGGAACTGCCCGCAGACGGTGGGCTGCGGCGTCGTCCGGGGGACGGCGCGGCTGGCGACGGCGGCGAACGTGAACCTCGGGGCGTTCTACCTGGTGGGGATGCCGGTGGCGGTTGGGCTGGGGTTCTGGTTGGGGGTGGGGTTTCGTGGGCTGTGGATTGGGCTGCTGTCGGCCCAAGTGTGCTGCGCTGGGCTCATGCTGTATGTGGTGGGGACCACAAACTGGGAGTACCAGGCCGTCAGGGCCCAGCTGCTCACGTGCGGGGGATGTGGCGAGGCACCCTTGCCACGTGAGGATGGTGGTGACGAGAATGACGCCCACTCCTTGATTTCTCTAAAGCTGACGTCACTCTCACTCTGCTGATCACTGATTTATTTCTTTTTTTTTTGGGTTTTTGGAGATTCAAATGGATTTTTGTAAAAATGGAATTATATTGTTAGAAGAAATCCCTCCAGGAATGGAATTCGATATATGAATTATTGTTGTTACTATCATTATTATTAGATGAACATGGAGTGATAGTATATGTGTATTATGCCAATACAAGTAAGTCATCCAGCACGAGGTGGGACATTCCTCTTTCTCACTATCTTTAGCTATAACAATTAATTTATGTGCCCATATATGTAAAAGATTCAATTTTTATTTACATAAAAATGTAAGACTGGCATTGGTGTTACTACATAAGCTATCTCTTTCAAAAAATGTAAAGGAGATGAACGTTATATAAGACTGGCATGGTATTACATATCAGCTATCTCTTTAAATTAAAAATAAATAAATAAATAAAAATACAGATTAATTCATCAAATTGGCTGCTTTCTTTAGAGGACATATTTGTGACAAGGGTATGTGTGAATGAGACTATTAGATATTATTTACACTAAAAAGGGCAGCTGGCTACAAACTAAAAGTGAAAAGATGCATTGCAAGATTTTCAAGTAAAATAAATCAAAAGGTTTAAAAACTGGAATGGTTTGAATTTTTTTAAAAATATTTGATAATTTAGAAAATGTTTGAAAATTCTTGAAGCAAACAGTACTGATTGCACAGTTGCATATGGTCACCAACAGGCTCCAATAAAATAATATAGACTAAAAATCAAATAAAAAATATTTATACCATACACATACATCAATGACTCAATATATGTAAAGTATTTACCAGTGATTTCAGCATAGAAAAATTTGTTGGTAAGTTTATTCATAAAAAAAAAAGAAAAAAAGTACATACATATATATATATAATAAAAAATTCATGGCTTCCATATTTCCAACACATACATGTTTATCCGGACAAGACATACGTTTTTAAAATCTCTGCAAATGCAGAACTCATTAATTACCACACAATTTTACAAAAACAAGAATTCATCCACATGTACAAAAACCCTAGCTACTACTTAATTATTACCTTAAGTTTTTTTTTTTATTTTATGTTCTCAATTACTTGTAGTAACCAAGCAGTGAAAGTATTCCTATATATAGAAAGAAGAAATATTCACAAAAAAAAAAAAATGTGAAAAAGGGGGTGAAAAATGGGATTGGTAGCTAAATAGGTAAGAGAATGATTGAGCAAAGGGAAACAAAAAAGGGTCTTGTCTGCATTTTGTGTGGCAGATTGAGAAGATAACAACGATGATGATGATGCAATCTGCACGAGGGGAGGGGAGCATCTTTCCCAATTTCTGTAATATCTTCTTCCCCATCTCATCTGATCAGTAATTCAGAAAACCCTCTTCTTCTTTTTTTTTTTTTTTTTTGTGTGTGTGTGTGTTCCCAAACCCCACTACCACTATTGCATTGCAGGCAGCCAGCCAGCCACCAGCAAATTATTAATTAATTAATTTATAATTCATGTATATATATATATGCATGTATCCAGGATTTAAACAAATTAATAATCCAGAGCAGAGCAGAACAGTTTCGAAAAGATAAAAACTGTAACTGATCAAGAGTCAGACTTTTCTGCCATAAGAGGGCAAAATAAGCTCAGAAGGGGTGGGGCTGATTAGTACAGTGGCTGATCTGACACTACCCAACCCTAACCCTAACCCTCATCTCTTCTCTCTCTCTCTCTCTCTATACTGCGGTGTAAGTGCAAGGCCAGTTGGGCCATACATCTATCAAATTGTAATTTGTTGCAGAAGGAAAATGGGGGTTTGGGGGTCTTCATCGAGAAATTGCCAAATTCAGTCATGTCACCACATCAAGTACAATATTGGATTATTGTTTTCTTCTTGCATGATTCTTTCCTTTTTAATTCCTTTTTTTAAATTTCTTGTGTTTGTCGTTGTCTTTTATTTCATTTTTCGTATTTTTGGTTTTGCGAAATTGAGAGCTGAGAAAGCTTTCCTGACTCTCGTCGTTTCTTCAATTATTGGTGCTGTGCATTGATCAGTTTGATTTGACACTTTGTATTTTGTAATACACATTACATAAATTGCATATATATATATATATATATATAAGTATATCAATCCAATCAGACATTATGAAAACGAAACCCCTTCACTTTGTTTAAGAATTTTATTATCAAATTCAATTTATAGTGTCTTCTTACATACTCATATTTGGTCTGTTATGGGCAAATATTATGTTATATATATGAATATCTTATCCAAAAGTTTAATACTACTAGTATAGATATATAGGCATTTTGTATCTACTCATACTTAATTCTTCCTAAAATTCCAATAACGAATGTGTGTTTGTTTGGTTATTTCTTGAAACCAATAATTAATATATGGAAAACAACAAATGTTATTCAATTATTAGTGACACTGACATTTTTAATTTTTGTCTATAGAAATAATATGAATATACTATTGAATAAGAGTAGAGAATTATATATATATATATATATGCTTATTATTGCATTAAATCATTAACCTGTTTCCTTCTCAACCAAGGAAAGGAATTAGTTATTCACAATTAATTACGTATACCAATATTTTTTTTTTATTATAAAGTATTTTTATTTCAATATAACATAATGGATCCAATGTTCATGTTTCATATGACTCTCATTTATAACATATTTCAATAATGAGAAACATTGTGGGCCGCCCTACAAAAACACCCAATTACATAGCAATTCATTTGCATGTGTCTGTGTTTCTTGAAATAATTAATGGGTGTGTCTGTTTGGGGGTTTGGATTTTGAGTTGAGATTTGAATAGTAAAAAATTTTGAATTTGAATAGTTATATGATAGTGATATAAATAGGTGATGATGTGATGTTTTGAATGTAAAATTGATTTTTAGTATAATATAAAAAATGAAAAATAGGCGTTTGATTTGATGTTTTTGGGGGGAAAATTTTGGATGAACAGTAGGATTTTGTTAAAAACCTACAAACGAACACATACTACTCAATCCTAAACACCCTGCAACATTTTTATTTTGGTATGTCCAAAACACTCTTGCAACATTTTCAAAATAAAAAATAATTCATTATACTTAATATCTACTCCACACTTTATCTCCTCAAAATCATCCAAATAAAATAATAAAATATATATTTCTCTCTCCATCATATCACCTAATTTCTAAATTATCCTACTTAATACTACCTACCTAAAAACCCGTGTCAAAAGCAAATATTGCACTTTATTTGGGACGGAGTAATAAATATGATTAATATATATATATACATATTTATATCTCTTCCTTAATTTTTATGGGTATATATTGGAAAAAAAAAAAGCCACACAACATTAACAATATAAATCCTATATATCAATCTATCATTTCAATCCATCTTGGGCCTACTAATTCGATGTCATCACCTGCTAAAATGAAAATCAATTATACACACACACACATTACGCACATATATATATATATATATATTGTCAATATATTTAAATTCTGAAAATAATCAACAAATATATATATATATATATGTGTGTGCGCGATTGTGGACTAGAAGACAATGGTTAATTTTGGTGACATTTAATCACACATACTATTGTGACATGCAAGAGGAAAATATCTGTAATATTTAAAACCTAAACTTCATCGAAGGATAAGGCTACGACACACACACAAGTACATGTGTGTGTGTAAGTATAGCCCCCATGTTCTTGTGTTCTATCTATATACAAAACATGGAAAGGTCGAGAGAGTGTGTATAGAGGGCCATATTTTAGCAATATATATATATATATATATATGGCTCCATTCTTTCTTGAATTAGATCGACATACATAAATACATACAAAAATATTATGTAAGTGGATAGATGGGAGAAAAACAAAAGCAAAGAAAGACAACCTCATCGTAGGCCATGATGCTTCTCACATGCAAACCAAATAGCCAAATATTGCTGCACTCTCTCTGCCCCCATATATAATTTTATAAGACTCATTAATTCACTCGCAAATTAATGTCCCAGCCCCCATATCTAGTACATACATATATATATATATATATTCAACAAGTATCTGTGTGTATGCATATATATATATATACATGTTGCTCCATATATATTTCTCCGGTTCCACAACTCTCCAGCAAGGCCAGCCATCATCATTATAGTATTATATATATATATATATATATCCTAGCTAACCCATTATTCCATGCATTATACCTGTCGTCTATGCATGGCAAAAAGGAAACCCTAATTTAAAAAATATATATATATATATATATCTACTAGCTAGGTGTAGCCCCAAACTAGTTAGATAGGGAATGCAATGCAAATTAAGCCCTTTAATTTGTCGTGTAACAGCCAGCAGAGTTACACCGGATGATGAATATTCTTTATGGGCACCAATAGGAGTAGGAGAAGTAGAAGTAGAAGTAGGTTCTCATCATTTAATTAATTAGCAAGAGATAGGGTTTCTTGAATATTTTTATATATCTCATTCTCATAATTCAATTATGTTTTGCCCCCATCCACATAGCACTGTTGAAGGTTCTTTATTTCCCCAACAGTCATGACATGTTTCCCCAGCAGGAGACTCGAACCCAATTAACTATTAATATATATGCATGTTAGTTATTGGCAATTGGGTCGATCGATATACATATATATGGAATGGAAGTGACAAATTAAATTAAATTAAAGCTGCTTGGTGTTGGTGTGTCGTGTCGTGTGGGATATGATTAATATCTTTCAATATGTATCCTACCCTATCCTATCATATCATATCGTCTTTGGTTATATATATATATATATCATGTATAGGTTAGGTTATTAGGCAGCCATGATTGATTCCACTACTAACTACTACTACTACTGCTGCTGCTGCTGCTGCTGCTGCTGTGGTCTCCACCAAGAATGTGCACAATGTATGGCGCCTCCATCGATCTGCCTCTGCAATTGATCCTAAATCTTTAAGACCATGAAACTTGGAGCTAGCTAAGCTAGCAGGGGCACACCTACGAATGAATATATATATATATATATATGTGTGTGTACAGCGGAGTTATACAATTTAGATCGGTATACATTGAGTAAGATGGTATAATATATATTTCTTGGCAAATTAAATTGGTTATAAAATGAATTCCCAGCTTACAATAAAGTGGAGGTACCATTCATTCATTCATTTCTACAGAAGTAAATGTTAAAGAAATTTATATTCACTACAATAAAATATCATTTTTGTAATGAGATTGTTTCGTGATTAAGTTCACTTTTTCCGTTACTAATCATATTAGATACGGAATTAATGATGGAATTACGTTAGCTACATGATCTTTAGTGACGGAATTCTGTTACAAATATACTATTTTTTATTTTTTTGTGTGATTATTAAAATAATAATAATAATATATAAAACCTTAAGGAAGACCTTATGACTCAAAGAATATAGTTGTTTATGTTATTGGAAGTCAGGAAATGAATTTCCAATATAGTCGGAGAGAGTTGTGGAAGATGAAAAAGGTAAGCAGGTTGGATTGAATGAATTATATAATTTGGGCTTATAAAAAATTATAAGTTTGGATCCTGCTGGTGTGGGTAAGATTAGAAGGGCCCGTACTCTACATACAGGGCTAGGGCTAGGGCTAGCTCTGAATTGGATTGGATTGGATCATATTGGTTGATTTTAGGATTACAAGTGATCGAAGTGGACTGATTGGACATACAATACATATATATATATATATATGAAGTGGATCCATGTCTGTTTATGTATGTTTTTGAGTGAGTAATCATTTGACTGTTAGGAGATTGGTAATCAATACTACTCCATTTAATTATATGTACATAATTATGCATGTAAATGAAGGAAGCACAAAAGGTGGTAGGCAGTGATAAGAGTTTGGCAGCATTGCTATATATACACATATTCATATATGATGATGATGATATTGATATGGGCACGTACATACTATTTATTGATAATGCATGGGTCGTCCTCGATCCATCGATATATATATATATATATATATATATGATATTTGCAGGGATGGATCAGTCCCTTGCAGGCTCCTCTCTTCTTTGGTAATATCCTCTCCAGTACTAATTAATTGTTCATTCATTCTTACATTATCCATTGCATTACAATATCACGCATACACATATATGTAAGATTGGGAGATCATGCAATAATGCATCCATCAACTAAATCGACGACTGTATGTGACAATTGCCAAACACATACCAACAATTTTAATTTGTTCATCCATCCACCCTCTATATATATATATAATATGCATAGTGCTCTTAAATTACACTACACATATATAAATATATATATATATATACATATAATATGTATATTATAGGATATATAAGCTGTGGTACATATTCAGCCTATAATTTCTTAGCATGCACGCAGTCATTACTCAAGAAATTAACCTCACTATTACCCTTACCTTATTTATTTTTTTATTGTCTAAAAATAATCATAGCTGAAAAAAAATAAAAATGAATATCTCTCTATGTATATCATTCATGCAAGTTGTGCAAATTGTTCCATATTTGCAATTGAATGCACTGTGGAATCTTCCCATGACATTACAACAAAAACTGGCAAATTCCCAGCAGCAGCAGCTCCCATGAATTATATATATATATATATATATATATATTTATTTGAATATTTGCTCCGATACAAAGAGGCACTGCTACACATCCACATGATATATATATATATATATATATAATATAAGATTAGGATTAGGATCATGAATGTGCCTTGTAATAATACAAATGTGTTGCCTCGATCTCCAATGACGTGTCTTGCAAACTAATGCGAGTGTTATTATCATTATTGTTATTATTATTTGCACATATTTTTAAACTTATGTTTAGCATTATTTACCCATAATTTTCAATCTAAAAAATATATTACATTTTAAAACATATTTCTTTTACTTAAAATATTAAATAAATTTTTTTTTTCATTAAATATATTATATTTTAATATATATTTTTATTCAATATTGTATTATTATTTTCAATTATCAATATAAGCACTTAATTATATCTAAATCCAACCTTAGTTTTTCGGATAACTTGGAACAATTAATCACCCATGAACTTAATTCATTATTATGAATTTGTTTCATTCTGGTTTGAATTAAATTTTTTGCTTTAAATGATACTTTGATGTGCTTATTTCTCCCGTCACTTAAATTTGTGCTTATTTTCTTTTATTTAGTAAAAATATTATTTTTTTATCATAAAGAAGAATAACAAAAAATATATACTCACATTAAAATTGATATCCAAAAAATTGAGTATTTTTTTTTATGTCAATAAAAAAAAAATATTAATCAACGAAATATAAAACAAGATTGGCAATTAACATCTGTTAAAACTAAGACAATTTTTGATTTACCGACAAAGTCAAAGTTAAAGATGTATACTCTGTGTGAATGTGTTTTGGTACGTTTGAATTTATTTTTTTATTTTTTTCATTTTGATCTGTCTTATATCTATTTATTTTTTTAAGTAATTGTGCTATCTATCTAATATTACAAATATCTTTCTAATTTACAAAATATTACACAAATATCATTACATTTATATCCCTGCGTGAAAAAGTAAATGAATATATAAATATGTGACAGAGGGAGTATAATATTTTGATAAAAATATATTTATTATAAATAATAATATTTATATTATTTCACATTTGGAAAATTATTTTTTCCCTTAAATACTAGTTAATCCTTTACATTTTTATCAATTTATAATGTATATGGTAATATAAAGAAAATCCAATTATACCATAAAAATACGCAAGAATTAAACCACCAAATATTGAGATAATATAATAAAACTGGCCTTTGAAGTCAAAAGCTTTTGGGACTATTTTGGTCATTTCACATGTAGAATCTTCTTCAATTACTGAATATTTAAGAATATTGATCCACTTGCAATAAAAATCCAAATAATCACAATACGTTTGTTATTTTTATTATTAATAAGATAAATTCATTAGTATTTACAAAGAGACAATTTAATACACATTTTAAAGTAATTTTTGAAAAAGAAAATTTTTAAAGGGCATAAACATGGTTATGTCTTTATGCACGAGGCAAATTCAATGAGACCCAATTATTCATCTTGCCAAAATAGTTTTGCTACCATTGAATTGACTTAAGTATTTGCTTCTTTAAAATTAAATTTCGATCACATTGGAAATGCTAAGTTTTAAAATTAACTATTCAATTAGATTTAAAAAAAAAAAAAGACCCAATATGGCAATTAATTTCGCAGTTAGAAGTTTTTGGGTAAAGATAATATATACTACAGTTAGTAACAATGAAATTTTATTTTAGAAAATTTTAGAAATAACTAATTATCCAGTAATTAACGCATCAATAGTATGAGTCATTCATCCAAAAATCACAACACTAATAATAGTAATAGTAATAGCAATAGTGACAAGTATTACATTGCAAGTATAAATCTTATCCATTACAGAGAAATGAGGAAGACAGAATCTAAAGATTTTAGTAGATACAGTTAAGGTAAAAGATAAAACTAAAGTAGGTCAGAATTTCTAACTTTTGATGTATTAGACAGATTTTTGTATTCGTTATATCTGAAAAATCTTTCATTGCTCTAAACTCCAATTCATGCTGTCATTTTCTTCCCACCCTTTTCATATAAATTATACGAAATGAAATAAATCACTTTCAATCTTGATTAAATATATATATATATATATACACAGAGATTGAATTATTGTTCTTGAATTGCCATCCCTCTATCCAATCGCAGTTTAATTTTCCATTGTAAATGCAATCTCCATCCCCTGTGTTTGCAGTACGGCTTCAATTGTATTCAGTTTGTATTTTTCTTTCCATTTAGTTGACGCGAATTTTCATTGTATATTCAATATACATACATATACATATATATATACGTACATTCGATAGATACATACATAGCTATCGGGTAAAACTAAAACCCACCAATAAAAGGCGAACCAAACCCAACCAAAGAATCGATCTTTATTGGAAAAAATCATAAATCCGGCGAGTATTTTCTTTCCCCTATCGAAGGAGGGCGAGGTCGTGTGTGGTGTAGGTTTTTTCTGTTCTTGCTGTTGTTGTGGTCGGCGATTTTCAAGAGGATGGGCAAGGTGGCGGTGGCGGCAGCAGTGGTGTGCACGGCGGCGGCGGTGGCCGCCGCGGTGGTGATTGCGAGGCGGCAGATGAGGAGCTCGGGGAGATGGGTCAAGGCGGAGGCCATTCTGAATGAGCTGGAGGAGCAGTGTAGGGCACCCATCTCCAAGCTCCGCCAAGTCGCCGACGCTATGACGGTGGAGATGCACGCCGGCCTCGCCTCCGAGGGCGGCAGCAAGCTGAAGATGCTCATCAGCTTCGTCGACAACCTCCCCACTGGGTATGCTCAACTACACACACACATATATATATATATATATAATTGAATGGATCTTTTCGTGTTCCTGGTTGTTGTTTCTCCATAGATTTGGTTGTTGATGCGTATGGACATAGTTTTCTGATGATTCACTTCTAAATTGTCAAAATTGAGCCTTTAGGGTTAAAGCTCTGCCCAATTTTGGGGGAGGGGAAATATTCCTTTTCCCTAAATTGAACTGAATTTTAGGTAGCTCTTCTACACAGGAATGTCTTTTTGTGCATCAATCTCCTGAGTTTGCACGATGAGAATGACCTTTTTCAGGCCAAGATTTCCATTGATTTGCTAATAGATGCTACAGTAGTTAATTTTCTGTATGTATGTCTTTGTTGTGTCTATATTGTTGATCTGGGAACAGTATTATCGATAACTTTTGGCCCTTTTTACTAGAATCTTATTTGGCGTAATTGTCGAATGTATTCTTGTTTATCATTAATTGTCATCAGTAAGATAAGCTCTTTAAAAGTTGTGTCACTTTGCCTATCTTGCAAATATGTTACTTTGCTTTCAAATTAAGCACCCGGCATATACTTTGCTTTTCCTTTTGGGTCTATTGTTGTTCATTTGACACGGGGAGTCGGGTCCCTATTCAATAAACAAGATTAGTGGTCTTATTTCAAGATATTCCATTTTGCTTTAAGTGATGTTTTATGTTTTTTAATTTGGTGTTCATTTCTGGATGCTTGTGATAGCCAGCACCAACCTTTTCGCTTTCATTTTGAGATCGTTTGCCAATCATCTATTGACTATCGTGTTGGAATATCCATTTCTGCCATTGCTTACATTTCTGCAACTTCTCAGAAAGTCAGATCCACATTTAGCTTTTCCTAAACTGTTTTGTTGTTCTAGAACTGAGTCATGCTGTGAGAAGTATGGTTTCAGATGTTTAAAAGTTTTGTAATTTTAGGGATGAAAAGGGATTATTCTATGCATTGGATCTTGGTGGGACAAATTTCCGTGTTATGCGAGTGCAGTTGCGTGGAAAAGAGACTGAGATTAAGCAAGAATTTGAAGAAGTTTCCATACCTCCTCATTTGATGGTTGGATCGTCCCATGTGAGTGTTCTCCTACAATTACATGAAAATGCTGTTTGAATCATTGCCTATTCTCTTATGCTGTTGGTGTTTTTGATTCAGGAATTATTCGATTTCATTGCTGATGCTCTAGCAAAATTTGTTTCTACGGAAGGTGAAGACTATCATCTTCCACCTGGCAGGCAAAGGGAGCTCGGCTTCACCTTTTCTTTCCCAGTTCGGCAATTGTCATTAGCATCAGGAACTCTAATAAAGTGGACAAAAGGCTTCCTTATTGAAGATGCTGTTAGTATCTTACCTTCTTTCACTGTATTTACTATCTCATGGTTCGATCATTACTATATGCTATTTGTTCCTTCTTGTTGCCCCTATAATCGGGAATAATATGAAAAGCTTATGACGCCATTGGCATACGGATGAATATTCATTAATGATTTAGTTAAATGACGACTCTTTTATTTGCGACCAGGTTGGACAAGATGTTGTGGAAGAGCTGACAAAAGCGTTGGAAAGAGCCAGCCTTGATATGCGCATCACTGCTTTGGTAAGCCTTCCTTACGATAGTAATTTGCATACGTCTTTGTAATCTAAAATGAACTTTTCGTGTCCAGAATAAAGATTCTCTGCCGCATCCATGCTTATAAAACATAAAACCTTCCTGGCTGCTCCGTGCAGGTCAATGATACCGTTGGAACATTAGCTGGAGGACGATTCACCAATCCAGATGTCATTGCTGCTGTAATTCTCGGAACAGGAACTAATGCTGCATATGTTGAACGAGCGAGTGCAATTCCGAAATGGCAGGGTCTGCTGCCGAGAAGTGGGGAAATGGTAAGTGCTTTCAAAGCTTCAGAAACTGAATAGAGCTGTTTATATAGTAATTAAATTGATCTGCAACATTCCTTTCGATGTTAAAGGTTATAAACATGGAGTGGGGGAACTTCCGATCGTCACATCTTCCACTTACCGAATATGACCAAAGCCTTGATGCAGAAAGTTTAAATCCCGGGGAACAGGTAAAGCTCAGGAGACTTGGATTCATCGATATTGTCCAATGCTAAGGCTGCTGTGGTTTCGCATGTCATGTGTCTTTTGCTGTGTTGCTGCTGCAGATATTCGAGAAAATAATTTCCGGGATGTATCTTGGTGAAATTGTTCGTAGAGTTTTGTGCAGGATGGCTAAAGAAGCATCCTTTTTCGGTGATGACATCCCCCCGAAACTCAGCATTCCCTTCATTTTAAGGTAAGGGATGATGGCAGCATTTTCTCAAATCTTGCCAGTTGATTTAATTTGAACTTAAAAAAGGCATGGCAACTGTGCGAACATTGTGCAGGACACCGGACATGTCTGCAATGCACCACGACACCACCCCCGATCTCAAAGTGGTTGGAAACAAACTTAAAGACATTCTAGAGGTAAAACCCGAATTTTATAGAGGACTACCATTAACTCTATATTTAGCAAGACATTCGATTTCTTATCTGCAACTTGCTCTGCAGGTACCCAACTCTTCCTTGAAAATGAGGAAAATGGTGGTGGAAATTTGTGATGTTGTGGCCAAACGTGGGGCTCGCCTTTCTGCAGCAGGGATCCTTGGTATTCTCAAGAAACTAGGAAGAGACGAGGTAAATGAAGGGGAGAAGCTGAGGTCTGTCATAGCCTTGGACGGCGGGCTGTTCGAGCACTACACTAAGTTCAGGAACTGTATGGAGGATACCCTCAAAGAACTGCTGGGAGAGGCTGCTGACAACGTTGTCGTTGAGCATTCAAACGATGGATCCGGCATTGGAGCTGCTCTTCTTGCAGCATCTCATTCGCAGTATCTTGACGTTGAGGAGTCCTGACAACGATAGCTGTTAGAACCCTATACAAATTTTCCTTAAGGGGGTACTATTTATGTAGCAAGAAGTGTTGTTCCTGTTTTTAGTAAACAGCAAGGGGACATGAGGTTTGTGGTCTCGAGAGGCTCTTGAAAGACTGTTAATACAGCTTCACAAGCTGGAGCTGCTCCAGTGTCCATGGCTGGACGTGTTGTGTTTCGTTGGAGCATTCGGGCACTCGTGAAAGATCGACAAACAAGATGAATAATTGATGTTGTGGGTTCGAAGTGTTTAGCACTGGGAACATTCTCTCTAGGTTTGCTATGTGAGAATATGTTGCAAATTTTTTTAAAGCATCTCCCCAAATCCACTGGGATGAATGAACTTTTTGTGGAGACTATCTTTCCATCGTGGTCTTGTTTTCTCTGCAAATTTCACTCTTGAACAAATTGAAAACATTTCATCTTCTTGTCTGTTCCCTTACAAGTTAACAGGTTTTTAAAATGGTAAGAATGGTGAGCAATTCCTTGCAAAGAGAATTACATTACATGACATTGGCAAGTGATGAAAAATTCACATTATGCAGTAATTTATGCATTCAGATAGCCCATTAGATAAGAGAGTGTGTGTGTGTGTTCTTGACAAGGAAACTAAGCTCAAGTAGCCAATATTGATGATGCAAATAGCTTTCGTTGCTTTCCTCTCATTGGAAGAACTCTCTCCTCAGCAATTGTGTTTATACTTTTAGCAGCTGCAATCTGCAAATGATATGAAACGCATCAGTGCAGTTAGATATCCACAAAGTTAGTTGAGTATTTAAGATTTGGGAATTCTTTGATTATCTTGAAATCGTTTCATTTTGCTTCAAACATAGTCAAACAAGTGGGAACCTAAACTGTTATATTACCATCAAACAGATCCTTTAGATTCTCTGCATCATTCAGAACTAAAAGCTACTGAGAAATTCATCATTTGCAATAGAAATCATCTATACACAATTCTACTTCCAATACTGACATTATTCGGCCTACAAAAAAAGAACCCACTATTCAATTGACATTTCATCATCAAGCATTAACAGAACATATAATCTGGATCAGGCATCTAATAGATTTGTCAATCGCAACAGCACGGATAGTAAAACATGCATTTTCTACAAAACATTAAGTCAAACAGTTTACCAGATGGAAATGCTGCTTTCTTTTTCAGGCAGAAGAGTTCGAACTTGCAGGCTGAAGAGACACGTTGTTGAGCCTCTCCAGTGCCAAAACCAGCGCCTGAGTACCCAAATCGCCCTCCCCATACGCCTTGAGAGATAAATACAACTGCTGAGCCAATGCCAGGCCAGGCAAAGCCAATCCCATGTTCTGACACTCCCTCAAACAAATCCCTAAATCCTTCACGAAATGGTTGACGTAAAACCCCGCCTCGAAATCCCTGTTCAGTATCCTGCTACCGTACAAGTCCAGCGACTTGGATCCCGCGGCTCCCGTCGAGATCGCATTCAAGTAATTGCTCAAATCCAAACCAGCCTTGTGCGCGTAGACCAGACCCTCGCATAACCCCACCATGGTGGAGGCGATGGTCACTTGGTTAGCTAATTTACAGAATTGCCCCTTCCCCGGCCCGCCCATGTAATAGACTCTCCCCAAGAGGTTCAGCAGAGGGGTCAGGCGAGTAACCACGGCTTCATCGCCGCCGGTGAAGATAGACAGTGCGGCGAGACGCGCGCCGCGGTCGCCGCCGGAAACAGGGGCGTCGACTGAAGAGCAGCCCGCGGCGGACGCGGCGGAGTGAATTTCCACAGCGAGGGAAGGATCTGATGTTGTCATATCGATTATCACGCCGCCGGGGTGTAGGCCGGTTAGGGCGCCGGACGACGGGTCCAGGATGACCTGGCGGACGTCGGACGGGTAGCCGACGATGGAGAAGACGACGTCGGATTGGGAAGCGAGGGATTTCGGAGAATCAGCCCAGTGAGCTCCCATGGATAGTAGGGTTTCGGCCTTGGCCGGCGTGCGGGTGAAGACGGTTACGGCATACCCGGCCTTGAGGAGATGTGAGCACATCGATCGTCCCATCACACCAGTGCCGATCCAACCCAGCTTAGACTTCCCTGGGGCAATTGATTCGGCGTCGGTCGCCATGGAGGAGGAGGAGCGGCGGCGGCGGGTTTCGATATTCAAGTGGCGGAGGGGGCGGAGCAGTGATGACCACACTCGCATCCTTCGTACCAAAGGCCCAATTGTCCGCCTTATCCGAATAAGGGTATAAATGTAATTCTGCAGAACCTTCAAGGCTGGTTGAGTAATTTCCATTGACCCCGCATTCCCTCCAAAATATCTCGAATATGTAAGTTGCTAAAAGTAAAAATTCTACTAACCAAAAATTTGATTAAACAAAAATTAAAACCCGATTCAGATAAATGAAATAAATAAATAAATACACAGACAGGCTGCACAAAACGAAATAACGACAAAGCGGTCATGTGAGTGAGGCTGCCCGCCTGTCTTATTGCTAAATAAAGCCTTTTTATGTTTATTGCCAAATATATGTATAGTAAAAAATAAATAAATAATATTGATATGATTATGGGCCATTCTTTCTATTTCAACCAGCCAATTGACAGCTCTATTTGCTTGTCACTATGCCATGACGTGTGCTTCCTATAATGTTCTTTTCACGGCTCATAACCCATTAATTTATTTATTTATTTATTTTTTTAAGTATTTTCTTATTTTTAGATATTATAAAAATGACTATGCAAAATTGAAAACGTATAGAAACACAATACCGGATATTTAATATAACCCTGTTGGCATTTAAAAATAAAACGTGTAGCGATGCACAACATGTACAACTAAATTAAATACTAGTATTTTTTTAATTTTTTTTATAACGTTGAAATTTCACCGATGTTATTCGAAATTAAATACTAATATTAATTTGGTAAAGGAGCATATCATTTTATTTATTTTTTTAATAGAACAATTAAATTTAAATTATAGAAAGCTATATATGTTATTTTTATACAATCAATTTCAATGAGTAAATATGCGTTGGACTAGAAAATTAATTAATTAAAAGGGAAAAATAAAAAATGGTCCAAATGGAAATAAAATCAATTAATTTTGATCTCGTTATAAAAAAATTTATCATTTTATCCTATTATAATTTCACTATTATTATAATTTTTTATTTTTTATTTATTTTTATCATTTTTGGCCCTATTGGTAGAAAAAACTAATGTCAATGTTAATGTGGATGTAACTGTTCCGATATAATATTCAATTAGAATTAATACAACCGTGTTTTAAAACAACACGATCGTGTAGAATAAAAAGTCAAACAATTCCAAAACAAACATGGTTGTATTAAAAAAATAATACGATCATGCAGAATATAAACACATGCACATATTGATAAGTGTTTATAAATTCTAAATATTATTTTCAAATATTATAAATTGAAAACTTTAAAATAAATTTATGGTATACAATCATTTTTCAAAAAATAAAATTAATATAAAATATAAGATAGATATAAATGACTATATAAATACGGTAGATACACGGAGAAAAATATTTTTTTTAGTAGAATAAAATCATAAGTGCATCTGTTTTTTAAAATAACACATTCTTTCAAATAACATATGACATGTTCTATGTGAAAACATGGAATGTTTGTTTATATCTAAATGATTTTAATGAATATATAAACATAAATTATGTATTGTCTATCATCATATCATATATAGTCTACTGTAATATGATGCATGGTCAATTTTATACTGAATTATACTCATTTCGTTTATTTAATGAGTATATATCTTTTCATTTTTTTATTATTCAAATATAAAATATTTAATTCTCATTTTGATATGTATAAACCAAGGTATACATTACAAATAATATCGGATTTATATTTATTTACATCAATAAACTTACATTAACTTGACATATCATAGGGTAAAATAATTTTTACATGCTAAAACTATTATTAGGGTATGGATCAGCAATCATATGATGTTGATTTTATCGGATTAGTCTATGCTATGCGACTAATCATCATATATATATATATCTCAAAATATATATTATATTATAGTTTAACATATTTATATTATAATTCACATATGTTGTACCATGTATTTATATACCAGGTTATGTGTATAACATATGTTGATCCGATCAAATTAATATTGTCTTTCTTAGCGGAATCAACAGCCCTGTTATTAATGTATATATATTTATGATTTTCGTATATTTCAATAATATATAGATTATTGACTTTTATAAAAAAATTTATTTTTTAAATATAGTTATCTCTTAATTGTAGATATAGTTATCTCTTAATTGACTTTTATAAAAATGTAGTTATCTCTTAATTGTAGATATAGTTATCTCTTAAATATGGTTATCTCTTAATTGACTTTTATAAAAATATTTAAAAATTAAATATTTTTAAAAGTAAATATATCAAAATTATTTTATATTTTTTCTATTCATTAATAAAATATAGTTATCTCTTAATATATTATCATAAAGAATAAATTAAACTTACTCATAAAGTTATATTTATATTATATAAAAATCGCTATTTTTTGTTACAGATCATAAGATTCAAACAAAAATAAAGCTTAGTAAGCAAATCCTATATTTTCATAGTATTTATATTATAAAGCGATGATCTGTATTTAAAATATAATAATAATAATTAGATAATCACTTTAAAAATAGTACAAGTTAAAAAGCAAAAAATATTTTGACAGGCATGTGAAATAAGAAAACGCAATGAAAGAGACAGCGAAGATTCGGATCATAAAGCAGCATCTTCCTTCCTCATTAGTTGTCAAAACCCTACCTATCCGAACGTGCCACGTGGACAATGGGACCCACTCGTTATATCCAACGGTCGCTGCCCCTCTCTCTTGTAAAAACTCACAGAAATTATTTTCCCATTTTCTTAAAAAAATTTTAAAATTAAAAATAAAAAATCACCGCAGTTATAAATTCACGCGGTCAGAGGAAGTATTGCCCTTTCTCTCTCCCCGCTGTTCTTCTCTCTCTAAATTCAGTGTACCTTTCCCTGCCGTCTATGGCTATCTGAGAGGGCGGGGATAGGCCGAGGGGAGAGATTCAGTGAAGTTGCAGAGGATTGAGTGTTGGTTGTTAGTCCTTGGAATAGGTGCGCGACGTTTATCGTTGGCGCATTGCCCTCCCGCGGGTGGATTGTAGATACTTGGGACAGAATTAGCGTGGAGGAGCTAGATACGATTTTGTGGATGCAGACGGCAATGTGGTCGTTTGGTTCGTTGGATGCGTTTCTGTTCGCTGCGAGTAGGGCTTTATGTAGTCCTATAGCACTTTTTGTTCAGATCCAGGTGTGTAGTTCAGGTGTTTCGAATTTCATGTCGGAGAGAAAGTTTTTTTGAGTGGTTAATCCTTGTTTCAATAGGTTTTGAGCTTGTTTGCCGTGTTAGAGTTCAGAACTTGCAGGAGCTTAATTGTGGTGGCACTTTGTGCTGGGTTAAGAATATTCTTCTTCAGAATAGCCTTAGGGACTCTGTTTTATCTTTGATCTTGTTTCACAAGTGTGATGGCAAAGATGTGTTTCTTTGATTTGTCAGGTAGATCTGGGCAGTATGATAAAGCACAATGTTGGAGTCAAATCTGTTTTTAATTGAATTGTTGACAATATGTGGGAATTTAACCCTGGTTGCTTGAATTCTTAGACCATAGATTCGGAATATGACTTTGGTCAGACTGTAATAATCTGTTGATGTTATTAACTTAAAAATTCCAACAGCTCTGCCTCTTATTGTTAGAAATTTTTATCCTTTTGGAACGTGATGGAGGTTAGGTGGCTGGAATTTTCATGATAATGGTTCAAGCAGGAAATTTCTGAGAGCATTAATTGTTGCTGTGCAAGATTTTCCTCCTGTATAATAACATCCCTGAACTTCGATATCCAAACTCTACAATGCTTAGTAGAATCATTTGCAGAGATACTGAGTTTAACTTTAGTATCTTTTAGCAAGTGCTTACAAGCTTCTAGTTGATGATTTGAGTTTGCATAATATACCAGTTGTCATGCACTGACAATTCGTTATTAGTTGTTTATTTCCTTTGACTGAGAGAGGTGAACCTTTTAATATTTTACTATAATTTTGGAATTTTTAGTAACTTTAATGTACTGTTAATATAGTGCATCATCTCTAAAAATCAATAAATTATAAATCAGAAGAAATTTTAAAATTGGAACTTACATGTTATACTATTCAGCTAATAGATGGAATTTTCTGCAGCATTCTTTTTGTGTATTAAGCCAAGCTTCCATCATGTTATTTGATTACTTATGAAAATTCTTACTCTGCTTTTTCTCTTATCCAAATATGTAACCTAGTGGATTTCATCTTGGATTTTAGTAATAGTACTACCTGCACATTTCTTTCTACCTCAGGCCTGAGCAGTTTGGATCTGAGTGAAATTGTCTGTTGATATTTCAGGGATTTTTCATTTGCTTAGTTCTTGCACTTGGTTGGGCTTTGGCTTCTTATGTCAGGTACTTTTACAATCTATTGTTGTTGTTGATACCATTCACTTGTTACTATGCTGTAGTTATTATGTTTCTCATCTTTACTTGAAATTTGTTGTTGCAGGAGTAAGGAGATAAAGCGGATTGAAGAAAGCAAAGAAAGAGGCAACGATTTTTCTTTTCTTTGTCCCAATATTAATGATCTGGAACATTCTAACCAGGTCGATCTACCAAGGGTATCAGTTGTGATGCCTTTGAAGGGATTTGGAGAACACAATCTACATAATTGGAGAAGTCAGGTGAACTCTTCTTTGTCCAATTTAATACAACTCATCAGCATTATTCAAACTTTCCATTTTGATATTAATGTCAGCATACTGTTTAACTGGCTCCAGTGATGACTAGCTTTGAAGAAATGGAATATTATCAAGCACCCTGCCATTTGCTTCTTGCTTTTAATGTTTACCCTATTAGAACATATCAAGCAATGGATAACTGAGGGAAATATAAATCTGATGCTGTTTTGGTTGCTGATTGCTGCAGATTACCTCTTTATATGGTGGGCCCCAGGAATTTCTTTTTGTGGTTGAAAGTACTGAAGACCCTGCTTACCATGCTGTTTCACGACTGCTAAAGGATTTTGAGGTTTGTCATTTTGTTCTATCTTGAATGCTTATAGTATGCATTTTATTCTCTTCACATAAGTGCAACCAACAATTGTCTCTGTGAATTCACTATTTGGAATAAAAAAAAAAATTCTCCTATATAATGTGCATCAAAATCAATTATATAATTGCCTTTGATTGGAAGCGTAAGTGCAAGATTTTTAGTTTAGCCACTTTCTTAAGTTTCTTGATGAGTTTCAGTTTGACAATCATTTCTTCTCTTCTTTTTAGAGCAATATAGCAAGGTTCGTGCTTATGTGAGTTTGAGCTTGGCCAACTTTTATGACTCATTTCCATATGTGATTTCCATTAACTTTCCTGAGTAAACTACTATTCTTATAAGCTGTTTTATTGTTGGCCCATCCAACCACTCACAAAGTTTACTATGAGCTGACCAGTCTTTGTTTGGAGTAATAGGTAATTTATTCTAGGAAATTTATACACGGATTTAAGATGCTATCTACTATTCTAGGCTATAATGTTTGATCCATCTTCATAAAGGAAGTCGTAAATGTTAGTAATGCGATATATTTTTCTTCATCTGGCTCCAAAGTTTCATACACAATGTATATGCTATCTTTTAGGCATTGTGGCAGGAAGTTTATAAATTAGTGTCACATAATTTTTATGTACTCTGCCAGGTATTTGGGAGAAGATAAGCGACTGATTATTTAATCCACACCTCTATGTGTCCTTCAATTTCTTTAAGATAGTTAATTTTTTGTGTTTTATTGGTTTGTTTGAATGCCCAAATTGTAATTTATAGTAGTGCTATATTTTTCAGCATTCAAGGCTTGGCAGAAATACATTTGCTGCTTTGTTGTTAAGCCTTGGGTCTCTCATATGTGAACTCTAATAATGCAGGATGACATTGAAGCTAAAATCGTGGTAGCTGGTATGTCAACGACATGTAGTCAAAAGATTCATAATCAGCTGGTATGGAATCATTAGAACTGAAAGTGACTGGGCAAAAAGATCTTTGTTATATATTATATTCCTGAGCATAGTATAAATCTATAAAGTCTATTTATGCAGTTGGTGGTTGTCCAAATGAAGGGTCTTTATTGATGTTTTTGGAAAGTATGAAAGATTTACTCCTAAAAATATTTTTTGAAACATTATCATAAGCATATGTGACATTATTGATATTGCATGTGATTTGCATGGTTGTGCAGGTGCTTAAAGATCTTAAGTTTGGCATTCATAAATTTTAAGGTTTTTATCAACACAGACATCATTTTTTGGTGCTTAAGAGACCCATAAGAATTTTTCTGTATCCTATGTAGGTGTTGTAGCTCTTAAAAATAAGACTCTTACACCATCTAATACAGACAGATCCTTTCTGGAAGTTGCATTGTGATTTGTGTTGATTGTTGACATTTAAGTTGCTTATAAAAGGTTTAAAGAAACACTTTTGGCAATTGTGAAAAGTTTATACTCTCCCAGAAAATGTGTTTCAGTTATTCTGCTATGGTCTGCTTATGAAGTGTTTTAAATCATTCAGTGATGGTTAATACCTTTCTAGATAAATCAAATCAAGTGGGTTCATGCCAGTAATGAAATGCAATTGCAAAATATTATATTGTTTCAAACTCCACCTTATTAGAGTAAATTGACCCACTGCTATAAACAAATTACGGAATATTGAATTTCATTATCATGTGGTTGTAGATTTTCTGTTGTTGGAGGAATTAACACATTTTATTACATTTAAAATGTACTTTGTTATTTATATTTTCACATGAGGTGATCATGTTTGAGTGCGTGGCCCTATGGCTATTTATGTAAAAACTGCTTTGTGTGCAACTCTTTATGGAGATAACCTGCGGCAACGAGCATAATTATAATATATATAAAAGAAATTATAAGATATAATGATAGGTGAGACCGTGAGATGGTCATTCTAACACATCAAGTGATTACATTTGCAGGTTGGGGTAGAGAATATGCATAAAGATAGCAAGTATGTGCTATTTCTAGATGATGATGTTAGGTTGCATCCTGGTTCAATAGGAGCCCTCACTGCAGAAATGGTGAAGAATCCAGATGTATGTTTATATATTTGCTATAGTCTATTTTTATGCATCATTTCAATTCGAAGTGGATGCTCTTAGGCCTGTATTACCTGTTTCTTGAAATGAATCTTGTGGAAAATGTTCAGATATTTATTCAAACAGGATACCCTCTTGATTTACCATCTGGAAGTTTAGGAAGTTACTGCATATACGAGTATCACATGGTAAGTTGGCATCGACTTAGTACTTCTGTGTGGAGTAGTTTGCTGTTTTGTTTTACAATTAACGTGATAGACTGTGTTATAGCTTTCATGGGCTCAGTGCTTGGCAGGTGTGCGATGGTGGGAGAATAAAGATAGGAAGATTGCTGTGCATGTGAATATAACAACTATTTTTATTTGTGGTGTGTCCTGGGTCAATGTACCGTTTTCAATAATGGATCCTGTATCTATTTATCCTGATACTTGGAATAAATTTCATTAGAAAGCTTCTCAAAATTATGGGTTTGTTTAATTGTATTTCCAACCTTATTTCTGAGCTATTCATTAAAAATTCCCCTCTAAAAAAAAAATCACAACAAATACCTATTTTCATTTAAAATATTACATCCATTTTTCTTATTCTTTAAAAAAAAAAAAAAATTCATTTGAAAATATCTCATCAAACACCTATATTTATCATTTAAAAAACCTGTGTCTGCAATTCTTAGTCGTGTGCAGTTGATGTTTCTATTCAAATTTAGGGCAATATGCATCAAGCAAAGGCTATTCATTTTAGTGAGGAAGGGGAGTTTAATAACTGAAGCAATTTTAGAAAGCCCCTGAATAGGTTTTCTTTCCGAAGCAGAACACATTTATCCCTTACCTAGCCAATGATGCATAAGTTAGGTCATTATAATTTCTTCTCTTTCCCGTCTTCTCTTTTTCCTTAACTTATTGTTATGCTTAGAAGTAAACATTGGGATCTTGACATTATATTTAGGTCGTTATAAAAATTTGTTGCTTTGTTCTTGATTGAGAAAGAAAAATGTGCCTGTACTCCTGAATTGAATATCTGGGAAAATGAGAATGAATAAGCATTTCTTGCACCGCATGATTCCCTTGTGATGAATACCAAATAACATCCAATGCCCACCTACTTGCTCTTTTTACTGGTCATTTTGTCTGCTTTCATATATAAAAGTTTTCTTCACATTGCAAATTTTAACTATAATGCAGCCTTGCTCTATGGGGTTTGCTACTGGTGGAAAGACATTTTTTCTCTGGGGGGGATGCATGATGGTAAGCATTGCGTGCATATTCTAATGTTTATTTCTTCTAAGTTGTACATCACCTCACTGTTAACTTCCTAACTGCAGATGCATGCTGATGATTTTAGAACGAATAATCATGGCGTTGTTTCAGACCTGCGAGATGGGGGCTATTCCGATGACATGACTCTTGCTGCTATCGCTGGTAAGTAATTTGCTGGCCTCTGTGTCCTGTGTCTTAACTGTATTGTGTTTTGTTCATGTGTAAGATATGCTACAAGGTATCTTGATTTACAAGATGTTGAGCTACACTACTTTGTCTTCTGTTTCCCAGCATTCCTGGATAATTGATCTTGCTGCTGGAGGCAACTTCAAGTGATTCCAATTTGAATATAACTTTAGCTGCTGAGTCTTTTGTTCTTTGCAGGTGCTCATAAACGACTCATTACATCACCACCAGTCGCCGTTTTCCCACATCCGCTTGCAAGTGATCTTAGCTTTGGCAGGTTTTTACTTATTCTGACTTGATCCACTTAAAACTGATCATTTAGCTTAAAAGCAATAACTGGTATTTTCTGCTTTGATCTGTTTTCTAAAGATTTTTATTTTTGTGTGGAGGTATTGGAATTATTTGAGGAAGCAGACTTTTGTTTTAGAGTCATATGCCACAAGGGTGAATTGGATGATGAACAAGGCATTATTTTCTACTCACTGCTACTTATCATGGGGGTTTGTAGCACCATATATCATGTCTGCAATACATGTGGCTGCAGCACTGAGGCTTTTCGTTGAAGGATATTCATTTAGTGAAGCAGCATTGCCACATACTGGTTAGTATTTTATCTTCTTAAACCAAGTGCTGTAAGTTACATGAATTTGGAGCTTGATTTGTTATTGTGGGAGCATATAGAATCACTCTGGTGCTTTGCTATTATTATTATTATTTTTTTTTGCAGCTGCCATTCCCAGGAATTCTCTTTATTTTTTGAACTGACTTGCAACTTCTGATTTCTGCTGCTTCTAGTTTCTGATGTGGATTTGTTACTCACTCGGTGTTTTGTTTCTTTACATAGTAGTTATTGATACACAAACAAGTAATATTCTCCAACTTTCCCACTTTCCCATTCTTTAGGATGAAGTGTTGATCTTTTAGAGAAAATGTTTTGATGGTTAGTTTTTTTTTTTTTTGTGGAGAGTAAAAGATTTTGATGTTGGTTGCTTCATATCATACTTGCTAAATCAACTTATCCTTAAGAAAAAGGTATTAGTAGTATTTTTTTTCCCTTAGCTACTAAAACTAAATTACAAGGCAGGCCCATGGTAATGGGATGAATGATATGTGAGATCACAAAAGCAAACAGCCAATGTTTTGAAGTTCATGAACCTCTGATTTTCAATAATATGATGCACAGCATTTTCAGTCCAATTCAATGATTACTGACATAGCTGCCTCCGCTCCTAGTCATTTGATTCTCTGTTAATGATGAACTGCTTTTCTTTTGCAGGGTTATTGTTGGCTGGTTGTCATACAATATGCACAGTTATCGAACTTCTTTCAATGTGGAACCTGACAAGAATAGAGGTCCACCTGTGCAATTTATTATCCCCAGAGGCTCCTCCATTATCACTTGCATCTTATAACTGGTGTCTCGTAAGCTCATTTTTTTCTCTTCAAAATTTTATTTTATAGCGAAATATCAAATTCGAGACAGTAGAAAAGAACTTGAAACTACAGATACCGAGCATCATGATGCCTTCCCTGTAATAGGGGCTTTTCATTTGACTCTATTGATAAATGCAGACTTGTTCCATTCAAATGCTCAAGTTTTTGGTCTTCATAGAACGATTCATACTAAAGTTATAATTCATTTTAAGGTGCTTATAGTAGGGTGGATCACATCTTACTACAGTCATAATAATCTCTTGAATTTCTGCTAAACAGGTGTTTGTCGCAATGTTGGTTGACAATTTTCTATATCCTATATCAGCCATGCGGTCACATTTCTCTCAGTCTATCAATTGGTCGGGCATCAGATATCATTTAAAGGATGGGAAGATAAGCAAGGTAACTGCAACTTCTACTCAAGTTCTATTAACTGTTGCTGCTAATGGATGAAAATGGTGAATGGAAAAAACCACAAGAAAGGTGGAAAACTATATACTCATGATTTTTTTTGTGTGCAGATTGAAAGAAGCAAGGGTAAGGGACCCAAATTTACGGATTTAGGAGGAAAACATTTGTACGGGAGGAGGGGAACTCCGAACAACTTCTCATTCCTTCAATCATTGTCCAGAATTCTTGCCCTCTGGACACAGCCCAAGAAATATGATGTATAGAGCCGGGCATGGAGTTTATGGTACAGATTGTGCTCTTCTTACTTTTGGGTTTCTGTTTCCGATGAAGTTACAAGTACAAAAAAGATACCTTGAATTTGTTGGGGCCTATTGTTTGCGAGTGTAGCTTTTTGGAGGTGATTATTTTGCTTAGAAATAGGATACACAATCAATTGGATGGAGGGAGGGAGGTTTGATGCCTTGATGATCATGATTGTAATCCTCCTATTGTTATTATTCATCTGTGTAGTTTATGACATTATTTATTCATTGACTTACAGATTGTATTCTTTGTGGATGGTGATGCTATGCTTGTTATTCCATATTTGCTTACTATTTGTCTAATTCATCAAATTGAGGCCCTATTAATTTGGTCCTCAATACATATTTGTTTCCATTAGTTGTTTGTTCATCACTGGCGGGATTAATTGCTTTCAAGAAATGTTAATTACACATACAAGAAATTCTTCCAGAGATTTTAGAAAATTGAATGGTGATCTATTGTAGTAAAAGTTATATGTAATATTTTTGTTTGTTCTTTTAATGATTAGTACTAACTTAAATTTGATTACATAAGTCATATCTACTTTTTATTTGTAATAGTTGCAGAATGGTGAACCTGTCCTGTTTTATGAGTACAGATGTTCTTAGGAGTTGGGAGGATACAATTGTTCATATATTTGAGAAATAATTTATTTATTTTTTTTAAAAAACTTCATATTTGATTATACTTGCGATAATTGCAATCTTTCTAGAAGGAGCATGTCATATATACTTCATAAGGAAAAACTACTTTGCATGGAGTCTAATTATTAATTAATCTTGATTAAATGTGTAAATGGTAGTAATGATTATGATGAATAATCAAATATCTATATGTAAATATAACATTATATGTAAAGCTAACAAGACCCCTTTACTTTACTGGACCAAATAGTAATCATGATTTTTATCTTATCTTAAAGATAACAAACTGTAGTTTTTTCGTCTTAATTAAAGAAGAAATTCATTTGCATATGATATGAATCAAAGTTTACAAAAATAAAAACTATCAACTTTGCATTTCTTTATATACACATACATATAAATAATGGTATCTCTTTGAAAGGATTAATGTTCTCATACCGAATATACCTGCTTGAAGCTTGGGATGGACATATGGTCCCAACTTTGCTATATTATAGAAATTTTATTTTATTCATAAATATTACTTTTAATTATTATTTATATTCAAATAAAAAATTCTTAGATTTCAAAATAATAATAGCTATTCAGTTCATTCCTCTCATTTACTCTTATTTTTTTTTTTTTGTCAGACTGACCTAATAAATTACAGAGTCGTCATCTATAAATAAATACAGAGCATGAGTTTGATATTTAATAATTAATAAAAATATTGCACCCATCCTCGTCATGCCGCACATGTTTGCAAGAAAAAAACATAAATAAAATAAAAGGTGCTTTAAACATTAGTTTAAGCAAATTATATAATATCTCTGTTTTTATATATATAATATGTGTGGTGTGTGTAAATTAATTATATATTAATGAGATTTTACAATATACATTCTTGAGTCCAAATAGTTGTACCACTGATTTTCAATACTTTTTGACTACTTTTTGGACAAGGGATATCATTAATAAAAGATTAATTACTTAATATATATATATATATATGTGGAATTATGGGCTGAATAATTAATTTATTAACAGCTCCACTAATGTTTCTTGCATGTTGTGGAACTTCTTTTATTTTTTTTTAATATGTTTATGATGTATTAATTATGTACTTAATTAAAATAAGATGGTTGTTAAAAAAATTAATTGATTTCATCATTATATTGTAAATCATTTTTCCAATTTTAATAACCTAATTTTGGTCGGTCGCAAATAGTGACGAAAAAAATATGCACATATATAATAATATAATTAGGCACGTGAGTGAATGGATTAAACTAAGTTAAGTATTTGAAAGTTGTAGTAGTTTAAGGCGTATATATTCTGTGTACGGATTGACCAGGATTTGTCTGTTGTTTACAATTATATGGTTTTTTTAAGATCAATCAGGTTTAATTAATAACTTAAGAAAGTGGGTATTTTATTTTATTTTATTTTTTTGCAAAACATGTGTGTTAATTGATGGTCTCTGTTATAAATTTTAGAAAATAAAATAATATATTTGTGGGTTGGAATGGAACAGGTTGGCAGATGAATTTAGATATAATGGTTCTATAATTCTCTAGTTATACTAAGAATCTTAAAAAGTTTTGATGCAACATGTCTAATTCAGGCATCTAAGACTCTCATTATCAACTACTCCTCTTATGTATCTTTCCAAATAATAATACTATTCTTATTCATTGATAATTATATATATATATATATTATACTACAATTTATAGGACTTTTAAATGTGCTATTTTATGGCAGAATATTTCTACAGCATCATGCATTAATTAATTTATTCTCGAACCTTAATCTTTGCATATATATATATATGTATATGTATATGTCAACCATTCTGCACATAGCTTTGTCTCTACGTCTCTCTCTCCCTCTTTCACTCTTTCATGTTGAGTTTCATACTCAAAGAAATTTCAAATCATCAGCAAAATAAGGGTTTTAGGTTAAGAATCAGAGAAATTGAAGAATGGCATTATATTGCCTTCATAGGACCTCAGGTATGCTTTTCGATAATCCATTGCACTTATATAATGTATATATATATATATATATGTGTGTATTTTTTTATACACACGTATTTTTATGATTATATTGAAAAATACTAGAAAAATAATTTAAACATCAATATACATTTGCTTATTAGTGATTAAAGACAATATTATATATTTAAGACAAATTAAATATTTGTTTGCTTTTTTATTCTCTACTTTCTTCGTTATCCTTAATTTTTCTCACCCATCATTAATAATAATGCATATCTTATTACAATATTAGACCTTTTTTTATGATTATTTTTGGAAATGTATCAAACCCTAATTTGCTTACTTTATGCAATGACTTGTGTCTGTCTGTTATTTACTCTTTTTTTTTCATTCATGCAATGCTTTAATTTTCTTAGCCACTCACAATATGAATTTCCTTATATGTTCCAACATCCCAATTGATGTTTGGATTTTTATGTGACAAGACATTGAAACAATATTGACCAAATCCTCTTCTTTTTTTTTCTTTTTTTTTTTAAAAAAAATAATAAATTATTTATTTAATTTGCAAGATAAAGCACTAGTACTAATTAAAGCATAGTCGTCAACTTGCATAAGAGTGACTCTACTTTGATTGGAACCAAAGTGGTCGATCTTATAATGGTAATTCAATTTTTTTTCAATTTCGATCTTACAAGATATAACAACCAACTTAAGTTTGTTAGTATTTTATTTGTAAATAAACTAATCAATAGAATTATTCCTGCTTGAGTTTGACATTAAATTATTCTCATTCTACTAATTAAGTAATTTTTAATTTGGTTCATTCGTAACTTCCTAATTTCACATAAATCACCGCGCGAGTTCACTTATTTTCTCTAAACTTTAAACATTTTTCTATCGATATGATTTTTATTATTGCTGCACGTCACACCTATATATATATGCATAGATATAGATAAAGCTCATATAGAGAAATCATTTGTATAAGTGATAATTTTTTTAAAGATAAAATAACTTTCTGGGTCGATATATATATATATATATATATATAGAGCTCGATTTGTGTGCTTTTCTTAAGGCCAAAACAAAGAGCAACCTAATTGGTACCAATAATGCATGAAATGGGGTCGTTGTGTTCCACGAGAGGAGGCCCGCGTTACACTTAAATTAAATTATCAATTTCTATGCAATAAAGTAATCCTAGCTAGCTAGAAAAAGCAAATATATAAATAAATAAATTAAACATATATATATATATATATTATATTTAGATATACACGTACAGGCAACCAAATAGAATCAGAAAAGAATGAGATATATATATATATATATTCTTCTTGTAATAATCCATATCCCTCTCAACTCTACCAAACAGAATAATGATTTGACAACCTTAACTAAAGTAGATTTAACTATATAAATTATATATGATATATCAGAAGAGCATCATCATCTTATACACACATATGTGCTTTAATTTAATTATATTCATGTGTGTAATGTATATATTAATTGGCATATATTTTTGCACTACTTTTTTCTTTGATCAAAATTGCATTTTGTTTGATACAATATATATACCCTTTCCTTAAACCTAGCCATTATCTTAATAGTAATTTAATTTAATTTAATTTAATTAATCTCCTTGTGCCACTTATTCCCAACACACACAAAACATTGATTTTTGAAAGTGCAAAACTAACTTGTAACTTTCACTTTGCATTTTTGTAATCTGTTATTTATAAGAATATCTTGAAATAACATTTGACATTTTTTTTTTTTTGCTTGTATCAAATAATCTTCCTATGCATTCATGTGAAACCTAAAAAACTACTTCGTTGAGAAGCATTTCTTCAACCTTTTAAGTAAAAGTGCCCTAACTCTAAACCCTAATTATGATCAAAGACAAATTAAAACAGATTCAATAAATTTAAATAATTAGTGTAAGTTAATCAATCACAAAAGGGGTGCATTTGTTTGCCCTTTAATTAAGCCCATATAAAGGATTAAACAAAGGAATACAAAGCCAAACTAAAAGGACAAAAGATGTCCAAAGCAACTTCATGATCTCCATTGTTGCCACTATGTAAAAAAACCAACCAAAAGCAAATTGAAAAAAAGAAAATTATTTACGTGAAAAAAGAAGCCATCGGCCAGCAAGGGGGATGCAATACGACATATCAACTTTGTTGAATTAAGCCCTACTCACAAAAGAGTACTTATATTAATAATGATCACGCTTTTGTTGTACTGAAAGTGACCTCCACCATTATTGCACAAATTTTAACTACCCTAAAGCTCCCTCTCTCTATGTATGTATATATACAGCCAAGGAATGTCCTAATGTCAATTTAAAACCATTTCTAACCTATTTTTTAAATATATATATGTATGCATGCTATTGTATCATCATAAGGATTCAGCTGCTTTGCTTACTCATCAAAATTGAAGTGAGCTTCCCTTTTATGTCGATTCTGTGTTTTCTTATCAAGGAGAGTTGAAAATGAGTGATTCGCCGGAAAAAGAGAAAGGTGAAAGGATAGCAGGAGGGATTAATGGAAAGAGTAACAATGGATCTTTGCCTGTCATATTTAGATATGCTGATGGCTTAGACATATTGCTGATGTTGTTGGGGACAATCGGCGCCATCGGCGATGGGATGTCGACAAACTGTCTGCTTGTATATGTTAGTCGCCTTTTCAATAGCTTGGGCTATGGCAAATCCCCTCAGGACCATGGGGAATTCATCAAAGAAATCGAACAGGTTAGGCATTATTACACTAGCTAGTGTATTAACAAAAGTTTGGAGTTTCTAATTTTCATGTTTTTTGTGCTTTCCTTAGTTTTTGATCTATTGTTTTACTGGCTATTTTCTGTTAAACAGTGCAGTTTGTTCTTTGTATACCTGGGGCTTGCAGTCATGGCAGTAGCGTTTATGGGTAATTATTATTTCTCATGATCTTCTAATTTCTTTCCATTTTAGATTAACTATTTTGCTTCCATTTATCTTAAAGAACCTTCGTAGTAATGTGCCGAGTTAGATTGGGATTTGCTGTCTTGTCATATTGCATGAAGAATAAGCAGCAATCATGTCCCCCAAACCTAATTACAAAAAAGATTCAAAATAGGGTTACTTTAAACCCTAGAAAAGTAGTAGAATTTGATTAAATGAAACATGAAGAAAAGGGTATCTTTTGAATTGAGAAATCTGTAACAAGTGCAGAAGGGTATTGCTGGAGCAAAACCAGTGAGAGGCAAGTGTTGAAGATAAGGTATAAGTACTTAGAAGCAGTGCTGAGGCAAGAAGTTGGATTTTTTGATTCACAAGAAGCCACTACTTCAGAGATCATAAATAGCATTTCCAAAGACACTTCGCTCATACAAGAAATCCTCAGTGAAAAGGTTCATATATATATATATATATATATGTGTGTGTGTGTGTGTATTATTACAGCTATTTTAGTACTACACATAAATTCATATATATGTATGTATGTATGATTGCAGGTGCCAATATTTCTGATGAACATGACGGCCTTCGTCTCCGGCCTCGGATTCTCAGCCTACTTCTCATGGCGGCTGTTTCTGGTGGCTTTTCCGACGGTGATCCTTCTGATCATCCCGGGGATGATCTACGGCAAGTACCTGCTTTACTTGTCGAAAAAGAGCTTCAACGAGTATGCGAAAGCAAACTCCATTGTAGGACAGGCAGTGAGCTCCATCAAAACTGTATACTCATTCACCGCCGAGCGGAGCATCCTCCACAAATACTCCTCCATTTTGGACGCCGCCAGAAAGCTCGGCATCAAGCAGGGCATCGCCAAAGGCCTCGCCGTCGGCAGCACCGGCCTGTGTTTCGCCATTTGGGCTTTGCTGGCTTGGTACGGCAGCCGCCTTGTCATGTATAAGGGCGACACCGGCGGGAGGATTTATGCTGCCTCTATTTCCTTCGTCATGGGCGGACTGTATGCTTAATTTAATTTAGTTTAATTTAATTTGATTTGATTTCTTGCAGGAAATTATTCAGTTAATGCATTGTGGTGATGGAATTGATGTATGATAGGGCGCTGGGAGTGGCGGTGCCGGAGGTGAAGTATTTCACGGAGGCGTCGGTGGCGGCTTCTAGAATATTCGACAGGATCGACAGGGTTCCGGAGATCGACGGCGGAGATGTAAAGGGGATTGTTCCGGGGAAGATTAGAGGCGAGATCGAATTCGAGAATGTGGGATTCACGTACCCTTCCCGGCCTGATTCCGTCGTGCTCAAGGAATTCAATCTGAGAGTGGAATCGGGGAAGACGGTGGCGCTCGTCGGCGCCAGCGGGAGTGGAAAGTCGACAGCCATTGCGCTGCTGCAGAGGTTCTACGACGCCACCGGCGGTTCCGTGCGCGTCGACGGCGTCGACATCAGAACGCTGCAGTTGAAATGGCTGAGGTCGCAAATGGGGCTGGTGAGTCAAGAACACGCGCTGTTCGGGACCTCTATTAAGGAGAACATCTTGTTCGGGAAACTCGACGCCACCATGGATGACGTGGTGGCCGCCGCCATGGCTGCAAATGCTCACAGCTTCATCCGCCAGCTTCCTCAAGGGTACGAGACTAAGGTAGGGGAAAGAGGAGCTTTCCTATCAGGCGGACAGAAGCAACGGATCGCCATAGCCAGAGCCATCATAAGAAATCCAGTAATTCTCCTCCTCGACGAAGCCACAAGCGCTCTTGATTCGGAATCAGAAAAGCTCGTTCAGGACGCCCTCGATCAGGCCTCCATGGGAAGAACAACTCTGGTATATATAAAAACACTTAAATTTCCTTTACTGCTTATCACTCCTTTCTTACGATCCTTAATTTGTCTCTAACATGGTCAGGTTGTTGCTCATAAGCTCTCAACGATCAGAAACGCCGACACAATCGCAGTCGTAAGCAGCGGTACCATAGTCGAAACCGGCGCGCACCAAGAGCTCATCGAAATGAACAGTCACTATGCAAAGCTTGCCAAGTTCCAGCGCCAAATGAGCGAGCTAGACCCCGATCAGGGAATCGAGCTTAACGCATTGTCATCCGCAAGAAGCAGCGCTGGAAGGAAAAGCACGGCGAGATCAAGCCCGGCCTCATTCGCCTCGCCAACACCTTTCCATATAACTTCCGATCATCATCATCAGCCAACGTCATCTTCCCCTGCCCCATCCTTTTTCCGGCTACTCTCCCTGAACTCGCCGGAATGGAAACAGTGCACCGTCGGGAGCCTCTCAGCCGTAGCATTCGGCACCGTGCAGCCGATCTATGCGCTCACCATAGGTGGAATGATCTCGGCGTTCTTCGCCCCAAGTCACACCGAGATGCAAGTGCGCATAGAACGATATGCTCTCATTTTCACCTCTCTGTGTGTTGTCTCCATCTTACTAAACCTCTGCCAACACTACAACTTCGCGTACATGGGAGAGTGCCTGACGAGGAGGATCAGGCTGAAAATGCTGGAGAAGATGCTGACGTTCGAAGCAGCCTGGTTCGACGAAGAAGAGAACTCCAGCTCAGCTCTCTGCGCCAGGCTCAGCAACGAGGCGTCCATGGTGAAGTCCCTTGTCGCCGACCGCCTCTGTCTCCTAATTCAGACCACATCCGCCGTCACAACAGCAATGGTGATCGGCCTAATCATCGCCTGGAAGCTCGCGCTCGTGATGATAGCAGTCCAGCCACTAACAATCCTCTGCTTCTACACACGAAAAGTTATCCTCTCCGCGATCACAAGTAAGTTCGTCAAGGCACAATATCAGAGCACTCAGATTGCAGCTGAGGCCGTCTACAACCACCGGATCATCACCTCATTCGGGAGCATCGGGAAGGTGCTTCAAATCTTCGATGAAGCTCAGGACGAACCGAGGAGGGAGGCAAGAAAGAAGTCATGGCTGGCAGGGGTTGGCATAGGCTCGGCTCAAGGCCTAACCTTCATATGCTGGGCTCTCGACTTCTGGTATGGTGGCACATTGGTGAATCGAGGCGAAATATCAGCAGGAGATGTGTTCAAGACCTTTTTCATCCTCGTTAGCACCGGCAAAGTCATCGCAGAGGCCGGGAGCATGACTTCCGATCTGGCTAAAGGATCGGCAGCCGTTGCTTCTATATTCGCTATTCTTGACCGGCAGTCGAAGATCCTCGGATCCTACATTGTAAGCAAACTATATACATAGATACCTTCTTGTATACTTCACTCCATTTTCCGAACCGTTTCTCACTTCAAACACCATTAGGCCAAGGATGGGAACGGAGGAATGAAGCTAGAGAAGATGATCGGAAGGATAGAGATGAAGAAGGTTGATTTCGCGTATCCGGGGCGACCGGAAGTGCTCGTGCTGTGCGAATTCACCTTGGAAGTGAAAGCCGGGAGTAGCATCGGGCTGGTCGGGAAGAGTGGCTGTGGGAAGTCTACCGTGATTGCATTGATACAGAGGTTTTACGACGTGGATCGCGGTGTGGTGAAGGTGGACGGAGTAGACATCCGGTCACTAGACATCGAGTGGTACCGGAAGCGCATGGCCCTCGTCAGTCAAGAGCCAGTGATCTACTCCGGCAGCATTCGCGACAATATAATGCTGGGGAAGGTCGACGCTTCAGAGAACGAAGTCGTCGAGGCAGCCAGAGCAGCCAACGCGCATGAATTCATCGCGTAAGCCTTTTTTTGCGAATTTACAACATGACACAGGCAAATGACTGTCCCGAAAACCTTACCTTACTGTCTTCTGAACTCGTTGCTGCAGCGCGCTAAAGAACGGGTACGAGACCGAGTGTGGAGAGAGGGGAGTGCAGCTGTCGGGAGGCCAGAAACAGAGGATAGCGATAGCACGAGCAATTATCCGTGACCCGACAGTGCTGCTGCTGGACGAAGCGACGAGTGCGCTCGACGTGCAGTCTGAGCAGGTGGTGCAGGAGGCGCTGGACAGGATAATGGTTGGGAGGACGACGGTGGTGGTGGCGCACCGGCTGAACACGATCAAGAATCTCGACACAATTGCAGTTGTGATGGACGGGAAGGTGATCGAGAGAGGGACGTATAGCCAGCTCAAGAACAAGAGGGGTGCCTTCTTCAACCTAGCCAGCCTCCAAGGTGTATCTTCATCATCATCAGGGCAGCCTTGATGATGCAAAGAATCTTATATATACATCAATATATATAAATATGTGTGTTTGTAGTTGGAATAGAAGAGGAGAATAAAGATATATTATTTACCAATTGTGTAGCTACTGCACTAAATCTAAAGCTTTGCCAAATCTTTCATGGTAAGGAAGAAACATTAACATGAACAAAAGCCTAAGCATAAACATAAGGAGATTTTATTGAGAAAGCCACAGATACAAAGCACGCGAGTTTCTGTTCAGACAACAGACATTTCCAGAAGGTACCAGTTTCAACTTACAACAACAAACTTACAAATTTAACATGAAGCAGAGCAGGGAGCCAAGTCTTAGCGATAGCTTCTGTAGTTTGGCGTGTACATGCAGCTCTCAGCATATTTCACCAAGTCGGCTGGTCGGGGTAGTCGTGTTGCAAGACCTGAAATGCAAGGGAACAAGTTTACTTGTCGGCGTAAAATTATATTCTAGTTGATAGGGTGTTATTTTGAAATGTTACAAACCTAGGTCGTAAGCTTTAGCAGCTACGTTTGCAGCAATGTGCGCGGAGATCTTCCTGATATTGGTAAACGGCGGGTAGATCATTCCCTTGTCATAGTGTTCCTCGGTGACTTGACCAGCCAGGGCCTCCGCTGTTTCCAGAAAACAGGAGTGAAATTTGTAAAGAGGATTTCATGTCGAAAATTGTGCATATTGAAATGTAATATACTTACATGCTGCCAGAAGCATGTCATCATGGACACGGATGGCCCCCGAGATCACCAGACCGAAGCCAAATCCTGGGAATATGTAGGCGTTGTTTGCCTGATGCAGAAAATATAGAAGCCGTAAGCATTATGTCACAGACAATTTGTTGATGCACACGAAATAAACATTGAAGATTCAAACAGATGACTAACCTGGCCAGGCACAAAGGTTTTCCCGTTCAGTTCTACAGGATCAAATGGGCTTCCGCTAGCAAAGATGGCTCGACCCTAGTACAAAATTACAACCGATACTTTAGCCAAGGCAATTGGATGTCAATAGAGTAGATAATTATAGGAATTAAACATAATGGACAACTCTTTGTGACCTCGGTCCAAGTATAAGCTTGTTCAGCTGTGCACTCTGATTGTGAAGTTGGATTCGAGAGAGCCATGATGAGAGGTTTCTGCATTATCAAACCATGAGAAGAAATATCATATGCAACATAATTGGGGGGGGGGGGTTGAAGAAAAGATAGGGTACCTTATTGATCGCAGCCATAGCCTCAACCACCTCTTTTGTAAATGTCTTACCGACACCAGATGTTCCAATCAAAACTGTTGGTTTGATAGCCTAAGAAAACATAAACGCCGTCAAATATATGTGTGCTTAAACAAGTTCAATGCACAAATAATTCTACGGACCTTGACTGCATCCAAGAGATTATTAACCGGTTCATGTTCATGCGCCCACGGTTTCTTGAAGTGTTGAAGAGACTCCTTACGTGAACTGACAATCAAACCCTGTGAATAAATCAATGAATCAGTAGAAAGAAACTATAAATTACAGATGACTAGCATATAGTTTGCAACGTTGAGTCTATAAGATAAAGTGGTTTACCTTGGAGTCTACCAGCCAGATCTTCTTCCGAGTTTCTTCGACAGGAACCTTAGTCTAAAAAATTACAAATATTTCATCAGGGACTCACTCAGGCCAAAAAAAAAAATCTAAAATGTATGCAGCATAGTCACCAAAATCTTTTACCTGCTTCGAGATTTCGAGGGCTATAAGCTCTGCTATACCTGTTCCAGCCTGAGATTACACAATAATTTTCATCAGGACAGGGTAGTTTGCTAATGTATTTAATAAAATCGATTAGGGTTAACTATGTACTTCTCCAGCACCGAGGAACAAGAACGTGTGATCGCCCAAGGTACCACCAAGCAGCTTAAGTGATGCAACAAGACCAGCAAGAACCACTGATGCTGTGCCCTGCAGCAACAGGATTCTGACTTATATCCAGACAGGATTCTTGAAATAGCATAATAAGATTATTCATACAATAGATACCTGTATATCGTCATTAAACACCAAGTGGGTGGTGCCGTACTTGGCCAAGAGCTCGAAAGCATTGTGGTTAGCAAAATCTTCAAACTGCAATGACAAATTCGCCAATATTTGAAAAAAGCCTATGACAGTGAAGGTGTAAAGTAACAGGAGCTGATTACCCACCTGAATGAGAACTTTTTCGCCATAATTTTGTTTAACAGCAGTCATGAACTCCTCTAACAAATCATAATATTCCTGGGAGGCAGGCACAAAGTCAAAATTAGCTCGTTGTGCTGCCAAAAAACTAGACAGGTTACACTGGTGCAGACTCAAGCAACAGATTAATTGTAACCTTTCCAGTTGCCCTCTTCTGTTTCAGCCCAATGTAGAACTCATCATTTAGCAGCTTCTCGTTGTTCGTCCCAACATCAATTGTTATTGGCAAACACTAAGTAGCAAAGTTAAGAACTTGCTTAGAGCTACTCAGCTACACATTTGAGAAAATGAAATTATTTTTGGTCAGTTTGAATGCATTCTTACTGCCGAAGGTCGAACACCACCAAGTGCAGTATACAAGGCCAGTTTCCCTACTGGTATTCCCATTCCCTATATCGTAGCATCAATTCATCATCAAGACTAGATGCCGATACAATCTAATTAACTGTGCTCCCAACAATCCTGGGGGATTACCTGGCAGCCAAGATCTCCAAGTCCCAAAATCCGCTCACCATCAGTGACAACAATGACTTGAATTGACCTTTCCGGCCAATTTCGCAGAACCTCTAGAATCCTCCCCCTGCATTCCAATAAAAGTTGCATCAACACTTGCACAATAGGCTTATCAAAAAGATCTTCCGAAGTAAAACTCACTTCTCTTTTAAACTTATGTACAACCCCTGCGGCCTCTTGAAGATACTACCATACTTTTGGCAAGCCTCGCCTACGGTGGGAGTGTAGACAATGGGAAGGAGTTCCTCCACATTGTTGATGAGAAGCTTGTAAAACAACCGCTCGTTTCTCTCCTGTAAATGACGAGAATTCACACATTTGATCACACTGTAAAAACATTTAGCATTCTCTCAAATTCAGTAAGTCATTTAGCAGGATATAGCACCTCGAGTTCCATCATCGCGACATACTTATGCAGGGGAACGTCGTACTGGCGAAGATTATGCATAAACTTCTTCTCCTGGAGGATCGAAAAGATGAGAGTCAGTCGAAAACTGGATAAATTAAAAAAGAAGAAATTGGTACAATACGACAATAGAATTAATTCTACCTGAAGCTCTTGGCTGGAGACAACCGGCGGAAGAAGACCGCGCAGGTAATGAGCATCTCTCTCTCTCTCAGAGAATGCAAGCCCCTTGTTATGGTGAGGATCTCTCAGAAGATTGTAACCGCTAGTTCAAAAGCAGAAATAATTCAGTTATTCAAGCACAGAGACACTGAAAACACAGTTGGAGGTCAAACCCTACAAGATCAAGGATGTATTCGGCAAACATAAACAACATCAATGCTACTGATTCACTCAACGCAATCAAAGAGAAAACAACAGCAAGTCAAGCGAACCAAATTAAATTGAATTCAGGGCAGGGGCAGCAAAAGTAGGTATATTCCGCTACCTGGCGACAGAAAACGTCCAGGGAGTGACCAATTGATCTTCGGAGGCACGATCCTCGCCGTACACGTCTTCCACTCCACCGCCGACCGTCGATCTGGGGCTCAAGTCCAGCACGCTCTCTCCTCCTCTCTGCTGCTTCAGAAAACTCTCCATCCTCTCTGCGTCTGCACTTGTCTTTCACTCAATCACTCAATTCGGTGCCGATCGCCGCTTCGATGCAGGTGATATAAAATAATCGTCACAGCATATTCTTCAATAACTCGGCAACGATTATTGTATGCGCAGTCAAAAGTCATACATGGCTGCCAACTATGCAGAAACTTATATTTAAATCCGAAATCACAGAGAAAGTGGATTTACATACAAATCCAAAGAGCTCTCTCCTTGATTGTAGGCCCCGAAAATAGATAATGCCAGGAAAGTGGATTGCAATTATCTCTGTCATTTTCCTTTGACGAAGAAATAATGGAGCTTAGTGGGAGGAGATGCAACCCCCTTTCACATCATCATCACTACATACATACGATATAGAAAAAACACAGAGTACGCTGAACTGAAGATACAACAGACAACTGTCTTTCAAAGAAATGGTTGCGTCTTTCTTACAGTTACTGATCTTCGGATCCACAGTCGGCAATCCGCCATTGATAAAGTTCGACCCTTCAAAATATCTCAGAAGAATTAAAAAGGGAATAGTAATTAGTAAATCATAATAATCACTTTCAACAAAAAAATTTTAATTTATTTTTATTCTATTTTATTTATAAAATAGTAATTAGTTTTGTAAATTTTGTTATTGGAATAAAAAAAGATACTATATTTAAAAAAGATACTATATTAAGTGATTACGTTACTAATTTGTTAAGTCGTACATATGAAATAATTAATTAATTATCCATACCCATCTTCATCACGCGCTTAGTTTTTATAATATAAACTTTGTGTTAATGATTGTTGGTTACATTTTGCAATAACTTATAAGTTTTAAGAACTGTGATAATTTCTATTGTCGGTGAATTGGAAGTATTCACCAAATGCTAATGACGCACTGTTTGCTTCTAATTAATAATATTAATAAATGAATTAATTGTATTTCACTGTCTAAATAATTAGTACTAACTTTAGCAATTGCTGCTAGCAACTCTACTTTCAAAAAGAATATAATACAATATATTTTTATTTATTTGGTACTATTTATTTTTTAAAAAATATTATATTAAATATATTTTTTTTTAATAAAATATCAAATCAAATAGTAATTTTTAAATTTCTAAAAACCACCAAAAAAAATTCTTTATCTAAACAAATCATATATATATGAATAAAATATTTTACTCGTCGCTGTCCTAAAAGAAAGATCCACCCAATTTTAACACAAATGGATAAAAAAGAAAGAAAAAAAATCACAATTATATGCCTTTGTAAAGCAAAATAAAGCCCCATTCATTTTTCTTTTTTTTTTTTTCCTCATTTAGAATTTGGATTTTGGTTGTAGATTTTAAGAGTTTTGTTTGAGTTTTGAATAATAATATATATATTTTTAATTTAAAATAATTATTTAATATAATATAAATAAATATTGATGAAAATTATGCACACTAAATAAATTTTACAATCCAATACCCTTAAAGTATATGTTTAAACAAAGATTCTTGAAGAATTTTGTGAATAGTAAAACAATGAATAATTTATATGCTGTATTGTAAAGAAAAAAAAAACATTTAATTTGATATTTTTAAAATTTTAAATAATGTTAAAACCCCAAGTATTATTGCGTAAACAAAAACTTTTAAAATTTTATCTAGACAAAGCCTAAAGAAAATTTTATTTATTTATTTTTCTAAAGAAAAAACCATTCATTTAATATGCTTGAAGGATGTAAAGAAAGAAAGACAATATATGTTTTTATACGAAAAACAACGATACATTCTCTGTTACAAGAAACTTAAAACACTTGTGATGATATGTTACCCAAAAATATTCCGATCAATGCAGCCATCACAATCGAAATGTTTCCTTGTTCTAAATATTGTGTTTGTTTAGAGGATTGAATTTTAAATATATTATTCATCTCATGTTTTCCTCCTCCCAAAAATATTCAAATCAAACACCTATTTTTTATTTTTTATATTATACTAAAAATTAATTTTACATTTAAAATATCACACCAATATCTATTCATATCATATCGTACAACTATTTAAATTCAAAATTTTTACTATTTAAATTAGTTAAAAGATATTTATCATATCAAATCCCCAGCAGCAATAAATGCTCAAACCACAACAAATACTTTTACATACGAAAACTATGTGTGGCACAAGTTTAGCCTAAATTTATAAAATTTATTGTATGAGAAATTATAAAATTTATGTCAATTTGTCTATCAAGTTACTAATTTTTTTTTTTTTAAAAAAAAATAATAATATATATATATAGAAAATTAATGGGCTGTCCGGAAAATTGATGAGGGGGTATGTCCATGCCACTGTGGATGCTTCATACATGTAAGTGCCACGAATTAGATGCTGGCCAATTACAGTTGATCAAGTAAGAATTGTGGAATTGTAACTATAAATGCAACGTTCATACGTGTAGTGTATAGATTTGTTTTGTCTGGGCCCTATCCTATCGCTTGCTCGTGTATTCAATTAAATTAAAGTTTTCAAACCAAAAATATATGTCCTTAAATTAAATGCCTAAAATGGGATATGCCTCTGTTCCTCAATAAATAAATTAATTAATAAATAATATATTCTAATTCAGTAAGTTGTTGAGTTAACATTCAATAAATACGTGGCATTCTTACAATTGAATCATGGAGGAGCCTTCTACAAAATCGGACAACACCAGCCCTGACTTTTCCCCTCAATATTAATTACGGGTTCCCATTATTATTATTTTTATTTTTATTTTTATTCAGTCTTGTTTTCTTTATTTACATGCATTCATCCATTTGAAATACAAGTATATACATGCATATTCAATTTTATTTAAAAATCGCTTTAAAATTAAAACTGGCCTTTATTTATATATTTTTTAAAGTCACTTCAATATTATTATTAACAAATGAGTAAAACCAACAACACAGAGAAAAACTCAACTCGGCTCGGGCTCGGCTCGGCTCGACCGAGAGTAATAAGTAAAGCTATATTCCGATGAAAGACTACTGCACTATACCACTCACCTATACATACACATATTGTATAATATATATATATATAGCAAACAGAAACGGAACCCCCACAGGTGTCACGTGCATGGGTTGGCCGGTTCCGTTTAGACGGCCAGCCGGCCCGGCATCCCCATGAACGGTAATTTTCATGTTTCGGACCACATACAAATTAAAAACCCTCGACCGGCCGGTCCAGCCCTGTCTGCACGGCTACATGCATCTCGATCGATCGGTCATCTGCCCCACGCATGATACGGCGACGGCGATCCCGCTGCCCGCTTTTGGTCCCTCAGATCCCTGTAAAACCTCTTTATGAACTCCTCCGCATCTCTGTCCACTTGGTGTTGGTACTGCACGCGCCACCACTTCTTATCTTCATCCTCGCCGTCGTCATGAGATTGAGATCGAGGGGTGCCGTCGTCCCACACCAACACTCGCTGTGCAATAATGTCGAGATCGTGATCTTGCCGGCGATTGGAAGGCCGGCCGCGGGCAGGCGTGTTGCTGCAGCTGAACTCGTAGTGGCGCTGCCCGGGGCAAAAGAACGAGTCGCGGACGTCACTGGAACGGCAGGTGAGGGCGGCGTAGCGGCGGCGGTGGCGATGGCGGTCGGAGGTGAAGTTGGATATGACGGATTTGCTGGCCAATTTTCCACGCTTTAGCATCAAGAAAGCTATTCTCACAAAGCTCCATAGCTTCTTGCCTATGTATTCATCAATTCTTTCACTTTCCATTCTTATAATTGCTAGAGAGAACAAACGAAAAAGATATGGATGAGAATGGAGAGTGGGTAGGCTATATATGTGTGTGTATATATATATAGATAATAATGATAAAGTAGTTACGGTGCGGGCCCACACATGGAATGGAAAACGATGGTTTCTGCGTTGTCGTTGATTAGTCCAGCAAGCGCTTACGTGGCTTCTGCGTTGTCGTTGATTAGTCCAGCAAGCGCTTACGTGGCTTCTGCGTTGTCGTTGATTAGTCCAGCAAGCGCTTACGTGGCTTCTGCGTTGTCGTTGATTAGTCCAGCAAGCGCTTACGTGTGGCTTCTGCGTTTTTTTTTTTTTTCTTTATTTTTTTATTCTGCGTTGTCGTTGATTAGTCCAGCAAGCGCTTACGTGGCTTCGCGATGTCGGTGATTAGTCCAGCAAGCGCTTACGTGGCTTCTGCGATGTCGTTGATCAGTCCAGCAAGCGCTTACGTGGCTTCTGCGTTGTCGCTTATTAGTCCAGCAAGCGCTTACGTGGCTTCTGAGTTGTCATTGATTATTCCAGCAAGCAGCCACGTAGGCACGCATTTAAAATTATAAATTTTTTTATTCTGATATTGCAAACAAATGCCCTTGGTCGATTTCGCATATTCCTTAAAATCCTTGTTAAGCTCTCGGCGAAAGCAATACCCGCAAAAATCCCTCTTCTCGATCATGGAGTCCTCGACGCAACCCGACGCCCACGACCCGACGGCGGAAAATGATGCGGAATCGACGGTTCTAGACCTGACGGGCTGTCAGCTACGCGATCTCAGCTCCGTGGAGCTTCCGTCGACTCTCACCGAGCTAGACCTAACGACGAACAGGATGACGGCGTTGGACCCTCGCATTTCGCAGCTATCCAATCTCCAGAAGCTCTCTTTCCGTCAGAATCTTCTCAACGATGACAGCGTCCGGCCGTTGTCCTCGTGGGACACCATCTCCGGTCTCCAAGTAATTGACTTTCTTTCGTTTAATTTCGTTTTCGCTTACTTATCTGTCAGATTTTGCGTAATCAATGTTTTTTGGTTCTAATTGGTGAATAGTTTTGGAAATAAAGTAAGATTGATTGTGTTTTTCCTTTCTTCTTTGCTTTAGTTTGGGTCTCTATGGTTATTTGCATCATTCGAATTGCTAAATCTGTCTTTGCAAGTTTGTCATGTAAATTCCGCATTCCTGTGAACTATTTTTTTGCTGTTCGACAATGATGGCTCCGTAATGCTAAAGAATTATATGGAAAAATAGTGTATTTGTATTGGCAGTATTTTCAATATGATTATTCGGACAATTCTATAATTGAGTTGCTGCTAGGGTTTATAAACACGGACAAGTTTGGAGAGGATATAAGATCAATGGTATGATTCTCTACATTGTAGACAATGTTCATTGAGTGGTATAAAATTATCAATAGTTATCCATGACAAGATCATAGTTTCTGTTCTTACTCTGATCATTTCCAGGATGCATGGGTTGGATATTCAACCTTTCAAACCTTGTAAACATGCCCTAAGTGTGGAGGACCATCTTCGTTCCACTTTTAAGCATTATCATATCTATCACTAGAACTATTGCAAAGTATAATGTTGTTGGCTACAGGGATTTTACAGTTGTTGTGATGGAAAATAAAGTTTTGCAGAAGTTCATGTTTGACTATATTCAATACAACATATAAAATGTTAATGCAAACCTATTCTTGTTGCTTATTATAACACCACTTACTTAAATTGCAGCCTTTGGTATTATCTACTTACACATCATTATAGTTTTCTGCTTGGATGGATTGGAAAATTATATAGAAGTAAAAAGGAAAATGATAGCCTTGCACTTTTTAGTCTTTAAATGGTGCAATTGAAATGGCAGTGAATCTTTAGATATTAGTGAGTTTAACATTTAATAGCTCTGATCTTATGAATACTTAGCACTTCCAGTAGTCTTCTTAACATATCTTGACACTGTAATGGAAACTTCCACATTTGCAATTTATCTACAAACTTAACAGTAACATTGGAAACAAATGAAAAGTTTGGTCTTTCCATGTTCATGGTCATACACAACGATTTATGTAGAAAAATCTTAAAACGACATGAATTAGCCTCAGTCAACTCAAGCTTTTCTAGTTTACTCCAATACTTTCTTGGCTACCGCGATGACCATTAGAAGATTCTGACTGTAGACAGCCACTGTACAAATTTTGTGGTGGAACAGGAACTTTATCCAATAGTTCCTGTGGGAAGCACAAAGAACTCAAACATGGGATGGAGTATTTCATAGAGTTGGACACTTTAAAGGGTGTGTTTGTTTGGGGGATTGTATTTTGAGTTGGGATTTGAATAATAAAAATTTTGAATTTGAATAGTTGTATGATGTGACATAAATAGGTGTTGATGTGATGTTTTGAATGTAAAATTAATTTTTAGTATAATATAAAAAATGAAAAATAAGTGTTTGATTTGATGTTTTTGGGGGGAAAAAATTGGGATGAATAGTGTATTTTTGGGAGAATCCCCCAAACAAACACACCCTTTATGGTTTAGATTTAATAATTTCGCTGTTTGTTTAAATCACCAAGTCATAATATAAGAATCATGTTGTCATGAAGAATAGTGTGAACTGGGAAATTTGAATATCTTATATGATGTAATGTAGTTCAATTTAGAAACACAATATAGATTTTTAATTCTTGTGATCCTACTTCTGGTCATTCTATTTGATTTAGTACCAACCAGAGTCTTGATCTTATAAATAAAAGCAGAAGCCAAGAAGCAATGCAGATATATTATGCTCACTTTTCCATCTGCAAAGTAGCCTAATCAAATTTAGCAAAGAAGAAAAGAATTGGAGAATATTATGGTTTATGAATATATTTTACTTTGTCCTTTCCAAATTCAATCTATATTTTTAACAGGATGTTTATGTTGGCCAAGTATCTGAGAATATGTGAGGGATTAACATTGTACATCAATTGGATGACAGTAATAGTGGATGTTACATGACACAGAGATAAAATGGAAATATAGCTCTTTCTTTCAACAATAAAACTTAATTGCAGTATTCACAAAACTAAAATTGTTGAAAAATTTATTAGACCTGACTAGGTGAGAGTTCACATTAATGAAATTCTTGTGGAATGTCATAAAACCGGACTGTTTGTCAAACTTCCGCTGATTTAATGGGAAAGTGTGAGCTCCAAATGGTTAAAAGGATTACTTCATTCTCTCTCTCTTCTTTTTTTTTATTTTTTTTTTATTTTTATTTGTTGGTAAACTATCAGTCACTTATTAAATCAGAACAAAGATTCCTTTTAAATGACGGACCTTTGTGACGACAATTATAATTGTAGCACACCAAATATAATGTTCTGATCTATCTATAATGATTGTTCTTTTCTCATGTATTAACAAGCAAATGTTTTCTTAGCAGCATGTTTTCTGGATGGTCTGAACTACACATGAATATGTTTATCTGTTTATTAATTGACACGCTTTGAGGCTGCTATGTCATCAAACTTTTGGCATTGTGTGATGAAGATTTGAAATAAAATGCTTTACTTGTATGTTGTCATCAATATATAATGCCTTATTATTTCTTCAGGAATTAGTATTCAGGGATAATCAGCTGAAGACAATTCCAGATGTTAGCATATTCAAAAAACTTCTGGTCTTTGATGTTTCATTTAATGAGATTTCTTCTCTTAATGGGCTGTCCAAAGTCTCCAGCACTCTAAGGGAACTTTATGTGTCTAAAAATGAAGTGCCTAAGATGGAGCAGATTGAACACTTCCATGAGCTTCAAATTCTGGAGCTGGGATCCAACAAATTACGGGTTTGTCTATTTCTGTTGTTCGGGCTCTTTATGATTAAGTTGCATAGGAACTCTAGTTCACTGAAGGATGTAATCTCTTTCTTAATATTGAAGTTTAATGATTTCTTAGAGTTCGATGATCACTGGTTGAATACGTACGAAGCTAATTGAGGTTTCAGAGTGCACTAGTTTTTGCAAATTTATTTTTACTCCTTCATATGCCATTTGGCTATATTTTGCTCCGTGAATGCATGAAATGATATCCTTCAAAGTGCATTTAAACAAAATATTTGTCTTTTTAAAAAGAAAAAAAATTCTTGATACTGAGCTTTCATTTCAGGTGATGGAAAATCTAGAAAATTTGGTATCTTTGCAAGAGCTATGGCTTGGGCGCAATCGCATCCGAGTTATTAATCTTTGTGGGCTAAAATGCATCAAGAAACTTAGCCTCCAAAGCAACCGTATAACTTCTATAACAGGACTTGAGGTAACCAATATTGGTCTCGACATTCTGTACTTGTATTTGTTATAGAGGTATTCCCTCAAAGGGAATATTTTCGACATCCTAAATCAAGGGCTCTTGCTATTAATTAACAATTATGCAGGGATGTGTTGCACTAGAAGAATTATACTTGAGCTACAACGGTATTGCGAAAATGGAAGGATTGTCAAGTCTGATAAACCTGAGGGTCTTGGACATTGCCTCAAATAAGCTCACACAAGTAAATGACATAGAGAACTTGACCAAGTACGTAGATCAATTTAATCAAGCCATGTGTTCTTCGGTTTTATTCTGCATTAACTTAGGTTCCTTTTGTGTACTCACTACTTGATAATTTTTCTGCAGGTTAGAAGATCTCTGGCTTAATGACAATCAAATAACCTCCCTGGATAACATCGCCGAAGCTGTTGCTGGTTCCAGAGAGTCACTCAGCACTATTTACCTCGAGCGTAATCCGTGTGTGAGTACCTAGACACAATAGCGACTATGTTCGGTAAAAGCTGCCCCATGCTTACATTACATATAAATAGATGACAATTTTCATGGCTTTCCATTGCAGGTGGATTCTTCTACAGCCTATTTCTCCACTTTGAAACAAATATTCCCAAACATTCAGCAAATTGACTCCCAAATATATGCATAGGGGAGATTTTGTTGGAGAAGAAATATGAAATTACATCCAGACGTTGGTGAATTATGTAAGAGGATTAACTTGAGAGCTAATTTTATGCTTGATGAGAGCATGGGAATTTTATTTGAGTTTTATTAATGTTGTCATTGCGACTGTGGTACACTTGTCGGGCCGTCTAATAGCCCAATATTGGTATATTCCCTTGTCGTCCCATTTATTTAGAAAATATTATTTCAAATTTGGGCCGGCCCATTTATGAAGAAGATAAAATTTCGGAATGGCCCGCCCGCTATCTTCTTTACAGAATTTTGGGCTGTCATTGCTATTTTTTGAGAGGAAGCTTCTGTCGTGATTTTGAACTTGATTTATCTAAATGTGATAGTAAAAAGTAAATAAATAAATTAAACAATAATAATAATAATAGAATTGGGTATGGGACATTGGTAGTTAAGGTGTCACGTCAAGATGGGCACACGTAGTACTGCATACAGACTCTGTATCCTATTATTTCTATCCCATTCTATGCATGTGCATAATTAATTAGTCTCTCTAGTTTCATATAATTTGTCCATATTTTCGTTTGTTTCACATAATTTATTTTTTTTTTTTGAAAAATTAATTATACACTTTAATTATATTTTAAAATTTAAAATTTAAAACTTTTTAATCTTAATTAAACTATTTATTTATCTTAATCTTAATTTATAATTATTTTTACTAATACAATTTTTTTAATTACTTATTAATTATATTTTACATGAATTCCCCGTATTTACAGTAATACACCCATATTACATGGGAAGGAGAGAGTATTTTATATATGCATTTGTAGGTGGAGGTGGCGGGTCTTGGTCCTTACCGTCACCGTCCACGGCGAGCGGGCAGGTCTATCGGATCTTGTATTCCACCCACCGTACCCTACCCTACCCTACGCCCTGCACGTACAATTATTGTTTACTAATTTGACAAGTAGTACTGAACACAGCACAATTGTTATTTAACATTATTAATAAATTATTATTGCAGACATACCCAATGAATGACGCACGAAGAAATTACTAATCGTTGGATGAATGATGATCGAATTTTCTCTCTCTCATCTCTGGAAGGACGCTGCCAAATTTTGACTTTACACCAACCCCCCCCCCACTGCTGTATGTGTCTCTATAGGTAATTGATGGGTGTATTGTTTACATGCCTACGGTGATATTACATGTTTTAACAATATTTTAAAATAAATAAATAAATACTTTTTATAAAAAATATTATAATTTTGATAACTAACAATAAAATAATATTAAAAAAAAAAACGTATAAATACTAACAATTTATATTAATTCCAAGGCAGTGCTTTTGAATAATATAGTCAGAATTATTTCGTGATAGATGGTGTTGAGTTGAGATGGAGATAGAGATAGAGATAGAGGGGACAAATCAAATCAAATCAATTAAAAGAAGAAACAGCTATAAATATTGAGATAATTTATTTCTAATTATCTTAAATAATTTTAACTAAGAGGTCAAATCATTGCTTTGGTTACTGTATTATACAATTAATATATAACTCATATAATTCTAATTCAGTTATCTATTATAATCATTGATTAACCACATGTACATGCTGTTTGTTGTAATTACAAAAAATGAATCAAATCAAGGAAGTCATTCCTCAAACTAATTAATCAATGAAGTCATTAATTTGATTAACTTTTTGTAATCAATCAAAAAAACAGTATGCATGCATTTAACACCCATCTATTCTATATTCTATTCTATTGTTTATCATTCAAATTTTCACTTAAGAGTACGAAACCCACTCAAACACACCCTAAAATATTCTTAAATTATAAGGATAGATTTAATAAAGGATATTTTAATATTTAATATTATATTATATTTTGTTAATATTACGAGTACATACTCACCAATATATATATATATATATATATCCATTATTTGTGGAAGAAAAGAGTATTAAGTTTCTACTAATAATGAAAAAATAAAAGATATTTATATATATAGAAAGAACGTTTGAGAACTTGATCAATAATAAATGAATAGATAATTAAATTGAAAAGTCAGTAATGTAAAATTGGTGTAAATAAATTAGAACAAAGTTGAGATATTTACAAAAATAATTTAAATGATACTTAAAAATTTGCTTAATTTTAACACTGTTTTCCTTTGGGCTGAGGTGGGCCCAGATGGGTCCGGGTCCAAATGGGACAAAATAAAGGTCATCGAATGGTCCATGCCCTCAATTATTTTAATGGGCCCAGACATGTTCAAATGGGCTGATCCAAACAGACAGAAAGACAGACAAGAACAACCTCAATCGCATCGTCTAAGATAGCCACGTATGAGTTTCTTCTTCCTCCTCCTCATAGTATATTATATATATTTATATAACTTAAATAATTCACTTCAACTGTATAGTCTATTTTAAAATATAAAAATACAAATCGTCCTTAGAAATGTGTGCGTATAATTTTATTTAGTTTTTTTCTATTAATTTTTTTTACTACATGGAACAAACGATACTAATTTTATTCTTGCATATTTTGATTAAGTATATAATAGTTAAACAATCCATCAAAATCCATTCTCATAGTACATATCTCCAACATTTGATTGTAATCGATTTGACAGGGTGAAAGTTGAGGTTTTTTTAATCCATAACCTCACGGCCATAAGTTCACTTGCCACGCTATCGGACCATTCTTAGGGACTATTTTTAGGGTATTTTTAGCGTTACTTATTCATGCATAACAACAACAAGAATGATAATAATACTCCATTTGTTCCATGTTGGATGTGTGAGTCACTGTACACGAGAATTTACGATAAGTATAATTAGTAGATAATTAAAAATGTATTAGTAAAAATAATTATCCATAAAGTTAAGATAACTAATTAATTTAATTAAAAAAAATTAGAAAATTTAAAATGAGATTAAAGTGTATAAATTTTTTTTTTTTAAAAAAAAAAAAAGTAACGTGGGAGGTGGGACCGACAGAAACGAAAAATAATAATTAATTTAGTTTTTTGTCTTCGTCGGTGACTGTCTTCCCCATGGACATCATTATATTATGTTTTATGATTGTATATACATATTCAAAACCGCAAATCTTGAAAAAGGGTTTCGGTCATTATTATGGAAAATATATGTTCTTAGAAAAATCAACTTTTGAAATATTTATATATATATATATATTACGAGTGTGTATAATTATCATATTGTTTATGGCCTGACATTTTTTTCTTTGTATCCTTTAAAGCAACCCATTCCATCAAAAATACAAAAAGTCAAAGCACAACAAAACAGACAACTTTTTGAAAAAGAAAATGAAAATGAAAAGGAAAAGGTGGTACATATTCATATACATATATGTATGTATACAGATATATTGTTTTCAACAAGTTTTGTGTGTGGTTGGCTTTGTAAGTTTACTCATAAATTTGTCGGCAGATATTATTAGACATAACAAATAGACGATGAAATTACAGTAAGAATTATGGGTCAAGATATATATATTCTCACTGACAACTCTGACTTTGGATGAATCTTTATATATATGTATGTATGTATTTGAAGTGGTACATTTATTCAACAAATTAAATAAATGCATCATTCCTATGTCGGAGGTATGCGGTACATAACAAATTTCAAAGTGTCATTTCGATATGCACAGTCAAAAAGTAAGATGTCATTTTCTTTCTCTTCACCAACCCAAATTTAGGTGGTCCAATTCTATCTCCTCTATATATTGTCACATCACATCCCAATATCATATCCAAAGAAAAACCCATGTGGGCTTCTATGGCTGATTGAACGAAATTCAAACTTTAATTCCGACAAGAGGAGATTTCAAGATGACATTTTTGTGACAAGTGTTAAAAGATTGGGTCCTGTCACATTTATATCATTGATGATGAGGGATATATTATTGTATTATTATACTATTTAAATTTATTATTCTCACGCCATATATATATATATATATAAAATGACAAAAAGAATGGAATAAATCAACATTGATCTCCAATTTCCCAATTCCCTTTAATAAAATTCTTCACTATTGATTTCAAACCATCAAGATTATCATACATATATATATATAGAACCAAATGGGAGTGTGCAGTTTGCTGAAGAATAATTCTCATATTGATATAACATAATTAAATTAACTGGGTCAGCCCATACTTTAAATCAGATTGCAAGTTCTTGATTAAGGGATTTTTGCAGGAATGAATGAATATTACTTGGCACCGCATTATGGCTCCTGTGCTACATCGGTGACGGATGGCGACAACAGTTGTTAGAACCTGAAACTTGGATCGACGTCCATTGCCCATGCAAATTTTGCCAGAAGAGACTTGTTGAATATCTGTGTAAATGGATAATCGTCGCATGATAGAGCTCTTAAGTAGACAGATTTTCATCGACAAAGACAAGAATAGTTTACCTTTTCAATGGGAACTTCGTGGCGCTTGCACCATGCGACTGTGATCCTAGGATCGAGGTAGTTGATCTTCGACGTGCCCAATGCCACAGTTTTTAAATCTTCTTTCGTCTCCTTGTCTCGTTCCATTTTTTCAATCCTGGCTGTGGTTTGAGATATCTTTTTCTCCAATCTGAATGGCATTGTTAGCACCTCACACATGGCGATAAGACTGGCTAACGTGATGAAAATAGAGTGTTTTACTTACGCATCAGGATTCAAATTCTTCTTCGGCTTCCCATCAGCACTCTTCAATGGGGGTTTACCTTTCTTTGCTCTTCCCAAATCCGTCTGCAGTTCTTTCAGGACACCCTACAAGAAGTTTAATAACAGTAAGAATAATGAAAGTCCATACAAAAGACATCGCCGGACAAGAAAAAGGAAAGACCAAAATCGATCGGCTAATGTGTCATTGACGGAGTACATTATAATCATAGAAACAATGCTATGTGGTTTGAAGTCGTGTTTCTAAACCAGATAGGAAAGACTCAACTAAAACAAGTAAACTCCTTCGGAAGTAGAATAATGAATACCGAGGCACTTTTCACTATAGCAAATATTTTTTTTTTACCTTTAGTTCTTCTATCTTTTCATTTAAGCGTGACATCTGAGCACTGTGAGACTTTGAGACAGTTCGTTGATGGTTACAGATGATTGCAACCTAAGGAACATAATAACAAAGTTAATTAAAGATATTCAAGTAGTTTGTGAAACTTAAAATTTTAGACATCAACAGGCTTTTACCTCCTTGTTTGCATGTTGATAAACTACTACTTTCTCGGCAACATCTCCACCCTTCGTCTCCCTGCTCAACTGTCGCAGGAAATAAAAAATGTGTCAATGGGATTACAGGCTGACAAAATATTCTATGTGGAGAACCCAATATTGGAAATTTCAAATAGCCTACTGCTGTGATTTATCCACACCAAACACAATTCCAATAAGAAAAGAGTAAGCTAGCACAATCGGACCTGCCTCGATTTAATTAACACCACAGTAATAGCTCACACATCCCTCCAGGTATAATATCAAAATATATTTCTATTGGGAAGATGAAACACATATCTCAAGGCAGAGAGTTTTTTAGTTACACATCTTACCATGTCATCCAATGTAATTGATGCATTGTATGTACGGAAGACTTTGGCTGTGAGACCAGGCATCAGTTCTTTTAAATGAGAATTTAATCTGCTCGTATCAAGTCTGTCAAACAAGTCATCGCTACCTTTTTTACCTGGAAGTTAAACAATCTATGTTTATAAGCAAGAGACGACAAATTACATATAACACATGCACTTCTACATTAGACTATAACTCACCACTTCGGAACTGCTGGATAGCCTTGAACACAGCAGTCTCAACCTCAACATCATTCTGATACCTTATAGAATCTTTACCAAGGAAATCAAACTGAAAAATGTAGAGAAATATCATGCAAAACTTCAAACACAAGTATAAGGAGGTGTTGCACTAAAATAACCCCACTTACAGAACTCGGCTTTCTGGAGTAGAGGAGATGAATATGAAATAGTAATAATAAAATCACTGGACCTTCAAGATATTTGGAGGCACTGGTTCAACATTTTCAACTTTTAATGTGCAGCAACCAACTGTATCAGCTTCATCATCATCCTGCAAAACAATAAAGACTTTAGACATGATGCAGAAATCTTCATGCATTTGCAATGATATCAATCACCTAAATTCATTGGCTTACGGATACATTAAAAAATCAGAGAACTAAATGAAGGACATTATTCCATGCTCAATGAATTGCAAATACCTTCTCATTGCCTGCCCTAAGAGCTAGTTTGTCAATCAGATAGGTTGCGACTGCTATCTGCTTTTTCCCAGGATCTTTACTCGTGAAATCTTTGGTATAAGCTGCTCGTATACCTTGAATATAGTCCTTTATATAGATATTAAATAATCAGTCCATTAACCCTCCATGCAAGTATAGATGAGAAGTAAGGTTTCTAATGATCTGTTCTATTTCAGAAACCTTTAAGAGCCTGGCTTTCTCATATTTCTCTTTGTCACTCTGTCCTTTCAAGGTACTGCTTGCTGCCAGGAACACATATTTGAACTCCTTTGGATTAATGGGATCATTCCAATATGCCAACCATGTTACTGTATTGTCATGCCTCACTTCTTTCCAGCTGCCAAATATTAAGTTCGGAGGGGTTATTTTCTCCTCAGTTTGCATCGAGGAAAATACAGACTAGTTCTTGGTTTACAATTCAAGTAATAATAATAAGATTTTTCTGGCTGACAGAAAGCATTAAGGCATGCAGCAACCTGTCGCCAGGGATAGGACACTCGGGGACTGGAGCATCCTTTCCAATATTTAAAGTGATATCACATGGACGAATTCGCTTTTTCAGCTTCCCCATCTGGTGACAATTAACAATTTCCATCAATAGAAAAACAACTCCCCCTTGATTTGGAGGTTGAAGAGAAATGAAACCATCATAATCATTATATATCTACACCATACAGAATCTTAAATCACCTTTGGGTGTTCACCCCGGCCACGAAACAACCCAGGTGGCTCAACTCTGAAGTTACCAACCTGTGAAGTTATTTGAATCAGCTATCAGCAATATGTATTCTGTGAATAAAATGTCAACTGACACAAGGAGTTGATTAAACAAAAACTACAGAAACGATATAACTACTGTTATCCCAATCACCAGCTCAACAGTGTCAACCAGGAAGAGCAGCCTCAACAAATGTTTAAGCAACACCATAATATCATGTATTAGCCAGAAAGGAAACTCATAATCCACAAGCATATGGTGACACTAAATCTATGAATGTTCAATAAAATATGCTGACTTAAATATCATTGTCTTTAAAATGTTCTAAAATCAAGCCATAAGCAGTACAAAACAACCTCCACCAGATCAGTAATTTCTTTTTAAGTAACATACATCAAATGATGCAGGAAAACTACACATAAATAAACCTGGATAAAAGCCATACCTTCTCTTTTACACCATTAACAATAGCCCACATATACTTCTCTTCTTGCTTTAGTTTCTCCTCTTTTATTGCTTTCTTCTCCTGCCCAAATAAAATACAACATAGTAAATAATAATGCACCTTCCTAAGGAAGTCTTCATCATGTCAATTGGCAAGAAACCTAATGAAGACCTTCAAGTCTTCAACCACATCTGCACTTATTTTGAATTACAACAGATATCTTTGATTTTGATTGTCAATCAATACTAGCCAAAAGAAGGCTTCATTGGTTTTTGTGATCAATAGGGTTACAAAGCATTGTTAGTAATAATTTTCACCTTGCTTGTGTACGTATGTAGAAAGAGTATCTTCAACTATTCCCTTGTGCAATTATTTACACCGCATAAAGGTTGGTATCAACCTTGCTTGAAGGATAATATTTTATTTCCTTATCTATTTTCCAATGTTTTTTCTTTTTGTGTTTACTTTACCCTTTTTACTCTATTCATATTACTATCTGTAAATCTCTCTAGATAGCAAGTTTTAAGCATTTTTGCTAGAGAGATTAATATGCGCTGAATCATTGTAAAACTAAAACTTGAGCTAAAATGTAAAATTCACATAAATATTACATTATATAATTTTGTGCAATATTTGACAGCTGCACACATAACACCATGTGCCATGGATCCAAAGAGCCTTTGCAACATGATGTCTTGTGCACCCTTAGTCAATATGCTTTATATACTTCAACATGACTAAAAATGACTGAAGCATTCTTTCTTCAGACAGCAGTGGAATATTAATATGAACTTTGTTACAAGCCTTTATGCTCACAAACCAGTTTCACAAAATGATTGTACAAGAACTCTCACGATGTGAATAATTATACCACACAAAACAAACTTCTGAACAAGAAGAGAATTTATAGAATCCAAAATTGCCATTAAATACGAAAACCATTCATAATATACCTCAGAACTCATCTGTTTCTTTTTTTCCTTTTCTCTCTGATGCCATTCATATATCGGAGTGAAATCGCAATTTTCCAAGTCCTGAATAACATGATTCTTTCCCAGTATTTTCCGCCAATCATTCATAAAGTTTTCTTTGAACTTGGGTTTAGTCATATATTCAGTATCAAGCATAACTGCAAACATTGTTGCCACCTGTCTCAATAATGAAAAGAAGTGTTTAAGTTTTCTAAGAACAGTAGAAATCAAGATAAGCCAAGAACTGCTAAACAAAGTACAACAGTAGCAAGCATAGAACATGTGAGTAGCAGAAAAGAGGGAGAGGGAGCGATAAGGATCACCTCTTCCTGTTCTGGTGTTAAATCAACAGGCTTTCCTTTGTAGAGCATCTTTACCCCATGAGGTTTGTATGGAGGGGGAAAAATCACCGCATTGTGAACCAAAGTAGTCCACTTCTGCCCGTCACCAGAACTCGGAGAAACCTTTGATGACTTGCAATACTTTGAATTTTTCATAAATTTCTTCGGTTTCTTATTTATTTTCTTTGATGTTGCAGATACAGATCTTGACATGCTTTTTGCAGATGATGGTTTATTTTCTGACGACAATGTAGATTTCTTCATTCTTTGTGATATAGGGACATGATCCTCATCGTCTTCTTCTTTAATTTCAGATTTAAAGGATGTAGATGATTCAGTAATCTTGGTTTTTTTTACACAAGACTCGCCTTCAGATTTTACAACATCTGCTACTCTCTTCTTCAACATAGTTGAAGGTTTCTTTTCAATCATGGTAGAACCATTTTCACCGCATTTGGCCAATAACGGTTTTCTATCACCAGTATTATGTGGCCTGTTGGTGGATTTTTCAACATAAGATTTACCTTCAAATTTAGATGACAAGGGTAAGTCATCATCAGGCTCTTCAACTTTGGGGGCCTTGGCCTTTGGATTCAACTTCGAAGTATTTGGTCCTCTGCTGACATTGTTAGAGTTGACCTTTGACAGGCCAGCCTTGAGCCTAGCACCAAGGGGCCTATTATCTTCAGAATCTTCTGAATCCATATTTGGTTCATCAGTGGCTTCATCCAATGGCTTCTCATCTTTAAACTGGTGCCTACAAGAGTTGGACGGATCTGTTGCTGAAGTTGAAGGCCTTGAATTCACCTCAGAAGACTTAACTGATAATGACTTGGCTGAATTATATGATTTTGGGGTAGCCAAAGAAGATTTAACTGGTTGTGCCTTGTTGGAAGAGACTATCTTACTGTGAGGAGCTACAGAACTTTGACCATTTTGAGATCGTCCATCAGATGTTGACCTCCCTAATAATTTCTTTGTGTCCGAAATGGATTGGCTTCTTTTTGCCGAAGCATTATTCCTTCTAAAAACTAAGGGTTCATTATCCTCATCCGTATCATCCATCAACTTTGATTTATCATATGCATTGACAGACATCAGTGGTGTACCTATGCATAACATATCAGCAGTAACCATAAGGAAGTTGAAAGTGGGAATAAATGTTTTTACTAACATAAGGAAGTTGCACTGAAGTTTTTCAGAAATTAAATATATTACTATTTGCTTTCTACTATTGAAAGTAACCAAACTTTACCATCCTAAGTTGGAACTTGGAAGCATGTAATTTCACTAGAAAGCAAACAGACAAATGACAAGAGCCCCTTGATGTGAAAAATTACTGGATTTGTTTGATGCTTTTGCAGAGATACTAATTATCTTTACACAATAAGGTACTATTATTACATACGGATTCTAACAAACAAAACTCCCAAACAAGAACATATGTATATATACATACAATCCAAAAAACCACTGATTACTCCGATACCTTATCACTAAATTTAATCAACAAATAACCTTTATACTTAAAACACAAAACAATCAATCATGAATATATATAAAACATTTTTGCACCATCAATAACTTGTTAACTTTGTATAAATGTGAATGAGTGAATGCACCTACTTTTTCAAACAATACGTAATTTTCCTATCTAAAACATTTATTAATATGGACTAAAAACATAAGCATTATCATCCACTGGTTTAGATATTTGATCAAAATTCAAAACATAATCAAAATAGTTCAATAAATAAATACTTGTGTGCGTGTAATTGTACATGTACTAGACACACTCCAGAGTGATGCATATCAATATCATATCTATCCAAAACTATCATGTACTGTAACATGGACATCACATTTTTGGTACCCTGAGGACACCTTACTGTAAAGCCTCAATCTACATGTAACATTTATATTCAAGATAACCCACTTGAGGGTACACATTCAGTTCAGGGAGATAATGTAATCTACAAATAATAATGAATTATGATTCATCAGGAACCGACACCTCGAAACCAGTTCTACTCGTGATAATAAATGCAAAAATCTAATAATGCACAACACGTGTCAATGCAATAGAGTCATCACGGATAAATACCTGAGATCTTAAAAGAATATGCAGATTAAAGGGAGAAAATCAAATCCCAGTTCTCCCTAGATAAAACCAAGACATTAACTACTCATGACGCTAGCACACACGCCCAACACCCAACACCCAACCTACCATTCGGTGGGTTCAAAAACATGATTTTGTCAATAGTCTTGATCCTTTTTATATATGGACATCTAACTTATATCATTTATCCAGATGAAGCTTGGAATCATGACAGATGGGAATCCAAAAACTGACAGACGCCATATTAAAATTTCTAAGAAGGGAAACAAGAATTATGCATTTGATGATCATAAACCTGGCTCAGCATTCTTAACAATGCCGCAAGTAAATTCCATAGACCAGTTTTTCTCGAACTCATCCACCCGTGCATTTCCAAATTGATTCAATTTCATGTATGAGTTTTACAACATACCTATTATCCACCTAAATAACTTATTTCCAAAATCACGGACCACACGCCTCATCAATCATCAATGCAATACTAACACTAAGACCAACATTTACACAGCTAAAATACCAAACCTTTATACACAAAGCACTACATGCACGCGACGCAAAAACAACAGATGAAATTCAAGTTGAACCATTTCAACATTATTCAAGAAAACGACGAAACGGCCATTCAAACCCAAACATCACAACCAACAATCTATCACCTCATTCCAACGCGGAGTTGAAACAATCAAATTAATCAAGAAGCAACAAAACTAAATCAACGAACTAAAACCTCTACCAAAACACGCACCTCAACTCAAAAATCAATGAAGATTCCACTTTCTCCGCTTCTTTCCCCTACCTCCACTAGCTCCGTTGCCAAGCCTTCAACAGGATTCAGATTCTATCAGAGGAAGAACTATCTGTCGAGTCACAGCACTCCCCAAACAAATTGACACCGAATGCGCCGCGTGCGACGGCGGCGGCCAGCAGCGGTGGCCAGCGAGAGGGCGGAAATGAGGGTACGGAATTGAGAAGATGGATGCGCTTACACAGACCTCTTACCAAATAATTTCCCACTTTTGTTTAATTTCGATTCGGGCCGAACCCAGTGGGCCACCTGACCCGACCCGATCCTAAATAACTGTCGTCAACATTTTATCCTTCTTTCCGGAAGGATAGCTTTATTCGGACCACATATATTCGTGTCAACCCAATTTTACAAAATGTATTTTTATTGCCATAAAAATTCTTTTTCTGTTATTATCAACTCGTCAAAATTAATTAAGTTAACTAAATAATATACATCAATAAACATATCCTTAGAAGATTATGTGAGATTGTATTATATTTATACGTATATTTTGTTTGTAACCATCAATAAATAATAATAATAATAATAACAAATTTCACGTTAAAAGTCCAATAAGATATTAGTCAATAAGTTGTAAGGCCCAAAGTCCAACAAGAAGATAGATAAATAGACTTAGCCCATTAAAAATATTTGGTCTAAAATCTGAAATAGACTTAGCCAATTATGTTTTAAATTTTATTTCAATAAACATAAATAAATCTGTGGTTTTGTTTGGTTTTAAATAGACTTAATATATTGTATAATATTTTGTGAAAAAAAAAAAAACACTCTCTGCTCATCTAAGCTTATAATAATTTGATTGGGCAAAATTTTTTAATAAAAACAAGATTATTGATTTGAGATATTGATAAGGTGAATATCAGTGTATTCAATATAAATTGTTAAAACATATGAAATATATGACTAACTTAATAACGAAAGTTTTATAAGGAGACTGAACAGATTACTATGAGGGAAAAGATTTTTTTCTAAGGAGATTCAATTTGAAAAATTTTTTGTTTTATAATAAAAAATACAAAAAATCGAAGGAGACTAATGTATATGCACCATGTTTATTAAATCATCACTAAGATCAGGTTAATCTTATATGTAAACCAATAAATATATTGGACATGAACATAAAACACATTCATTCAGTAACATATTAACATATAAACAAAAATTGAATATAAAATCTTTTCGGTAGTAGACTTGTAATCATAAAAATATAAAAAATTTCCATGTTATCCAAAAAATAAAAATAAAAAATCTATTATTCAACCAGGATACCTATAAATATTTGTTCACTTAATTTTAATTTCCTTTTATTTTTATTTTACATTAAAATACTCTTTCCTTCGAATAAATTAAAGATTATAATCTCATATCCAAAATCAAAACAAAAAAGTAAAATCAAAATTCAAAAAAATAATCCTTAATTGTATGTAAAAATATATATCAATGTGTCTTTCTAGATTCTGAGTGATTAAATTATTTGCATCGTAATTTGTGAATCAAATCTAAGCACTAGTTTAAATATGAATAAATTAATCATTTTAGTCAAAATTGCTTAGAAATTACATTAAGGTCAAACCGGCCTACCTCTAAATATATAAATGTGAATAATATATTATTATTTGAGTTTTTTATACTATTAATCGAACATTAATTTTTTCAATAAAAATTATATTAAATATATTTTTATCTCACACAACGTCAAATAAAAAATATTCAACTTTTACAAATTTTAAATTTTGTAAAAATTTATTATCTAAACAAACAATAAATTTTTAAGTTGTTTATTAACCTCCAAATTTAAACTTTAATATATATGAATCAATGGTCAACTCATGGGTTAAAGAGCCCCTTATAAAATGTACCTATATATGTTTCGAAAAGGGTAAATAAATAAACGGCTATTCTCAAAATTAAAATAAAAAAGGAAATATATATGTGTTGATGCAATTTTTCAACAATAAAAAGTAAAATTGAAAAATAGAGATTATCTTCGAATTTGATAAAATAAATGTATTAGGGAATCTCTAGGTACTGCAGGATACACAGACAAACTAAGAAAATAAACAAAAAACTCAGATTGAAAAGTAAAATGGTGATCCTCAAAAGCAATTCTCTTGAATTTGATGTCGATTGAAGATCATTTTTCAGAACAGACCCGAATCCTTAAATAACCCCTTAAAGAAACGGTTTAAACCGTCATCTGGTCGGTTACAGCAACCGCTGTGAACCGCCCACCAGGTCCTACTCTGTCGACACGTGTGTTAACCGACTCACCAACCGCGCCAATTACAGCACTCAGCTGACTCGGCCGACAACCTCTGAAAACCTCACCGCCTTAAATGGACGGCTGGTCCGACCGGCTATTCAGCCGCCCAAAATAACCCCTGACTCTTTAGACGGACTGCAGGCCAACCGACTAATCCAGATACTAACTGGTCGCTAGACCAAACGACTCATTGGTCACCCAATCAAGCAACCACCATCTGGTCCCATCAATCGGCTGAACAACCATTCGTCCAGACGACTCATTGGTCGCCCAATCAAGCGACCACCATATGGTCCCTTCAATCGGCTGAACAGCCATTCGTCCAGACGATTCATTGGTCGCCCAATCAAGCGACCAACTGACCGCCCTTTCAAGTGACTGAACTACTGTTTGACCAAGTGGCTGGCAAATCGATCAGGCGATTAACAGGTCGCTTAATTAAGCGCCCAACCAACAGACTCTTCATTCGTCCGACCAATTAACAGACTTTTGACCGACCTCCATATCGATCCTCTCTTCGCCCGACTTCATCTTGCCCTACCTATATGCTGTTCGACCTGGATGCATATCATTTCCTTCATCCATCATCTCCTTGCCCGACTTTATTTCGCCCGACCTATATGCCGTCCGACCTGGATGCCTATTATTTCTTCCATGTCTCATCTTATCATGTCCGACCTCCGTGTCCGACCTTATCATGTCCGACCTCAGAGCCCGACCTTATCATGTCCGACCTCCGTGCCCGACCTTATCATGTCCGATCGCCATGCCCGACTTTATCTTGTCCGACCTCCGTATCTGTCGAATCATCCTTCTTTGTCTGACCTTATCCTGTCCGACCTCCGTGTCTCCGATACTTCATCTTCGCCCGACTTTTGGATAGTTTAGCTTATATTCAGACCATCCAGAATCCATTATTATTATTATTATTATTATTATTATTATTATTATTATTATTATTATTATTGTACGTAACAATATGTAAGATGAAATAAATAAAAAGAATAGAGTATTAGTAAGATGAAATATATATATGTATACATACAGGAAATTGGTTTCAATAAAAAAAATATATTATTGTTTAATTTCATTTTTTTTAAAATAAAAAAATCACATCAAAATACCCAAAACTCAAATAAAAATATCAAACTAAAACTAAATCCAAACATATCCTATTTTTAATTTCAATAGTAATTTGTATGTGATGTCGTGTAAAAAAACAATACAGTAGGAGTATATTTTTCTAAAGAACAATTTTTTTTTATAATAATAATAAATAAAAAAAAAAAAGAGCCAAAAAGGTAATGATCGATATTTTCTAACAAGAACAAACATATAATTTAAATGACAAAAACTAGAGAAAAAAACAAAAGAAAAAAAAAATGTATTATCGGTAAAATAATTAGTATACTGTTGTCCCATCTACATATTCATGATTCTTCCACAGGCTGTCCAAAAATAAAAATAAAAACAAGATCAATTATAAATTAATTAATGGGGAAAATGTTAGAGATATTTGATTATAATGGCTTGTGTGTAAAATATATATATATATATATATATATTGTTAGGTAAAGGTATGCATGCCCCAACCCTAGATATTATTTGTCCTCATTTAATATCGTTGTTGTAATGTCCCAACCACCAATTGAGTGTATATATATATAATTCACATACATACAATTATACAATAATAAATTAAAATTACAATACAAAAAATAAAAGTTGTAATGTGAATGACCATTCCTGATTCATTCGTATATTCGTCTTTTTATATTATAATGAGGCCAAATTCAGTAATGTTCAACCCCAAAATTTGGTCATTAATTACATAGTACTCTCCCTCTCATGCAAATGTGTGCTCATTTGACCGGACATGAGCTTTAATAAAAATGAGTAATAATGATTACTTTTTTTCTTTTATAGTAAAAAAATTGTACAAAAATATAATAATTTTTTACTTAAAAAAATAACAAGAATATTTTTCAATGAACATAGATTTGGACGACGGAGGAGTAGTATTTATTATAAATGGATGTATTATATATGAGTATATATATATAGTTTATGAATTATGTCTGAATGCAGATACTTATATAATTTGATATATGAAGTTCTAACAACCCAACCTCGAATGTCTATCAACTTGTTGCCTAGCTTTTGACCTAAGTTTTTAAATTTTTGTGTAGAATAATTATTATTAATACTGAGTTTTTTAGGTTTCATTTCTTTGGGGATTTTGGATATTTATTATTTTTTTTTTTACAAAAGTATCAAATTAATTAAGTATTTTTAATAAATTTTATATTATAATATAAATTAATTTTACATTCAAAATATTAAATTAATATTTATTTATGTCACATTAAATAATTATTTCCATATAAAATTTTAGTATTATTTAAAACTCGAACATTAAAACTCAAACTCCAACAAGCACACCTCAGCTTCTAAAAAACTTTGAAAATAATAAATAGTTGGATATTTCATATGATATATTTATAAGAAAAAAATAAATTTTAATGCGACTTTTTTTAAATAATAATAATAATAAAATTAATGTTGATAACAATAAAATTAATGTTGATAATAATATCAAAACTTATATATAAACATTACTCTTATTTTGTGATGATCACAAAATGTAAAGAGCTCTAGATTTATTTTTTTTTTCTAAAAAAAAAATGTTCTCCCGTAATTTAAATGTGTTTAAATGATTGGGTACAAATTTAAATAAAAGTTAGTAACAATAATTATTTTTTCTTTTTTAAAGTAAAAAATACCAAAAAAAAAAATGATAATATTTTTTATAGTCATCGAAACTTATTTTCATTTTTATTTTTTTTGTAATCCAAATTTATACTCGTATTTTTTTTAGTAAAAAAATACTACAACTTTTTCTACTTTTTTTTTACCATAAAAATAATATTTCTATTTTTACCAACTTTTTTTAAAATTCGTGTATGATCAAATTGACATAAGTTTACAGAACGGGGTGAGTAATATAAATTTAGATGACAAATGAAGTAAAAATAAAAAAATAAAAAAAGATACTTATTTGATATTCTGTCTTAACTGAAAATACTATTTATACAACTTTTGTCAGCACTAATTTTTTTTTTCTATTACCAAAATATCTCTTTAATTTCTATATCAGGAAAAATCATTTTTTAGCAAAACTTTTTTGTCTCTAAATTTATTTTTTTCCGTTATTAATGACATTAGAGACGAAATTATGAATGAAATTACGTTAGTTACGTCAACTTTAGGGACGGAATTCCGTTACAAATATAATATTTTTTTGTAGTGTATAAGCATATTGTTATGCATACAATTAATTTAATAAAAAAAAATTACAGAGGATGAAAAGATTAAGTAAATAAACCAAAAGCCTAGATGATATTTTCTTAACAAATTAAAACTATTAGTAACTATTTAGATTTGGTGGTTGAGATTGCATTACATGTTAATTTATATTATGAAGGAATTAATAGGAGAACCTGTTACTAATTAAACTAGTTTATTTGCTTACCCGGAATTATAATTTAATTTATTCTAATTATCCATTTAAATAAAATTAGTGTGTATAATTTATAAAAACTAGTGTGGGTTCCATCACTTCATATTATTGTGATTAATTTGTTAGGTGCTGCTGTTGATGATAATTATAATGATTTTATTTTGATTGTTTAAACTAATGGGGTATAATATAATAATCTGTGTATTATTTAATATATATATCATATAGTAAATCAAATAAATACAAAGTTGACAATCTAATAATAAAAAACAATGAATGCAATAATTATATTTATGGACTGCCAGTGTTATATGCACACGCCTTATTTATCATTGCTACTTAAGTCTTTTCACAAAAGTAAAATTAATTGACTGTGCAATCATCACTGCCTATATTCACCCAAAATTTATTTATTTATTTATTTATTATTATTACCATTATTAAAGAGATAATTGTGAGTTGGATTTTGATTTTGCAAAAAGTAAGAATTTGAATTAAAATAATTATTGAATTTGATATTGTAACTGGAAGTGACATTAGTACATTTTGTTTTCGCCGATTATTCTCAAATAATATTAAAAACTACTTTATTTGGGTAACATCAGAATTGCCTTGGCGTTTAGTTTAAATATATTTTTATTATTTTAGATTATTTTTAGAATAAAAAAATTAAATATTACATTTTTTATAAATAAATAATAAAATATTATAATTAAAAATTTAAATGAAGAGAGTCCTAACTATTCATTATATGTCTAATTTAAATTTATTTATGTTTTTGTTTTTAGTATAAAAAATATTATTTTTTTCTTTTTTACTATGAAACAAAACTTTTTTATTTTTATATAGTTTTTTTTAAAACTCGTGCCCGATCAAATAAATATAAATTTACATGACGAAAAGAGTGATTTATAATATACTAATAAAATGAGATTTATATATTCCCTCCGTCCTATAACAAATTATGCATTTTTTTCATTTTAGTCTGTCCCATAACAAAATATTCAATTTTTTTTTTTTTTAGTAATTGTATTATCTACGTAACATTACAAATACCCTTACAAATTACAATTTCATGAATTCGCGTAATCCCAAGAAAAAGAAGCATGTCCAACAGTTTTGGAAGTACACTTTTCTAACAGGCAATTAAAAATGATTTAAAAACTCTCAAAGTATTTATTGTGAAAAAAGGTTGAACTGCATAAATATAAAGGCTAAAAAGGCAAAATTTTATTTTTAGCCTCATTATAGATTAATTGGTATAAAATTACTCTCATTATATATATATCTACTCTACTATTTTTTTTAATCTATTAATCTCGTATATAATTGATTTATAATAAACAATTTAATTATTTGAATTTTAAAAAATTATATGAGTGAATTAATAAAGTAAATTTCTTTTTAGATATATTAACGGTGTAAATGGTGATAACATAAGTACATGTAAATAAATAAAATAACGAAAAGATATAAAAATAATAAAAATGTAAAAGTCATTTGCTATTTTTTGTGGATAAGAAAAAAACAGAATATATTTTGTGCAGGAGTAATAAATTTATCATTATTTATTATTATTATTTAATAAATTTTTGATAATATTTTTATTTTGTATTAAAATATTATTATTTTTTAATTTTCATGGCTAAATATGGTGACATAATAATAATAATAATAATAATAATAATAATAATAATAATACTCCATCTGTTTCATAAGTAAATATTTATTTGTTTTTTGCACGTAGTTTTAAAATATTAGTATTATATTGAGATATAGTAGAAATAAAATAGAAATGACTAAAATAACTTTATTAGTACGTGTGATATAAAGATAATGACATTTATGTAATATATTGTAAGTTGTAAGGATATTTGTAATGTTAATTAGATAGTACAATTACTTAAAAAAAAAAAAAACAGAGAATGAATACTTTGCTATGTAATATACTAAAATAAAAAAATTGAATACTTTGTTATTACGATAAAAGTAACTTATTTTTAAAGAGACGCATTTGACGCATGTATGCTTCCTTATTATAGCAGTCATATTAATAAATTTCGTTAAAATTATAGCATAATAATTAAATTTTAATGAATTTATTCTAAACAAGACTAATTTTACAAAAATAAATAAATAATATAATGGGAATAATTTTACAATAAAAATTATATTCCATTCGTTCCATTGAAAAGTTACCAATTTCTATTTTCGTTAGTTCTAAAACAAGGTTACTATTTTATAATTTAGTGATTGTACTACGTAACATAATAAATATTTTTTCAATTTACAATATATTATACAAATGTCATTACTTTTATATTACACTATACTAATAATAAGTATATTTTTATCATTTTCACTATAGTCTAATATAATACTCATATTAAAAAACTTACTTCCAAAAAACAAATGTCACACTTCCAACCAATGGGATATGGAGGGGTACTATTATTGTCTATTACTCCTACATTAAATTCCTTTTTTTCTGAAAAGCCTGAATCATGAAGGTTTCCTTTAAATCCTTTTTGTATCATGATGAATAAAAAGGGTAAAATGGGTCGCACTTTACCAAACAAACAGTATTTGATGAACAACTACTATTTATTTACCACAAATTATTGAAGGTAAGCTGCCTGCTGCATCTTGCATGCATGTCCCAGCTGTCACTATTAATCTGCAGTATCTGTCTACAGAAAAAAAATCACATACATACATATATATATATATATACATACATGTGTGTGATGAGACATTCACCCATCAAGACTATTCCACATTATTGAAATAAAAAAAAAAAAAAAATTGATAATAACAATAATTATTATTATTCACTTCCTACAATATTCTCTATCAAAAATTTCCTTAGGATATTCCCTTTCATAATTAATTACCTATTTCTTTCATACTTGCTACACAGACAGCCATTTTACAATAATATCCTCATATCATGTCGACGCAGCTTTGGAATTGTCTGAAAATTGGGCAATGGGTGTGCCCAAAAGGGAAATTAAAGGTGAATTTTGTTTCTGTTCAATTTGTGGTGGGCAGGGGCAGGGGCAGGGGCAGGGGCAGGGGCAGGGGTGGGTTTGCAATATAATTTTGTTTGTGCACACAAAACATATGGGATTTGATTTGGGAAGGACCAAATTAAAGTGAGGAGATGGAATTGGGTTCTGAGAGAATTATTAATTATTTAATTATTCATGGTTTAGGACAAGATGTGTATTATTATGGGAAAGGACTAATGGAAAAACTAGTTGTAGTAAGAAGACAGACGAGGAAAGCATCTCAAGTACAAAATTGGTGGATTGCTGCTGTTACTATGAATTAAAACTCGATCGATGCAGACATATATATATATATATATATATAATTGGGAACAGAAGTGATCGATTTGAATGGCTTTTTCAAATGAGAGAAGACAGCTGTAGTGTACAACTGAAAGAAATTTACTTCTTCTTACAGTGGTGAAAAATAAGCACAAAAAAAAAGGAAACAAGAAGCGCAATGGAAAGATTGACATATAAAATGGTCAAAACTCATCACCAAAAGTTGTTTTTTTTCAAAAAAAAAAAAAAATGAAAACGAAAATGTAAAAAAGTAAAAAAAACAAACACACACCGGCATTGCCATGGAAGGTAAGGTCAAACTATTGATGCCTTTCACAATATTCCTTCGAAAGCGGCAGCCGACGACAGCATATCCTCCAAGAAAAGTCCACAATCTTGCAAACTGTCCAAATGATTGTAATTATAATTGTAATTGTAATTATAATTATAATTGTAATTGTAATACTCCCATCCGACGTCGGCGAATACGAACTCCTCTCTTGTCGGCTCGATCGACTCGTAGCTGGTGCCCAGGCTCGGAAGCTCCACGATCTCGCCGAGCTCGTCCGGCGCCGTCGTCGTGGAGGCGTCTTCCGACGAGGAGGTGGTAGTGGTGGTGGCGGTGGTTGTGGTGGTGGCGAGGGATGAGGAGGAGGAGGAGGAGGTGAGAGTCGCCGGAGAGCGGCGGTTGAGGTGGTCCATGTGGGCGGCTTTGGTGGCGGCAGCCTGGACGTCACGTGGGGAGCACGTGACGGGTCGGGGGAGGAGGTCCGTTAATTCGGGGAAGTTGAGGATGGCGGAGCTACCCTTGATGGCTAGGGCGGCGACGTCGTGCGCACGTGCCGCCATCTCCGGGTTGTCGAAGGTTCCCAGCCAGATCCGGGACTTCTTCCGGGGCTCCCGGATCTCGGAAACCCACTTCCCCCACGCCCGCATTCGTACTCCTCTGTACACCGAATGCTTTCCATTGTTAGTATTATTGCTGTTATTACTGCTGCTGCTGCTGCTGTTATCGCTACCTCTGCTTCTCTTCTTCACATTCCCGTCGGAGGAACACTCGTCGCCGCCGTCCCTCCGCCGCTTCTGCCGCTTCGTCTCCGGCGCCGATTTGCCGCTGACCTCCGGCTCGGAGTTCGCCCACTCAGGCTCGAGCTCAGCCTCCGCCATAGCTAGACACAGTCAAAACCTTAATTAAAGTAAGAGGATTCGAACTGACTGACGAACTGACGAAATGTAAATGATGAAGATGATGATGACCGAATTGGGGAAGACGATGGGGTGATCGATTTGCAATAATTCGTATGATTAAGTGGTAGTGTTGAAGTTCTATTTATATGTGTCTTCTTTTGTTCTTTAGTGTGTCTGTATCTCTCTCACACAGAGTGAGTATCAGTGTATGCAATTATACTATTATACATACACATTAATGTATGTATACATGACGTGGCATATGTGTGTCTATTGTGTGTATGTATATATGTGAAGAAGATGGGTGGAAGGAAGGAGTGCGGCAATATAATTCTTCATAATTCCAATTTATTTCGAAATATAAATATATATATATATATATATTATATGGTGTTGAATATAAGAGTAGACAGACAAAAGAGGAAGGGACCCGGCTACCGACCGAGGGTTTGAACACCCACTATTTATTAATTACACTGTACACAAAAATTTTAAATTTATATAAATTGCATGTATACGTATTGCGTAGCTATACGTTCTTTATACGTATAATGTACGTATTGAAAAATTGGTATAGCATATAGGACAAGATGGAACTTAGGGTTGACAGTAATTGTAGATTAAGATCCTAATTGAGGCAGACAATTAATTAGGTCTACTTAATTAAACCTACGACTTATGAATTATTGTCGCCGCGCAGAGGCAAACCCAGCCGATTTTTAGGCACCTAAGACAACTTTAATTTCACAGCTTAATTATATTAATTAATTAAAATTTAAAATCACTCTCATTATATTAAAATTTCTTCCTCTGAAGTTCAACTAAGCAGTCTTTTATTTTTATTTTTTAGATGGCTTAGGTAGATAATTCTACTGTTGGACTATATATATTAGGGGTCCAGCTGAATTTAATATGTACCACTAATTTATAGATTTTAATTAGAGCAGAAGGCTTCATTATTTGAATTCACATAAAATTTAATAATAGAAAAAAATATAAATAATCCATTTTCTAAAGAAATTAAATTTAAAAATTGAGTTGTGTGATGGGTTTATTGTAAAAATTGATATCTGACCAATCAGGAACAATAAATTGTAAGAATGGTTCATTTTTCTTTATTTAGTACATAGAAGAGTTGATGTCTCCATCTGGATTTATTATTCCATTTTCGAATATTCAACAAGGAACAATGAACCTAAAGTATTCGTCGTTAAAAAGTAACAATATACTGTCCCGTAAGAAATGACCTGATGGTGTAGGAGTTGGACTTGTGACCATGAGGTCATGGATTCAGGTCACCTGCCAACGTAAATGTGACTCTTACAGTCTTTTTTATTTAAAAATATTTATTTTTATTCAATGTACCATTTTAATAATTTTTGTCATTCTTATTTAAAAACATTTATTTTATAGTAATTCATGCATAAATATCAAAATATCTAATTTTTATAAAAAAAAATTTCTTTTTGTACTTACAAAAATAACAATATCAAAATTATTTTTTACATATTTTTATAATTCATTAATAAAATATTTATATTTCATAATCTACTGCGAAAAAAATAAAAAGATACATTTCATTGTTTTATGATTTAAGATTGAAGTCAAATATAATCTATATCAAATGATAAAACACTAAGCTCTATTAGAGTTAAAAGAAGAAATAAAATTTACAAGTATATAGACACATGGAAATGCAGTAGCCATGGTCGCTAGGGCTGATTCTAAATTTCGAAAGATCCAAAGCAAAATAAAAATAAGAAGCCTTAGGTAAATTTGGAGGCGTTAAAACTTAAATAAATTATATATATAATATAAATATATAAATATCTTATAAATATTGGATTATATATATATATATATATATAGTATGAGATCTCAGCATCATATAAAATAATTGTTTTCGTATTATGAAATAAAAAATCCTTTATGATCTACTGTTGTCAACATATATTATTATAGAACAAGTAGAATCATTTAGTTTTTTCCAGCGTGACAGTATATATATATATATATATATATAATCAATCTCTTATTTCATTACAAGTCATGTGGCAGTTTGGTCAGAAATAAAATTCCAATATAAGTAGAGCATTGAGTAAAATATATGATCACAGATTCCATGTATTTAAATGCTATATAAGTATTGTAAAAGTTAAAAGTTTTAAAAGAATCTGGAAGCACAGGACATGCTGATTGATTAAGTAAAATCGACACGAGGGACTTAATTGGGAGATGGCCCTATATAAATAAATAAATGATTTTTTGCTGACCATCGTCTATTTATTTAAAATTAGTTCAATCTCTTTATTGCATTAAATTTTGGGGCCAATTAAAATATACAATAATATTAATACACCACTTCTTCCTAGAAGTTGGAAATTCGCCGTTTTCAATTTACTTGGACACCTGGGCCAAAAACAGTGTATAATTTCGAGCAAATTAAATTTACTGACACAAACTTTTAATGTTTCTAAAATTGGCATTACTAAATATTCAAATTCCAAATATAGGATTGACTTACATTTTGATTTCAATTTGGAGGGAGAATTCAAAATTTCCTCATTAAATTATCCAGACAAATTCATAATTATATATATATATATATATGTGTTGTTACTTACATTTTAAATATACCGTAGGTATTAATTAATGCATGAAACTCAGATTATTTGATGTTTGTAAAAAATTATACTTCCTCCATCCCACATAATTTGTCTCTATTTTTTTATTTTCGTCCGTCCCACATAATCTGTCATTTCTATTTTTGGAAATATAATTATGCACTTTAATCGCATTTTAAATTTTATAATTTTCTTAATTTTAATTAAACTATTTACTTATTTTAATCTTAATCTATAATTATTTTTACTAATATACTTATTAATTATTTACTAATTATACTTTACCTAAATTCCTGTGTCTACAGTAATACACATGGAACGGAGGGAATAATAATCAAGTATTTGACATGATATTTTATAATAATACATATTTAAGAAAAATTAGTGCTAACGAATAGTAAAACAAAATTAATTTATTTTCACCGTAGCCGTAAAATTCATAGGCATCAATATGATCACCACTCTTTTATTATTTCCCATACCGTACACACGAATTCCAAAATTACCCCGATTGATAAAATAAAATAAAATAAAATATTGAAATGAAATATCTGGAAATAATTTGTGGCTGATATAGCGTATCGGGGAGGAACGGAAGGATGACGATGATGGGCCAAGTCCAGGTCCAGGTCCAGGCCCATTGTATTAATTAGGAGTATTAATTAATAGAAGAAGGGCATTTATGGGGTGAGTGCAGTACAATGGAACGTGTGATATTTTGCTGCACAAGATCAAAAAAATTCAGAAAAGACTGGAACGTAATAAATAAATAGATAAATATTATAATAATTGAAGTAAAGGAGAAAAGTAGGGTAACCGTAGGGGAGAGAACTGTAGAGAAATGAAATGAATGATGAAATTAAAAATCCAGCTAATGCCAGTCCAGTTAGTAATATTCATCCATATGAATATGATATATATATATATATTATATAAATGATTTGATATGTATTCCAACATCAGTATATTTAGGGGACCCAACCCCCATCCCATGCCACCTCCCTCTCTTCTCCAACAACCTATTTTGTCGTCTTCTTACACCCCCCTATATACATACAATTTCCTTCCACGTTTCAATTATATATACACACATAAATTAAATACCAAATTATTATGGAAAATAAAAAAGCCCAATTTTGGCATCATACAATAATAATAATAATAATAATAATAATAATAATAATAATAATAATAATAAAGATAATAATTTTTTATAAAAATAATCTGATGATGTGGTTATAGACTCGTGATTATAAGATCAGCATATGTATAAAATAATAATTAATAATAATAAAAGATGGTCTCAAAAAGTAGACGTGTTACTTTTCATGTTAAAAGTTGGTGGGATTTTGATTACGTGAAGAATGGCAAGTACATGCATGTACATGGCTGGCATGTAAAAGCGTGTGTATGTATATATATATATATATAGACACAAAAGTTGGTCATTCATGTATATTATCAATGCAATTCGGTCCACCGTCATGCATATTATATTAATTCAATACAATATAATTTAGATACATACTACTGATATTTTCTATCTTTCGAATAATTATTGATATTAAGACAAGATAAATAAAATAAAATAAGATATAAATTAAATTAACATAATGAATAGTTCACAGAAATTGTTGATAATAATAATAATTATTATTATAATAGTTGATAAGAAAAAAAAGGGAATTAAGAGCAATGCAAAGGTTAATGTGTCGTAGGTGTAAGTATTTATTGCAGGTAAAAAGAGTACGGCCTTTGGATTTAATATTAGTTTGGAAATTAAATATATATATATATATATAAATAAATTTTAGTTAAATTAATTAATAAACACTGAGGAATTGGCGATGAACGTACGTACTCTTCAACTACTTTTTAAGGTTACTCACTGTTTTTCGATCTTGACATATATATATATATATATATATGCATTCTTTCACACTTATTATATTAATAGTAATCATAATAATACTATGGATTTAATTCACTATTTCGATTATAATTAATTTCTTCAAGCTACGTGCAAGTCAAAAAGTCAAAACCTGAGGTTCAATAAAAGTCAGCAAAACCTTATATATAATATATTTTATTTTTTCCTTAGACACGAGCCTCGACAGTTTGACCATACTTCATTAATCATTTCTTTCAGAAGCCAAGAAAGAATTTTGCTATGACAACCTTTATGGGTTTAAAAAAAAAATATATATTTTTTTTTATAAAAAGGGCTGTTACAAATGATAGATGTGAACCAAAGTACATAAATGTCAAATGTTTTCTTCCCATGTATGCATGGGAAACTATTAAACAATTAAATTAGACAAATATATATATATATATATATGTGATAATGTAAAGAAATGCATGCAATAAATAATAATGGCCAGTTTAATTTTCTTGAATTAAATAGCATTATCGAGTAAAATTTTTAAAAACTAAATACAGATGAATCTGGTTTCTTGCAAGGTGTACTTATAATATCTATATTTATATTTACATATATACAATATCCACATATATGATTTTACGAAATATGGTCGTATACATTCCTCCTGCACATGGATAATAATTATAAAATCTAATTAATTATATTATGTAATTGAATTCAATAACGAACAGATAATTTATATACACTATAATATATATATATAGCAATTATATTAGGTGTGGAGATATTATGTATAAAATATCTTCCATGCATTGATTATTCCAAACAACCAATAGCAACTCCAATCAATACTATATATATATATATATTGTTGGAGGAAAAATAAAATTAAAAAAAAAAATCGATTATAATGTGTGAAATTATTTAATTTTGAGGAATAATTTATGAGATTTGACGCTAATTAATAAATAATGAAATTTTGATATCGTCCAAGCATGCACAAACAATTTATTATATATACGTACATTTTTGTTGAATTAGATCCACATATATTTTATTTGGCTGGAAATGTTCCCCAAGAAAAAAGTACATTGTTATTTATTATTGTAGGGAAAGCATCATCATCAATCACATCTGGGATTATTATTTCCATTGAATCATGATATTAGATTTGGTTGCAATCTAATTACCTACGTGCCCAAGCATTAATTTTTGATTTATTTATGTATATATGTATGTGCCCCATATTGATTTTATTAAATGAAGAAAATAAGAAACTTAAATAATAATGTGATTTAAAATGAGTGGGGAAAATGGAGTTTTCATCAGAATAAATAAGTGGGGAGAGGGCTATTAAAGAATTGACAGCTCACATGAGGCAATTTTGTACAAGGATTTGAAACATGTATCATCATCCCATTCCTTTCCCTTGTTGAATGAAAATATATAATGGGAATTCAATTTTATTTTTTTATTTATTGGTTACATGCATTTAACATTTTTAGATCCATCTTCTACAGATATCATATATTTTAGGATAATATAAGAAATATAAGTATTGGAAATCTATACATATATATTAATTCAACATTTATGCATGTATGCGATTTTCATTAAAATTTTAGATTTATTAATACAATTGGGCCAGCAGCGGCCTGTTAATTTTATTTTGGGCCTTTATGGTTTACATTTTAAATGCACTCCACATGGTTCGGCCCATATTATTGTAACAGTATCCAAAATTCTTTAAAACAAAAAAAATCACATTGTAACGTAATATTGCTGATAGAGGAGATGCTGTCAAAGTATAACTGTGAAAGAGAAAAATTACTTGAGTAACGCTTTTTTAAAATCGTGTTTTTATTATTGTATTAGAGTCAGCGTTTTTATTTTACCGTAGCTCTTTTACATGGTCGTCGGGAAATTGGTAGGAGCTGCTTTTCCGTAACTAAAGCCAATTGGGCCAACAGTAGCCTGTTATTTAATTTTGGGCCTATGTAATAATTGGGCTTTACGGCGATAATTTTTAATACTATCCATATGGTTCGGCCCATATTATTCTAATTACATCCAAAGTTCTTCTAAGCACCTTTGAGGATCGTAAACCTGAAATTATACTCCGATTTAAAAAAAAAACAATAGTAAAAAGTAATGATTGCAAACAGCCCACATTCAGATAAAGTTGCCGAAAGATCCCACTGGACAATGTCACGTAATATTCGTTGATAGAGAAGATCGTGAAAGTGTTACTGTAAAAGATCGAAGGTTACATACACATTTCTAAAAGTGTGATAAAAAAAAAAATAAAATAAATTCAGCAAGTGGGGGCTGATGAACTCAAAGCTCCCAAGGTTTTTTCTTTTTTGACTATGTGAATTTTTGATCACTGAATAGTATTTTAGGAAGGGAATACTTTAGGAAAGCAAGTGGGGGCTGATGTACTCAAAGCTCCCAAGATTTCCATCTTCCTATAGCTAATTTCAGCACCGACAAACAGCTCACTGCCCTCAGCTTTTCACTTCGAGGTACCTTCTGTTTGTCCATTCCTCTTATGAATTTATTGCAGATTTGGCTGTGGGAAGTGTAATGGGTTTATGCTGTTTTAATTTTCTAACTTCAATTTACAATCTTCACTTCAATTTTTGGTGGGGTTGGGTGGGTTAATTGGTGGGGGAGATTCCCATACCCATACCCATACCCATTGAAATCGAACCAAATCCATGTGTAAATTTTCGGTTGTAAACATTGATTTTGTGAATGAAGTCTGGTCAAACATGTGTAGGCGTTTGACGGGGGAAGTGGAGGATTGATAATTTCACGAACTGAATTACCTTGTTTGACTGCCTGGTATTTGAAATTGGAACATTTCTTGGCTTTTATGTAGGATTTGGTTAGAGATTTGGCAATCGATATGAGCAAGTGAAACATTTGGCTGCTTTGTGTGTTTGTCATGGATTGTTATTCCATCAAAATTCAGACACTGCTTCAGATTGAGAAAAGGAAATGGGTGTTCTTAGTTGGATTGGTTGCCCTGACTCATTTGTTCTGTCAGTCTTTGATGCTTCCATATGGCAATGCCCTTCGATCGTTGATACCCAATGAGAAGATCAGTAGAGGCCTCTTAAAGGCAAGTGAATCCTCCAAAGGATCTTCAATCGACGAAACTTTTGATAAGTTCACTGTGTTGACGTTAGAAAAGAATTCTCTGTTGTTAAATGAAGCGAGCTTAGGAGGAGACAGTGCTGATGATGAAAAGGATTCATCTGAAAAGGACAAAGTGGAGAAGATCAATTCTGGCTTGGATGTTGATGCTGCCGACGATGATTTCAATTTCTTGGAGGATGAAACATTAGGTACTGTAAATGTAGCTGTTGCCGAGGGACTTATGTTGCCGGGAGATGTCACTGAAGCTAATAAGACACTGCCTGAGAAAAATATTGTCCGCGGTTCTGATATATTATCGCCTCCAGTCGTCTCTGCAGCGAATCCTTTGATCATTAAAGCCGTGGTTCATAATGAATCATATCCGGCAGCTAGTTCATCCAGCAATGATATTATCGTAATGTTCAATGAAACCGCGTTCGCCAATAGCACTTTGGTTTCAAATAAGCCTGTCGGGAAGAAGATCATGAGGTGTAACATGCCGCCAAAAACTGTGACCCCGATTGATGAAATGCAGCGGCTGTTAGTCCACCATCGTGCTCGATCGCGTGCAATGGTATGCCTCTTGACAAAAAAATTTAGTCGATTTCCTTATCTTCAATTTATCACTTGGAAAAGATGTGAGTTATTGCAGCTTGTTGTCTGATTGGATTACAGCGACCTAGATGGTCCTCTGATCGCGACCGGGAGATTCTAGCCGCGAAGTTAAAGATTGAGAATCCCCCGATTTTGAAGAATGACCGGGAGCTGTATCCTCCGCTGTTTCGAAATATTTCAATGTTCAAAAGGTTAGTCGATTATCAACTACGTACTATTTTACTAGATGAATGTCTGATTTCGGCTTTTTTCACGCTTTTAAAACGGCGCAGGAGCTATGAACTCATGGAAAGAGTACTGAAAATATACGTATACAAGGATGGCGAAAGGCCTATTTTCCATCGGCCGATCCTCAAGGGACTTTATGCGTCGGAAGGATGGTTCATGAAGCTGATGGAGGGAAATAAGCGATTCACCGTGAAAGATCCGAGAAAGGCTCATCTGTTTTACATGCCATTCAGTTCGCGGATGCTCGAATACACACTTTACGTACGTAATTCTCACAACCGGACAAATCTCCGCCAGTATTTGAAGGATTATTCAGAAAAAATAGCTGCGAAGTATCGTTACTGGAACAGAACAGGAGGCGCCGATCATTTCCTTGTCGCCTGCCATGATTGGGTAATTCATTAGCTTCCATTAATCGAACACTTGTTGTTACAAAAGATATATCAGTTTGTATCTAAGCTTTCGACAATGTATAAGCGCAGGCGCCCTACGAAACAAGACACCACATGGAGCACTGCATCAAAGCTCTATGCAACGCGGACGTGACTTTGGGCTTCAAAATAGGCCGGGATGTGTCCCTCCCGGAAACATACGTCCGGTCTGCCCGAAACCCGCTTAGAGATCTTGGAGGTAAGCCGCCGTCCCAGAGGCGCATTCTCGCCTTTTACGCTGGAAATATGCATGGTTACCTTCGGACGATCTTGCTCAAGCATTGGAAAGATCGGGAGCCTGACATGAAGATCCTCGGTCCGATGCCTCCAGGCGTTGCGAGCAAAATGAATTACATAAGTCACATGAAGAACAGCCGGTACTGCATTTGCCCGAAGGGCTATGAAGTGAACAGCCCAAGGATAGTCGAGGCCATCTTCTACGAGTGTGTTCCGGTGATCATATCCGATAATTTTGTGCCCCCGTTCTTTGAGGTGCTGAACTGGGACACGTTTTCATTGATTGTCGCGGAGAAAGACATTCCGAAGTTGAGGGAGATACTCGTGTCTGTACCCGAGCAGAAATATCTCGCGATGCAGCTCGGCGTGCGGCGAGCACAGCAGCATTTCCTGTGGCACTCGAAGCCGATGAAGTATGATCTCTTCCACATGACACTTCACTCGATCTGGTACAATCGAGTTTTCCAGATAAAAAATAGATAACGATGATCATGCAAGAAACAGCTTCGTTCTGAGGTGTATATAAACGTGTTGAAATTGTAAAGAAGGATGCATGAAATATATGTATTTCTTGATTGCTGATTTGTGGGTGATTCTTTATATGATTTTATTTGGGGGAAAGATAGAATGAAACGAAGAAAATTGGGGCAGATGGTTCCTATTTAAATGCAAGTTGCAGACAAGACAAGACAACGAGTTTTTTCCAATTGTTGACTTTATCAAATAATGGAAACCTTTTTTTGTCAACGGAAGCAGCTTCCAATTTGTTTCGAGGATCAGCAACAATTTGGAGAAAGAATCGGATTAAGAAATGTGAAGTCAACTGCAGCTATCTAGTTAGACAATGGCGAATTGCATTTATTGATCCCTTCTTATGTGGCTTCGAATTCTGATCTGTAATCCTCACCAAAGCAGGAAGCTCTTAGTTTCAGCCATGGGGATTCAGAAGAAGAACTCAAACTTAACCTCAGGAGGAGGCAACAACAACAGCAACAACAATACGCCCCCAACAATCCATGAATGTGCTGAGTCTGGTGATCTGAGTGGCCTTCAGAGTTTGCTCTTTCGCGATCCTTCGCTTCTTAACGACAGAAGCGCTCTCGTGAGTGATCGATCTTTACATCATATGTTTGCAGTGTTGGTAATTTTGTGATCCATTTTAAGTTCTTGCCTACTATATATATACACAGATGATGCAGACGCCATTGCACATTGCCGCGAGTCTCAACCGAGTAGAGATAGTCAAGTATTTGCTCGGCATGGAGAGGGTCGAGAAGGAAGCCAAGAATGTTGTAAGTAAAAGTAATCCAATCTGCAGTTTCTCATCTTGTAATGTTGCATTTTTGCGCGCAGTACGGCGAGACGCCATTGCACGCAGCAGCTAAGAATGGATGCAGCGAATCAGGCCAGGTGCTTCTCAGCTACGGAACCAATGTCGAAGCCAGAACAAATGTAAATTTCATTACTAAATGAATCTTTTTGATTATGTAGCTATTGCTGATTCATTTCTGTTCTGCATCTCTTCCAGAATTCGATGACTCCCTTGCATCTTGCCGTCGGGTTTGCGCTGCGCACCGGAGATAACTCCATGGTTAGGACACTGTTAGAGTACAGAGCCGATTGCTTCGCTAAAGACGACGTATGTATCTCATCTTTGATGTTGGATCATCATATTTCAGTTTATATGATTCCTCCGGCGACCGTTGATGCTTCTGCAGGAGGGCTTGGCTCCGGTCAATTACATTCCAGCGGGGGTACAGTGCCATGAACTGGTCGGGATCTTGTGCGGTCATGTTGCCGGGCAAATTCAGAACACTACACAGCAGATTTACAGCATATTTGCTGGGAATCAATACGGTAATAATTTAGCAGATCTGAGTATGAACTACACCACTAGTTCGTCGTCGGGTTACCCGAACGGCGCCGGAGATCAGAGCAACTATGAAATAAAAGCCAAGATGGAGGAGTTCGACAGCGAGCTATCGAAGATTGTCGGACTGCGTGATCTGAAAGATCAGCTCCAGAAATGGGCGAAGGGAATGCTCCTGGACGAGAAGCGCCGAGCCATGGGGATGAATCTTGGCCCCAGGAAGCTACCTCACATGGCGTTTCTTGGAAACCCTGGAACAGGTCTGAATTAGTTGCATTCTTCGAAGCTATTGGAAAAATGAATCCGATGAACTTGTTTCGTGTTCGTGTAGGTAAAACAACTGTAGCGCGAATCTTGGGGAAGCTACTCAAGTCCATCGGAGTACTTTCCTCCGACAAGATGATTGAAGTGCAGCGGACAGATTTGGTCGGAGAATACCTGGGCCAAACCGGACCCAAGACTAGGAAGAAGGTAGGTAAATTAAAAATGCAATGGAAATAGATACAAATCCCTAGATTCTCAAGACTTGGGCTTTCTGCAGATCGAGGAAGCCATGGGAGGGATTCTGTTCGTCGACGAAGCTTACCGTTTAGCGCCGCAAAAAGCGGCCGGCGAATTCGTGGACTACGGCGTGGAGGCGATGGAGGAGATCATGTCCGTCCTGGAAGACGGCGAGCTCCTGGTGGTATTCGCGGGGTACACGGATCGGATGAAGAAGCTCTTCGAATCAAACGAAGGGTTCTGCCGGCGCGTGACGCACACTTTCCAGTTCGACAATTACTCGTCCAATGATCTGGCGGAGATGCTGGTGATCAAGATGCGCCGGCAGAGCCAGACGAGCCGCCTCTGCGGCTTCAAGCTCCACCCGACCTGCACCCACGACGCCGTCACGCGCCTGATCGACCGGAACTCCACCGAGAAGCTCCGCAACAAAATGAACGGAGGTTTGGTGGATCTCATGCTCAACAGCGCCCGGGAGAATCTCGATTCCAGGCTCACCTTCGACTCCAATGGCGACGACCTGCTCACCATCACTCTCCACGACTTGGAGTTTGGCCTTCGAGCCGTTGCGCAGCGAACCAATGTCGATTGACACCCCAGATGGGTATAAAATCATTAATTCATTTCTGCATTTGTTTGAAATCATCATCGAATATATAAATACATACATATATATATATGTATGTATATTCATTTCTCACCCTGCTGACAGGCATTGAATTGGGTCCTGATTCCGCTCAAGGTTGTAATAGCATCCTTGATATCGATCCTCTCATTAGGAGATTCCATGGTGCACCTCAAAGCCAGGTCCATTAAACAGGACATACATCTCAACTTTTCACTCAAGAATTGTCCGTGTGGCTGCAATAGATTGGAGTCGATGATGTTGATGACTCCATTAGGCATCGATTTCTCTACCCAATTTCTTATGCAAAAATCTTCGCCGAAAGCGTCGTACATAGGCTTCTTTCTCGTGAAAACTTCCATCAGCACAATGCCGAAGCTATAGACATCGGATTTGGTCGACACAAGTCCACTGTTTCCAACCTCTGTTATCAAAATGGATCAAAGATCATGATAAGCATAACTAACAAATTACAAAATTTAAAAATGTAGTTGTAAAGTATACCTGGTGCAATGTACCCAATCGTCCCGAGTGTTGCAGTTTGTGTGAAGCTTTCGGTCTCACCCATCAGCTTCGCGATGCCAAAATCGCACAAATGGGCAACCATGTCTTCGTCTAGAAGTACATTTCTTGGCTTTAAATCACAGTGAACAATGGCGGTCGAATAGCCAGAGTGGAGATAGTCCAAGGCACAAGCTACATCCATGGCAACATCGATTCTCTGTGCCATAGTTAAGAAATGGTTGTGCGAATACATCCATTTTTCGAGGCTTCCGAGAGGCATATATTCGAGGATCAATGCCTTGAAGTCATGGCTGGAGCAAGAAGTAATGACTTTACAAAGATTTCTGTGGCGAAGTTTACCTAATACTTCACACTCTATGTCAAAGCTCTTGAAACCATCTTTTAACTGCAGATGGAAAACTTTTACCGCCACATTCTTACCATCGCCAAGAGTCCCTTTATATACGCTTCCAAAACTTCCACTGCCAAGCAAGTTTGCATCACTGAATGCCATGGTTGCCTCAACAAGCTCATGGTAAGAAATTCTTGGTATTAAATCGGTTGGCCCCAAAGGCGAAGGCGAATGATTTTGAATCTTTTCTTTGCTTCGAGATCTAGCAAATAAAAATGACAATATTATCAAGGCCATAACCAAAATCATCGATAATGTGGCAGCGAATGCGTAGACAAGCATTTGAAGTTTCATTTTTCGCCTAATCTTGGTAGATGCACAAGGGGGGATGTTATGTCTTCCAACTCCACATAATTGCTTGTTGTGAAGGAAGAATTGATCGACAAAGTTTCCAAATGGACCGCCAGAAGGGATTTCGCCGCTTAAACCATTGAAAGAAACGTTAAGGTAGTTGAGAAACACAAGCTTCTCCATGGAAATTGGGATCGAACCAGAGAGATTGTTGTAAGACATGTCAAGGGACTCTATGCTCAACATTCTAGATGTCGACTCCGGGATCACCCCTTCAAATCTGTTGTTGGATAAAGAAAGAGTGGCCAAATTTTGCAACTCTCCTATCTCATTAGGAATGATGCCGGACAATTGATTCGATGACAAATAAACAGAATGTACAACCTTAACCTTTCCTATTTGTGGTGATAAAGGACCTACCAAGGAGTTCATCGATAAGTCCAATTCTAGAAGATCTTTAAGATCCCACAAGCTAATTGGTATTGTGCAGTTCAACTTGTTTCTACCTAAAGAAACCGCGCGAAGACTTGTTAGACTTCCTAAACAATTTGGAATCGCGCCGTGAAGTTGATTATCACTCAAGTAGAGGTGATTCAAGTTTTTTAACCGGCATAATGTGGTAGGGATGGTCCCGGTTATTCGACAACCCCAAATATATAATCCCTGGAGGCTTTCCATGCCTGTTAACGTCATGGGAATCGATCCAGAAAAGTCATTTTTATGAAGACTTAGTAATACTAAACTTCTCAAATTACCAATTTCATCAGGAATGCTGCCACTGAGATGACAATTCGAAAAATACAGATATTGTAGAGAAGAAAGGCTCCCTATTGCAGCTGGAAGGTTTCCGCGCAACGGATTGTCGCTCAGTGCTAGTTTTACTAACTTTGTGCAGTTGATCAATGAACTTAAAAAGCTCAAGTTTGGGGACTCACTGGTTAAGTTGTTAGAAGACAGATCCAATCTTTCAAGATCAGGCAATTTGTGGCCTAAATCTGATGCAAGATTGCCATGGAGTTTGTTTCCTCCAATTGCCAATGCAGTTAAAGATGAGATATTCCATATACTTTCCGGAATCGAACCTCTTAAATCATTGTCTCCAAGTGATAATATCTGCAAGTTTTTTAGTCTTCCCACTTCTTCAGGAATTGTTCCTGAGGAAATTGTAAGTGAATGGATTATTAGATCACAAGAAGTACAACTAATTGTTAATGGATTACAGTTTTACCTGTCAATCGATTGGAGTCATATAAATCATCTCAAGTGAACTCGAATTCCCAATCTCCCTTGGGATGGATCCATAAAACAAGTTTACAGACAGCTGCAAGATCCGAAGCCCCGAGCATTCAAATAATCTTGAGGGAATAGAGCCGCCGATTCGATTCCCCAAGAGATTAATTTCTTCTAGCTGTTTATGACTGGAACATATATCCATTGGCAACACACCGGAAATGTTACCGTTAGCAATGTTTAAGAAGGTCAGTGATGCCATGTGGAAGAGCTTGTTCGGAATTGAACCCTCAAGCTGGTTGTCTCCCATGGATAATCTCCTCAGGGTCGATATGTTGCCTAGTTCTTCTGGAATTGAACCTGCAAGTAACAAGACAGATAACATTAACAATTGTAAAAGATAAGTTAGCAAAAATTAATTAATTCTATAATGTCATGGACTACCTGTTAGAGTGTTGGAGCTCAAGTGCAGTGTTTCCAACATCTTTAAATTTTCAAGCTCTCCGGGAATTGTTCCACTGAATAGGTTGAAAGAGAAAGACAGGATCTTTAGATTCGAACATTGGGACAGATTCTTTGGAATTTGTCCTGTCAGGTGGTTGAAAGAAATGTAGAGCCCGACAAGATTTGGAAGGCCCTGACAGATCGTGCTCGGGAGGCTTCCGGACAGACCATTCCCCGAAAATGCCAGAAGTTCCATTGTCGAAATGTTGAAGACTGTAGAGGGCAATGAACCACTCAACTGGTTGTACTGAAGGCTCAGCAGTTTCAGGTTTCGAAGATTCCCAATCTCCTGAGGAATCTCTCCACGCAGGGGATTGAACGACAGGTCGAGAATTTCCAGCCTGGAATTGTTTTCCAGGGCCGATGGGATCGTGCCGGAAAAGCTGTTGTTTCTGAGATTCAGGGATTGGATTCGGGGCAAGGAGAAGGGCCATGGTGGGATTTCTCCGGCGAGATTGTTGACCTGAAGATTAAGGGACGTGAGCCGCCGGAGTTTGGACCACTCATTAGGCACGCCGCCGTGGAAGTTGTTTTTGCTCAGATCCAAAAGGGTGAGAAATGAGAGGTTTCCGATGTGCGGCGGGAGTTTTCCGGTGAGGTTCATTCCGGCAAGGTTGAGAGCGGTGACCCTGTGGCGGCGAGAGCTGCAGGTGACTCCGATCCAGGTGCAGGCATCACTGGAATTGTGGGACCAGTTTTTGGATATGGAATTGGAAGGGTCGTGGCTGATTTGGAGTTTTAGGGCAAGGAGTGCAGATTGGTCGGCGGTGATTGTGTCGTCTGCTGCCATGGCTGAGCAAGCAAGCAGACAGTTGAAGAAGAATACGAAAAATGGAAAGTTTGATGATGATTCCGACATGGCCATTTTAGGAAACGTTTCTGCATAAACAATTGGTTGTCGGAAACTGCACTCTGCAGCTCTGCCATTTAAAGCAAAGTGATTCCGTTGCCAGATTTGGACATAATAATGTTGACTTGAACGAGTCCAAACTACATTAGTGTTTGCAAGAAGTGAGTTACTAAAAATTCTTCTTGTGTGTTCATCTTCCATTTAAATTCATTACAATAGTTTGAGCCAAATTTTTTGTTGTCTCATATGTTGTATTGTATCTATCAGATCACAGCAGTTAAATGTTCTAATAATAATTTGTGGCCAGCGTGACTATGTAAAAATTTGACATTTACAAGTTAATAAAATTTCCAGCCATTTAAATTCTCACATGAATATTGTGATTGGTGTAAGTTTAGTTGTTTTATAGTCTATTTGGATTCTTACATTTTGTCTTAGTTGAAAATCTTGGTCGAAGAATTTTATCCAAAGACAGACAAAATTCCAAAAGCTTCTTTCTCACTTATAATTTTGTCCTCTTCATTGAATTGAAGCAGATACACAATTAAGCATCGGATAAGATATAATTGACCACGACATATATTCTTTTATAGTATAATATATATATATATATACACACACATTGTATTCTAGTAAATGGATATGTATATATATATATATATATATATGCAATTAATGTTAATATGTCGAGGGTAAGGATAAACGGACACAACAATAATAGTCTTCATAAGGGCAACAAAGCGACAGTATGAATGTGCATATGTGTTCTTTTATGTACTCTAACAATTCGATCAATAAGGTGTGTGTGTTTTTTCGGTTTTTTTTTTTTTTTTTTTTTTTTTTTTTTTCACATTTTAAATATAAATTAATATTGTTGGGACTCCCTTTTTACGGATATATAATTAATGGCTGTCTTTTTTTTAATAATTTGAGTTTTTAGGTAAGATGATTTTGGAGTCCCATGCATATGTATATACAAATATAATTAAAAATATATTATTTTTTCTTGCAAAATATTATATAACAAAAACTCAAATCAAAACCTTATTTCAAATCAATTTGAAACTATAAGCACACTCAATTAGCATGGAAATTATAATGGACCATATAGCTTGTAAATCCCCATAGTTGAATAGATAACACTATTAGATAATAGTGTCACAAAACTTTATATTTTTTTCAAAAAAATTGATATAATATACATATTCATTATTTTTATATTTTCTATATAATTTTCTATATCTTATGCTCTCTCCGGTCCATTTCAAACAAGCTGAATTAAAAAATAATAATATTTTATTAATTAGTAAAAAAGTGTAAGAGATTTTGACTTTATATATAAAACAATTATATGTGTAATGAAATACTTGTAATTTAAGTAAAATTAACGGTATTTTAATATTAGTATATAATTATTTTTTTTAAAATAGAAAATAAGTACTTTGAAGTCGAACTGACAAAAACTGGTAAAACTGATCCTTTAAATTAGGATTGAGAAACTTTTCAATAATATCACAAAACAAACACATCAAATATATATATCTTTTAAAAAAACCCCACATCAATTATTAACCTTTTTAATATTTTCAAAATTTCAAAATCTCAAAAAATATTTGTATTATAACGCATAAATGTAATAAAGATAATAAAGAAAATGAAAAAAATCGACAAAAAAAATAAAATAATATGATTATCAATGAAGAGCATTGACTACGTCCATTGGTAGAAGAAGAATAATTTAGAATTTCAGAATGCAGCGCACATAGTGTTAAATCATAAAGGATATTTGTAATAATTTAAATCAAACTATTTGACATAAATAGATTCAACAATCAAAATAAACTATGCGAAGTAATGATTGATATAAAAATAAAATAGATAAAAAAATAAAATTTATTAAGCAGTTAATAATAAAATAGTGATTAAGTAAAAAAAATAATAAATTAATTATTATTATTCTTTAAATATAATAAAATTATAAATATATAAAATTATTTTTTATAAATAGATTATATAAAGTTTTGCTTATTACGGAGGAATAATATATATATATTTCCTTAGCAAACTCATGTAAAGCGTATTCCTTAAATTGTTAGCATTTACCGTCAAATTAATTAATGCTACACAAGCTAATATATATATAATAAATAACGAGTATTGATTTAACGGCTGCGAATTTCTACATTATTCAAAAAAAAAAAAAAAAAAAAATAGAAAAAACGAGTATTGACTTGTTATTCAATCACTAATAATGTCATTTGATTTTGTCACACGCAGATATAGTTATGTTTATATCCACTGTGTATATTATAATAATCTAAGATCCAAATTTTTATTGGCAGATAAAGGACGAATTGTTTTCAATTAAATAACATGGCCGGCCATGTCACTTTAAATAAATCATGTAATAACTAGACACGACAATATAAATTGGACTTCAATTTTATATATATGTCTTTCAATCTTAATTTATGATACACAATTGTTAGTAACTACCTCAATAATCTAATCAAATCAAGTATTAATGTGTAGGTGGAAATTTTAATTACGTAATCATATTTATTTATTTATTGGTTCAAATAAATAACTTTAACAATGGAAAGTATACAATTACAACGAATGTCACCTTCAATGGACTCATTCAAACTAGGGTATCTACATTGTCGGAATCTATATTCGGATTCTCCCATACAAAAAAAAAAAAAAAAGATTAAAAACATTTAAGGGTGTGTTTGGTTGATAGTTGGATTTAAGTTGGAAATTGGATTTGAGAAATTTTACTTAGGTAGTATCAAATTTAAAATTTAATATACATGATTAAAGTAAATTTAAAATATGTATCTAAATATTTATATAAAAATTATATTTTAATAAAATATATTTTATACGAATATTATATGCTGAAATAAAATGTTATCTAATAAAAACAAATATATATATGTTCATACATAATTAATATAAATTATTTTTTAAAAATTTTAAATATAGTTTTTTTAAAAAATTAATATATTATATATACATATAATTGAAATAATAACTATGGATGCAAAGTTAACCAACATAGCATAAATACATAAAAATAATAACGGTTGCGTTTGTAGTTTTTAATACAGATTTTTATTGTTCGAATTCTTTTTCCTCTCCAAAAATATTACATTTATAATTATTTTTTTATATTATATTACAAAATTATTTTACATTTAAAATATCACATCTATTTCTATTTATATCACATCAAACAACTATTCAAATTCAAACATTTTATTATTCAAATTCAAACATTTTATTATTCAAAAATTCAAATCCAAAACGTAGAACACACAAACAAATACACCCAAATAGCCCCATAAGAATGGTCTGATGTGAAGATTAACTTATAAATAAAATTATGGATTTACACCTTCAATTTATTTTATGGAATTTAATTTGAAAAAAATAATATATATCCAGTAAAATAATAGATTCATAATAATCTCAACTAAAAATATAGTATTATTTATTTATTTATTTATATTTTTACCAAAATCAACAGACAATATATATTATTAAAATATTACTGTAAATTAAAAAATGAACTAAAAGAAATTATGTTTAAATAATGTAGTTTTTTAAATTAGAACTTTTTTAAAAACAATATTTAATATATATATTATTAAAATATTACTGTAAATTAAAAAATGAACTAAAAGAAATTATGTTTAAATAATGTAGTTTTTTAAATTAGAACTTTTTTAAAAACAATATTTAATATACTAATATTGTATATATATATATATATATAAGTATTTAATATGAAATATATGACGAATATAAATAGATTGCTGACATTTCAAAACCCCCAAAAGGAAAAAAAGTGAAACCTTCCCACAATTGTCGAATGCACATTTCTGGAAAATTTCCCAAAAATGGCTATCTCAAGAGCTCCCTTCATCTTTCCACTTTCACTGCCCATCATCCTCAGCTGTGTATTTCCCTGCTTGACTGCCATGGCGGAAATGGATAATATTACGACAGACCAATCCGCACTTCTTGCCCTAAAATCCCAAATCACCTCAGACCCTTACAACATTATATCCACCAACTGGTCTGAATCCGATCATCATCATCATCCTAATTCTACTACGACAGTCTGCAGCTGGGTTGGAGTCACCTGTAGCAGAAGAAGAGTCACTGCTTTGGACTTATCCAGAATGAACCTCACAGGAAACCTCGCCCCCCACCTCGGAAACCTTTCTCATCTAACTGTACTAAATTTGAGCAGAAACAACTTCCATGGCGCCCTCCCCGATGAGCTCTCCATGCTCCGGCAAATCGTAGCCGTTGATCTCAGCTTCAACATCATCAACGGTGGAATCGCATCCTGGTTCGGTTCCTTTCCTCAGATCGAATTTTTGTATCTCAAGAACAACAGCTTTTCTGGTTCCATCCCATCGTCACTGGGAAACGCATCAAACCTTAAATCCTTGGACCTGTCGTACAATCCGTTGATCGGCGGAGAGATTCCTCAAGATCTTGGGAATCTTCGAAACCTCAATTACCTGGCATTGCAGTATAATCGGCTTTCTGGTTCGATACCCTCTTCGATTTTTAACATCTCAACGTTGAAAACCCTCAGTTTTACAGGCAACTATGGCCTGTCGGGAAAACTTCCGTATGATCTTTGTCGGGGGCTCCCAAGTTTAGAAAATTTGTACGTGTCTTCAAACTCCATGGATGGAGAAATTCCTGGAAACCTTTCTCAATGTCCCAAACTAAAGATCCTGTCTTTAAGTTACAACATGTTCAGTGGGATGATACCTAAAGATCTTGGCAACTCAAAAGCCCTCGAAGTATTGCATCTTGGTGCCAACATGCTCACAGGTACATTAATTATTATAAAATTAATTACAACGTCGATCGGACAATGCCCACTAAAATAGGGCTGCGTGACTGCTCTGTTCTATCTCTGTTTTCTTCAAAAAAGATTAATTAGGTCAAAATCATCAATTAGGCCTAATTATCTTTATATTAGGCTTTTAATTTCATAGAACATACACTAATAAAATCTGACTACTGCAGGTTCAATTCCAGAAGAATTGGGCAACATCACTACCTTAAAGATATTGTTCTTGGGAATGAGTCAGTTTGTAGGGTCAATACCACACAAAATATTCTACATTCCAACCTTATCTTACATACATATGGCAAGTAATAACCTATCCGGCACACTGCCAAAGGATATCTGTTCTTACAATCAAGAAATTCAAGAGGTAATTCTATCAGATAATAATTTGTCCGGAAATATCCCTGAAAGAATATACGAATGTTCATCACTTCGGAGGTTGCATTTGGATCAAAACAAATTTCATGGTGCCATTCCAAAAGGGATAGGGAACTTAACCAGGCTTGAGTTTGTTTCTCTTAGCATCAATCAATTCACAGGTACATACATAATTAATCTCATATACATATATATATTATGTAGGAATGATGATCATGGCTTCTTTTCAGGTATAATTCCAGAAGAAATTGGCTACCTGAAAAACTTACAGGCATTGGGACTTGGTACTAATTACTTATCCGGAGCCATTCCGACAAGCCTACTGAATATCTCAACGTTAACATTATTGGCACTTGGCGGGAATCATTTATCAGGGAATCTCGCACCAGACTTTGGCCACAAACTGCCAAATCTGGAATGGCTTGATCTTTTTTCAAATAACCTAACCAGTGAGTCTCCAGCCATGGATTTCATAACTTCATTGATGAACTGTACAAAGCTTAGAACACTTAGGATCAGCACAATGCCATTAAATGGAAGGCTCCCAAATTCCATCGGTACCCTTTCTGCCCTCCAACATCTCCTTGCTTCGGATTGTGGTTTCACAGGCACCATCCCTGATGAAATTGGTAACCTGGAAAACCTAATTTTCCTGGCCCTTCAAGGGAATAGATTTTCTGGATCACTTCCGGGGACTTTGGCGGGCATGGTTAATATGCAGGGATTCTATCTCTCTGGTAATAATTTGACAGGGACGATTCCTGACGCCATTTGTGGAATGCAGAAGGTGAACACAGTGTATCTGAGTGACAACCATTTTCATGGTGAGATTCCAGAATGTCTTGGAAGAGTTACCACTTTGAGGACACTGTTGTTAGATCATAACAGTCTGAACTTCACGATTCCGGAAAGCTTGTGGGATTTGAAAGATCTTATACAGTTGGATCTGTCCTCGAACTTCTTGACGGGCTCTCTTTCGTCGAATGTTGAAAAGCTCAAAGTTGCTAATTTTATCAGTCTGGGAAATAATCAACTCTCGGGAACCATCCCTGCCCGGATAGGAGGGCTGCAGAGTTTAGTAACCCTTTATTTAGGACACAACATGTTTCGTGGAGACATCCCAGAGACGATGTCGGAAATGGTGAGCTTAGAGTTTTTGGAGTTATCTAACAATACTCTTTCCGGGTCCATTGCAATGTCGATGCAAAATCTAGTGCATCTGAGCTACTTCAATGTCTCTTTCAATGGTTTGAGTGGTGAAATTCCTTCTGATGGCCCGTTTAGAAACTTCACCAGAGAATCATTCTTGTTTAACCAACATTTATGCGGTGATCGAAGATTCGATGTCCCTCCTTGCAATTCGACTAAAGCTAAGAAAAACAGACAACCAAAGAGATTCTCAATTTTTGTATTCTTCGTCATTGGGGCTTCTGTGATAGTTCTTGCCATGGCATTAGCGTATGCATATTACAGATTCAAACGTAGGAACAGTGCCGTGAGTAGCTCGAATCCATCGTCCCTTGGCAGTTCAATCTGTAGATTTTCTTACCAAGAACTTGTCCTGGCAACAGAGGATTTCAGCGATGTTAATCTCCTAGGAAGTGGAAGTTTCGGGCGTGTCTACAAAGGCAGCCTCGGAAATGGAAAGACGGTGGCGGTAAAGGTGTTCAATCCACTCTTACAAGGCGGATTCTCGAGCTTCGACACTGAGTGTGAAGTTCTGAGGAATCTCCGACACAGGAATCTCTGCAAAGTCCTCGGCTCTTGCTCGAGCCATGACTTTAAGGCATTAGTCCTCGAGTATATGCCGTGCGGAAGCCTTGAGCGATGGATGTATTCGCACAACTATTGCTTGAACATCGCAGAGAGACTCGACATCATGATCGATGTTGCTTCGGCTTTGGAATATCTTCACAACGGCTATTCAACGCCTGTCGTCCATTGCGACTTGAAGCCTATGAATATATTGCTCGATCAAGACATGGTTGCGCATTTGTGCGATTTTGGCATTGCGAAGCTGTTAGGGGACGCTAAAAGCTTCGTGCAAACTACGACGACGTTAGGCACTTTCGGCTACATTGCACCGGGTAATAATTGTTTTAACTAAAAACTCAAACACTTGATGGTATCATTAATATCGATAGGTTTAATGTTTACAATTGTAATAAATTTTTAGAGGTCGGCAGCCGTGGACTTGTGTCGACGAGGTGCGATGTTTACAGCTACGGCATTGTGTTGATGGAAGTTTTTACGAGAAGGAAGCCTATGGATCATCCTTTTGGTGAGGGTTTGAGCACGAGGGATTGGATAAGAGATTCGATTCGTGATGGAGATATTGAGGAGATTGTAGATTCGAATCTGTTGTTGGCATGTGGAGAATCTTGTAATGAGAAGGTGAAATCATGTGTGTGTGGTGTAATGGAGTTAGGTTTGAGGTGCACCATGGAATCGCCTAACGAGAGGATCGACATGAGAGAGGCTGTTACAACCTTAAACAAGATTAGGACTCGGTTCACTGTCGGCATGTCTAATTAAGATGTGATGCATATCATGTTGAAATTTTCTTATTTTGTATATATAATTGCAAAATATAAAACAAACACATCATAAGTGAAATATATATATATATATATATATTCACTCCTTTGTCCTATTTCAATTGTATCTTTTCTTCTTTTTTTACGACTCACTTCATTAGGTAAGTATTTATTTTTGATAAAATTTACTAAATTTAAATATATTTAGTAAATATAAATTAAATTAATTAATTTTTTAACATATAATATTATATGTTAGGTAAGACCTATTCAAAATACTTTTATTCCTACATTTCTTCTCAATAAAATATATAAATATGGATAAACTATCCCGTAACTGACCTCCTTATCATTTTAGTCTCGTAAACGGAGTCTGTCGTAAACTAGTCCCATAAGTGAAAATTTTTCGCTATTTTGGTCCTCCAGCGCCGGAGACGCCCGCGTGGCTCACTGGAGGTGACGTGTCCGCCAGGTGTCTCGCCAGGTCAGCGACACCTGGCGGACACGTGGATTTATTTATTTTTTCAATTTTTTTTTATTTTTTTAAAAATTAAATCAAATTAAAAAATTAAAAAAATATAAATAAAATTTAAAATAAATTAAAAATAAAAAAATCCACGTCAGGTCAGCGCAGGTGCGCTGACCTGGCGGACACGTCACCTCCGGCGAGCCACGCAGGCGTCTCCGGCGCCGGAGAACTAAAACAGTGAAAATTTTTCACTTATGAGACTAGTTTGCGACAGGCTCCACTTACGACACTAAAATGATAAGGGGTCCAGTTACGTGACTAAGAAAAACAGTTTATCCTATAAATATTTATATTTAAAACTCCACATTTTCTATAAAATTAATTGGTCTTTACTATAAATATATAAATATAATCCTTCATTTGTTTGTATTATTTAAAATTTTATTTTCTAAAAAATATATATATTGCATATATTTTTATTAAAATATAATATTTAAAATATTTAAATATATATTTTTTATTTTTAAAAATTATATATTAATTTTTATTTTAAATTACAATAATATTATTTAAATAAAAAATAATAAAATAATTTTTTAATTCCATAATATTAACTGATTAAATCACGATAAATATCATGTCACAATCAAATAAGTCAAATAATTAATAATTAAAGAGAATGAAAAATAAATATTTAGGGTGCATATTTGTATATTTTATTTAATAATTAAAGAGAATGAAAAATGAATATAATAAAGCTAATATGGATAAATTTTAAATAAATAGTAATAATGAAATATTAATCTTTTACTTAGGCAATAAATAGTAATAATGAAATATTAATATTTTACTTAGGCAATAATAAAATACATCCGTGTTTGTTTGGGGATTGGATTTTAAATATACTATCCATCTAAATTTTTTTCCAAAAAAATATCAAATCAAAACACCTATTTTTTATTTTTTTATATTATATTAAAAATCAATTTTACATTCACAACATCACATCAACACTTATTTATATCACATTAACACCTATTTATATCACATTATACAACTATTCAAATTCAAAATTTTTACTATTCAAATCCAAACGACAAACATTCCCTTTAACTGATATCAAAAATGATAATAAGTTTGCCGGACCTAAATAAATACTACTATAAATTGATGGATGGATTACTTGTTGAGCAAAATATTCCAAATTTGAATATTCTATTCAATTAAATTAAAATTTATATTTTGATTAGGATTTTCAAATTGCCTAAATTTTAGAATTTTAGATTGTTATATTGAAAATTAGAATAAATGTGAAATCTAAAATATATTATAATAATAATGTCTAAATATTGCATATTTTGTAGGTTCTTGATTTATGTTTTTGCAATTATATATATATATATACATATAATATTATACAATTTTAATCTTTTGATTTACTTCAAATTTGTTCAGATTATTAGGTTGTAGGTGTTTACTATTTATATTTTTTTTTAAAAAAAAAAAAAATTAAATTAAATAATTACTGTTTTTTATATTATATTACAAATTTATTTTATATTCAAATATTATTTATATCAAATCAAACAATTATTCAGATTCAATATTTTTATATTAAAAAATACAAACAAAAAATCTAAAAACTCACAAACAAACACACCCTTAATGTTTTTATAAAATTTCAAATTGATTCATATTTCCCAAAATCTAAATCATATATCCGAATAATCTGGCCGGACATAACCTTCACAACATTAATTTTTATTCTCACTTTAATTAAATACTTTTGTATCAACAGTTAATTCAATATATTTGATTTGATGGTAATAATTAATTTGTTACATACATGCATAATTCATGACTTAATTATTTTTACCACATTTTTCTAGTTTGTGAATTTGGTCGCTCAGATCGAATTTAATAGCATACAGATTAAGTTTGGCAAGAAGACAAAGACACACTACCCAAACTATTAAGGTATGTATGTCTTAATTAGATATGCTGGCAGTGAATTGAGTCCTGATCTTGTTCAAGGTTGTGACAGCCTCTCTCATGTCGATCCTCTCGTTGGGAGATTCCATGGTGCAGCTCAAGCCCAATTCCATTACACCACAAACACATGATTTCACATTCTCATTACAAGATTCTCCATATGTCAACAACAGATTCGAATCTACAATCTCCTCAATATCTCCATCACGAATCGAATCTCTTATCCAATCCCTCATGTTCAAACCCTCACCAAAAGGATGATCCATAGGCTTCCTTCTCGTAAAAACTTCCATCAACACAATGCCGTAGCTGTAAACATCGCACCTCGTCGACACAAGTCCACGGCTGCCGACCTCTAAAAGTTTATTACAAATGTAAACATTAAAACCTATCGATATTAATGATACCATGAAGTTATTGAGTTTTTAGTTAAAACAATTATTACCCGGTGCAATGTAGCCAAACGTGCCTAACGTCGTCGTAGTTTGCACGAAGCTTTTTGCATTGCCTAGAAGCTTCGCAATGCCAAAATCGCACAAATGCGCAACCATGTCTTGATCGAGCAATATGTTCATAGGCTTCAAGTCGCAATGAACGACGGGCGTTGAATAGCCGTTGTGAAGATATTCCAAAGCCGAAGCTACATCGATCATGATGTCGAGTCTCTCTGCGATGTTTAAGCAATAGTTGTGCGAATACATCCATCGCTCAAGGCTTCCGCACGGCATATACTCGAGGACTAATGCCTTAAAGTCATGGCTCGAGCAAGAACCGAGGACTTTGCAGAGATTCCTGTGTCGGAGATTCCTCAGAACTTCACACTCAGTGTCGAAGCTCGAGAATCCGCCTTGTAAGAGTGGATTGAACACCTTTACCGCCACGGTCTTTCCATTTCCGAGGCTGCCATTGTAGACACGCCCGAAACTTCCACTTCCTAGGAGATTAACGTCGCTGAAATCCTCTGTTGCCACGACAAGTTCTTGGTAAGAAAATCTACAGATTGAACTGCCAAGGGACGATTGATTCGAGCTACTGACAGCGTTGTTCTTATGTTTAAATCTGTAATATGCATATGCTAATGCCATTGCAAGAACTATCACAGAAGCCCCGAAGATGAAGAATGCGAAAATTGGGAATCTCTTTGGTAGTCTGTTTTTCTTAGCTTTAGTCGAATTGCAGGGAGGGACATCGAATCTTCGATCACCGCATAAATGTTGGTTAAACAAGAAAGATTCTCTGGTGAAGTTTCTAAACGGGCCATCAGAAGGAATTTCACCACTCAAACCATTGAAAGAGACATTGAAGTAGCTCAGATGCACTAGATTTTGCATCGACATTGAAATGGAGCCGGAAAGAGTATTGTTAGATAAGTCCAAATACTCTAAGCTCACCATTTCCGACATCGTCTCTGGGATGTCTCCACGAAACATGTTGTGTCCTAAATAAAGGGTTACTAAACTCTGCAGCCCTCCTATCCGAGCAGGGATGGTTCCCGAGAGTTGATTATTTTCAAGACTGATATAATTAGCAACTTTGAGCTTTTCAACATTCGATGAAAGAGAGCCTGTCAAGGAGTTTGAGGACAAATCCAACTGTATAAGATCTTTTAAACCCCACAAGCTTTCCGGAATCGTTAGGTTCAGACTGTTTCGATCTAAAAACAGTGACCTCAAAGTGGTAACTCTTCCAAGACATTCTGGAATCCCACCATGAAAATGGTTCACACTCAGATATACTGTGTACAGCTTCTGCATTCCACAAATGGCGTCAGGAATCGTCCCTGTCAAATTATTACTATGGAGATAGAATCCTTGCATATTAACCATGGCAGCCAAAGTCCCCGGAAGTGATCCAGAAAATCTATTCCCTTGAAGGGCCAGTAAAATTAGGTTTTCCAGGTTACCAATTTCATCAGGGATGGTGCCTGTGAAACCACAATCCGAAGCAAGGAGATTTTGGAGGGCAGAAAGGGTACCGATGGAATTTGGGAGCCTTCCATTCAGTGGCAGTGAGCTGATCCTAAGTGTTGTAAGCTTTGTACAGTTCATCAATGAAGATATGAAATCCATGTTTGGCGACTCACTGGTTAGGTTATTTGAATAAAGATCAAGCCATTCAAGATTGGGCAGTTTGTGGCCCAAGTCTGGTGGAAGATTCCCTGATAATTGATTCTCGCTGAGTGCCAAAAATGTTAACGTTGAGATGTTCAGTAGGCTTGTCGGAATAGCCCCGGTTAAGTAATTACCACTTAGTCCCAACTCCTTTAAGTTTTTCAGGTAGCCAATTTCTTCTGGAATTGAACCTGAGGATTGAAGAAACCTTGATCATATCATACGTACATATATAAGAGATAAGCAATTAATTTATGTACCTGTGAATTGATTGATGCTAACAGCAAAATACTCAAGTGTGGTTAAGTTCCCAATCCCTTTTGGAATAGATCCATAAAATTTGTTTTGGTCTAAATGTAACCTCCGAAGTGATGAGCATTCATATATTCTTTCAGGGATATCGCCAGATAAATCATTATCTTGAAGAATGATTTCTTGAATTCCTTGATTGTAAGAGCATATATCTTTTGGCAGTGTGCCGGATAGGTTACTACTACCTATGTGTATGTAAGATAATGTGGGAATATTGTAGAAGATTTTGAGTGGTATTGACCCCACAAGCTGACTCATTCCCAAGAACAATACCTTCAAGGTAGTTATATTGCCCAATTCTTCTGGAATTGAACCTGCAGTAGTCAAATTTTATTAATACATAAATTATTATGGATAGTTACTTAATTAATGTACCTGTGAGCATGTTGGCACCAAGATACAATTCCTCAATGGATTTTGAGTTCCCAAGCTCTTTAGGTATTGGCCCACTAAACCTGTTGGAACTTAAAGCCAAGACCTTTAGTTTGGAGCATTGAGACAGGTTTCCAGGAATTTCTCCATTCATGGAGTTTAAAGACAAGTAAAAATTTTCGAGTCTTGGGAGCCCCTGACAAAGATCATACGGAAGTTTTCCCGACAGAATATAATTGCCTGTAAAACCGAGGGTTTTCAACGTTGAGATATTAAAAATCGAAGAGGGTATCGAACCAGAAAGCCGATTATACTGCAATGCCAGGTAGTTGAGGTTTCGAAGATTCCCCAGATTCTGAGGAATCTCTCCGCTGATCAACGGATTGTTCGACAGGTCCAAGAATTGAAGTCTTGATGCGTTTCCCAGTGACGATGGGATCGCACCAGAAAAGCTGTTGTTCCTTAGATGCAGAAATTCGATTCGAGGGAAGGAACCGAACCAGGATGCGATTCCACCGTTGATGCTGTTGAAGTTGAGATCAACGGCTACGATTTGCCGGAGCAGGGAGAGCTCATCGGGGAGTGCGCCATGGAAGTTGTTGCTGCTCAAATTCAGTACAATTAGATGCGAAAGGTTTCCGAGGTGGGGGACGAGGTTTCCTGTGAGGTTCATTCCGGATAAGTCCAAAGCAGTGACTCTTCTTCGCCTGCAGGTGACTCCAACCCAGCTGCAGACTGTCGTAGTAGAATTAGGATGACGACGATGATCAGATTCAGACCAGTTGGTGGATATAATGTTGAAAGGGTCTGAGGTGATTTGGGATTTTAGGACAAGAAGTGCAGATTGGTCTGTGAAGGTATTATCCATTTCTTCCGCCAGGGCGAAGGCCAAGCAGAGAAATACATAGCTGAGATAGCCATTTTTGGGAAATTTTCCTGAAATGTGCATTCCACTATTATGGCAAGGGTTTGAGTGACTCGACGAGTGATTTTTAATTTTTATTTTTTTGGGAGGGGGAGGGGGTTTGAATGTGAATAGATTTTCAAAATATATATTGACAAGGTATGCTATCCAAAGTATGAAGCTTGTTTTATTTTATTATTTATTAAATATTTTGATGTTTTTAACGTTTTTTTAAGGAAGAAATCAAATGTAGATTCCCATGATGCAGATACCCTAATTTGAATTAGTCCTCTGAAAGAGACGTTCGTTCAAATAGTATACTATCCATCCATCCGTATTAATAAGCATAAAAATATATATATATAATCCGACAGTTTCGTAGCGTAGGATGAACTCGTGACCGTAAAATCATAATAAATTTTGATATTTTCAAATTTTGTCTGTCACACAAGTCATTTATATAATGTGAGTAGTTTAATTTTCCTTCCACGCATTAATAGCTCCCCTATATATTTTCGTGTCTACTTATTACATTACCTATAATTTAAAGTCTCACATGGCCGGCCATGTTATTACATTGAAAACAAATCGGATCTTAGACTATGATATACACAATAAAATATTAACATAATATATCCGCAGGTGACAAATTAATCAAATGGCATTATTTAGTGATTAAATATATATAGGTCTATTGTTTATGTCGTAATTTTATTTAATTTATTTCATCCACATATCCAAACATTCACACACTTCATGGTTATTAAACCCCAAGAAACTCCTCCACACTAATAATTTAGATATTGTTTAATGATCTAAAATTTCAACAATTATTACCATTAATCCTTTAATTAATTAAACCATATAAATTATATGTAATACTATAATTATTTTGCTGTCACACATCATCACAGATGGATGCACCTCCACCCCAATGGTCCCTATACATACATACATACACACATATATATATACATATTCTTCGATCACGTTTAAAGAGGATAGGTAATAAGACAGTAGAGAAAATAAATAAATAAATGTCATATATATAGTATTTTGTATCAGAGAGGTGGTCCAATTTGTGTAGTTTGTACGTACTTTGGGTTATATGGAATAATACTTGGCCATGAAGTTACGTGACATCTTATCTGTCTGCATCATTCTTATTCATATCATCCATTTTGTCCTAATAAATAATCATCTTTCTCCATTTATCGCATTTTCGTCTCCACAATATACAAATTAATTGAAACTACATTTAATTTCAAGTTATTAATACTGACAAATTTTGATTGACACAATTTATTTGAATAATCTTACCAATTTCGTACAACTCTATCTAGATCATCTAAATTATTATTGTATTCTCCCTATTTAGAAATTCAATATGTTTATTTTTACACCGAATTATACCGTTCCACTATTGGTCGTCGTATAATATTTCTTGCATCAGCCTCACTTTGGCGCGCCTTCGGAATTATCCATGTTAAGATAACCATAAAATAAGTATACTTGTAGATTAAAATAAAAACAAAATAAAAAGAGAGTATTTATTTTCATGCTGTTCGTCAACAATTTAATTTAATTTTTTTTTTTAACAAATTTTAATTAAAATATTTATTTTGTATTTTAAGTAAAGCCTAATCGTATCAATCCTTTCCCAATTTATCTAAATTCTAATGTATATCATTTATGAACTAGTATTATTATTTGTTTGGCTATCCTCTAAGTAGTCGTGACTGCATAGATCACCTCCTGCGTCATTTCTTTAGCTTTTTACTATAAATTAATTTATATATAATTAAATGGATAAATAAATAGACGACAACTAATCATTGAATTTTAAATTTTGGTGAGGGTTTGTTGACTTAATAATATGTCACGCTGGAATTAATTAATTTTAGATAAAAAATTAATGGGTCAGGTTCTATTCAGCCATTGATTATTGTAAAAGTCTTCCACTGATTAAATAGTTTTTTTTTTTTTAAATAAAATAAAATATCTATCCAAATTATACAAGATCACGTAACTCGTTGACATTATATTGTTGTAGGATAGATTTTTAAATATCAAAGTTGTAGAACTAGTATTAGTGTACTTTATAATTTTCTTATTTATGAAATTTCTGTATATAGATAAATTGTTTATTTAATGGTTGTTCACAATGTAAACTACAATAACTAATTGCTTGGCAACATAACTTCCCATCATCCATCAAATAAATTATGAAGATTCCAATCGCTTATATAGGCTAAGTAATTACACGACATTTCACGCGCATTTAACAAATGCTCAAATATCGTTGCCTTTGCAGGTTTCTTACCAGATTCCTCAATATATATATAATTAAAATAAATAATTATAAATGCAGTGGGAGACGGGTTCACCGAATGAGTCACTGTAGCTAACAGAACCAGGGTGGCACAGCGCAAAACTTGCTGCTTAATTAATTAAAATTCATCTTAATTTATGACCAAGTAAATGTCCACATGATGTCACCTTATTGTTTCTCTTACGTGTACATTACAACAAATTATTAAATAAAAAATTATAACACATTTATTTAATCAAGTGTCTTTTTCAGTTTTCTCTTTTCCTTTTGCATTCAATTTGTGCCAAAAACGTCCTAATATTGAAAAGGAAAAAGAATAACCAACTATGAATAATAATATGTTTTGTTCTTCGTATCAATATTAATTTCCCAAAAAAAAAAAAAAAAAAGGGTGTTTGTAATTTGAGATCGATAATTAAAATTAGTTACATGTTTGATCTGTGTGGAGAAGTTGTTCTTTCCCTATTCGCAAACCACTGAACTGTCTTTCTTGCAATCGGCAACCAAATCCTCCTCGTTCTTTCCTCCTTCACGGATGAAACTTTGTTCCTCGTAATCTCCATGAATCTGGGATGAACAATGATCTCGGACATGGATCTCTTGTCACTCTGACTCAGGGCTGCAGCCTTCGATTCCACTTTCCGCGAGTTCGATTCCGGCAACAATGTTGCCGGAAGCCCAGCCGGAATTAATGTCCGATTAGTACTTTCCTTGATTTCCCTGATTTTTTTCTCGAACACTCTCTTCCTCTCCATTTCCTCCCTGATGTCCATCACGTGATCGTCGGCGACGTTCTCAGTTATTTCCACATCGCCGGCGGGATTCCGGCGATCCATGGATGACGACGAAAATCTCGCGCTGGAAACGTAGTTCAGCATCTCGGAATTCAGGACCATGAGGTCCGACGAGCTGACGTTGCTCCACCGGTTTTTCAGGACAACGTCGGAAACGACGAGATCGATTTTGTGGTTGAATTTGTGTAGGGTTTTTGAGTGGTCGGACGGGGGCTCCTCGGAGTCCATACTTGACTGTATCGGGATACGCTCCTCGTTGGCGGCGGCGGCGGCGGCCGCCGCCGCCGCCGTCTTGCGGAAGCTGAAGCTGGCAATGCTGAATCTGGAGGATCCATGGCGAGACTCCTCCCGCTGGACGTGGAGCTCGAGATTATTGGAGTCAAGCCTGATGGAATCGGCGCCGGCGCCGGTGAGGAATCGGAGACTGGTGGAGAAGGAGAGGTGGGAGAGGTCTTCGGCGGTGACCTTGTGGCGGCAGAGCGGGCAGGTGGAATGCTTTTCGAGCCACTGGTCGATACAGTCGATGTGGAAGGCGTGCTTACATTTGGGCAGCAGCCGGAGGACCTCGACGTCCTCGAATTTCGCGAGGCAGACCGCGCATTCGAGGCCGTCGCGGGAGCCTCTGAGGGAGGAGAATCGGAAGAACGGGAGCGACTCGACGACGGTTTTATCCACGCCAGAGATCCGGGACCTCGACCGGACAAGGCTGTCCTGTATTTGGTGGGTAAGGTTGTGAACGGAGGAGGCGCGGTGGCAGAATTTCGCATAAAGGAGGAGGACGAAGGTTAGGGAAAACATAATTGACAACATGCCGATCACCACCGCCAAGCTCGGCTGAAAATTCGCAATCGAATCTTGCGCCATCGCCGGCGGAGGCGGCGCCGCCGCCGCCGCCGCCGGGAGGAGGAATAGGACCGGAAGAAGCGGCGGAAACATGGCGGAATGTGTTGATGGAACTAAGAAACTGAAATTGAAGTTGCAGAGATTCTGCCAGTAAATACTTATCTTGATTCCTACAAAAATCCAAAAATCGATATGTCAATGCTGTTTGAATGTATATATATATATATATATATATATAGAAATATTTTAATTTTTATATATGCATTGGGAGAATATTTTAATTTGAATATGGTAATGATAGAAACGTAACCGGTTTTCTGTTCCCAGGCGGTGTATGTCTTCAAATGGTTTATCACAGTTTCTGCAGTATAATTTGATTAAGACAAATTTAATTTTAATTTATATGATCATTGGTTTGTTTTTTTAGATAATAAAAATTTTACGAAATATTTATAATTATGCAACAGAAAGTCAAATTTGGTTACCTCACTAGCGTGCATACCTCTGTACTTATAAGTTGTAATAACAAATTAATAATGTCAAAGGTAGGAAGTAATTAACCTACCTCTAACTATAATATCAATTTAAATAAATAAAATTCGATCTAACAATAAATGTGTACTGTATATATGTAAATATAGAATTATCCATTTACTATAGATCAAACTTAAAAAATAATTATTTATATATAGGGCCAACGTTTTCTGATAAATTAAAACTCAAGTTGGTGTAACGTGGACAAAATTAATCAATTGAAAATTAATTAATGAGAAAAAGTCCACACTTATCTGCTCAATTCAATTCAATTCAATTTGAACTCTACTCTTTAATAATTAAATCAATTTATGCTTTACTTGTATCCAAGTAACATAAAATTTGGTAGATTATGATCTAGGAAGTTATTTTTGGGAAACTATATTTATAGATCATATTTGGACAGTTACTATGGATTAATGTATTTGATCTACCTCTATTGTTATAATAACAAGAAAAATAATAATTTATTATAATTGCAATAATTCAATAGTTCTTGTAACCTTAACTATTTATTATTATTATTTTTTTTCACCAAAAATATCGAACCAAATACTTATTTTTTTATTTTTTATATTATATCAAAAATTAATTTTAAATTAAAAATATCACCTCAATATCTATTTATATCACATTAATTATATAATTATTCAATTCAAAAATTTTTTACTATTCAAATCTCCGGACAAACACAACCTAAAAGACTTAAGTAGATTTTGAGCTTATTATTCATTCACTATATTAGTTTCATTTTTGTTTGTTGTCTCTAAGTTAAAATGAAAAGTAAAACATAGGAGAATAAACTGAAATAACACAGTTGATTGATATTTAGTTGTGGTTTGATTTATTTTAATAAAAATTGAATTAAATAAATTATTACAATTTTAATATTTTTTTAATGAAAATGATTTTTAATAAATAATTTGAATAAAAATATTTTTAATGTGATTTTGCTGTTGAAAAAATTATTCTTTTGTAAGAATAGTGTGTATTGTTAGGTATACAATCAATCAAACTAAAGTAATCAAACATTGGATAATAGTGTTAATTAGAGCAAATTAACATTGATTTGTTCCAATCAAAACATAAAAATAAATAAATAAATATTTGTATTTAACATGAATATAGTGTACTAAATAAAAAATGTATCTTTGGTTTATACAGTGTTAATATATTGTATAAATATATATATATATATTGTCTTAAAAGATAATATATGTTGTATACAACTATCTAATATTTTGTGCTAACATAAATAATTTATTATTTATATTTGGGTAAATAATTTTTTGTCCCGTAACTGAATTCTTATCATTTTAGTCTCATAAGTGGAGCATGTCGCAAACTAGTCTTATAAGTGGAAATTTTTTGTTGATTTAGTCCTTCGGCGCCGAAGACGCCCGTGTGGCTCTCCGAAAGCCACATGTCCCTCCTGCCAAGTCAGCGACACCTGGCGACACCTGCCAAATAAAATTAAAAATAAATTCTAAAAAAAAAATAAAATCCACATGTCCGTCCGGTGTTGGTGACCTGATGGACACGTGGCCTCCGGCGCCGGAGGACTAAAACAACAAAAAATTTTCACTTATGAAATTAATTTGCGACAAACTCACGAAACTAAAATAATAAAGAGTTCAGTTACGAATTTTTTTTTAAAAAAAATAATTTATCATTTATATATTTTTTTAAAAAAATAGTTTATCATTTATATTTATATGGTTTATTATCAGCATTATAATGAATTTTATAACCGTTGTCAATCAAGATAGTGGTAAGATAAGAAAGTTATTATTGTCAAAAAAATTAAACAGATGTCAATCAACCATAGTGGTAGGATAAGAAGGTTATTATTGTCAATCAGTGAATGGCATTGATTAATTAATTAATTAATTAATTAACTGATAAGGGAGGCTGTCTGAATGAAACGGAAACCAACACAAGTGTCCAAATGCATTAATGCATGTCTGTTTCAAATACTTTTCATATTTAGAAATCAATTAAGATATGATGACACAACCCACATGAAATATGCATGTTGGAGCCTCCAAATCGATACAATTTTAAATAAATTCATATATATATCTCCTAACCCCTCAATTTGGAAACCCACTCTGTATTCTAAATAAATAAATAAATTCTAAACATAAAAATAAAAATCATACATTGCAGAAAATATGTACATATTTTATACATATAAATAAACCAAAATTTTGAAATTTCAGTTTCTTCTAATAAATGAATATGGTTTGAATTTACTCAGGACTTCTCACAAATTATTTCATTATGTGGTAAATAGTTCTGAATCCAGACCAACATAACATGATTGGGCCTGTATTTGGGCTTGGAAATAATGGGCGGTATTAATCCGACCCGACCCGAACCGACCCGATATATTGAGATCCATTTAGCCGAAGGCTTTATAGGTCTTTCTCTCCACCGCCATGTAAGTACAGAGCAAACCCTTTAAGCCCTAAAATCTCCAGATTTTGAGGGAATTCTCATTACAGAATGAGTGGAGGGTACAATGACATGAAGCGCTCCAAAAGGAAGAGGAAGACAATCGAGACAACGTCGGAGGAAAAGCCGGTAGCAAAGAGAATCGAGTCATTGTCGGAGGAGAAGCCGGCGGCAAAGAAAATCGAGTCATCAACGGTAGAGAAGCCGGCGACGAAGAAAATCGAATCATCAACGGTGGAGAAGCCGGCGGCAGATACTGCGGGGCAGCAGTCTTCGAAGCATAAGAAGAAGAAAGAAGTTGCCATCTTTGGAAACTACAGGCATTACTATGGATATCGAGTAATACGTCTTCCATCTTCTTTGAGTTTCCGTTTCATCGCTTTAATTCCGAACATCAATTAATCTTATTTTTAAGAGTTGTTTCTGCGCATGCTTTCGGTGATTCTTTGCCCTGTGCTTTGGGGTTTTATTGTTCTTATTCTTTGTTTTATGGATTTATAAGCATTTGTGGAACGCTTTTGAATGAATTTTCGATTGTGTCCAGTGGACTTAGTACATAATACAGAATTAGATTTTGAGGCGGTTGTGTTGTATAATGTTTCTCTGTTTTCCGTTTTCAGAGCATTCGGTCAAATTTCATTGTGAATGTTGAGTGCGTTTGAAATTAAGTCTCTGACCAAGCATGTAGTTGAAGCAGCATATATTAACATTAGTATTGTTGATGGACTAAATGTGGATGTCTTTCCATGTTAATAGGTTGGGCAGGACTTGGACGAGGATCCTAGACTAAGGGTGATGAAAAGGGAATGGTTTGAAGGCAACGAATGCCTTGATATTGGCTGCAATAGTGGCTTGATAACAATAGCTGTTGGTAAAGCAATTCTCTCATAGAATTTTATTTCTTTGAGAATGCTAGATTAGCCGAGGGTTTAGGGTTTAGGGTTCGTACACAATGTTAGGCCTCAACATTTAATCATTTATGGCCTCTTTTTCCTTCTACAGCTAAAAAGTTTGGTTGCAAGAGCATTCTTGGTGTTGACATTGATGGAGGTAACTGATGCAATTTATTTTTCATAATCACCTTCTATTTCTAATTCTAGTTGAATATGCATGCACATTTGAGTGTTGTTTGTCAGCTGAATCTAGTACTAATATTTTCTGGTTATTATTTTTAATCTCTACTGTATTTTGAATGTGTATGCTACCTCTTCCCAAAGTAGTTGATCTTCTTGATGATGGCTGCATGTCTTCTCACTTCAGCTAGAATTGAGGATGCATGTTGGACACTTAGAAAAGTTTTGAAGACAAGTATGCCTAAAGCGACCTCCAAGGTTCCTGGTTCAGGTCATGTAAATTTCGGAAATAGCTTGAAGGATAATGCAAGTGAATTACCACCTAAAGAGGCACCACAAAGTGATGGAAACTCACCTCTTTTAGAGGCAAAAGATTTGGATAAAATTGTATCGTTTCAGAAAGGAAATTTTGTTCAGAATTGGCATCCACCAGCGCATACAAGTTACCATGCAATCCTTTGGTAACAATCCATCTCATTTAATCTTTAAAAAGAATATATATGTATTTCACTTTTGTCCCACCAATCTTTTCTCTTGTGTCGAGTTGCTATTTGTAAGTTGAGCTTGTCTAGGTTAATCCCTCCCTCCCCCTCAATAAGTTTAGCAAACTGACTGTGTTTTTCTAATTGCCTCTATATTTGATGCATTGCTGAATTGGTTTGGTCCTTTGCAGTTTAAGTGTGACAAAGTGGATACATCTAAATTGGGGTGACAATGGATTGTTGACCTTATTCTGGAGAGTCTGGAAGCTTCTCAAACCGGTATATAACTAAGCTTGCAATAAAATTGAGTTGTTTTGACTTGTGTTAATTGCTTCTCTGTTCACCCTTTTGGCAGGGTGGTGTTTTCATTTTGGAACCCCAACCATGGAGCTCATACGTTAACAATCGTCAAGTATCTGAGGTATGTTCTTTTTCAATCCAAACTATAGTTGAGTACATAAATGATGGGGGCTGCACTTCAAGCATTCTATCACTATATGGAGGAATATAATATCATTATACACATAAATATCTTTAATATTTGTGTTATGCAGACAGCTTCTGTTAACTACAAAAATATTCAGATACCTCCCGAGGAGTTTCAGGACATACTTCTAGACAAGGTATGATGATTTTATCATTATTCAGTAATATTGAAGATAAATTGAACACTCACTCAATCCAGAATCTGAATGGTTTGTGCGTGAGGGCAGATTGGATTTCGACAGGTGGAGAACCTTACTGCAGGCTTATCTGGTACGAAATCGGGATTCAACCGGCCTATCTTAGCTTTCTGGAAATGATGGATTGGGTTGAAGCTTCTTTGGTTTTGGTTGATTTATTGAGAATCATAATTTTGGGTGTTGTTGAGTTATTTGTTTTGATATAGCAGCAGATTTTGAATAGAAATGCTTGCTATCTAATCAACAAATCTTTGAGAAAACTAGGCAACGGGTTGTTTTGCTGCACTAAAGGAACCATCCAAAGCTTCCGTTGGTTTCGCTTGCTTTGGTTGTAATTTCTTTAGAATGTAATGTAAATTAATTTATACTTTGATAATGTTGGATAATACAATTTTAATATATATATTTAGCCTGAGATTCCGGTAATTTGGTTGCTTTTCTATTTGAAATTAATGATTCACTTAAATTTATTTAAATAGCATTTTAATTTGATATTTCTGTGAAAAAAAGAATAATATATTTTTACCAAAACTTGTAAGATAATTGAATTTGAACCGAAAACTTTCAGTTATTTCCTATATTGGCATACGCAGTTCTTTCAAATATATCAAACAAATATGTTTATAATCTAAAACCCAACTTTTAAAAAAAATAATAATAATGAAAAATGAAAAAATCTGCAGCCACATTTCAATTACTCCGCTTGCTTAGCAAATAATGCACGTTTCAATCACTACGCTGCTTAGCAAACAAATTTAAAACAACTCAAGAACGGATGGTGCCAAAGCTATAATCAAATCAAATCAAATCATCAATCAATAATTGAAGAAGCAAACATTAGAAAATTCTCACCCTCCAAAGTACCTTCAGTGCATCATTCAAGCATTCCTTCCGATGGCTCTCGCGTAATGCTTCAATTCATTACCTGTAGCGTTCGACCTAAAGCAATAATCTGACTTGAGCATAAACTGTAACCTTCCCAGTGATTCTAAACATGTATTAAATGCATTGCTGTATCCGATATGATTGGCCGTTCTTGTGGACAGGACACAGCTAATGACAACCTTGAAACCACACAACTAAATTATTTTCACATACCAATTCACACGAGAGAACTTATGGCTCACAAAATGTAACGGCTAAGCAGCTTCTACAACTCCAAATAGACATGGCTTTGGCTGTGCATTGATCGGAGAAGAAAAGATATACAGACCACAATAAACAAACAGACATTATCCCCCTTTGGTTAAACAAACCATGAGTATTTGGAGATACTGGCTGTCTTGTCATTTGTATACTATACACACGCTTCGATTGAATCAACCAATAATGAGCATTTAAGGATTTGATCATAATTCTTGTAACCTTTGTTACCAATGGCAATACACAGTTTGTGTTGCAAAAGATGCATACGCCAATGGCAATGATACCTCCTTCCACATTTCTGCACCCTCCATCCATGGCAGCATTTTAGTTGGCAAGACCAGGTCCTACAAATAGAACTAATATGAAATCACAATGGGTCAATTGCAAAATAGTCCTTTCAAGAAGCTTTGGTTCATGATTGATAAAGACGGATTTCAACAAGTCATGAATTGATGAAAAGCTGAACAAGCTACTGAAATTTACTCATATTATATTATGTCAGGTTAAAATGGAATTAAACACACTGTGGAAACTCTAATTCCCAACACCTAAGAGAACTGTGGAAGACTTCAGCTACTCTGGTGTTTTTTTGTTTTATTCGATTTGAAATCAACCATCCAAAATAAGTACATGGAACAAACCACTATGAATTTGTTAAACGAAGAAGGGGAATGAAGAACATGGGAAGAAACTCACCAGGGATTTCATTCATTTTGATGAAGAAATACGGCGTAGGGATGAAATCCAACTGCTTGAAGGACCAGTGTTATCGCCATTTCCATTAGTAGCATTTGCCTCAGTAGATAACATAGGTTTTGATGCAATGCCTTTCCCAGAAATGGCAGGAGAGAATGAAGTAGATGGCACATGTGCCGCATTCAAAACCTGCCAAATAATTAAATAGATTAAATCTTAACTGAAATAAACATTACAAGAGATCAATGAACAAAATTAGTGATCCCTTCATATTTACCACCTGGTAATACTTATACTATATTTTTTTAACCAATATAAAATTTTAAATTTCTTCCTTAAATAATTAGTATAACTATTTTACGTACATTTCTATCAGCAGGATTCCCGTGAGAAAGATTTTTGCTTGTTGGAGACTTAAATTGCAACCGAACGCCAGGACCAGCAGCAGCAGTATTTGACTTCATGCGTTCACCCAAATCCGATGAAAATGGAGCATTATTGGCTGCAAGCATCAAATAGGTACAAGTTGAATAGTAAGTTTCACAAGAAACACAAACATAGATCTACTGATGATGGGTCCCCAATTCCACATATATATTACATTCTTTTTTATTTGTGTGTCCAAGTTTCAACATTGGCCAAAGATCATGCATGGATCCCCAAATATAACTGCACTCTTTAATCAGAGAAAATAACTTCACCTTCATCATTCAAGTAGAAAGCTGAATGGTTGTTATGAGATACATGGAAAACTACAAACACTTAAAATTTATAATTTTCATTCAACATATAAGTTATTTTTCCACTATATTTCTAACTAAAGGGACACAAGTACAAAATTACAAACCTTGATTCTTTTCTGCATCCATTGGAGCTGCTCCACTGCTCTCACCGGCAATTGGCTGTGAAAAGTGAATACGTTATGCTATCCAAACACTCGTAGAGGTAAAAATTACATAGCAAACATACAAAGATAAGGAAAAGTAGCTCTAGACCAACAGAAAAGGAAGATAAGAAATTATAAGCCATTGATACCCGTTGCTGTGTTTTAGTTATTTGTGCCTGCTGATACTTCAGAATGGTCCAGTCAAAAATGTAATCAAACTCATATCCTGCAACAGGAAACGAAGTATTGTTCTTCAATGACATAAAGCTTAAAAACTATTCCATGAAAAATCTAGTATTCTGTCCACTACTTCAGCAGTATCAAATACCCAAAATATAATACCATCTCACACTAAACATCTGATTATGTGTAGGCATTGTACAGGCTAAGACCCCACCTTCACGAGTAAACAGCTCACGAAACAAGCGCTTTAGAAATCCATAATCAGGCCGTTGATCAAAAGTCAACGAATGGCAATAGTGGAAGTATGAAGCGAATTCCACTGGATGAGTCTTGCAGAGCACCTTCAGGAAAACAAATTTCATAATACCTAAAGGATAAAGAACAATAGAAGAAGAATAATAAATAAATAAACAAATATTTGGACCCACCTCGATAGGAGTTGATAATTTTTTCTCACAAATCTTATCATACTTTTGCTTCTTTGTAGCGGCTTTTAATCCCTGCCAAGGAAGGCTATATGCAGACTTACAGTTAGAAACAGAAGGGGGGAAATAACCAGATATACTGATGCAAATTAAGGATAAAAGAGAACAAATGCTGCACTTGCAGACCTTCCTCTCAGGAAATACAGAAGTACATATCCAAGAGACTCCAAATCATCCCTCCGGCTTTGCTCTAGAAAATTGAAATAGAAATAGATTTATGATTACTAATCAGAAGGACCACCACTCAATATTTCTAGTCCTTTAGCCTGGAACAAATAAGATAAAAATAGGCAATAGTCTTACCAATTCCAAGATGGGTATTACAACTTGCATAGCGAGCAGTTCCTGTCAAATTTTTGTTCTCCCTGTGCAAGACACATAAGTAAAACTAAATATACATGACCATGGGGACCCAAGGAAGTTGTTTCATCAACATATTAATAGACATGGTATTGAAAATGCATTAGAACATGATGATAAGTCCAATTATCATGAACGACGCTAACAATAAATGTTTCCAAAGGATGAGTCAAAACCTAATGAGGAATTTTTGGAACACACTTTATTTACTGAATTCATAGACAGGATTAAAAATGAATGAATAGTAAAAAAAAGAATCAGTTTAAGACATTTTGTAGTCTGTACTTTAAACCAAATAACCTTTCAAATAATCACCAAAAACAAAAAAAGCAGAAAAGAACCTGTAAGGAATGTGCCGGTTTGTTCCTGATTCTCGATATCGTTTAGCCAGACCAAAATCAATAATATACACCTGATAGACCAGACATTAACAAATTTAAAAATAAAATAAAATATTGCTTCAGATTCAAAGGGGATGATAGGGTGGAATATAATACAAATTAAACATGAGAGATTACCTGATTTGCTTTTCTTCCAAGGCCCATGAGAAAGTTATCAGGTTTGATATCCCGATGCAAAAATCCTTTCGAATGCACAAATTCTATTCTAGTTATCTGTATACAAAAATGATAAACAATATGGCTTAAATAAGTATCTCAATAACTTAACACTACAATAATTTCCACAAGTATGAAGTTACCATTTGGTCAGCCAACATGAGGACAGTCTTCAATGAGAACTTCCTACCACAATACACAAAAAGATCCTCAAGGCTCGGTCCCAGCAAATCAAGGACAAGTACATTGTCATCCCCATTGACACCAGACCACTTTATATTAGGTATACCACCTGCAATGTGATAGGTTTTAAATATACGTGGGAATAAAAATAAAATAGATACAATACATTCAAGTTTTCTATCTTGTATGCTCTATAAACTATGTACATAGATGATAACAAATTTGGATCCTCATGGGTTTTTGTCATGCAAGTTTATCATTAATACAATCTCAAATCTACATGCATATGATTATAAGCAAGGTTTACATATTTAAAAAATAAGTGCCAGGATTACAAGAGCAACAAACTAGATGCAACTTTTCATGGTAGACCAAATGATAATGACGTGTGAAATAACCATTTGAATGTTGAGCTATTGAGCATGACAAGTTTGAAGTTTAAACTGCTTCCTGATTATATAAATGGGGAGGAGTGATAGACAAGTGGCTTTCACTGACAGGAGATGACATATTGGAAGGTGTAACTTCTTAAAAGTATTAACTACTTAATGTGCTAAATGTGGGTTCCAGTGCCCCCATTAAGCAGATGATTTGATATTCCACTCGATTGCTTAACTTATCCAAATAATAAATGCTAATGACATGGAAAGAGAGTGATTTTGGAGACTTACTTCCTCCTTGAAGAATGTTGTATAACTTGGCTTCATACAGAAGTTGTGGATGCTTAGTTTTATTATTTTCCTGCAAAAGAATCCAAAAGGACTTCATTAGCATCCAGTGATATATTGATGACAATCATATAGCACTACTGTCTAGAATGCTGGGGATTTTGTTGCCAAGTGACAGCAAGGTTTAGGATTCTGATATCACAGTTCAACAGAAAATATCAATAAACCAATTCAGAAACCTACACAAACCCGAAGCTAGATTCTATAAGGACATTCTATACTTCAAGTTTCAATGTTCAAGAAAAATAAATAAAAAAGGCTGACCACATTTAGCTGCATGCAGATTTATATTCAATTCGTTGAACACATATTTCCACTCAAATTCAAATTCATCAAAACTTGCAAACACACTAAAAAACATATCATCGCGCTACATATCAGCGAAGAACGGCCTATACTTACGATTTTGACTGCCACGATCTCAAAAGTATCGATATGCGTCGCTACAAAACAAAAAAAAAAACGAAACGATTCAGCAAAAAGCACACCACCATCAGATACCGCGTACATTAAAACACTTAAAAACCTCACCGAGAAAGATTTCCCCAAACGATCCACTGCCGATCTTACGGCCTAGTTTGAATTTACCTCCGACTATCCGCTCCATCAGATCAACGCCTCAATCCAGCCCCAAGAATCATCAATCGAAGCCAAATCCCGACGAATTGGCGCAACAGCAGGCAATTTCAGCGAGGAAAAACCGCCGCCACACAGAGGCGGAGTAAGGGGGAAGGGGATTTGTTGGGGGTATAGTAGAAAAATGACAGGAAGGCAAGCACATAGAGAGAGAGAGGAGGGAAATAGGTCTTTGACGAGTTGTACCTTAGCTCACCAAAGCTGGCAAGGCGAGTGAATTAATGTGAAGGCGAATGCCGAACGGATGAGAACGGGGCGAGGGTAGTTTCGTCATTTCATTGGCGCCCCAGTAGGTGGGGCACTCCGCAACAATAATTTGCACTACAGGGTACAATGCAGCAATGCTTGAGCCACGAGGAGAGAAGATCGACTACAATGACGTGGCTCTAGCAGCCTAGCTAGTCTAGGTTTCATTAAGGTTTAATTAGCATTGAGGTTTTGGGCTTTTAAATTTAAATTTTAAGCTTAATCTTAAGTTTAAATTTTAATTTCTATTTTTATATTATTATTTTTAATTTTTATTTGGTGGTAATAATATTTTTTTGGAAATTTGGGCTTCTGTTGTTGGGCCACAGACTGGGTTTGTTTAGTTTGAAATTTATATTAAATTTAAATTTCAATAAATATATATTTTTTCGGCCTCACATCTTCTATTGCCGTTTTAATGTGTATGTTTAATTTTATTTTTTTAAAAATATATATAATTTAATTAAATTTTATTAATTATGTCATTTTTAAAATTTACTAATATTTTTATACAAATTCGTATTAAAATATTATTTAAATCAAATATAAATAAATAAATCAAACCAAATCTAAATAAAAAAAGACAAACTTAATAATTATGTTTTTATAATTTATTTAATTTATTGGCATCAATTAAGCTATATATACTCGGTAAATCCACATGCAAAGTGTTAAATATAAATATCTCCTTATTTCTTCTTTTAGTATATGAACAAAGTACTTTTTGTTGTTGTTGTCAGGTACTAAAAACAGCAAACTATTTTTTTACTGTTGCAAACAGATACAGATTGCAGGCAGATCCAAATATGCAACAACCGTATTTTTGTTTTATCTTGTCCATTTTGTCCTATCTATCTTAATATTTATACAAGACAATTTGATAGAATATGATAGTCAAAAGAATTTCAGATTTATCTTGAGAATCGTCACATTTCATATGTGTGCTAAGAGAATTAATTGTTCATTGAATTACACTCAAACTAGGTTGGTGTATACACAGCATGGGATAGTCTTGGTTTTAGTGAGTGAACACATTTTGAGAGCTTATCATTAAGAGAGAAAATTATTGTAGAAGCTCTCATTCGAGTCCTTCTTTATTTTTATGATTTTCACATGTGTTTGATACACAAAACTCACCGAAGGAGTTGCCGGATGAAGAAGTTTTCGGAGACCAAAGGAGATGACAATCAGCTTGTTGGCTATATTATTTTAAACTTGTTACATATACCGGTGTCAGTACGCATTTGTGACTTCCATGCGCAGTGAATGCAAAGTAAGTCTTTATGGAGGATATGAGTTCAGACTATTTTTCATATTGATTGTAGTGTAGTATTTATTGAATTTGGATTGAGATCCCCAGATATAGGTTGTTATAACCGAACTGGGTTAACAAAGACTAATTTATTGCTTTTCTGCTGTTGTTAATATGAATTGACTACGCTTCAAGATAAGTTGGTCATATTTTGATCCACCATTTCCCACCCTAAAGTAAACACAAATTGTGTATTTAGGGGCCTATGATATTTTAAATGTGTTTTTGATAATAGTTATTTGAGAAGTATTTTAAACACAAATTTAAACAAGAATGGAAATGGATATTGATTTGATGTACTCCAACATTTTTAAATTCAAAATAAATTTTTGGATTTAATTTTTTAAATAAAAAATATATGTTTTCATTATAATAATTTAAAAATAATAAAAAAATTTGTATGTGATCTCTTTAAATAAATATATAATTATTGAATGGGATAGTGAATGTGTAAGGAAATGCAAATCAACATAATATTTTGTACATAAAATGAGTACATGATATGATATATATTTGTAAGAAAAAAAATAAAATAAAATAAATCAAAATGAACAAATTAAGTCACGTCTTATTTGAAAATTATTCAAGGCAACACACATACACGTACGTAGGGCATATTTCATCACAAACACACATAAATTATTCCATACATAGGAAATTCATAATTAATGAAAACATATATATATATATATATATATATAGAGTGAGGGGGAATACTACTGAATGGTTCCATGCATGCATATATATATATATATATATTATGCGCCGAATATATGAGCCTCGATGTCGGTGGTGAATCCAATGACGAAGTTGAGGACGGAGACGGGGTGGGGATTGTCGGGCTTGAGGAGCTCGTAATCGAGGGTCCAAGTGACGTAGTCGACGCCATTTTTGGTTTCGACGTGGAAGCTGGCGGAGAAGGTCTTGTAGAGCTCCAAGAGATCCCCGTCGATGAATTTGTAGGTCAGCTGCCTCTTCTCCTTGTCTAGGTTCTCTATCACTTGCTTGCAGGACCCCTCTTTCCCATCTAATTAATTTAATAATAATAATAATAATAATATGTCCCACGTTGGATAAAACAAAATGTGAAAACTCCTTTGGTTTATAAGGTTAAAATAAAATTGAATTGTAATACCTAGAGTGTATTTCCACTCGAGAATGGAGCCGTTGGTGTCGAAGGAGCCCTGGTGAAGGACACAGGACTGGAACTTGGAAGGTGTGATTTTGGTCATGTGGGGAGCGTTGTTGGTGAAGATGGCGTTGAACACATCTCCCCCTGCCTTGAATGCCACCTGCCCAACCAGTTTGCAGGGGAGTGACGCCATTGATTATTATTATTATTATTTCTAGGTATTATTATTATTATTATTTGATTTGATTTGATTTGATTTCAGGGGTTTATATAGTTGAGTTTTGATTGGACCCTATTTGATTAATTAATTAATTAATTAGGTATTGGATTGGATATATGGATATAATTGAGATACGAATGAGATCCTCTTCCTATACTTGATGAAAGAAAGAAAACAAATGATTTTCAGACAGTGACTAGCTTAGGTGTGAGGAGGAAGGTGTATGTGTCTGCGTCTGCGACTGCATGCATGTGACTTTATCGCTAGATGGATTACACTCGATCTTTTTTTTCTTTCCTTCTTTCAAATGGATGGATGGATAGTGACAGTTTCCACAGGCTCTTGCATGCAAATGTCTTCTCTTGCCTTGCCTTCTAAATGAAGATTATTACAACTCATGAGATTTACCAAAAAATGAATGAAATGATTTCGATTATATTGTTTAAGTTTTTGTGGATTTTATGAAATTCTTGTATGATTTCTATTTATATATTGAATAGCGGGCGAGCTCATTCTGGTGCTGAACACGACTAATTAATTCAGCCAGAATATTGTAATGATAAATAATATATGCTTTATATATGTCTTATATTGGAAAAAAATGTGAGAACTCTTTTTACTTGATGAAAAATTACTCCATTTAATACCAATTGACCATGATTGAATTTTCGAAATTATCATCTACTTACTATTTAGAAAATATGGATTGTTTTGAGACAAAATATAGTCTACTACTAGGACCAAGTCTTTTGGAGAAATCCTAAAGCAATCTTGTGCACATTTGACTCAAAGCAAAACAACATGTCCTTAGTTCATATGTGATGAATTTAAAAATTAAACAAAATATTAACCATCTTTAGCAAATATTATCATGAAATTTTTTTATTACAAATAAATAAATTCTTATGATTTATGAATGAAGTTGATTAATATGGAAATGAATAATTTTATCATTCAAATTTATATTTTTTTTGTTTTTTTTTTTGTTATTAACAAAAAAAAAAATCGATAAAAAGATTCTATTTCTGTAATAAAAAAAAAAAAGTAATTATTTTTACCTTACAGTACGACTTGTAACCAATTTTGCATATGAGGTGCATGGAGCATTATCTAAAGTACAAATCAATTTTACTAATATTTTAATACTTAACTATCAAAAATATTTTGGGGGCGTTTGGGCAAATAGCTTTTTGAACAGCTTTTAGTTTATTGAACAGTTTTTTAATTATTTGACCAGTCAAAAAGTTAATTTAGGCGTTTGGTAAATTAGCTTTTTGAAATAGCTTTTTGAACCCAAAAAGCTAATTTCTGAAAAGCTAATTTACCCAACGTTTTGAAATAGCTTTTTCTGTAATTTTTTTTTTATTCCATATATGCCCTTAAAAATTTATCATATATTTTACACAAATAAATATATTTTGATTATTTATTAATTATATTAGAATATTTTATTATATTATAGTTTCACTTTTATAAATTTAAAATAATTAATTTTTATATAAAAATTATTTTAATTGTAAAATATATAAATTTATTAAAATCAACATAAAATAAAAAATATAAATATTAATAATTTATTTTTTATTAAAATTACATTATATAAATTTTATACTAAAAATAAATTAAATAAATTAAATTTATTGAAAATTATAAATATAATGAATTAATCGATAACTAACATAATAAATATATAAACGAAAAATTTATTATTTTATATTTTACATTATTTTCAATAAAAAAATTATTTATATATTTTAATAAAAATATATTATTTTTTAAATCTAATTGTAATAAAAATAAATACTTTTATAACATTTTTACAATTTTTAATAACTGATAACAAAAAATTTTAAACATTCTAAACTCAAAAAACATAATTGAATATATTAGAAACAAGAATAAAATAAAAATGTCCTCAATTGTCATTTTAGCTAATATCAAATAGTTGTTTTACCAAACATTTTAATACAAACAGCTAATCGAATCAGCTAGTCAAATCAGCTAATTGAATAGCTAACGGCTATTAGCTAATTTGCCAAACACGTCTTGAAACTAAATTCGAACATATATCACTAATAATTAGACTGGTGGGTTGTATTTATTAATGATTTTCATCATATATATAATTTTATATTCAATATCGATTTTTATATAAAATATTATATCCATATAATAATTATTTTACTTTAAATATCAATAAAATATATATTTATGTAAAGTAATATGTAAACAAACTCAAATTCTATACTTTTAACTTGTTTTTTGCAATTTTCATCCTAAGTATATTTTTATTACGGTCTAATTAATATTGTATCAAATATTTAAATTTTATTCAAAATATTAAAATTATAATATCCTTTTTAATCAAAACATCATACAAAGTCTTGGAATTTGTTTTTTATGATTTATAAAAAAAAAAAAAAAAATGTAGTTCAAAAAAAAGAAAAAAACTTGAAAGAAGCATCACATCTTACTTTCAATTCAAATTAAATTTGTATGGCTCCAAACAAAATGTTTATTAAGCTTTTTGTTGAAACAAAAAAAATATAAAATCGTAATTAAATGGTTTTGGTCATTTAATTAGAGTAAAAACCTTACACATATATTATGTGATTCTTGAAACAAATTGAAATTAAATGAAAAGCAGAGAGTGTATGCAGCAGCAGCAAATACATTTATTTGAAGAAACAAGAAAGATCACAACAACAACAGTATTCAAGCATGGAAGAAACCTCCCATGACACATTTATTCTTCACACATTTATAAATTTTTTGCAACTTTCTTAATCCATTCCATAACAAAGACAAGTAACAAAGCAAGCAAATCGAATCCAATCCAATCGAATAGGCCATTTATCCAAAGATATGTGTCTCAATGTCGACAGTGAGCTCGATGGCCAACTTGAGAAGAGTAATGGGGTGAGGAACGTCAGCATTCACCAGCTCATAATCTATGGTCCAAGTGATGAAGTCGACGCCGCCGCTTGTCTCTACGTGGAACGTAACGATCAAATTTTTGTAGAGCTGCACCAAATCTCCCTCAATGAACTTGTAAGAGACCTGTTTCTTCTCTTCATCTAAGTTTGTAATGACCTGTTTGGCTGTCTCTGTCTTCCCCTCTTCAAACATATATATATATATATCAAATCAAAATCAATATAACAAAATTATAACCATCACATGTGTATATATATATATATATATATATATGTTTATATGTACCGTGAGTGTAGTTCCATTCGATGATGGATCCCTCGGTGGCGTAGGTCCCGTTGAGCAATGTGCAGCTCTGAATCTTCGAAGGCGCGGCCTTGGTGAAGTGGCCGGGATTGGAGGTTAAGAGGGAATGGAAGATATCTCCACCTGCCTTGAAAGCAATTTGTCCCACCAGCTTGCAGGGAAGAGAAGCCATTTGGATTGATTTTCTTACTTTCTTGATTAGTGTTTGATCAGTACTGTAATGTCCATTGCTGCTGCTAATTAATGTATTTATAAACATACTGTTTTGGTGTATTGATTATGTATTTAATTAGTGTGGGTTGTGATCTTTTTTTCTTGTTTGGTTTGTTTAATGATTTTCTGACTGCGACTGTTTCAGCACATTGCTGCAAGGAAATCGTGGAATATATTATGAAAATGAAAGAAGGTTTAGCCAATCCTCATGCTTCATGCATATTGATGATCGATTGATCGAAAACGCAGGAAACTTTAACTTGTGAGGATTGAACAATCGGATTTGGTGGATTGATTATATCTGATAATCTGATCTGATCTTTGTCATGTATGAAGATCATCTCTTCTCTCACAAGTTTCACTTATTGCTTGCTCTACTCTTGATCAATTTCTTGTAAGAGAAATGAATTAATTAGTTTGAGCTGTTGAGAATATATTTTGGCCTTTTATGTTGTGAAAAAAACTTCATAAAAAAGTTCCAAATCCAGACAAACAAAAACATTACCAAACTCAGACAAACACACCCATGATCTAATTTATGTATGTCTTATTGTAGTGACATTCGGTGGGTTAGGGTTCGTCAGTAAAACCTCAGCTAAAGATTTCAATATTGAGAACCCTTGAATATAAGCTTGAATCACTAACAAAGTTACAATATTATGCTGTTATTCAAGGATTTATGAATGTCAGATAAATGAATCTTTATTCAAATTTGTTACGAAAATCATCAGTCTTTACATGTCCTCGAGTTGATTCAATATAGCAGGCCAGCAACAAAAGAAGACGTAATCATCGTCGACAGCAGCAGCAGCTCTCTAGCCGAAAATATGAGCCTCAATTTCTACGGTCAATTCAATGACAAACTTAAGAACAGAAATCGGGTGTGGAAGAGCAGCATCGAGCAGCTCATAGTCGACAGTCCAAATGATATAGTCCTTTTCAGCTCTCGTCTCCACCTGAAAGGCGAGAACAAAGTTCTTGTATCGCTGCAACAAATCTCCCGTGATGAACTTAAAGGCGACCCGCCTCTTCTCCTCGTCTACACTCTCAATCAGTTGCAGGCAAGTTCGCTGTTTTCCGTCTGTATTCAGAAACATAATACACGACAATTAACTCCAATTATTAAAACCCATATTCAGATAGATCCCGTTGATCATAAAGCTTACCAAGATAGTAGATCCATTCGATGACTGATCCAACAGTTTGAAAGCTTCCGTGACGAATATTACAACCAAGAATTTTTGTGGGTGCAGCTCTGACCAAGTGCTGGGGATTAATCGTAAATATGCGATGAAATACATCGCCACCAGCCTTGAAAGCAAGCTGTGCAGTCATCTTACATGGAGGCGAAGCCATTCCTTAATAAGTTCTTAATTTCTGTCCCAATCCTAATGTGCATTCAAAGGCTCCAATGGAAAAAACAAAATCTAACTGATGATACAGTAGAATTCTACATAGAACAAGCATTGTATTCAATCCATCCTTCCTCAGTTAATTTAGTATTAAAACACTTTCTTGTTGAGGTTATTCAAGTATTGTCGACAACGACAGCTTCCACATATTTTTCATGTCACAATAATTTTAATCGATACTACGGAAAGCTCCTACATTTTATTCGAGTATTGATGCCTCTCTTTTCTTGCTTCTCTGTTAGATTATCCCTCCAACAAATGCACAAATTTGCACATCAAGTTCTAGTGATTATTAAATATCTTTTCCATTTAAACTTGTTGGTCCAAAAATAATCTTTCTGATGCACATTGTTAATCAGGATGATTTTCAGCCATCTCCTAAGCTTGAATAAAATATAGCCAAGTCGAAATTAGATTGCAATTTTTCTAATTTACACTATATCAGGAATAAAAAATTTCAGCATATTACTTGCAAAAACAACTTGAGAAACCAAACTTATTCAAAAAATTCGTTGGATTACAGCAACTAACTGAAGGCAGCTAAGAACAACACGAGGCAACTCGAAGAGGCATTTCAACAAACACCTTTAGCTCATAAATTCAAATACAGATTAAAAGCCAATTCGTGATTTACAATGCACGCTATCACTCAGAGCACAATCAAATTACACAAATGTAGACGCCAAGAATGATAAGAGCGGTACCAAACAACGCCAGGCCGAAACGAGTTTCCTCTCCAAAAAGGATCCCAAAAACAGCCGTGGCAGCAAACGTCGTGGCATTGGTCACCGGCACAGCAAGGGAAATAGGAGTTCCACCCAGGATCGCAAAGAAAGTGGCTGACGCTGAGAGATTGATGACGAAGGGCAAAGTGTACTGCCATATCAGGAGAAGCTTCAACCACTTTCTGAGCAGGGAAGCCTCCGTTTGAGGAGTGGATTTCAGCGCTTCGTCCCATATGACTGCGCCTCGGCGCATGAGGGCGTTCGTCGCCCCCCATACAAGGCCTACTGCAACCATCTTCTCCACATCGGTTCCCAACATCACTGCTTCTTTGCTAAATCGGAACGAAATTTTCTCAAGTGGAGTGATGATCTTCTGTCATGATCCAAACTCCGAAGTTTCGATTTTTTCCCAAGACAAACGAGTTTGACTTTTGACCAAATGACCGGAAGGTGGATTTTACATATATGCCCTCCCTCATTATATATATATTTTTGTTTAATTATTTCCTACTATTTAATGGAGAATCTAAATTTATAAATAAAATAAAATAAAAATAAAAATAAAATAAAATCTAGTGACAATTTGACACTGTTTGTTTATGTTTCTAAATTTATTCCTGCAATATTTATTTTACACCCACACAAAAAAAAAAAAATTAAATATTACTCCATATCCAAAATATTGCATATAGTAGCTATTTCTTACATTAAATACTTGTTTTTTTTTTAATCAATTTTTTTTTTTTTTTATTGTAAACAATCATAGCAATCTAAAACTCCGACAGATGTCTAAACACAATGTAAATATTGAGTCAAATGAACATTACTGATTAAGTATATTATTATCATATGATAACCATTATTTCTGTGGTGAATGATGGTAAATCAATAATTAATCATGAAATATTACAACATATAATTATAATACTGATTCCGTTTAGACAGAATATTTGGAGACTTAATATATCTATATATTTGATGTATTTTTTAAAAATTAAATAATGTTAAAATCTCTAAAAATATTGTGCAAACAAAACTTATGTCATATAATTGTATGACATGAACAATATTATTCGTTATTGTTGTAATAGCCAAACTTATTTATTTTGATAGAATTATTTATTCTACGTATTAAAAAAATCAAGAAGGGTGGGGGAAAAAAATACACACATACACAAATAAAAGTTAATGAAAATTGGTAGCTGGAAAATATGTCGAATTTCAATAATATCTCTTATATTGTATGTTAAGTTGTAGCAATCCCTAGAGGAAATCAAAATTTAAAAATCCGAATATTTTTTTATGATAATTATTTAATTTAAAACTATTTACTTTGTGGATCAACTCCAAAATAATAATAATAATTATAATAAAATGGGGAAACATTCAATTCATTCTCTAAATTACTACACAAATGATAATAATTTTGATTCCCAATTATAATTAGTTGGTTGATTTACCAAGAAACCGAGTGGAAGTTGCATATTATCTGATCAATTAATTAGTGTATCGGTTACAATGTTGTTAGTCCGTCTTTCAAATCTATATTCATTTTCTTTTTTGAGTTGTCTGTTGAAAAATATTCTCATTTCCTTTTTACGTAAAAAAAATTATTACTCACTATGTCCAATTTTAATTGTCCTATAGTATATTTGTACGATTTTTTAGGTGATTGTTTTTTTATCTAATTTTTAATTGTATTGTAGAAATTAAAAATAATAAATGAATGAAAAGTAAAAATATAAAATTTGTGTTTAAAAAAAAAATAAGATAATAATTGTTGGACGTCCTAAATAGAAAAGTAGGACATTAGTCTGTAGACGGATGGAATATATTTTTGTAAAGTTCTTACTATAAAAAGAAAAAATAATCATTATTACTCAGTTTTATTAAAATCCACACAGTATAATTTTAAATAAAAGTCATACAAATGTGGATTTAGTTTGAATCATGTCTTGCCAATGACATATTTTTGTTTCATTTATATATACAATGTTGTGATGATTTGTTGTGAAAGACAAGATCCGAAACACTGGATAAAACATATGTCTTAAAAATCTTACAAAACTAAATGTTGGTAAGATTTGTGTTTGTATTTTGTATTTAATAATATATATAATAATGAAATGTATGGAGTTGGGAATTGGGATTTGGGAAGGCACTCCCAATATATTGGAAATTCAATCCATATTACCTAATAATTAATATATATGTAAATTTGAACACAATCAAGAATGCCAGCCGAAGCATCTGATTTGATTAATTACTCCAGGGCAGAATAAATAAAAAAACATTACAGAAAATAAACATATATATATATATATATTCTAAGTATTATTTAACATAATAAAGCAAATTAATTAAGAGATCTCTTAATTGAAATTAAATCTGTGACAGCAGCTGGAAAGTTCAAAAAGTTCTATCTTCCTACGATCCCTTTGTCCTCCAAAGAACAAAGAGAATATATTCTAAGGATTTCCCAAGATTGTATAACATCATCTCATTCTCCCAACCCATACATATAATCGTATATATATATATATATTAATTCATATGAAATGTATAAAAATGCATTCATATAATAAAATAAAAAATAATAATGTAGAGAGCCTTGAATTAATCACGAGTGAAAAAAACCCTTTCCCAAAACGATCGAACTGTGTATGTAAAACAACCATATCCACCATCATCATCATCATCATCAAGTTTCTCCCCAATTCTTTCTCTAGTGTGTGTTTTTCTTCTGTTTTTTTTTTTTTTGTGCAGCAGCAGCAAGATTCGATGGATCGATATTCCAATCATTTTAATTTGGCAGTGACGAATGATTATTATTCACTAAAGATTAATCGACTCTAGCTGATGATCAGATCACTTACAATATGCAGCAAGCAAGCAGGCAGGCAGGCAGAAATCCAACCAGACAACTACTGCCAGACCAAATCAGACCAGACCACATGATCATACATAGTTCAAAGCGAAAGCCTGAGCTCGAGGTCGATTTCATCGGAATTGCTCGATTCGGAGTTCCCCATCAAAGAATCCTTCCTCTCCCTCATGCTCTTCTTCCCAAATGAACCCTACAAAATTGCATGCATAAAATTAAATAAAATTTGTGCATGAATGAGTGATTTTTTTATTTTTCTTTTGATTCAATTTAGGATAGGGCCATTGGTTACCTCGTTTTCGGGTTCGAAGAAAGATCTGGTCATCCTCGGATCGACATTGTAATGTGGAGCTCCATAGGTTGCTGCTGCTCCAGCATTGCCTGGATGCCATCTGCTGCAAGTTTTTCTGTTGGTTAAATTTTAAGTACAAGATATGTATGTGTCTTTAATAAATTATTTTCTTGTTGGTGTTTCTGTTAGAATTAATAATTAGCACAAGTGGTAGTGTAGTGTAGTATAGTTAGGTACGATTGATCGATCACATTTGTTAATGGATATATGAATATATGGCAAATGATTGTGAGAAGAATAAGAATCTTTTTACACGTACTAACCTAGCTGCAGCATTGGGTTGGGAAGAATCTCCATATGAGATATTTGCCTTGTCCAAATCAGACAGCCCCATCTGAAACAAACATTAAAATAATCACAATTCGTGTCTGGGTATTGCAAATCGTTTTGATTTTCTCAATCAAATTCAGAATGTGGAAAAGGGATTAATGTATAATCAAAAGACAGCCCCCCCCCACACACACACAAGATTATACAGTTCATGGTTAGTTTTGATTTGTTCAGTGAAGCCCAGATTTGCTAGAAACTAAAATGCATTTTATCTCTGTCATATTTAAGGTTAGCCATTTTAGGCATAGGAAGAATGATCGAAAATATCTATATATATATATATATATTATAACTTCTTCCTAAAAATTCAATTTTGTTTTAAGAAAACTATTGTTCAATCAAATTGTTCATTATTATTCTACTCCAATCTTTTGGGAAGTTACGAAAGAAATGGAGTAACAAGAGGAACTTCTGAAGAAGAAGAATAATAAAATTGAAAATAAATAAATAAAATACAAATCTGATCTTTAATCCTATTGTAAATTTAATTATACTTTAAAGACTCATATTTTCTAGGGTTACAAAAGTGTTGAGCAGACAAGAATTAGGGGTTTTCAGAATGAAGAAAGAAATGAGAGTGGAGTATGGTTTACAGAAACTGTAATAAACTGCAAACCTTTCATCTCAAAATCAATCTACAACATACCGACTTCGATCGCCATTAAAACACCTCAGCAGAAGAACATCAAAAGAGGGGTTTTCTTACCACGACTCCATGGTGTCCCTGAAAGCCATAAGATGGGGAAGACGACGTCGAATACGATGAAGAATGAGCTGTCTGAAGCCTGTAGTCTTCCTGCAATCAATCAATTTCAAAATAAACATCAATCTATAAATCATCAGAAAAACAAAAATAATCAAATCACAAATCACATACACTATACCCCATATACATACATACATAAACTACATCTATAATTTTATTTTTAAATATATATATATCGATGAATTAAACCTGATTGAATCCCGAAGAGGCGTAAGGATTATGAACAGAAGGGAGATAAGTGGAGCAGCCGAGTTGACTGTTCAACCTAATCTTCTCAAGCTGCGCCACGCCGAGCCCCCGCTGCGGCTGCTTCGGCTTGTCTGAATTTCCCTTTTTGCCCTTCCTCGACGACGACGGCGGCGGCGGCTGCGGCGGCGACGACCCTCCCCTTCTTTCATTCCCTGTGTAGTGAGTGGCTTCACCGTAATAGTTGCTCCCCATATCTTCAAACTTTGTCGATTCTTCTTCTGCCCTACGTTTATTGAATCTCAAGAAGAATCTGTAATCCTCGGAATTTTTATAAATTTTCTTGCAAACATTTGATGAAGAAATTCGTGGAATCGGGAGGAGATCTTCCTTTTAAGCTGTCAACACTTTGCCCTTAGTAATAATTGCATCGCTGTATCTGATTCTGCGTGGATTTTCTATGATCCATTCTGTTTATATACTAGACCTTGTCCTGACAACTCTTTCTCAAATCCCTCCTAAATTAATAAAAATATTCAATCATATATATGTGTATGTATCTGTATGTATATTTATTTAATTATTATAATCTGTCTTTAATTTCACCCTTTGAATGATTTTGAGAGTATGGGATAGAGACTGTCTCTTTTTTAAAAAAATAAAATATATTCATTTGCTTCCAGGTTTACAGCCCCATCCACGCGCACCGACTGCGCGTGTCGCCACGCACATTTAAATTAAATCATTGTACTAATAATAGAGATTATAATAGAAAAATAAATAAATAAAAATTAGTCTGTTACATTTTATTACATTTAATACAAAATAATATAATTAATATTTTCCACGTTAGTAAATCTAGGAAGTGAAGATAGGGTAGATATGATGCATTGAAAATTTTATTTGGAAAAAATTGATTGAATTTGTTGGCTAAGGAATCAGTGCCCAATCTCATACCATAATTATTTTGGATTTAGATATATATCAAATTAATTGTACAAAATAAATAATTGTAATGCCTTTTGATGGTAATTATAATTTTGAATATAATAATGCCATATCCAGAAAATTTTATGACTTAAATTTGTGTAAAAAAATAAAATAAACATTTAATTTAGATTGGGGAAATCCTGTATGGGGATTGTATTATGGGTAAAATAGAATTAAATGTATTCTCGACATTATAACCATAGATATGTGTTGCAGATAGAAAGATTTCATGTCCAATATTCTAACACAGCTAACCCATATTTAATATTAATTAATTTCACTCCACGTCACAAATCAAGGCTATGTTTGACCAAGATCAAGTTAGATCAGATTTTGAAAATTAAATAATTTCACTTTCGAGATTAACCATTGGCTCTATTTAAATAAATATGTAACAAATTTATTTTAAAATACTGTATATTATGTCGACCAGTTTAGTGTAAGACTTTTGAAAATGCAATCTGGATCTAATACCAAAAAAATTAGGGTTATGGGGTTATATTAAAATGACAATCATATATATATATATATATTTATTTATTTATATATGAGCTCTGTGTAGAGATCCTTAATTAAATGTAAGAATCATATTATAATAATAAAGAAAAGGGTTCTAAAATGTTACTTTTTGATATTATATTTTAAAAGAAAATTAAACATTGAATGTACTTTAAGAAATTGAAAATGCTTTTTATTTGTGATTTTTTTTAATATAATGTAATTTTTTTATAAGAAAAGAATGAACCAAAAAAAAAAAAAAAAAATCCAAGAAGAACAAATTCCAATATCTTTTTTGGAAGACCCTTATTTTCATTAAGTAAATAATATCAATGTATATATATATATATATATATATATATAAATGTTATAAAATTCTTACATACCGAAACTGGCATAATATTATGCATCTTATATATATGCACGCATATTGGTTATAGAGGGTAAATAATTTAATCTATGTGATTTTTTACCTATATGTAAAATTTTCATTTGTATCAGAAGATCTTACACTTAATTAAGAAATGTGAATGTCATTAACTATAAGGTTATCACTATAATATTTAAATTTGAAATAGACAGACTATTTAGGGTGTGTTTGTTTGAGGGTTTGGATTTTGAATTGCGATTTGAATAGTAAAAATTTTGAATTTGAATAGTTGTATGATGTGATATAAATAGGTGTTGATACGATGTTTTGAATGTAAAATTAATTTTTAATATAATATAATATAGAAAATGAAAAATAGGTGTTTGATTTGATATTTTTGAAAAAAAAAAATTGAATGAATAGTGTAAATCCAATTCAATCCCCCGAACAAACACACTGAACCACACAATGAATGATATTTGTAATAGCACTATTGTCATTTTAAATATAGTATAAACGAGTACTTTTTTCATATAGTACCCAAAAAAAAAAAAGTGAACCAACACAAACTACTTTCAACTTTATTTTATTCTTCTAAAATCAAATCCTAAATATCAAATAAATAAATAAATAAAATTAAAAAATTAAATCTAAATTAGCACTCTCTAGCATTAATTATATGTTAAAAAATAACTAAATACTATTAACATCTATGGATGAGATTAGAGCTAGCAATGAGTCGATTCGTGTCGGGTTGAATAGTTTAAACGGGTTAAATTATTCAACATTAATCCAACTTGTTTATTATCGTGTTGGATTCGTGTTAACCCGTTTATTATCGTGTCGGATTCGGGTTGACTCGTATACATAATTAAGTCGAATTTTTTTATTCAAATTAAATAATTTTTTGTTGTGTTGTCGTGTTATGTTAATTTTTGTTGGTTTGAGCGTAAATTAGGTTGAATTATTTAAAATTGAACTTAGTTTAAATTAATTTATGAGAAAGTTAATAAATTATGATTATTTTATATATATAATAAATATATTAATCAATATTAATATATTATAATCGGTTGTCATGTCGGGTTCGAGTTGAGAGTTTCAACCCTAACCCGACCTATTTATTATTGTGTCGGATTCGTATCAACCTGTATATATAATCGGATTAAAATATTTGACCCAAACTCATGTCGGAGTGTCGTATCGGATCAATTTTTACCCGGTCTAGATGCGATTAAATTAAATGTAACTATAATATACAAATATATATATATATATATGTGTGTGTGTAATGGGTGCTGTTGGACACATGATTTGTGGGTCATAGAGTATGAGTTGTTTATGTACTGGAAAGTGCATTTCCTTATGTCTTAAAATTTACATGAACTTCTATGTTAATTTATTATTAACACAACATATTACGTATCAAATCATCACCAGTTACGCACATATATATATATATGTATGTATAATAGTCTCGCGTTTGGTATAGAAAAAAATGAGGTGTTTGATATAGAAAAATATAAGTGAAAAAATAAAAATAAATATGTTTCCTCAGTTTGTTTGGATTTAAGAATTAAAAATTTAAATTTAAATTATTTTTAATTCTCTATTTTCAATTTCTCTTTTAAGGGAAGAAGAATTTTTTTTTTGCGCCAAAAATATTATTGGATCATTTGTTCTTTCAAATCATCTTCTTCATTGTCGTCGCCGTCATTACACTGTTTGTTGTAATGGGAAGGTTCTACAAGTTGATAGTAGAGGTTAATACTCTCTCCGTCTCAGATATAGTGTTTTATTCAATGTAGATACAAAAATTTAAGAGAAGTATAATTAGTAAATAATTAGAGACGTATTAGTGAAAATAATTATTATTTAATAATAATAATTTTAAATTAAAATTTAAAAAAATTAAATTAAAAATTTTTAAATGAGATTAAAGTGTATAATACTTTTTTTTAAAAAAAGTGACAAAATAAGTGGAACATACGTAAATAGAAAAGTGAATAAGGTAAGTGGAACAGAGGGAACATTTTTATCTTTTTTTTCCTTTTACAATTTGTTTGCTTGCCTGCAAATTGTAATATTTGAAAAATATATTTAAGATTTTTTTATTTTTTTTTACTCTTTTAAATATATAATTGTATACTATATAATTAATAAATATTTTTATTCAAAAGTATTATTTTTTATAACTAAATTATATACGTATTAGTGTTTCGTGCATTGTTTTTTACTATAAAAACTAAATGTAAAATAATGGGTGTTGTTTGTTTGCCATGGTAAATAGAAAATATTGTCCAATAAAAATATATTATTTCTTGTCCCACCGCTTTGTTTATATTATTATAAATACGTGCATTTAGAATATATATAATTAGTAAATAATTAATAAGGTATTAGTGAAAATAATTATCACATAATAAAAATAATTATAAATTAAAATAAAAATAAATATATATATACAAATCAAAAAATTTAAAATAAAATTAAAAAATGTATGATTTTTTCCAAAAAAAAAAAAGACATAAAATTTGGGGTGTATAGAATTGGGAGTGTATCTTATATATTATATATTTGGAGACGAAAATGTTCAGCCATGTCTCCCCCTTCAATTACTTTTTTTAAAAAATTTGATGTGGGCCTACCATTTAAAATAAAATAAAATAAAAAATGAGGGAAATATAAAATAAAATAAAAAATGAGGGAAGAAATGTAGGGCGGTTATTTAATTTTATAAATATTTTATTATTTTTATTTTAAATATAATTATTTATTATATATATTATACCAATTTTCTTTCATTATAATAAAATTTAGGGTGTATTTATTTTGTAAAATAGTTGGAAAAAATATATTTTTTTTACGAAGTACAGATAATTGTATTGAAAATGTAACAACAATAATTATGTATAATATATTATTTTTTTTAAGAAAAAATATGTAAAAAAAAAAAAACACACACACACTTTTAGTCATTAAAATTAAAAATTTGACAAATACACTTTAAAAATCCAGTGCTCAAAATCTATAAAAATCAAAACTCAAAACTAAAATTATACAAATAAATACATCATTTATTATATTTCACTAAAATAATATAAAAATTTCAAGATGAAAGAAATTTAATATCTCATATATAAAGAAGTAAATATTAATATCATAAAATTTGTAAAAATAAATTTTAAGTTATTTAGTATAATTTTAGTCACTTTGTATTTTTGAAGGAATATAATTTTTGCGTAATATATGAAAAATTATATCGAAATATAAAAATTACTAATATTTTATATTGTATTATCGATTATTGTAAGTTTTATAAAGTGTATATGTTATATATAGTATGTTGATATGTGCATATATTGTATTTTTTAAAAATAATATTTATGAAAAATTAGGTTATAAATAAACCAAAAAGCTCATTATTTCAAATTTATATTAATAATTTTATATCAAATTTAATTAAAAAATAATAAAATATATATATATATATATGAGGGTGTTTGACAATTAGTTGTTAGTTGATAATTGATTTTATTAGCCGGTTTGACTAGCTGAACATATAAGCTACTTCTGTTCGAATATTTAGTAAATAATTGTTTGATATTAGTTGTTTATATGTAAAATGACAATTTGCATTAGTT